GTTTCAATATTTGAAATCTAAGATTTGAATTCCTCATCTCCAAATGCTGTTAGACTCTTGCTCAAAAGTGGATTCAGTTCCCGATGGCCGGCCGGCTTCCTCTCTCACATACATCCACCGTGTCTCCTCATTCAGCATAGACGAGTGCATATCAGGCCGATTCCTGGGCAAATATAATGTGAGGAACCATGCTCCATTATTTGGTCCAGACTTTAGCATCCGGCTCTACATCGGGGAGTAGCTGCTACGCATTTTTGGATACTTGATTAGATCATGATTGACGCCCTCAAACCGTGTTGAGATAGATACCTAATCATCGTCATCATCTCATGTATCATCATTATCATGCAAGCACGGAAACACCTTCCTCTGAAGGAGTGTGAACGCATCACATCCCAAAAGAGTGTTTACACTAAGTACCTACCTACATACGTATATGTACGTCCATAGCCAGGTCTCGCAATCGCATCCGGGGGATTTGTTGGACGTCCATGACCCAATCGGGCGGGAAAGCTTTGGCGAGAACCAACAAGTCCACCAGATAAACGACTGCGCCGTGCCATGTTGGCCTATGTATAGCTAATGATTCCAAGCGAGGACTCGCTCCACCTGAACTGCACACATGCATTACATCACTCCTAAGCGACGGTAATTCTGCCGAAGGTCATTTTCAACGGCCCTGTGGGTCAGGGGCGACAGATTAGGCTCTCTAGAGGTTCCATTCCCATGATCTTTACCGAAGTATTGGCCATGTCGAGGAGCATTGTTCGCTGCATTCCTCTCAATGGGGACTTGGGGACCCAAGGCATCATGGTCGGGTTCTGTACGTCAGAGAACTGCCGACGAGTCTCTCGGGCACATGCCATTTTCAAACTGTGACATGCGACACTCATCGAGGATGATAATCTCCCTTATGATGAAGTGATCAGGATGACTCAGAAGTCAGGCCAGTCTGGACCATTTTCGTCATTATGTGCTTGATTTCTTTGCCAGAGGTCTGCGGTCCTTTCGACAGGGTAGGCGTGACAGAAGCAACTTGTTGGCCAGGGTTGGTTACAAACCCGGAGAAATGAGTTGACATCCGGGGCGAGAAAGCTTTTTCCAAAGCTTGACTTGGCCTGGAACTTTGGAGGAGAGGAGACGGGGAGAAACATGGTAGCGAATCGGACTGTTACCTATGCATTGTGCTTGTCCTGTCCGACGACAACCGCTTCAACCGCGCCCGGCTCACCCAATAGCCTACCCAGTCTGTGCGAGACCTCTCTGCCCCTTATCCCCTTGTCCCATAGATCCGCAAGATGGTTCCCCCGGCGGTACTCGTGTTGCCGTAGACGCCTGGTCAATCCCTGATGATCAAGCAAACACATCCTCGATGAATAAACCGTGATCAGACCGTCAAACCTGAAGCATGTTCACCTGTGTGCGGTCGTTCGCCAATGAAATTGAGTATCTCGTGACATATTCTCCACTGTGTAAACGTTTGAACCTACAATGACCCCGACATCTAACAGGTTTTGGCATATTCTGGACAGGGAACCAGAGATGCTTCTTGTTGATCATGTTTTGCGGGAACCACCGGGGAAATCCTCCCATGGGTAATTGCTTTAAATGTTTCAGACCCGGTGGATCCTTGCGAACGAGGCTGCATCAGCCACATGATTGAATTGTCAAGCGGGAATCGATGAATCATGATGCGATTCACGTGAACAAGTCGAAGTCTGACGTCGTTTCTCGTTGCGAATTGTCCCTGAAATTAGGATCATGGATGAGATGGGGTTGCTGACAAGTCCTAGGATTGAATCGATCCTACCTTGAAACGGTGCTGACAATCGCATTCATGCTGTTTAGCCTTGCCATCGAGCTTCGCTCACTGGAAGCCCGGGTTTCAGGTTGCCGAAGTCTCCAGTCGTGCAAATGATATCGAGGTGATGACGACCTATGACTGCATCGAGAGCTCGCATCAAGCAGGGCTTAAGGGGAAGTCATGAGAATGTCATGACTTAGCTTCCCCGAGAGGGTCTGTCTGGGTTGCACCGCATGTCCAAGAACCTGGGCCTGGTGTCCTTGTTGATGAGCGAGCCATCCTCACGTGTCCTAGGGCAATTCCCAAAATTGGAATTAGCGGTTGCACGGTCGATCAGATTTGGTCGGGGGCGTCTTGCTGATAAAAGGTTGGAGGGAGGCTTGGAGGGAGCTTATGGGAGGACTGAGTCAGCAAACCTGAGGCAAGTCGACTCCATCTCGCCAAATGCCTCCCAACCCAGATAGGGACTCGCCTGAATCTGGATAAGCGGCGTCAAACATCTGTGTGCTGGAGCATCAAGGGGCTAGTGAGCTGGTACCTCTTGAGGTACAGGTTCCAGCTAATTGCTCAATTTCTCTTATTGTCACGTCCGCTCGTGGATACTACTCCGTAGAGGTCCAACCCTTGGATGAACAAGGAAGTTGCACCTTCTCTCATGGTGTGACTGGCGAGGTCGTTAATATTGCTCAGTGGCGTGTTTGTAATATCACCCGGCCACTGTATGATGTCCTCAGGCAGAGAGTAGCAACAGTACTGTAGGTGTGTGTACACAAGTAGGTATGGACGCTCAGTAGAGCGGGGAGGGACTGCCAGCGGTCGCAAGGCGCAAGTGTCTTCGGCTGGCATCAATCTCGTGTTTCAAGATTGCGACAACTGCACATCCATGACGGTAGACTTTGCGCACGAGTCGTATAGAAAGAGGGGGGCAAGGAGCCAGCCTATGTGCCTGAGTGCCTGTGTGCCTGAGTGCCTGCATCTGCGGGGGGAGTTTCATGGGTAGGGTCAACTTGCACATACGCCCAAGAGCTAGAGCGTATGCCGTGATCGAAAACACGCAAATCATTGCCACAAAGAGTGAAGGGAGGGTATGGGGTGTGCATGAATGAAGCAGTGCATTATTACTAATTCAACAAGGTGATGCACTTGCAAACTGGTGCTGCTGGCAGCCGGTTGATGGGCCGTGTTTAGGATGACGAGAGTGGGAGATCTACCACGCCGGCCCTCACTACCTACTCGTCGAGTCTTTATGCGTACGTACAGTAAGTTCTCATGTCGCTGCAAGCATGGGGTCTCGTTCCGGATACGAGGGAGTTAAACCACACGTGGTGTGGCGAACAATAGTGATGACCTTGCCTCGAAGGAGAGTGTCTCAATGATACTGTATGTGTCAGGTACACGTATGAGGTCAGGTACTGTCCGGAAGTATCAATACGTGACCTGTACGTAGGTAATGACGCCCTGTATCAATTCTTGTAACGGTCAGACAAAAGGCTCGCTGGACCTGCGTGCCTTGGGTAGGTACTGGAGGTAGGGAGGGATCCAGTTTTTTATTAATACCTACAAAGCCCAAAGCAGGCCTAGGGTTCAATTACGAAGAGAAGGCCATTGGGCCAGGTAAGGCAGGTTGTCGAGAAGTTTTGGATGTTCCTCCAGCCTCTTTGCCCAGATGAAACCCTACACCACTGTAAGTCTTTACCAGGACAAGATCTCGCCAGGACTGAACGACGGCATCGTGAGTATGCCGCATGTATCATCCATCTTATCAACCATTTGCCCATATAGGTAGTCAACAACGCTTAAGTACCTTGAGACATCTGAGATACCGGAAATACGTGACCCAAGAGCACCTGCCCCGCCCGGCGCCTACTACCCAAAGTAGATTTTTTGAGATTGAGCACCGTGATCGACCGTTCAAGACCGAGGTTTCCAACGAACGGGGACGACGGGTATCACGCGGATAGGAGTGGAATATGCATCGGACGCTGAGGGTAAGGACTTCTGGCAACAACGTTAACTCCGAAGGGACCTCCTAAGAGGCTCTAGTACAGAGAAGAAAAAGAAACAAAGGACCAGTGACGGTCATGGGTCATCATCACTGGACCCATCGATGATCCGATTTGGGTGATTGAGCGAGACAATGCGATTCGACGTCGTGAAGACGATGCCATGCAGAGGATTCTGGCTCCAGGGGATGAGATGGGCACAGCACCACCCTGTTGACCAGTACCAGCCTCCAAGTACTGTAAATGGTAGGTAGTAACAATGCCTATGATGCGTAGCCTAAGGCAATGGAGATCCTGGATCACGCTTAGGAGGCCCCCAGGGACTGGGGTTTGGGGCTCTGGGACCCGAGACCCGAGACCATCGCCTCCCCCCTTCCTCTCTGGCTTAGGCCAAGCGGACAAACAGTTTCTCTTGGATTATGGATAATGGATTCTTTATTTACTCGGCAGACCCATCCCGTCGCATCATGTAATATCTGAGTCATTCTCGACAGAGTCTCATTGTCCACAATTGGAAAGAAGTCAGGAGGAATGACATGAGTATCACCACACCATTCGCCGTCACTACGATCGATCCGACGGCTGCGTTTGATTCCTCGTCCCAAGGCTCTGACAAGTTCGCACTAAAAACCATGATAGTCATGATTTTATTTGACGATCGTGGCCCCATCATCTCCCAAGGCGTGGCAAATTGTCATCTAGATACTTCGTCGTGAGCGAGAAAATCAAAAGATCCACGGTCTGAAACGTCTAATCTTGCATCTTTGGACTGGTCAGCAGACGCTCGGGGACGATGAAGGTTTCGTGACGTACGGTAGATTTGTATACAGTACGTACTCCGTAGGTACGTGTCGCGCATGGCGCGCATCTACGGTAGAAAAGTAATAGATCAAAGCAAATGCTCACAGGTGGGGCCCATCGGCCAAACTTAACCCGCGATTGATTCTTTGCCTGGTTGGCTCCAAGGATCATGTTCCAACCAGAATGGGGGAATGGGATGGAGTTCCAGGATACAGCATTGGACTGTTCCTATGGGATGGGACCTCGTGGACTCCGTCAGCACCTCCAACCATCTCCACCGGAATGTTTGCGACATGTTCTCAAAGAGGAAGTGAGGTCTGTCGCAACACATACACCCTCGCCCTCACCTCACTCACAGCGATGCATAACTTCGTACACGGAATCCTACTGTCCAGGAACTTATACAAAGTAGGAAGGCCGACCGGATAGGATCAACAGGATTGCATTGGCCAACCTGAGCAGAAACCTGCCATTTGCAGGCGATAATGGTCCTTCTGTAACGAGCCCGAGGCCCACCACCAGCTCGCTATCTCATCCCACGCCAATACCCGAGAGCCATCGGTCAGCCAGGCTCGATACCTTCGTATGCCGTAACCCGAAGCAGGATTTTCACTAGTTGATCATCCATCCATTCATCCTTCTCAAACTTTCCCCACCTCTCTCGCCTGTCGTTTTGCATCTGACTACCTTATACGTACTTTGCTTGATCGCGTACCCTGGCCGCTGATTTGTCAACAACATCAGACACTTCCCTCCACACGCCCATCGAGCAGTGAATGGCGCACCGACACACTCACTTGGTCAGCGTCATATGAGCATCAGAAGTCGTCATATCGTCGTGAGATCTCGTACGCCTTGCCGTTTGCGCTGCGCCGGGGCCTGACCTCGTCGCAAGCTTCAAGCTCTTGCTCACCGCACCGTATCCACCTTGAATGTAGAGATCATACAATACGATGAGCTTGTGGCATCTGCCTTACTCTGCCTGGTCGTGTTGCCGTGTCGAACACAGACCCACTGCCTGTGTATAGAAACTTCACCGTGACCCGGGGGTTTTGCCCACCCCAGGAATGATTTGGAGGTCAGATCTCCATTTGCTGACACAACTGTGTGGGGAGACCTCCACACTTCATTTCGCGCCATATATCCGGATACGCCAGTCATCGTGGTGCTTCATACTCTGGGACCGTGAGATTTGTGACGCTCTTGCCCAACCAAGCAGGTTCAGGTTCAATGGCTCGCAATTGGTCCAGATCTTGTTCACGACTCACGACCCGACTCACGACCCGCGTCAAATGTATGACAAGCAGTTGCCAAGATCGTGCTCCTGTCGACGGTCAGCATTCCTAGTAAATGATGAAAAAACTTATGGATTTACCTTGAGGTACTCGCTCCCCTTTTCTTGGTACTCGGCGCGTGTGATGCTGGCAGCCTCGCGCTCTGTTGCGTCGCCATTACTCCACCACGACGCAGCCCCTTTCCATGCGTCCAGGATCGGGTTGCTCGCTTTGCGTACCTTGACGTCAAATTCTGATGGAGTGGTTGCAGCCAGTTCTCTCTTGAGGCGATCCTCGAATGATGAGAACATTGTGTTTCCCCCAGTTAGGAATACATCCTGAAGCAACGCCTTCTGCTGGTCGGTGTCCGAAAACCGGCTCATGACAATGCCCTCGATGATCTCCACAAGTCCCGCTTGGTCAACACCAGCGATAGCAGGTTGAAAGACCACCTCGGGAACTCGAATTCGTTCTACGTTGAGGTGGATCTGATTCGCTTCGCGTTGGCTTTCAGCGTCGGCCGGTCGGGCTCCTCGCAGGAATGCATGGAGAACGCTTTTGGTCCAGTCGTTTTGTGCCTCAATTGTGTCCTTCTCTTCAAAGAGTGGGTCATACTGGAGAAGTTCACTCTCGACGGCTTTCAGTGCATCCATCGGATCTTCTTCCGGTTCCTCATCGTCACTGGCAGGATCCGTAGCCACAGTGCGATAGACTCCCCAATCGTCATCGTTGGCGCCAAAGTCGTCATCATATTCACCGCCCCCTCTTCTTTTCCGCTTGGGTCCGTCGGCAGCGAGGTTGGCCAAGGTTTTCATTCTCATCTGCGATGCCATGCCTTTGCGGTTTCCTGAATCGGCCTTCTGCCGTGCTTGCTCCTTGATCTTAGCCAAGAGCGCCTCACGCTGGTCTCTTCGTCCGGCAATCCACTGATCGAACTTGGTCTCGCGCTGCTCAACGTCTAGTCTCTGCCGCTCTGCTTCTCGAGCTCTTTCGAGTTCCTTCTCTGCCTTTGCTCGAATCCGCGCTTCGACACCAGATTTCATCAATCGTTGGTGTCGCTTCTCTTTGATGCCATCTTCGTCAAGCTGATCATCTGGGACATCCAGCAGGGGAAACTTATTTAGCTGGTCTTCGAGAGTTTCCTCTTCTTCCACAGTACCGAGATCCTTATTTCTTGATTTTCGGATGGATTTTTCAAGGTCTCGAATGACTCGTTCCAGGGCGGCTTCATCTTTGAACTCCGCTTCATCGAGTAGTCGCCGCTGTTCCTTTTTGGTGGTCGCCTCCTGGTAAGAAGTGTGGACTTGTTGGTAATATTCGAGGTCTTGTTCCTTTTTCATCAGCTTCTCGAGTCGCATCTTGGCAGCTTGTTCCTGCAATCGGCGGCCCGACTCTTTCTTGCGTTCTGCGATCCGGGCGAGTTCTTCGGCCGACTTTTCTACCACAACTTGTTCGGTGAATGGATATTGGATGATGATGTCTCTTTCCTCTTCGAGGCCAGACCAATCCAGATACCCCGAGAGTTCAGGCACGTAGTCGTTTGATAGATAGCAGTACTGCCGAATGTATGATTCCATCTGTTCAAGTGTCAACTTCCCTGGGAAGGTTGGATACTTGAGGCGGATCAGCTTGAGAAGAAATTCTTGGGCTTGAGAACCACCCCAGTTCAGCCTAGCACACGATTGCATCTGAGGCTTTTGGTTGAGCACGGGAATGATATGGGTCGAGGTATGTGATGAAGAGACAATCAAGCCTGATTGACCTTTGTTATATCGATACGAGAATAGACTGTCGATGCCGTAGGTGACGCTCGGCGCGCCATAACACTCAAAAAGCATCTCGTTCATCATGCGCCGACTGTGGGCAAGGTTCGTAACGGGTTCGGTAATGACCAGTGGTCTACCAATGCTGCCTTCTTGGTCCACGCCAAGTTTGAGGAAAATGTAGTCATATATGCCCTCCATGATATCCCAATTGGTTGGGATGCTGGTGTGTTGCTCGAAAGCCTGGCGGATCTGGCCGCGAGTCGTGGCATCGGCGTAGGCATCGTGGCCGACAAAAGAACAGTATTTGCTATATTTTCGATCTTTGTATTTTGCGACAACAGGAGGAATGAGGAATCGGGGAGACTTGTCGAAGCAGAAACCTGCCTTTATCGTGCTCGCGCCTAGATTCGGCAGGTTAGTGTTTGTTAAAAGTCGCCGCCACTAAGGGATCCTCACCATTATCGATGACGATTGCGTTCTCAAGAGGTGCTGCCGCGCTCTTTTGGTATCCGTCGGGTTGAGGTGGTTGCCAACCCTTGAAGGGGAAATCTGCTGCAGGGTAGATACGCGGCTGAGACTGAGGTCGCCCATCAACTGGCGGCGTTGGGAGGCGACGTTCTGTCAAAATGCGGGAGGTGGCTGTGATGGTCATGATGGAGGTGGGTTTCTCTGCTCAAGGAGTGGGGTTTTACATCAAATTGCGTCTATCATGGTGATAGGAAGGATGAGCGTTGGAAGAGAGCAGGAGAGGCTGGGTTGGAAGTTTCGGGTGAGGTGTGGTTGTGACTAGATGCAAGGGTCATTCTGAACGTGGAATCTGGTCTGAAGCAGCCAGAGCGAAACAAAAACGCGATGCGGAGAAAGGCTCGTAGCGCAGCCTCGCGCAGCCTTGTTCAGCCTTGTTCAACCACATACTGTATATTCAGCCTCACCATGTGATCATAAGGCTGGCATTGCAGGGCAACTGCTTCTAAGCTCTCCTATTACTGTGGTGATGGTATCTCGGGTGACTTTGCGAGACTTGGGACATCAACCTTGATATGTTACCATCCCCTGTCGTAATCAAAATTGCCTGTCGCACACTTTGGGCGAACAGAACAATCCCATCAAAGACTCCCGCAGAATTGAGACTACTATCTAGTTGCCTAGCGTGTCAATGCTGGGTCCATCGACATTCACATGCTGTACACTTGATGTCGCGCCATGTGATACAGGGACAGCATAATCTGTCTGGTCTCAACGAAACATCTACCATCTTGAGGTGGTGCTGTAATCGAATGTCTGGCTTAAGAACCATAGTCTCATACCGGATCTTTAAGATTGTTGGTAGCTGTGCCAAAGTCAATAAACTTGAAACGCGGAAACCAGTTAGTTTAGTACTGCAGACTGACCTTCGAGATGAAAAAGTACGTTGGATTGATAATTTTTGAACATCTGTGCCACCAGCTCGACATTCATGTTCTGAATGTTGACTTCTTGCAGATTTCGATTCATCATAGCCACTGCTTCATTCAGTTTCTCCTGCAATAGAGTCAGTCAGTCGGACAGAAACGGTTGGCCCTAGGGAAGCAGGCCGTACAATATTGGTGATGATTCGCGAGAGGAGAAGGCTCTGCTGTTGCTCGTGTGGACTTTCCTGAGAAATGATCAATATGTTACTGGCCCAGAAACGAAATGAAGTCGCCTTACCATGATGGTACAAGTGCAATTTTAACTGTGTATGACAGTCCTTCGAGTTTTGAGGTTGTTGTCGTCAAGATTGTCCATATACGCGTCTTCTGGACGATTTGCCCCGCGGAATAAATATTGTGTCTGACAGAAACCATCTATCCTCTTCACCTGGCTTCATTGGTGGAGATTTCTTTCTAATGTCACGTCATTATGGCCTTCTTTTTTGCCTTTCCATCACCACCGGTTCAGCCTTGCTTCGATGGTTCTTTAGTAGGTATTTCAGATGAGATCTACGTTCGCGTACACGAGCACCCACTCACTGATAGGTTTTTACACGAGATAATTACTATATTCACTCCGTGAATAGTGTCGTACTTGGCTATTGTACTGACGACTCGTGTTGATTAGCCATCCTAGTGGTTGGATTGTGTTAGGCCGTTCCTGCCGGACAGGAGGCAGGTGCTAGGAAAGAGCCAGAGTAGGCAGGAGCCAGCTGGACTGGCTCCCTGCCTACTCCTCAGTCGTTTACATCCTCTTTCATAGAGATAGCTGTGCATAAGACAGACAGACTTCTTTACATCTGGTAGCAACAAATTCGTTTGCTGTCGGGTGGGTGGAGCTGTTTCGTCTGCCACCGCCCCGAGAGCACTCACCTCTGAATCTGACGTCCGGATAGGTTTGACCGTCCGGTGCCGTTTCTGCTATACGTATCCTTCTTCCTTCTCCCTCTACCGGTCTAGGTAGGCTTTTGGGCTGCCCGGCTTCGACGTCCTTACCTACTGGGTATATCTCCTATAAATGGCCCTACGTCTGACCAGCCCTGCATCGTCCTATCGGAGTGTAACGACTAAAAGTGTAGACATCCCGGCTAGTGGACAGCTACTGGATAAGAGGTGGTTGAGGGCCGCGGAGTAAGGCGACCTAGGGAGGAAGAATATCTATACACGACATCCCGCCTTTTATAAGCGGGCCTAATACCACTTCGACGCCTTCCTAGCGAAGGTACTCGCGGGTGTTGATCCGACCGCTAAATTCTATAAATTCCTGAGCTAGGAGGCGATTGGTAAGGCCGAGCTGGTTATCTAGGCCTGCGGTAAGTCACGAAAATTCAAGGACTACCCCGATAAGATCTAACCTTATCTACCCGGAGGGGAGTTCTACGAGGAATTTTGCGGGGGCCCGGATTTTCAATTCTAGGTGGAACGTTTCGTGAAGGGCCTAACAGCCGACCCTGTAATCGAGGACCGGAACGGCTCTAGGGAACGATTCTCTACTTCATTACTAGGCCAGGACGATCGTCAAACCACGGAATAGGGTGAATTATCTTATTCTGAGCAGCTAGACGAGTCACGGGACCAGGATTCACTGATAAGCCGGGTGCCTTCCCTACCTAGATAATCCCTAACGGAAAACTACTAGACTGCGTTAGCTCCTACTCTGCCTAAGGTAGAAGCCGAGTCTACACCTATAGCCGTGGCTGCACCTACACCTACGTCGACATCCGCTCCTACCTTAGAAATAGAATAACCCCTAATAAATCTAATTCAGCAAATTTTTCCTAACTAACCTTAACTGCTAACCTCCCCCCTAGCTATGACGCCTCGAGTGGTATCGACCCCTCCTATATTGTGGCCTCCCCACTAAGTAGGGTTATATCTAAGCGGACTTCCGTTTTTTAGGTTATAGGCGGGACGTATAGGCTCTAGACGGTTGAGAAAAATCCGATTCGCGGGGGTAAAGAGGCGTGCGGACCTATAGGCAGCAGCTATAGCCACTGGAGTACGTCTTTCAGCCAGGCTAGGGTTACCCCTATAGGGGCCTAAGCTACCAAACCTTATCGATAGGCTAGAGGGGGTACTTAGACCTCAAGCCGCCCAAGAATCTCACTAGGAGGCCCAAGAATCCTTACCCTCTCCAGTACGACCTCGAACACCACGTCGAGTAGGGATCCGGGAGCAAGTACCTAAGGACCTGAATCTACCCGTTTTAACCGATATAAGGGTGCCGACTGCGGCCAGGCTTTGAACGGCGGCGATATGGGATGACACTATTAAGAGACTCAGGGAGGAGCTCCGCTAGAAGGATGATGAGATAGTAGAGATGCGTAGGTAGATCCAGTAGCTCATGAGGGCCGTAGCGACTAACCGACCGTCATACTCAACACAGGACGCCCGTCCGGAATTTCGGGTGCCCTTAATGCTATAGGTTGAAATATATCCGGCCCAGTAGCCGCAGGAGATACTCCCTACCTTACTAGTTCGGCAACTAGAAAGATCATTACCTATTAACTAAGTTCAGCGACTACAGGCACCACCGCCGGCCTATATAGATTAGGGGCCACACACTAGTCGAAACTCGTTAGGAGAACATAGACTAAGGTCAGATCGAGCACCTAGCGTATATAGGGAGCTTAGAAATTTCATCGACCGCCTAGAGAGAGACTATTCCTAAGCCCGGATCGATCCTCAACCTACTCCGCGCCGTCAGCTTCAATCCCCTTATAAATCCAATAGGGGCTTGGACCGCGAGCCTGACGGGGAAAGAGGGGTCGGCCGGGCACGTCTATAGGCTAGGGACATAATGTTCTGGGATCCTAAGGAAGCCTCAGTTAACTTCTTTATCAACCGATTCTAATAGATTGCTACTTTATATCCGGAACAGGAAGTCCTGACCTAATTGCCCCTCTACCTTAAAGGGGATGCCATGGATTAGCACAACTCCCTATTAGCCGATATAAAAAGAGCTATGAATTACAGCTTACGGGAATGGGATTACTAACTATTAGCCGAATATAAACCGAATACCGGCGAGGCCTTTACGAAGGCCAGGGCCCTAAAGTTCAGATTTAAGGAGCAGGACGAGCTGCCATTAAACTCCTTCCTTAGAAAAAAGGCCGCCTTACTACGAGACGCAGGGGTGAGGGATAATTCAACCCTGATCTATCTATACTGGGAAGCTCTAGATAAATGTATTAAAACCTCGATCGCGGTTAAAAATGGGGAATCCTAGGTAGAATTCTGCTCTCGGGTTAGAGAAATGGAGCCCGTAGGCCATACGGCCTAGCGGGCTAGCCACCAGGATAGGCGCCAATAGGAGACGGCCCGCAGAGGTCGCGGTTCCCCAGGCCGAAAGTGGCAAGGCCGCCTAAGGGAGTATAACCACGGCAGATCCGGCGACTACTCTCCTCGCAAAGGGGAATACAGGGTAAACAAGAACCGAACCCCGTCTCCCCGGACGAAGACTAGTGCTCCGTAGGGACAGGATAAGCGCTTAGGGCAGGATGGTAAAGGGAATAATAGGTCGGAGGACCGGCGTTTTTCCACCGAGCCACGCCCGGATAGTTAACGGAGTCGTGGTTGGTATAGTCGGGGCGACGATAGCCGCCGCGGTGGTGGCTATAGCGGACGCCTAAAAGACTCTCATTTCGTGGAAGAAGATGATTCTCATACAGAAGGAGGCTCCGCCTATTATTTAGTGGATTCAGACTAGGAAGATATGGATTATCTCCTAGATATAGATCTGTCCGACTTATATAAGTCGGAAAACTAGTATCGGGGACCATCGAAGATAGTGTTAGCGCCTCGATACTAGACAACCATCTATACCTTACGGATATCGCAGATTAGGCGCTACCGGATAGTGTGGATAAACCGGCATCCCTAAATAGAACTATAAATCTAAGTAATGAGCAGGCCCTTATCCGGAGGGACTACACGATTGTAAAAGTAAAACACTACGACCCTGGCACACTCTCTATCTTGGAGGTATATTTAGACACCGGATCACTAGTGTCGCTCGTTAGCTAGGCTATGTTTAAGGAGTTTTTCGGAAATTAGGAGGTAACCGTAGTCTATAAACCCATTTTTATTAGGATCGCGGCACACTAATATACCATTAAACATTATTTAATAGTCAACATAAGATTCAAAATAATAGCCGGACGATTCGTATCGTTCAGCGCTAGGATATATCTTCTACCGAATCTGTCGTGTAGAGCACTACTAGGGAACGATATCTTATATTCATATTCGGTAGTGATTAATGTCGGACGGGAGCGTTTACTCCTTAGCCAGGATTCTCACCAATTCGATATGTCTATAGGACGTGGCGAGAAAATAAAGGTGGAACTAGAGCCGGCACCGACACCCCTAATACCCGTCAAAAAACATAAAACACTAAAAATCCCTAAGGTCCGGGTATTTGTAGCTAAGACGGTGGAACTCTAGCCGGGAACCGGATACAATATCGGCATTGATTATAAGCCCTTGCCGGCTGGAAAATCCTACCTCTTCACCCCATTCCTAATAATGGACGCGGAGAGTGGTAAGTGGGTATCAGCTCCGAGAGCCTTAGTCTCGGATAACGTGAGCCGTATCCTAATATTAAATCTGGGAGAGGTGCCAGTTAAGATGCTAAAGAACCGTCAGCTGGGCGTCTTAGAGGTAGTGGACGAGAGCCACATCGGGGCTATAGTTACTTAGGATGCTTATTTAGCGTCGGTTTTTGACAGCGCTATAGATAAAGATAGGGAGGATATAGGTTAACTAGAAAAACCACGATTTAGAAAGGATTTGAAGGAGAATAAAGGAAAGGAATAGGCAGATAGGCTGTAGTTCTCACTAAACCTAGAGGAAGCGGAGGATGTGAATCAGGAAATGGATGTCTTAGACTATTAGGGCCCGGAATATAAACACCGGATACTAGACCTTATCGCAAACCACCGCCATTTATTCCGGCCGGAGCTAGGTTTGTTCAACGACAATATCCGGATGCCTATCCCCTTTCTAGACGAATAGAACGTTTTAGGCCTGAAATAAAACCTATACCCGTTGTCACGAAGGGACCGGGTGGCCTGCGATAAAGTTCTTAGACCACTGGGGGACGTAGGCCGGGTTCGGGCACTCCCGCTAGGTGAACCATCCCTAGCGGCTTCCCCAGTATTTATGGTATATATAAAAGGAAAACTACGGGTGGTGGTAGATCTTAGGAAAGTTAACGTAAGATTAAGGCTAGATGTATACCTATTGCCGAAGTAGGATAATATCCTAGGAGCACTAGGCGGCGCTAGGATCTTTACATTACTTAATATCACAAAAAGTTTTTTCTAACAACGGATCTTAGAATCGGACTAATGGAAAACGGCGTTTGTTATACCTTATCGGGGATAGGAAGTCCTAACGGTGTTAACAATGGGACTAGTAAATAGCCCCGGATTTTTTCAACACCGGATAGAGGACCTTCTTTGACGATACTTGTGGAGCTACGTCTTGGTGTATATCGACGATGTAGTGATCTTCAGCCGGATACCGGATGAGTATATTGATTATCTAGAGAAAATTCTATCGGCTCTGGAAGAATCCGGCATCTCGCTCTCGCCCTCGAAATGCTATTTCGTATATCTAAGTATTAAGCTATTAGGATATAAGGTCTCACGGCTAGGAATAGCTATAGCGGCGGATAAGGTGGAGGCGATCCGGAGGAAAGCCTTTCTAGAGAATCTTCATCAGCTAGAAACTAGGTTAGGACTCTTTGGATACTACCGGAAATACGTACTGTTTTTCTTAGCTATCGCGGAGCCCCTACAAAAGATTAAGACGTGGGGATTTAAGCCGGCGCTAAAATCTACATCGGCTAGGACGCGATACGCATAAAGAACATTAATTAACTCTGAAGCGGTTCTGGGCTATCTTTCACCTAAACGTCGGAAGGCAATTCTGAAGGACGCCGGAGAGGCTTAGGACCGAATTAAGGAGGTAATTACCACGCAGGCCCCGTTGGCATATCCAGATTTCGCTAAACTATTCATCCTATACTACGACGGATCGTTGGAATATAGGCTAGGAGCGGTAATCCATCAAAAAACCGGAGAGGACGACTCGGAGAGACTAGTCTTATTCCTATCTCGATCCTTAACTTCGGCAGAGAAATACTATTAGCTAACTAAGCTGGAGACGCTGGCCTTAGTCTAGTCCCTATAGAAGACTCCCTAATATTTTAATGGAGATTTCACCGTAGTTACCGATCACTCGGTATTAATATCCTACCTATAGAACCGAGCCCTAGGAAAACGATCGAAACGCTTAGACAGATAGTCCTTATTTCTATTATCCTACGTTCTAAGGATGACGGTAAAACACTAGGTAGGCCGATTATATCTCAATACCGATGGACTTTCAAGGCTTTAGGATATTATAGGACCGCTACTAGTGGAATCAGAGATGATCGGCTATATAGTCGAATATTTCGCCCTATCTGTTTTATAAATAGATCCGGAATTTCTAGGATAAATTCGACAAGCTTTACTAATAGATCCGGTCTTCAAAAAGATCATGAAAGCACTACTAATAGAGAAAACATAGGTAGAGAAGCGGGGAGAAATAGTAACTAACAGGCTGTGGTCTAAAGGAAATTTTTCGATAACCTAGGAAGGACTACTCTTTCACTATAAAGGCGATGCACCGGAACGAGTATGCATACTATAGGCTATGGAAAGGAAAATCCTCGAGTTAGTATATAATACTTTAGCTTATACCGGCTTGCGGAGGGTATATAAGAAGGTGGAGGATATCGTCTTTATGCCTAGACTTCGTAGGAAGCTAGACGCCTAGATCCGGGCTTACCCGGCTTACGGACCTTTAAAACTATCGAGAAGGAGGCTATACGGTAAACTCTAGCCTTTTACTACCCCATCGAGACCCTTTAAGGTCCTAGTAATGGATTTTATGACGGGACTTCCGGCCAGCTAAAATTTCGATGCTATACTAATCGTTACTTATAAGTTTTCAAGGTGGCTGAGAATCATTCTAGGTTAAGAGGCCTTTAGGGCTAAGGATTAGGTGAACCACTTCTTCGATCATATCGTCCGGCTCTAGGGCCTGCCTAACGCTCTACTATTAGATAAGGATGTTCGATTTATAAGCTCCTTTTAGTAAGGCCTACTTATAAAACACAAGATACGAGGACTTATAACCGCGGTATACCACCCGGCTGCGGATGGACAGGTAGAACGAAGTAATTAAATAGTGGAAATCGCTCTAAGGACTCTACTAGCCGGAAAATACGAACAGGAATAGCTAGATCTGCTTACGGAGGTCGAATTCGCCCTAAACACACTTATGAATACCTTATCCGGCTACTCCCCTTTTGAACTGGTATATAGATTCCCCGTAAAAGTTCAATTGGCACTAGGACTAGTGTATAATGATGTGGAGTTATTCACCGATAGAAGGGAGATAATCCGGAAGGACGCGATCTAAGCCACGGAGCTCGCTTAGGCTAGGATGGCTATAGACTTCGACAAGAATCACACCCCACCGCACTTCAAGGGACAGGTTTGGCTAAAAGTGATCCGTATAGGTACGGGATACCGCATCCCAGGCTCTAGCAAACTATCGCCGATAAAGGTAGGACCTTTTAAGGTGAAGCGGCGTGTAGGATAGCTGGCGTACGAACTAGACTTACCTAAACGCTATAAATTCTATCCGGTTATATCCTATATCTACCTTGAATAATATCATCCGGATAGATTCGGTCAATAGCTTGACCAACAGTAGAGACCCTTAGTGGTGGACGGAGAGGAGAGATAGATCGTCGAGAAGATCCTCCGCGAGAAGGACGGAAAGATGGAAGTTAAGTGGAAAGGATATGAAGAGACCAGCTAGGAGCCGCGGGCCACCTTAGTGAAGGATATCCCTAAAATTGTTAAGGCGTTCGAGTCGAAGAATCGTGCTCGCCGCGGTAGGCGGACGTGAACCTCAGCCGGTAACGAGCCGGGAGGAGTAGGACATAACTTACTAGATAAGTGGTGCTATATAAGGAATATATAGTTATACAAAAAAGATTATTATATATATAGGTAGAAAAAATTTCTGCCACTTATTCCTATCACCGATCTTATAACACTTTTACTTTATCTTATCACCCTTCTACTAAAATTCATCACAAACTTATCGATAACTATCTCGTCTTTCGTTCTAACGGCGACGCTTAGACCGTGGGACAGTTATTTAGCCGCTCTAATAGGGACAACACCGCCGGACGACGACGACGATAAAAGACGGAGAGTTTAGCGCAGCCGATCTTAAATAACCCTAGCCCAGAATACACCGCAAAAGAATCTTTCATACCGCCCACGGGAACTAACCCTCTAAGAAACCCATTATGACTCGACCGAAAGCCTCTAAGCCTACGAAAAGGGCAGCTAATACCGCGGAAGGCTCGGCAAAGCCGGCGGGGAAGAAGATGTTGTCAGTAGATAGAAAGTTTAAAGCCTAGATCTAGTACCCGGGCGATAAGGAAACACCTTATGAACTATAAATAAAAACCACCGACTTCACCTATAAGGGATTGAAGATTATGGACTACATAGCCGACTACGACAAATAGTAGATAGAGTAGATCCGTAAGAAAACGATAAGTAAGGTCAAGATGCTCTGGCCGGGAACCGCTTAACTAGACGATGTGATAACGTATATTATAATCCGGATGTTCACCCCGATAGAGAGGACAAGACGTTTCCCTACCGACTTCGACTCTAATAGCAATATTCGTACACTCCGGCTATACTGGGGAGGCGGATGTCGAGTCTAAACTCGAGCCGGATATTAGTTCTTCATGATCTTTAAAGGATACTACTACCTAGTAGGAGAGGATGTACTAGCCGCCGAATACTTAAAGATAAAACTCTTGAGTATAACGGAGGGCCGTAACCTCTTTAAACTCGAAGATAGCCTCTCTTTCGGATAGATCGCCTTAACGCCGACGGCGGCGGAGACTTTAGGCTTTATCTTATTCCGATATACGGCCGGTCCGAAAGGTCTTACCCTATGTGATTCACTAGATATTGATAGGATAGCCGATATACTGGAAAGCCGACTCTCTAAACGTCCGATCTATAACGCGCCATAGATATCCATAGATAACCGAGAGTTTTTTAGGGCCGGTAAAAAGTTAGATAAGGTGATGGAGGAAAACTGGTTTAGGCTGGAAGATATATCGATTAAAGACCCCCTTACTCGCTTAAATGAAATACTGGCTAAGGTATAGGCGGCGAGAGAGTCTCGACCCCTACTTAAGGGAGCAGGCTCCACTATACGATTTCCTATCTAACTGTATTAGGAGACTAAGGAGGCAGAAGCTGCAAGACTATAAAAAGAGAAGTAAAAATAGAAACCTAAGAAAAGAAAAAGCTCACCTTAGATAGCCGAGGAGGGTACTAAGGAACTAGCTACGGAAACCCGGGCTGGCAGCGAGGACTTATCTAATATCGAGATACTACCGGTAAAGAAGCCAAAATACGAACATTAATATAAGAGACCTAAAACTACACCACGGAAGACTAGGGTGGAAGTCCTAAAGGAGATAATGCGTATACCGTGGTTAGATATAGTGGCTTTAGCCTCAGCCTATAGAGGATACCTAGTTAATAGCGAGGATCTCCTATAGATAATGGGGCCAGCTCCCCAGCCGACGGCCATGCCCCTTCTCCTATAATAAGCACTAGCACCATCCCTGCTAGAAATAGCTCCGAGACTACGCTAATCTACGATGTCGACGCCCACTCCGGGAGCTGAGGTAAGTCGCAATTCCAGTGATGGTTTTCCGACCAGACCATTGACAGAGGTGGAAAGCCTTCGACGCCGTCTTGACGAATTGTAAGGATATAACTAGGGGAATTAATAGCGCTGAAAGCTGAGAATAAAGGACAAAACTGAACTAAAGGATGGAACTGAGGACATCACCAAGGACTAGAATGAGACTATGGAGGGCTGACGACGTGTGGAAGCGGTGGAAGGCCGAGGACGTGCGCCTTCTTTCGTGGGGGGCAGATGTTAGGCCGTTCCTGCCGGACAGGAGGCAGGTGCTAGGAAAGAGCCAGAGTAGGCAGGAGCCAGCTGGACTGGCTCCCTGCCTACTCCTCAGTCGTTTACATCCTCTTTCATAGAGATAGCTGTGCATAAGACAGACAGACTTCTTTACAGATTGAGTTCGATTCAATTTCACCAACAAGGTCATAGAACCCTCGTGGACTGCCAATGGGTGCATCAGATCTGGTATCTGTATGTGTGTGCACGGTCAGAAAAGTCCTCTGGAGGAACGACAACTCCTTCCGCGATTGCCTTGTCCTTGCCTGCCTCTCGCTTCTTGAGGATTGCTCTCACAATAACCCATCCGACAACAGACAAGACTAGACAAGCAAGGGACCATGAGTGACCCAATCTGTAGAGAGGGGCCTGCCTGGCTACGTAGATTTGACCAGACACAATACCGCCTATGAATTTCAAAGTCAGCTAATGCACCAGTATGATGATGGAGATACAAGACATACCAATATTGGTTAATGTCAAGGTGATACCGACGGAGGCGGATCTCTTGCCGTCAGGAGCAGTATTGAGCGACAACCAAGCCATGTTGCCACCGGCGCACAGGAAGATGCAGGTCGAGATCAAGAAGCACGAAAAGTACCGAACCCCAACAGAAACATGTTGGGATGCAAGCAGGATGATGTATCCCACAATTCCGGTTGGAGCTGCAATCACGACGCATAGGAATCGTTGCTTGAACTTGTCAGAAAGGTAGCCTCCGATTCCATAGACGATGGCACCCCATAGGAAGACTGTCCGGATGTCAGTATGTTTGAAAATACTCAGCATGTGGCATGTTTCTGCCTACCTGGGATAGCGAGATATTGCGCTTCTTTGACAGAATAGTTGAAGCCAGTACGTAGGATGATGGGCAGGAAAACAGAAAATCCTGGTTACATGTCATTAATGGGCTGTAGCCATACAAATCTAAGCCTCAACTCACCGTATACCACAGTCATGCAGGCAAATTGAATCAGGCCGTGGAGCCAGGTTTTGGAGTCTTTTACGGCCATCATGATGTCCTTGCGTGTGTAGTGGCCTTGGCCACCATTGTATGATTCGGTGAGTTCTGCGCGCCGTCGCATGATCTTCTTGTCATCTTCGTTCAGGAAGTAGGCGGTTTCGTAATGGTTGGGAATGAGCCAAAAGCATGCGATAGCAATGACAACAGTGATGATGCCTTCGATGATGTAAAGCCTGCTATAGTTAGCATTGCTTGCACGGGTCAAAAGTATTCCACTAGACAATCATACCATCTCCAGCCCGCCATTCCATGCGTGCCATCCATATACAGAATGGCGAATGCTATGAGTCCGCCAAATGCGCTAGACAATGCCGCCGCAACTGGGAAGGTTATCAGCACAGTTCTAGATTGATCCAGACTACAAATACTCACTGTATAGATATGAGATGCGCAGTCCAAGCTCCTCCCGATAGTACCAATTGGCCATCAAGATTACCGAGCTCGGGAACAGCACTCCTTCGAAGAGGCCCAACAGCAGACGGCAAGCGACAAGACTAGCAAAGTTGGTGATGAAGCCATTTCCGAGACAGACAATGCCCCAGCAGAAGACAACAGTGGGGATCACACGGTCGAATCGAAGTCTCTTCACATAGAGAGAAGCTGGAATCTTGAGGATTGATTAGCTGAGAGGAATTCCTTTCGGTTCGGGGTTGCTCACTTCAGCTAGAATGTAGAAGACGTAAAAGATGGAAATGGCAATCTGCGTCGGGGTTAACATCATGTCAAATCATGGGTCTAGAAGACCAGAAGGAAAGACGACGTCCGTACGTTGAGCTGCACACCCTGCAGGCCGATGTCAACTGTCATGCCCTGCGAGGCAGCATAACCGATATTTCCTCGATCGAGGAACGAAATGAGCTAGCCATGTTGTTAGAGCTGGCAGTGGAACAAAACGACAAGGATCGACACACAGTCAAGAGGCCCAAGAGAGGCGCAATGTACAGATCAAGCTTGCGCACGAGACGGCGCTCCCTCTTTCTGAAGTCTTCTTCATCTTGAGAGATGGCTTCCTGCTCGAGCTGGGCGACTTGGGCCTTCTCTTTAAGAGAGTTGACGTCGTGATCAGACATGATGGATGGGAGGCGGGATTGATGCTAGGGCCGACAAAATTGGACACTCTATGAGGAGAAAAGGCGAGATCAGCGCATGCAGGAATGTGGGAATATATGTCTGGAGACGATTCCCAACTAGCAGGTCGTGTATTTCAACATTCTGGGTTAGGCCCTCACTTCTATGTGAGGATTGTCGGTCGGTTGCCACGGGCATTTCTTTTCCACCGGAAAACCTTCAGTATCGGACAGCAATAGAGCATATTGCATTCGGAAAGGTGCCGGTTTCTGCTAGGTCAACGATATGCCAAGTTTTGGTCGATGGATTCATTCCAGGCATGGTAAGGATCAAGCCACCCAAACCTATGAAAAGTAGGGGATTTTCTGCAGAATATCAGAGCCAAGGCTGGGGCTATAGGACCCCACAGGCACGAGGACAGAAGCTGGAGCACGGAGGCGGGGCACTATACCCTTTCTCGACTGTGCCTAGACCTTTAGTGCAGAGAAAACAGGTGGAATGAGAAGTGTAAAGGAATCTGACTGGCGCGACGGGTATTGATTAATGTCCAGAGCCCTTGCACCCTGGAACAAGCAGACATCTGCCAGCATTGAGGACCCGAAGCGGCCTCGGTTATGGAGCAACGCTCAGGAATGGAGTCAGGCGAGCAGCCTGTCTTACCCCGGGGAGGATCCCAGTGTTCTGGGATGCGGGGACACCGGGGGACAGGCAGGATTGTATAGACGAACATGAATGTTGATTCACTCCATGTGGTCGGCTATGCACGACTGTTGGTTTCTTGAGAGACGTCCTAAGAAGCAAGCCGGCGGCCGGGATGAGGACTTGGCTTCTTCTGGAAATCGTGGGAGAAGGTGGGAGAGCACCGCTGTCAAGACTGGCAGTTTTGATTGATAATACCAAGACTAGCTTCAAGTGAACTTTAAATGCCTGGCGTGCCTGGCCTCGAACCGTGCGGCAAAAGGGCGAAAGAGATGTAACCAACGACAGCGTAGCAAGAGGACTCTGATTTCCTTGGGGTAGCCAAAGTTCCTCTCGCGCTGTTCTTAATAAATGTTGAACTATTCTGCACCAGACTAAGAAAGCACCTTGGGCACCTGGTAGGCATCAAATTGTCATCAAATTGTCCATATATACAGAACTTACAGGAGCAAAGACGAATATAGAGCAAGGTCAAACTTCCTGTGGTGAGGAGAGGCTCTTGGGGCTTTGGCCGATCGTGTTTTCACAAAGTAGGGCAATTGAAGGCCGAGGACTTGAAGATTTCGGTCACCCTCGGCATCTCTGGCGGTCTGATTGGCCACGAAGACCTATGGAGCGTGGAGGAGGATTGGATTAATCACCCACTCACCCTGACTGTGAATGACGCACTGGTTCCGAGGGGCATTGCCTAGTTGATCAACTCCGCCGGTGACCGAACTACAACACTCTAAAGAGAGAGATTGTTGCTCAGCCGCGTTGCTTATCAACCTCATCAACCCTCAAAGCTGTATTTGCACCTGTAGACAATGTCGTCAGCCGGTGGATTCGTGCCTAAAAAGCTGCTCATAGTGGGAGCCACTGGATTGGTGGGAAGTCGTATCACGGACGCCATTGTGAAGAACCGAGATAGCTTTGAGCGGGTTGCGATCTTCACGTCGCCAAGCACAGCCCAGAGCAAAGCAGAGGTGATTGAGAGGCTGAAAAAGGAGGGGGTGGCGATCATTGAAGGCGACGTGACCAAGACGGAGGATATCCAGCGCGCATTTCAAGGTATACGCGAGTAGTCATAGGTGAACAGAATTAGTAAAAGGACTGACATATTGGTGACTGGTAGATGTCGACACCGTCATCTCGGCAGTCGGCCGAAACGCCATCGAGAGCCAGATTGAGATGGTTCGAATTGCAGATGAGAGCCCTAGCGTCCGCAGATTCTTCCCATCCGAGTATGGCACCGATATTGAACATGGGCCTGGTTCTGCCGTCGAAAAACCTCACCAGAAGAAACTCCAAGTTCGTGCTGCGATCAGAGGTTGCAAGAACCTCGAGCATACATACGTGGTGTCGGGGCCGTACGCGGATGGGGAGCCTGGATTGTATTTTGGAGCAAGTCCGTTCAAGGAGGCTGGCAACTTCGATGTCAAGAACAAGGAAGCAACGTTGATTGAAGATGGGCAATTGAAGATCAGTTTCACGACCATGAAAGAGTATGTAGTGAGTGGAGAACTCGGTCTCGATCAAAAGACTAACGATACACAGCGTCGGAAAGCTAGTGGTACTTGCGTTGAAGCACCCTGATGCTAGCAAGAATCGAGCGCTCAGAGTCAATTCGTTTACTACATGCGACAAGGAGATTCTGGGCGAGTTTGAAAAGCAGACAGGAGGTCAAGCCTGGAAGGTGACATATACCAGCCTGGACAAGTTGAAGCAGCTGGAGCAGGAAGCATGGAACAATGGAGTACCGTACGCAACAGTCTTTACTCTACGGCGCATTTGGGCAGAGGGAGGAACACTATACGAAGCGCGTGACAATCACTTGATTGAAGCTGACGAAGGGATGGAAACGTTGGCGGACGCGGTGGCAGAGGCGATTCGAGTTCAAACAGCAGCATCTTAGATGTATGGTGCAACGTTTGATGGAACCTCTACTGCTGGAAGTTGGGGTTGATTGAAGTGACTCAAAGACCTTGCTGGGCCTTAAACAAAAAGTATATAAGTTGAGAGGTTGAGAGGTTGATGTGGTTGACGATGTATACTTTGTCTGAGGTGCCTTCCGTTGTGGTATAGTGGATGGTGGGTTCTTGCCCTGAGTATTGTCATTGGGTGTCGCCTTGCCCGGGAAGGAGCCGTGGGCTTTTATGGCGTCCCTGTCCATTCGTTCTTTCCAAATAATTGGAAATGAGATGCACTTTCCCTCACCATTGATTGTGTTCCTTCCCAAAGATAAAAGAACCATCAGAAAGCCGAGTTGACGGCAGGCACGACTAGACTTTACCATATGCGCCTTCCACCTTAGGCCTGAAAACGCGACGCTCACATTCCACTTCCACTTCCACTTCCACTCCCATCCACCTCCCACCTCCCACCTCCCACCTCCCGCCTCACATCCCACTCCACGGCTTCTTCATCAGAGCCTCCCTCTACCCCGATCGTCAAGATGCCTCCTCCCCCGCCTCCGGCCGAAAAAGACGAGTCGCACCAAAAACTCCTCGATCAGATGGACATTTACTACGCAGTCAAGCCGTTTCGCAATCCCACCTGGAAACCCAGCACGCGCCGAAACAAAAACACCAAGCAGATCATCTCCGAGTCCCAGCGACGAGAAGCCTCCGTTCTCGCGACACAAAACAATTCTGGCGCCTCCACCCCATTACCTGCGACGGGGGTCACTTCAGACGGCGCTACAACCCCCGCCTACACCACAGCCAACTCCAAGCCCGTCAATATGGCGCAGGCGACTCAGAGCCTCAGCACGCTGGTGCTCGAGCGTAACTTGCAGCGGGCAGCCAACGCGTTGAGTGCGCCCAATGGGGGTCCGGTCAACGGCGGGAGTGGTATGATGGGAGGGCCCTTGGTCACATATACCAACATCGAGAGTGCCCCTAGCCTTCATCCCGCCAACCATCGCCACTATTGCGATGTGACGGGGCTGCCGTCCAAATACACCGACCCCAAGACCAAGCTGAGATACTACGACAAAGAAATCTTTGCTGTGGTCAGGTCATTGCCCCAGGGTGCCCCAGACCAGTATCTGGCAGCTAGAGGGGCCAACGTGGTGCTAAAATGAATGAGACTGGGTATGGAAAGAAACATGATCTTTACAAGCATGACATTGGCATTCATGAATCACGCATTATCTCAGGCCATGTCCCAAGGCAGCTGTCAGTTCAGCCTAGTCAAGCCCATTCCACCCGCTGCACATCTCTCGACGTGCAGTTCAAGAAGACGCTCCGGCTTAATTGTGAACTGTCTACAAGGTTGATCTTCGCCGGTATGACACGATACCGAATCTTCATGGCGAAGCAGATTCAGTTACAGCTTCTTGAAGAAGCTGTGGTCATGGCGCTGCGATGGTTATGGTCGACCCAATGCAGGGGCGACGTGCTTGTCCTTGATAGGCCTGTGGTCGATACCACGGCGACACTCGACCTCACCAACATCTAATATCCACCTGAGGATATCTTTTTACCCGATGGGCATAGGTTGGATTAGACTTGATACAGTAGGATCTTACATGACATGGCGGACTGATTGCTTGCACGTATTTGCTGCGCAGGGGCGGAAGCATCGAGACGTCGACAGCCATATCGTACGGCATGTATATCTGCCCTGGTTGATTGTCATGGAAACAGGGTGACGTCGGGGTTGAGTCGGGTGCTTTGGTTGCTGAAAGACACAAAGAAATAAAAATTGGTGCTTGCCTCATATTGAGAAGAGATGAGAATGTGGCTTAATCGCCCAAAAGGGGATTGTGTGGCTCAGGTGGCTGGTGACTTCCTTCTCCGCTCCTGGCGACTTTTGTTCAATAATAATAATAATACAAAGTGACAAGGTGACAAGTAAGTTGATGTGGCTGCGCAGGCACTCGACACCATCAGTTGCAGAAGATCGAGAGTGCTATAGATATGGTCTGTATGCATCACTCTCAATGACTGTACCATTCATGTCATTCTGTCCTCAATTCCCCATGAACAACCTCTTCTCCTACCACTGAACATTCTCCGTGCCTCATGCTTCCCTCTACCGCCCACTCCTTTTGATTCGGACTTTCAATCCACGGCTGCTGGCAGCCCAGCGCCGTCAAACTGGACATGTTCCAGGTATGCTTTTCCAAACCCTCAGTCCTCTTCTCTCTTCTCCCCATGGCGACTAACCTCGAACCCAGCGCCTGAAAGGCGCCATAGACAGCCGCATTGCCGAGGAACAGGCTCGCCAACGACAGGCTCAGTCCACCACTCAACCAGGGGCTCGCAATCCCGCTCGAAGGCGGACTCCTTCTCAGAATGCCAACTCCGATAGACGTCCATCCCGTCAAAGGCAACCCCCCGCGTCCACCTCCGGCCCTTTAGAAAAAGGCCCTGACCCCTCCGAATTCGAACCCGAGTTTACAGTTGGGGAAGATGACAGCGCTGTTCCAAGCAGAGTGGCAACTCCCAAACCGGAATCCAGTGACACCAAGGCCAATGACATCGGCGTAGATAAAGGAGGCCAAGGCATTCCAAAAGCCCAAAATGAACCCGTACAAGAACATCCAGGGGCTGCGTCTCAAGGAGACAAGTCTCCAGAACAGAACACCGTCCCTACACCCTCCCCACGACCCTCAGAACTCCCGACCGAAGTCCGTGTCAAATTACGCAAGCTTGAACGCATGGAATCCAAGTACGCCGAGCTGCTCAAAGCCTACAGAACTGCACATGCCCGAATCCAAACCGTCGACTCGTTCGAAGCCTCGTTAAGAGAGAACACCCCTTTGACGAGCATCAGCGACGCCGGCGCCTTTGTCGAGTATCTCTCCCAACTCAACCTCAAGACTGACATGGTCCTCGAAGAACTTAAACGTGTCACCACAGATAGGGATGATGTCAAGAAGAAACTAAAGGCTTCAGAAGAAGATGCTGCTAAGTTGCGTGATGAGGTCGAAGATTTGAAAAGCAAGCCATCTGTCGTAGCCGAGGATCAAACACAAGTTGAGGAACCGGCCAACAACACCGCATCCGATGCTGTTTCTGCTCCTGAGCCAGTCAAGGATGCAAGCGCCGAGGATGCGGTGGTCAAATCTCCCGCCTCAGCTTCGTCACGTCTCGCCAGCTTTTCCCTGTTCTCTCCCCGCTCCAAAGCTCTTTCACCTCCGACCCAAGAAACCTCCGAAGACTTCTTCTCCTTTGACTCGGAGCACGCCAGACTGGAAGCAGAGCTTCAAGAGCGCATCGCCGAGGTCGATGGCCTCAAAGACCAAAATTCAAAGCTCCAAGGTGATCTCAAAGTCGCTCGTGAGTCAACAGAAGGCATGGTCCAGAGTCTGGAGACTGCTACACGTGAACTGATCGAGCTCCGTGAGGCAAGGGACAAATTTAATGCATCAGAGACAGATCTCAGGCTTCAGATCGAATCACTGGAGACCAAAATGAAGACAAGCAGTGACTCCGACGATAACCTGAAGACAGAAATCCAGAACCTCACGGGCCAAAAGGATGAGCTCTCGCAAGAAATGGAGGCGTTACAGCTGCAGATTCACCAGCGAGACGCCGAACGTGCCACACTGCAAGAAAAACTGGAATCGAACATCAAAGACATAAACATTCTCAACGAGAAGCTGACGCAAAAAGACTCTGTCGTCAAGGATTTGGAGGATGCTATTGCGGCTTACAAACTGGCCGAGCGAGAACAAGCCAACAAAAAAACAGACAATCAATCCAACGGCAAGAAGTTGGCGACAATGCAAAATCTCATTGATACCCTCCGGAGCCAGCTCACCAACGCCGAAGCCACGATCACGAACCTCAAGACCGAGATGCAGACTAACATTGATGACTTCTCCAACCGCCCCTCTACCAAAATCCTTGGCTTCTTGGACGAAGACAACAGGTCGGGGCTGGAACAGTTGAACTCGCGTGACGATGTGGTCAAGTATCTGCAGACAAACTTTGGTCTACAGAAACAGAATGATGCCAAATCAATCATGGCCGCACCCACATCGACCGCTTCTCCCGCCCCGTCTGATGCAGGAGCCTCTACATCGAAGAAGAAGAACAAAAAGAAGAAAAAGGGCAAAGGTCCACAAACCGTGGCAGACGAGCCCGAGGCCGATGTACCGATCAAAGTATCTGAGAACCTCGCCGAGATTGATTCGACCACAGCAGGCACCAAGAAAGAAGAGTCCACCAATCTGGCCCAGCTCGAGACCGAAATCCGACAGCTACGAGAGGAGCTCTCTACAAAAGAAACCACTATTGAGAAACTGTCGAACAAATTGAAGGATCAGGAAGAGCTGCAAGAAGAGATTGAAACATTACGAGACGACCTCCTTCACCAGGGTCAAGAGCACGTAGAAGCTCGCGATGCGCTCAAAACGGCGCAGACGGAGAAGAGTGTACTTGAGCAAAAGTTGGAAAGCGTCGAGAAGGAGCTCTCAGAAGCACGCAAGGCTATTGCAAGCGGTGCAGACTCGGACAAGGCACACAAGGCTTTGATTGAAGAGCACGACGACTTGCGAGCAAAGAGTTTCACCATGGAGAAAGATCTTGCCGCCGCAGAACAACTAGCCACCGCCAGGTTCAAAGATATCACTGACCTCAAAGAATTACTCGCAAAGGCTCAACCTGAGCTTCGCAACCTACGGAATGAGGTCGCAGAGCTAAAGATTGCGAAAGACGATCTCAAGAACAAGACTGGAGAGTTGAACAGACTTGAAGCTCGCCATGAAGACATCAAGTCTGAGCTTAAGGGGCTCGCTAAACGGCTGAGCGACAAAGACTCAGAGATCAAAACACTCCAGCAAAAGATCGAACAAGAAACCGCCGCCCGGGCTCGCATAGAAAAGGAGCTCGATCAAGCTCAGGCTGATGCGCGTGCTGCCGAAGCCAAACGACAGGAGGCAGCCAGTAATTCGGAATTCCTATCCAAGGATCTCGAGAAAGCCAAAGGAGAGTCACAGGCCCTAAAGACTAAGCTCCGTGACCTCGAGGAACAATTGTCCAATCATACACGGACCGTCACATCCCTGCAGGAAGAGATCACCCTCAAAGCTGCTCTACACTCGTCCACACAGTCCATCGTCCAATCTCTACGAGACCAGACCCACGAGTTGAACATGCAAGCGCGGGAATCTAGCACACGCGCCGATAGCCTGGAAGAGGAGCTCAACGAAGCACAACGGATGCTGACTGAGCGGACTCGAGAGGGGCAAACGATGCGTATGCTTCTGGACCAGAGCGAGACTGGAACAGAGGCCAGAATCCGGGAGATGAAGGAACGGATGGATGCTGCCTTGGAAGAACGAGACCGGGTGGAAGACGAAGCGAGTGTCAGCTCGCGACGCATGATGCGCGAAGTCGAGGAGGCCCGAAGTAAAGCCAGAGACGCGCAACGGGCGTTGAAAGTCTTGGAAGACGAAAAGGACGAGCTTGAGACCCGACAACGCGAGTGGAAGAAACGCCGCGACGAGCTCGAACAAACCGCCGTGCGTGCCACTAAGGAGGTCGAAGAGGTCCGGGCGGCCATGTCGCGACTGCGCGAGGCGCTGGACGAAAGTGAACATCAAGTCCGTGACCTAGACACGCAGAAGAGCGAACTCCGGAAATCAAGCGATGAGGCCAAGGAGCGGGTGGACAAGTTGACCAAGGCCAACAAAAACCTGACGGACGAGTTGAAGGCGCTGCAGTCGGGGGCCAAGAACCTTCGCCTCCCTGGTCGACCGAACACAGGCCTTGATTCAGGTGTGCCCAGTTCGAGGACATCCATCGACTCTTCACACAATGCTCGGTCACCGGCTCCGAAAGAAGCCAGTGGCGCATTGGGCCCCAGTCGAAGTGAGACGCCCACCAAGGGTGGTACACCAGGCGTTGGGCTGAGTCAAGGGTCCGTCGATTACGTCTATTTAAAGAATGTGCTGTTGCAATTCATGGAGCAGAGGGACAAGGGCCATCAACGGCAACTCATTCCTGTCCTGGGGATGTTGTTGCATTTCGACCGGTAAGTTATTCGCTCAGCTTTGTTAACCTTCGGGCAAATTGGTGCTAATATGTCGACAGCAAGGACGAACAGAAATGGCTGTCGGCCATCTCGGCACGGTCGTGACCATGACAAAGACTTATGTACAATAGTAGACCCTCGTGTAATGTTTGCTTCGTCGCGGAGACAGTCTCATGAGGACTCTCCCACGTATACCATGAGCAATCCATTCCGTGGCCCCAATTCCTCTTTCTGACCATTTAAAAAGGGTCCTCTTTCAGTTTCGCATTGACAATCAAGCCATGCCTTGGGCTTTCTTCCTTTGAGCAAGGTGTCTCTTGATTGTGGTCGACACACATCGTAGTTGGATGCAGACTTCTTGGTGTTCCTCGATAGTTGTACTATCGATCCTCTCGATTTGCTGTGTGTGCAGGGTATTTGTCAGGGGAAGTTGAACGGTGTGCTCACTCAGCCCGGCTTCTGCGCCTCGCAGCAATCAGGTCTTGGTCGGTTCGGTACTAGACACAAATTGCTGTTCTCGAGAAGAAAACAAGCGCTGTGATTCCTCCTGGAAAAGTCGAGAAACTTGGTGATGATCCAGCTCAATCGGCGTCGACGCGGCCGAATACAAACGGCGTCTGAAGTAACGTTCTTGGACGTTCCTCCTCATCCGGCTTTCCTCTTCCTCTCGGCCTCGATCTTGTTTAATTCTTGGGTCAAAACCTCAGCCAGACCCTCGTTTCTCCGCGTCAACAACATGACATCGTCAGTCTTGATCTTACTGCGACCTGCATGCTTGGCAAAAGATTCCAGGTCGACTGCTGTATTCTCTGCGGTAGATGGGGTCAGTGACGACAGTACTTAGTCTCCTGATGGCTGTCCAGCTATGTGGCGACTCACCAATCTGAGCCCAAACGAGTTCCATCAGACTTCCAATGAATTGTGGGGTGGCGTTGACACCGAGTTCGATGCTCTCTTCATCGACCATTTGACCAATGTGAAACCATAGTGCTGATCGAAGTTTCTATATTCGCGACAAATACAGAAAATCTGGTTAGCCTAGTGGAATGCATGCATTGCATATGGGTATTAATTCAAGGTATACGTCTGCAGTGCTGAGAGGCATATGGGGGGTCTGCATGGATGGAAAGTGGTACCTCGGTAAGAGCCTGGGAATCGAGTTCTGGATCAGTTGACGGCATGATGATGTCGGTGTCGTAGGGGGGGAGGGGAGGGTGATGGTCCAAGGGGAGGTGATTATGGATATAATGAACTAGTATCGTCGACCAAGATGACCTGAGGAGTTATGGACATGAAAACCATCTATCGAAGTCATGTCATGTCACCAGGCAAGAACCAGGCAAGATTGGACGCTTCCAAGTTGTTGTAAAAGTGACGTTGAGGATTTGAACGGAAATGGAAAGCGACGCGTCGAAGGTTGACGCGTCTGCCTGCCTTGAAGAGTTATTTCGGCAGGCGCAACCCAACCCAGAAGTTGAGGAAGGTGCGCCTGTGCACGTGCTTGTGCGTGTCCCTGGAGGGGCAAAGCCGCAAAGCACAGCACAGCAAGGCTACACAAAACTGATATCATCGTCCAACTCCAACGTCCCAAGCCTTGCTCTCGAGTCTTGGGTTTTAACCAGCTTCAAGTCTTATTAGTTGTGTTGTATCTCTCCTCACCCCCCCTCACTCAATCGACCACCAAGATATCGGCACGATAGATCCTTCTCCTTGACAAACCAAAAGACTCGCGCATCTCACAACCATCTCCTCTCTTTGGACCTGGTTGGTCGACCAATTCGCTCCGATCTCATTTACACATTATACGGTCCCAGCTAGCTCGGCGAATATCTTTTTCATATTGACGCAGGATGGCAACAATCAAGACCAGCGTCGCAGAGAACGCGAGAGCGATGTACGAGGAAGCGAGCAAGCAGGCGGCGATATTATACACGCGACTACCGCCGTCGCTACAAGAGACTTTGGATCGAATACAGACCCAAGTCAGCGAGTCGCCGTACATGACGCGCAGCAACTTGCAGTTTGGGATGCGGATCGTCGTCGTCCTGCTCACCTTCCTGCTGTTCCGGCCACACCTGGAAACCTTGTACCGGAAACTCACCAACAATCCGGACCCGCGCACCGTCGAGCTGCAGAACCGTCTGCGCTTTCTCCAGGACCTCAAGGAAGGCAAGATCACGCCACAGGGTGGTGTCCAGGTCGTCGATGGCAAAGTTGTCCTAAAACCCCATCCTCCCCCGACTGCCCAGGGTATTAAGAACGCAAAGTCCGGGAAAGGCAAGGTTGTCAAGTTGATGGTTCCCGGCGACAACGAGTCTCCATCTGCCTCTGGCGCGCAAACTTCCTCAACAACGGCGACACCAACACCAGCAAAGTCGAGGAGAAGAAAGGCTTGATTGTGTATAAACCATAAACAGTTTCTCTACCTGTTCAAATTTACTTGTCAAAAGTTCCCACACTGTGAAAACAAAACACAAATTGAATAGATTAATTCTAAACATCTTCATGCTTCATCGACTCGTCTAAATTTTACCTGATTGACACCCGTTGCATGCCATCCAAGTTCTATTATACTCTATCCAATTACATTGCCCTAGTATAATCTTCGAAGGGACTCTCCCCATGCTTTTATCTCATCCACAGTGACGTTGTGCCTGGCATCTCGTAGACCGGCCTCCTCGAGGACTTGCTCAAGATCTGCATCTGATAGGGACAACAACCCCTGTTCCAGCATCTCTCCGTCAACGAATCGAAAGGGTTCGTCCTTCTCCACCACCGTTGTTTGCCACGCCCGATACTTGCTCCACGGCATGAAACCAGGAGCCTGCACTCGAGTGGCCAACGCCGTCTGTAGTAGCAGCAACACATTGACAAATGCTGGATTGATGGTTGCCAACATGTAAATCGCTCCTTCAACCGTCGCAATAAACGCACGCGGTGTGACCAGGGGTCCCGTCCGAGGTGCCGCGATGGACAACTTGTTCTTACCTTTGCTCGACTCGTTTCCGTTTCCAGAACTTTCATCTGAAACCTGAGATGGGCCAGGCACACGCGATATGGGAACAATCTTGTTGACCACTTCACCGAGGCGGAATTCACCAATCACCTCCATTCTTCTCCAAGCCTCATCCACAGGAGCGTCGCGGTTCTGGCGAAGAGCGAGCAAGTTGCCTTCCATGTCGCCTACGATCCATTCATGTTCGACAGTTGCGGCAATGGCAGAGCACCAAACCGTGGCAAAGTGTCGTGAGATCTCGCGCAAGTAATAGTTTGCGTCCTCCTCATCTGGTAAGACGACTTTCAAAACTGAGACCGACCTCATAATGTCAGCGACTGCGATCAAGGCTGGAGTGTCTTCTGTCGAGGGTGTGACTGCCAACGAGAGTGGATTCGACGCGGTTCGATAGGTTGCTAGTCTAACGAGCTCCAGAGAACTTCGACCTCTTGTCGACGATGATCTGAGCCCGTATAAGACGACCTGCAGTCAAGTGTCAGTGCAACGATACATGTATGAGGTGTGTTGGTGTCAATACCGTCTTGAGTAGCCCGGCGACAAGTTTACCCTCGCACATGGCCAAGCTACTCACCACCCCTTTGACGAGCAACTCGGTCACTATTTTGAGCTTCTTCTCCCTGTTGACTTCGTATATGATAATTCGTCCTTTTGAGACCTCTTCTCCATTGTCATCCTTGGCAAGGTAGCTGGTGCCGACCACAAAATATGGCCCTTGTGGAGATTCGGCATCGTCCAACGATCCCACTGAAACAATACACTGCACAAGTTCTCCGTCTTTGAGTTCGATCGAGTCAAGTGTCTTGAAACTGACCTCATCAGCAATCTTGACGGAGCTGAGGAGTTCCTCCACACCACTTTCCATGATCCGACGAATACAGCCCATTGCAAATATCTTCGCATCGGGCTCATATGTCAGGCATCTCACTGTTTCCCGGATCGGAAGTGTTTGCAGCTGGGTCGCGGTCTTGGTGCCAATTGAGGCAAGCTGAAGTTCGGATGGAGTGGCGACTGCGACCGCATCTGGATATGCTTCAGTGTTGAAGTAGCATACCCGTGATGCGCTTTCTGCATTAACTGCCGAAAAAACAATCCTCCCCTCCGATGAGTAGATCAAAGATGGTTGTTCACAGGAAGCAAAAACATGGGAGAGATTGGAGTCGGGGCCTTGGCCTCTGGGTAACTCTTTAAAGAAGACAGGTTCTGTCCCGAGTATGACTCGACTCATGTTGGAAAGCGAATTATTTGCCAAGTCGAGTGAGTAGGTCAAGACAGTGCCATCTGCCATTGCGATGAACAGAGAGGGTGGTGCATCAGGCAGAACGTTTGCCACGAGAACAGACCGTGGAATATCCGTGCCGGGCGTTCCAAGGGTCTGTAAACATGTGGGCTCGAGCGAGTGCAAGTCCAGAATGGCGACCGAGGAGGACTGCCAGAACAAAACGACGCATATGTTGCTGGAGGATTCTGGTATGGCAACACCCGAGATCTGCGAGTCGGATGGAAATGTTTTAGAGACGGATGGTTTCGAGTCACTATGGGCGGTATGGAAGACATGTAGGGTGTGTCCGCCCTGGACCACGAGCAGGTGCACAGAGTTTGAAGCAGCGGCGGTCAGTTTGGACGAGGCATCAGTGGGTCTCCAGTCAAGGGTCTGCATGCCTGAGTCGAGGTCTGTTATTCGGACACCCGATTCTACCACTTGCGCCAGTTTTCGATCGGAGAAATTGGCGGCAAGCAGCGTGGGCTGGGAGAGGTCGAGATGATGAAAATCGTCTAATTCCTCCACTGTGGCTTCCGAATCAAAGGCAAAGACTCGGGTCTCATTGACAAAGGAAGCTACCAATATATCATGAGTCCGCCCCCTCCCGGTGGAACTCAAAGCCCATAAATCGGTGATGTGGGAGAGTTCTCCAATGGTACCGAGCAACTCAAGTCCAACACCACTTCTGACACTGCGAATAGAGCCATCCTGCCAAGCTCCCGAGGCTGCGACGATGCGTGCTTGACCTGAAGAGAACTCCGAAGGTTTACCGCTATCTGCACCACGGCCGAGATCCATAATTGTGAAGTCCAGGATCGGGGCGATATTGTCCAAGGTTTGGACGATGCGAATTCCTTCCTCTTCGATGTGTACGACCTGGGAGTCACCCGAATGCGAGCCGACAAAAACATAGCCGTCGTCGAGGTAGACCAAGGTGGAAGCTTTGGAGGCCACACCGACAGGATCGAGTCTCCAGCCTAGCACGTCAAGGTCACCGACCTCTATCATTAAAAAGAACAGTTTTCCGTAGTCGTCGGCCAGGAGCCAGCGAGTATCGTCGATCTTGGTCCAGCAAGTCCATATCGTAGCTTCGTCGGCAAGGTCTTGGGTCACGACATGACTGAGGTCTCGGTCGACATAGCGAATGGCATGGTCACCAAGGATGAGAAAGCCATAGTAAGGAGCAGAGACGGGAATGAGGTGGCTAACTCCTTGATCGAGCTGGTCCCCACTCAGTTCGGCGACAGTTTCGAGTTCGGCGGTAGGTTGATCCCCGGTAGGCAGATACGTCAATTGCCGAAGTTTCAACTGGGGATTCTCAGAATTGTCCTCCCATAAAATAGCGAGTTGGGGCTTGTCTTTGGAGCCAGGCTCGGCATCCATGAAAGCTGATGATCTGGTCAGGAGCTCTTCGATTCTGACTTGAACAGGCTCGCCCAGTGAACCGACTGGCGAAGCGGAGCTGTGGTCCCGTGCCTGACGCTTGTTGGAGGGTTGTATAAAAGGCAGGATTGACACAACGCCATCGTAAAGTTCGAGTGTCATGAAGCGCCTGGTAGGATCTATATGACATCGATCGTTTTCTCTAGAGTCTCGAAGTACCTTGTCGGCAAGGTCAACATAGCTCTGCTCGGTGTGAAGTTGTTTGAGGTTGGGATTCCATGAACATGTGAAGTACTGATAGCGATCTGTGCCGACGAAGAGATGATCGGTTCTTGACGAGGAGGGTCGTATGCTTTCAAGGATGGTTATGTAGCCATAGACGGTCTTGGTGTAGAGCAGGTTCAGGCCCTCAGGGCCTTGTTCGTAGATGAGCAGACGATTGGCCTTTGCAACGACAAGGGTGTCGATCCCAGGCTCGAGGAAGTTGAGCTTGATGGCATGCCTGACTCCGCTTGCATGATGAATGGGTACGACGTAGGACATGGTGGAGGAGATTCAAGGAGGCAGCCTGGATGTTGCAAGAAAAGCGCAGGCGGCAGGCGGCAGGCGGCAGGTCGCTGGTCGCTGGTCGTGTGCGCCGGAGGCTCTTGCCTGCGCAGGGAAATTACAGTGTCGTTCAGATGAGGAAGGCACGCGTGAACATTGTGGCGGCAGAAGGAAGGAAGTCGCAGTCGAAGTCGCACGCAGAGGAGGCAAGAGGAGGCGGAGGGAAATTGTCGTGTGCTCACTGACGATGATCACTCATAGCATTGCTGAAGTATATATGTAGGATGTCATCAACTGGGCTTGTTGAGGTATGTTGATGTGAGATGGATCATTAATGTCCAGGCTCGTCATCACTCGTCTCCAGTGATTCTTAGGTAAAGGCCTCATTTGTTGGAGTAAACGTCAACCCCTCGGCCTTGGGCTTATATCCGATTTACGTCAGCAACACTTTGGGGGTTCACCCAAGGAGTTCCGCGTCCTTACTTAGTACCACCTAAGGTACGTAGGTACCTACCTACCTACCTTAGGAACGCACACTCGTAGACCCCAGGGCCCTGAGGCGTCCCCCTCACGCACGGTGGCTTGGTTAGATGCGGGAATTGCTTACGCTCAGCGAGAAATGTATCGCGGGGAAGCCCCCACGGGCGCGTCTTTGCATTGAGTGGTCACGGTGGCACAACCATCCTGTTATATTACAATGCCGCTGGACAAATATTATATTTACAGGAGTCAAATCAACTTTGGATTGATATAGCGTAGAAAAATGGAACATTCTCTGGCTGTCCGCTTGCGGGAAGCTCAGCTCCATCATGCCGTTCTCACGACAGTGACACGCCTACTCCTTTCCACCCAGCCATCTATACACCACCGAAAAGTCCTTGCCCTTGTGGGTCTTTTCGGCGTCATCATACACCTCCTTGGCCTTCTGTGCAAGAACAAGCTTCGCATCAGCTTCCGCAGCTGCCGTGATGGCAAGTCGGAGGTCCTTATTCATCAAACTAATTCCGAAACCTCCTTCATAGTCTCTGCTTGAGGGGGCTGTTGGGATCACACCGGGCACTGGGTTGTTGATTTCGCTGGGCCAGCTCTTACCAGTGGCCGAGTTGATCAGATCAGCCAAGGCCTTGCCTTCAATCCCCCATTTCATACCGAGATTCATAGCTTCAGCCGCGGCAATATTGTTGATTGCCAAAGCATAGTTGTTTGCTAGCTTGCCACTGAGTCCTGTGCCTTGGGGGCCCATGTGCCATACTTTTCTTCCCATGAGCAACATGATCTTCTCGACCGCAGGTACATCCTCTTTCTCTGCTCCAATCATAAAAGTCAAGGTACCAGCAGCAGCTCCGACCACACCGCCAGACATGGGAGCATCGACAAATGTGGCGCCTGCTTTCTCTTTGACCAGCTTTGCAACGGTACGAGATGTGGTAGGATCAATGGTCGAGGTGTCAATAAACAACCGGTTGCTCTCTGTGGGAGCCTTGGGCAGGGAGGTGGCAAGGATTTCGTCAAAGACGGCCTTGACGTGTTTGGGCTCAGGGAGTGCGGAGACAATGTAATCCTATCAGGCACAGTCAGTGTATTGGTCATGGCATCGGCGATGGAAGCAGATATCCTTGGGCTTGAAGTATTTCAGAGGATTGGCTATAAAAATGGAGAAATCATGACAAGAACAACCCGAAGGTCGTCCCCAACTTAGATCATAGATAGAACAAAGGATCATCATGTAGGGTATTGGCAAGAGATATGGACCGGTCACTCACCGCGTTTTCCACCACTTCACGGGGGGATTTAGCAATCACCACGCCTGTAGGAGTGGCTTCCACCGAGAACTTGTCAAGAGTAGCTTGGCTCACGTCGAAGACCGTGAGGCTGTCGCCTTCGGGAATTTTAGCTCGTAGGTTTTTGGCCATGGGGAAGCCTGCACAATGTTAGGTCATGTTCTGATTGCTTTGTTGCATTCGCAAACACATACCCATGGCACCTAGACCGATGAACCCCCATGAGGCGTCTCTCGAAGCGGAGCTAGAGAAACTTCTAACGCCTGCATAAAGGTGGGAGGATGATCGCCTCAAGGCGACCGAGGCGAATGGTAGTGTCATCTCTGCTGAGCTCGTTTGACATTCCGCATGCTGAGCATGGGACGGTCAAAGCATGAATTAAAAAGAAGGATAGGGAGACCACTCGGCTACCAAGCGGAGTGTTGCCCGAGGTAGAGAGGCCGGGCACGGTGACGGTGACGGTGAGTGAGCTGGGTACACTGGGGCCCCGGAAGAGAAGAGAGAAAGAGGGAGAGAGGAGACGGTCAAAGCCCAAGAGGAAGCGATTTCCGGGTTGTACTTGCCATCCAATGGGTCATTGTACGAGGGCACCTTCCGTTAGGTGGTTCACTGGTTGTGCGAGCCCTAAATCGGCCCGCGGGTAGCCGAACTCATCAGCCTTGGCAGGACAACTCGCCGTGGTTTAGTTCTCGAAGGCACAATAATAGACTGGAGTTTAACTCGTCGGTGAGATGACACAGACAGAGGTCGTGATGGTACATCTCTAGACAGGAATGCCTTCAGATTATTTATATAACAATAGAGTACTGGTTGGCTCGAGAGCAGAAAACCCTCCTCTTGCAATGGCACAATGCCTTGACCACAATGCTCGATCCCCTTCCATTTGTTCATCTTACACCTGACCAAAGTGAGCTGATGTCTATCAAGTCGGGAATAGAGACTCATGCTCAATGACCAGGTATCGCATTGTCAAGTTATCGGACGCCACTTGAGTATGTCAAGACTTCAAGGTGAGGCACATCTATTGGAGGTGAAAGGTGCTAGTATAAGATAGGTAGTTAACCTTCAACAATAAATCCGTTTCTCGCCTTGCCTGCTGCAATTGACAAAACCCCGAGAGACAAAAGCAGATATATAATTATTGCGCGTAAAAGAAGACGAAGTGAACAACAGCCCCTAGCATCGGGCTTGGTTTGCAATCTGATCGCTGGCCTTACCCGCGTTTGGATCGTCCTTTTCCCTTGCCTTTGACCCCTTCGTCAGACCCAGAGCTGCGTGATGGTGTCAACGCGGGAAACTCCTCTTCATGAGCACGGCGGCTCTCCTCTTCAGCGAGGCTGAGTTGAAGCGCAAACTCAAAATCATCCTGATCGACCGCCCCAGATGGTGATGAGACGCTCTCGCGAGCGAGAGATTTCGTCTTGCGGGAAGGTGTGCCGTGCTTCGAGGTCCTGGTAAAACGAATTGGAACGTCGAATTCGCTGGTTCCTGGCGATGGAGAAACATGACTACTTTCAAGCAAGCTCAGGCGAATTGCCTCTTCAAGCTCTGGATCGGTGCTGTCGATCTGTGAGCCTGCTGGTGCCGGACCCGCAGAGATTGATCTCTCATTGGAACGTTTGGCCTCTTCTGTTGAGAAGGCTTCCTCACTGAGCATTGTCGCATAAGCCAGCATTTCTTCTTCGCTTGCGCCTTCGCCCAGTAGATTTGTCCCGTACCTTCCCGTCAGACGTTGGTTTTCGCGCTGGCGTGCCAACTTGTCTCGTTCCATCTCGAAGCGCTCGTTGCTGATATAATCCTTAAGAAGACCTCGACCAGTGGCACTAACCTTCTGACTAGCAGGCGCTGAGTTGCTTCCGCGTTCGGACCTTCGACGAAGTTGTCCACGTTTGCGGCTCTTGTAAGATTCCGCAGCATTCGAGCTGTATGACCAATATCTCAAATAGGCTCCCAGGGACACAATGCCGCGCAAAACAGTAGGATCGGGGTCGAGAGTAATTGCACCAGCAGCAAAGTAGTTGTTGCCAACTCCGTGGACAGATGCTTCCGCTTGGGCAATTCGACGTCTAGCTCGGTCAGAAAACCGAGAGTTCAATGTCCGTACGGGGTCAGTGGAGGAGCCCAATGGGTCCCATGCCTGGACAAGTCCTTCGTTCCCGCCATGGACCACGTAAAGTGAAGTCATCGCTAGCGACGCAATCTGAGGGGACTTTGTGTATATGATGCGTACAGGAGAGATGTTATTGACGACATCTGTGCTGGAGGGCAAGCTGGCGCGCATATTCCATAACATGATCACACCCGACATTGTTCCAATTCCAAACAGACGTGCACGATGCCCTGGGATATCAGAAGCATTTCCTGGCGTCAATGCCTGACCAAATGGAGACGAGGACAGAGATGACGAATTGGACCCAGCGGACATCCCTAGGATCGGATCTTCCATGGCAGCTAAGAGAGCAAATTCGGAATCATCTGAAGCAGCAGCTGAGATGGATAAATTTCGGTGGTCCGCGAAAGAGAAGGTCGAGGTACGCCATTCCTCCTTGTATCTCAAGCTTTCTGGGTCGTCCTGACTAGAAGTCCGCGATCGTGGCAAACTCCTTGGTGAAGAAGGAGAGCCAATTTCTGAGAAAGAAAGGGCTCCACTACCAAAAATTGAAGGTCGCTGGACGGTAGCTTCAATGGTAGGCCACGTGTCGAGGTTGAAGTCCACGGTGACTTTGGACCTACAACGAATAAATCGCTGCACACAGGCCGGCGAGGCGCCGTCAAGTCCACACGCAATGACAAAGACTGATTCTCCAGCTCCGTGATGATCGTCGCCCCCAAAGTCGACCAAAAGTTTGCGCCGCATGTCCCATCCTTCACAGACAGACTGGTAGTGCTTTGGTTTATGGACAATAAATCTTTCAACTTCGATTGCTTCTGCGACAAGTTGTTCTGGGCGTAGTCCAGCAGCATCAGAAGATGTGCGGGGAGAATAGCTCCCATCGACCTGCGTAGTCCCATAGGGGTCGGGTTTCGCTAACCGTCTTGTTGCCTCGACGAGACGCCACTCGACACTTCTGCCGGTCTGCCATCCAAGACGATCTGTGTCTTGGGGAGAAGCTTTCCCAGCAAAATCAGGTCGCACAGGGACTTGATTCAGATAGAATACCTCACCCAGGGCATTGAGAACGACTGCCCAGACGCGGCCACCGCTGGTGCGGCGGGCCGAAACTTTGTCGTCGATACTGATTCCAATGATGGGCACACCGGGACAAAGTGCCCATTTCGCCGTTGGTTCACCCTTGTCCAGTCGCCGATCTTGAACGGGATTTACGCCCAATGCATAGGCTGAGAGCACACCATTGGAAAATCCAGCGAGAAAGCCAAACAAGCCGTTCGTAGCTTTCAGCACAGCTTCGGATTTGGCCATCCAGACGGCGGTGACTGCGCAGCCCAGCATGGTAACTTCGGGAATTCCGAGTTCGTGATGTGCAGCTGAGGAGATTGGAACAAATCTCCCACGCTGTTCGGTGGTAGACGTATAGAACAATCGTCCACCGGGACAGGCTTCACCATAGACTCTTCCATAGGGCTGGCTCACGTCCATGACGTTGCTCATCCCAACGACATTGCCCGGAGCGACACCGTAGGGCGACTCTCCAGGGAATTGGTCGGCAAAGTGCTTAAACCCCTCAAAGTCAGCCAATCCCCACGAGCCTGCTTTTCCACTTCCAGGTTCGCTGGTAGACACAAGACCTTGCTCAACCGCCCCGTGCATGAAGAGAGGCTGTTTCTTGTTCAGACCTGTGCCAAAGGTTGCATGAAGGTGGCTGATGGGGTAGTAAAGACCTGATGGGTATGTCGTTACAGCAGCCACGGCGGCACTGCCTGAGTGACGAGCGGCGCTAGAGCGGGACAACGACTCAATGGCAGGTCTTCCGCGAACAAGGGATCGTAACAACCGAGTACGAAGTATGTATTCTGATCGCCAGGAAGCGAGTGCCGAAAGACGGGTGAATATTCTACGTTGCGTACGCTCAACATCATTCGCAGAGCCGCGGTATTGACCTTCCGTGCCCTTTTCGACCGATTCAGAACCTGGAAAATACCTGGCAAAGGCGATTCGCCAAGCAGGGGGGGTAGTAACCAATCGGTGAAAACGACGAGAAACGAGACTCATGGAGGAGAGGTTTTCCGGCGGAAGGTGAGACAGGATGTGAGTCAAGACTTCTGCTTGCTGTCAGTACTGCGACGAGCACCAAGCTGATGCGGGCAACCAACCGTTGGGGAAATCATTGATTGAGACACGGTAGGGGCCTGGGTTGGTTGAAGGAACAACTTGAAAGATGACACCGTCGGACGGTTTTCTATAACGTGCATGTTGACGTTCATAGTCATCAATACGACTTCCGGGTGAGGCGTCCTGCGAAGAAGTGACCCGACTGCTTATCCGTGCGATGTTGCTACTCCGCCCTCGACGTGTACTACTGGACGACACAGAGGCACTGTCAGTGTCCTCGATGACGAGCGAAGACTCTCTGGGGCTTGTCTCATAGAGACTGCCACCAGAGGTCTGCTGTCCACTGCGAGGAAATCCATGCTGGGAAGGGGGCGAAGAGGATTGGGTCTGATAGAGTGACGACGCGATTTGGGATACTTCAGAGGGCGCAGATTGCATAAAAAGATCGGGGAGAAAAGAGGTAAGTTAACCAGGACTGAGCCAGAAGGTGGATCAGTCTAAAGGGGTTTGAAGGACCGGCGAGTCGAAGAGGGAGTCGATGATGCTGTTGAGCTGTAGAGAAAAGAGGGAGTCAGAGGCGTTGTTGTCAATGATGAAGATTAGCAGAATAATCTTCGAGATCACGTGTAACAAAGTGATCAAACTTGCCCAGACACGAAGGGCCAATCAATCGTCATTCGTGTACTCAGTAGGGAGGAAGGAAGGACAGATCCGCCAGTCAGTCGCGCCTTCCCTTCCCAAGAACTCTTGATACCATTTTAAAGGCAACCACGCATCTTGGCCTTGAACCATCAACCCATATCAAAGACTCTGAGATGACTATGAACAATGAATGAGCCAGGTTTGCAAAACAATTGATTGGTCCTCGCTAAAACCGGCTCCCAGCCTGAACCACAGAAAAGCCCTTCCTTTCGACCTACATGTTGTACTTGCTCTCCACACAAGGGGACAGGCAGAAAGCGCACTAACACATTTTTGGATTTCCCTGCCTGAATGTCCACCACAATCACATCTGACTCTCAAGACCTCGAAGCCAGGTTGGTTGTGCGGCTTCCAAAGCGCTGTTGACCATGGCGGACAGTATACGAATACTCGTCGCCACGGACAATCATGTGGGTGCCCATGAACGTGATTCGACCCGGGGTGATGACTCGTGGAGAACATTTCATGAAATAATGGAATTGGCCAAAGAGCGAGATGTGGACATGGTTTTGTTAGCTGGTGATCTGTTCCATGACAACAAGCCTTCACGGAAGTCCATGTACAATGTCATGCGATCACTGAGATTGAACTGCCTTGGCGACAAACCATGCGAGCTTCAGATGTTGAGCGACGAATCGGAACACTTCGATGCGACCTTCGATCATGTCAACTATGAAGACGAGAATATTAACGTCAGCATCCCTGTCTTCTCCATCCACGGAAACCATGACGACCCCTCGGGTCAAGGCCACTTTGCTGCTCTGGACATCCTTGCTGTATCTGGCCTGATCAACTACTACGGCAAAACCCCGCAAAGTGACAACATATCCGTCAAGCCAATTTTGATCCAGAAAGGGAGCACCAAATTGGCTCTTTACGGTCTGTCTAATGTCCGCGATGAGCGTCTTTACAGGACCTTCCGTGATAAGAAAGTTGTCTTTCATCGCCCAGGAACACAAATGAAGGACTGGTACAACCTAATTTGTGTCCATCAAAACCATCACGCCTTTACAGAGACCTCTTACCTACCAGAAAACTTCCTACCAGATTTCCTCGATTTGGTTATATGGGGTCATGAACATGAATGCCTCATCGAGCCAATGCTAAACCCAGAGATGAATTTTTACGTCATGCAACCCGGCTCTTCAGTTGCCACTTCCTTGATTCCTGGCGAAGCCAAGGCCAAACATGTGGCTATAGTCAATATAAAGGGTCGAGAGATGCATTCAGAACCTATTCGTCTCAAGTCTGTGCGTCCATTTGCATACAAGGACCTTGAGTTAAGCTCAGATAAAACCGCGTTTGCGATAGCAAGCAAAAAGGAACAACATCGAACAGAGCTCACCCAATATCTGATTGGCATCGTCAATGGAATGATTGAAGAGGCGAAAGCCGAGTGGGAGCACGCCCAAAGCGAACGGCCGGATGGCCACGAGGAAGAAGTTGAATGCCCACTACCTCTTATACGGCTACGCGTCGAAACGACCTCATTTGACGGTGTCACCAAGTTCGATCTGGAAAACCCGCAACGCTTTTCGAACCGTTTCATCGACAAGGTTGCCAATACCAATGACGTTGTCCAATTTCATGTCAAGAAAAAGAACGCCGCTGCCACCCGTCTTGCCAAAGATCACGAAGCCGACCAGCGCGTCATGGCAAAGATCGCTGAGTCTGAGAATTTCCAGGTGGACAATCTCGTCAAGGAGTTCCTCCAGGCTCAGGCTCTGACGATTCTTCCGCAGAACCATTTTGGCGATGCTGTGAATCAATATGTGGTCAAAGACGACAAACATGCCATGGAGTTATTCGTGAACGAATCCTTGGCGAGTCAGATAAAGAGTCTTGTGCAATTACAGGCCGACACCAACGAAGATGATGATGACGACCTTGACTTGGCAACTCACATTCGTGAAGGCCGAGCTCGACTTGAGGAGTTGTTTGCCAAGGGCCTGATCAAGAAGTCAAAGCCAAAGTTACGGCCACAGCCTGATGACTGGAACGAGGATTTCGACGGCCTTTGGGAGGACCAGCCAGATGCATTGATTCGTCCCGATGAGCAGCTCGACGCTGAAGATGATCTTGCTAGTGCGGACGGAACACCTGCCCCAAGATCGAACGCTGCTGCGCGAGGTCGAGGCAGGGGAAGAGGGGGCATCAGCACAGCCAAGGCAACCTCCTCGCGCAAACCAGCAGCAGCGGCCACCAAATCGCGGAGGCGGGCCGCTGAACCTGACCAAGACGACGAAGACGAAGAGGAGGACATTGTCATGATGGAAGATGACGATGACGATCACATACAAGATGACGGGGACTCCGATTCGCAGGCCATCTTTTTCTCCGAGAAGCGAAAGGCTGCAGCAAAACCCCCAACAAGCACTCGCACCCGGGCCACTGCAGCATCCTCAAGCGCACGGGGACGAAAACAGCCTACGTCGACGCCAGCTACGAGGAAGCCTCCTGCAAGATCTGCTGCAGCAACGGCGCGACCGTCGAAGCAAGCTACTTTGAATTTTACAGCAAGTCAAGCAAGCATTCTAGGCAATGGGAGCGGACGAAGGCGCCAAGCCGTGAGTGAAGACATTGAAGATGACGACGACGACGATGATGCCTTCGAGCCAGTGAGTGCTGTGAGAAGCCGTCGATGAGATCTAGCGAACGTCGTCGTTATGTCTTGGTACTCATTGATGGTGACGCTTGGCCACAAGTATCGTGGTGGTAGTCAAGTGACGACCGCCGTGGAATTGAGCATCAAGGGATATTTGAGGGGCTAGAACTGCATGATCTGGATCATACCAATCATGTTTCTGCAGCATCTAGGTCCTTAAATCTCCACAGATGCAGAGACATCTGCGCAGAGACCATCTAAGGGTAGCTTCTCAACAGCATAGCTATGCCATGGCTAGCATTGAGACATTGCAAAGACTGTGTCAGCCTGTAAGTGGGTTTTTAAAGAGCACAACGTATTGAGTCTCGTTTGAAATGTATCGTCGGCATAGCTTGCTATTATCACATGGTCGGAGATTGTACTTCCAACCTTTGCTCATCTCATGGCCACCAAGATTCGCAATATAGTCTTATCCTTCAAATCCGCCTGACAACCTCCGTCCGTCACCCATGGTGTTGTTTCTACCACGGAAATTCCACCGCGACGGTCTTCGTCCTGCCCTACCCTCTTCACTGCTATTGTCAAATGGGTCTGCCTCACGCTGCCTGGTTGTGGTGGCATCTTTTGGTTCATCCGAATCCTCGAATCCAGTTCCGAGGCCGTTTCGCACCCGAATTTCCCACGTGTGGTCAATTATTTCTGCCACCTGAACATATTCAGATGGACAGTCGGGGTCTTTTGTCCAGAAAGGTGTCCGATATACCACAAGTTGATTGTCCCGTTGGTAAATTAAAAGGCCCCAATACCAGACCATGCCCCACAACGGCGCTGTTATGCCAATCGCCGGCACAATATACCATTGAATCCCAGTTATTGAGGAGTGGAAAGGAGAGCCCAGGGTAGGTGGCACAAATGCTGTCACCAGCATGAAAGCGCTAGCGATGATGTAGACAACCACATGCACTGGGCTGATCCATGGTCGATAACGTCGTCGTTCCTGCCAATGCCACTGACCTTTTCGTAACTTGACCATCAGAAGCCCAATCGATACCCAGAAGCCAAGTAATGATACGATTGTGTAAGAGTATAGCGAAATCAGAGCTGAATATGCTCTCCGTGGATCGTGGATGGGTAGAGTGACGAGAATCAGCAGGATGGAAGTGAACCAATGAAGAACAAATGCAGCGGTAGGTGCTTGCTCCAGCTCTTCGTTTGGAATGGTGTTGCGACTCATCCATTTCTTGAACAGCCCATATGGAGTGGTGTATGACGTGGCAAACATCAGGGACTTTGGGAGAATTCCTTCTTTGGCGATTTCCTGCTTGACTCTGGCCGCTGTAAAGGTCATGACGATCAGGTTGCCGCAGATTGAGAATGCAATCAGGCCTGCCATTGCTCTTCTGGCACTGGTCTGGTCGTCGAACAGGTGCTCAAAGAACAGGCTCGCCATGTCAATAGAGGTAGGTAAGTCTGTTGAGAGTCGCGGGATCACTGCATCTTTCGGAACAGCGAAAAGCTGACTCATTAGCCCAGAGGCCGGATTTTCAGCGACAGCTACTCACATAGGCAACATTGACCAGCAAAAACAGAAGTGCAGCGATTAACAAAGCTAGCACAGTGTACTTGGGAAAGTATTTTCGAGGACTCTTGGACTCTGCGAGGATCTGCATACAGGTAAGCAAAGACTTCCACATGATGCGTAGGTTAGACAAACATAGAAAGGCTGCTCAAAGCCCGAGAATGAATACATGCACAGAAGCAACGAGTTGGACCAGCTGGTTGGGTCTGTACGATTTGTGGTGAAGACATCGCGAGTGAAGTTGTCGAGAGGTGGTCCACCAGGAGTCGGAAAAGCGCCGGCGGCCTTTGCAATTCCCAGCGCAATGATGGCCAGAAGCAACGACACCTTGATGATGGCAAAAGCATTGTTGAGGACAATGCCTCCACGCCGAGAGAACATATGCAACAGCACCACAGCTGTGAGGGCGCCAATTGCGATCCCAGCAGCGGTACCCTTATCTGGTACATCACCCGAGGTGGGATCATAGATGCCTGCAGCCGTCATGACCTGAATGCCGAAAGAAAGGGCATTGCTGAGATCGATTGTCAGCTGGAGTATTGATCCATCATGAATTAGATCACTCACCCGCTGAGATTATACATGAGGATGAACATGATACTGAAAGAACATGTTGTTCGAATATGAGGCAGCCTTGCACGGGCATTGGGGAACATGAACTCCAGCTTAGAGGATGTTAGTCAGTTGGTCAACAGCGAGACTTCAAGGGTGCATACAAAGTTCTTCTCACCACCTGATCGAGGTACTCCACGCGGTTCTGACTCGCCTCTGACTGTGCGTTGGGGCATCGACAAGCCGCATTCAAGCCAGACATAAAGTCCGCAAAGCGACACAAAGGCGCCTAGGACCCAAAGAAGGAGTGCCCCACCAACACAGCCTGTCCCAGCGAGGATTCTATGCGGTGTCAGGAAAATGCCTGTGCCGATAGTCCGGTTGAGGATGAGAGCAACCAGAGTCCATTTTCCAATCTTGGACTGTTCGGTGGGTGAGTAGTCGAGTCTCTGGTGGTCCAAGTCGATGTCCTCAATGTCCTCTTGTGTGGGATTGCCCAGTAAGGCTCTCTCGTTAGCAGTGAGCACCATGGTCACGAAGGTCTCTGCTTTTGCCCAAGATGTTCTGTTCGAGGCAGTTCAAAGCTTCAATTGACGCAAGGCATGATTGATAAAGGGCGAGATTGAAGCGAGGGACGTCAGCTCATGATATGTCACGCAAGACACGAGAGAAGGAACTCGCGACTGTCCAAGAGCTCCTCCATCCTTTCCTCTACGGACGACTTGTGTCACCAGGCGTTCTTCCCTCTTGGCAATTTGCCTTGTCGCTCTTATTATTACACCAAAAGCCAAAACTCAAGGCGAATTTGGGGGCTATAAAGAGAGTTCCACCGTCACCCAGGCACGCCAGGGCACACAACGTCTGTTGTCGCTTATCTAGCGCGCGTGGCTAGCCATGCTAGTCAGTAGCGAAGGCGGCACAAGGGTCAGGAGGTTATGGACGATCACTTTTACCAGGCAAAAGGTTGGCGGAGGCGCAGCGAACGCCCCATTTATCTACCAACGATTCGAAGCTAATCGCGGCCCACCGCGAAACCGGCGGTATGCGAACCAGGGCCGCCCCTCAGCCAAGAGGTCCTAGGCGAATCCCAATATCTCCTTCACCAATTGACAGGACGTGTCACGAGGCACAAGCCGATTTGGGGGCCGAAGCGATGGGCCGCACGAGGACAGCCACACCTCACAGGCACCAAGACAAGGATTCGGCACAGATATCTTTGGTCAACGTCGCTCATTCAACCTTTCATGGTAGGCTGAATTTGCTCACTGGCTCGTCAATCACCAAGTCCCTTGTGTTTGTTGACTGCAAAGAATATTCCAACGGGCAGATCGAGGAAGACTATCTCACATTCTCGCGACCTGAACCATGTGAAGTGATGGTGTGGGACTTCGGAGCTGGCGACGTTGTTGCCGGCATAAGGCTTGCACTTGCTGTCTATCAAGTCAGCTGTGTGTATGAGAATCGAGCTGGTGAGAGACAAATAGACTCCTGGAAAGGCAAGCATGAGCTTCTAACCAACTGTCTTAGATGTACGATATCGAAATTTTGTTAACGAGATTCATGGCTTTCGGGAGCTTCTAATCAAGCTCCAGACATCACTCAAAGATGCTGGAACTCGCTATGAGCGTGGTGGCTTGTTATCACGGGCCGCATATGACCCATCGTCCAGAGACTTCCGCGAAGAGGGCCGCCAGATAATAGGCCCTTTCAATGAGACCTTACTAGAATGCCAATTATTGTTGGAAAACAACAAAAAGCTTCAATCAAAACAAAGCTCCCTGTACGACAACATCACATGGCACCTAAGCGAGCAAGATCAAAAGATCGACGACCTGCGACGGCGCCTCCACATGCATTCCACCAAGATCAAGCTCGTCATCGACAGGCTAAGCATCAACCTATTGACCGACATAGATGCCAAGGTCGACGACCTGCTTGACATATCCGAGAGGAACTTCAATCTCAACAGAGATATCCAAATCGAGATTCGGCGCTTCTACACATCCTGGTTGGGGGTCTTGGCTGGCCATGAGCCATTGAGTGCCCTGAGCGACAAAGATTGTCATCTTGCGAGTGATCAGATCCAGGCTAGATTCGAACAAATGTTGCCCATCTACGCCCCTGCATCCATCGACATTGACATCCCGCTCAAAGAAGGCTTCGATGCCTTGTTAATACATTTTGAGCAAAGCTTTGAAGGCACCGACCAGACTCCGGAAAAGTATCTGCTCCTCCTCAAGACACGATGGCTTCTGAACCGCCTCAAGATGAGTACGGGCTACCAAAAGGCATGCCCTGGCTTCTTTTACAAGCGTGCCATTGGCCAAGTCGAACAAGCAATTCTGTTGCGTGTCAGAGGTTCCGACATCATTGCATATGACGATGAAACTCTCAATGGCCTAGCAGATGCGATGTACTTAATCTGGGAGCCTCCTCAACAGGAAGAATCACTGCAGCTGGACCCAACGACGGCCAGAGCGAACGAACAGGAGGTCATACGTCTTCAGCTTGCCTCGAGTAGTATTCAAAGTCCAGATTCTGTCACAGTCTTCCGCCAATCGATCGACCGCTTTCGCATCGTTCTCGAAACTACTACTCCCGATGGGCGTGCCATGATTCTACCGCAGACTCTATATACCCAGGAAGACAAACTCATCCCCCGTTATGCCTTGCCCACGATGATGCAGCCTTGTATGGAGATTGCCATCTTCTCCAGAAAAGAAGAAACACTGTATCGGTTCAAAAGTCCAACGGACATATTCGCCTTTCAGACAGCTCTGACCGGCTATGAGGTGTCACACGACCAAAGCAATATCAAGTGCCAGTTCTCGAAAGACTCAGCTGGTCAACTCGATTGCAAAGGTCGAGTCCAACTGTGGCAGGAACCAATTCCCCCACCAAATGTCCTTGACTCGTCAACAAATGGCTCGCCGATCGAATCATTCAGCACCCAAAGTGCGAGATCCCGCCAGAGTAGCATTGTTGAATCGATTGGCCCCACGACTACACTAAGCAAAGTTGGCGACGGGTTTGAGGCAGACAACCTCAAACTGCCAGCCTTGACAATTTTCACAGAATTGAAGGACAGAGCAGGCCAGAAAAGGTTTTCTATCATGTTCATCGAGCTGGACATTGGATTCTCCATCGATCCCAAAAAGTGTTCATGCCATCGTGCCTACAACGAGTGTCCTTACATCTGTCTTGTGCGGAGGAGAGACGAAGAATTTCCGGTCCATGTCTCATTCACAGAACTCGACCCCAGTGGCAGTCCAAATCCCAATAGCTTCGATGTTCTACCATTCCGACTCCCTCGCGATTCCAAATTCAAAGAACTCATGGTGAAAAAGACCAAATATGTTGTACTCAAATTTCCCACTTTGGCCGAGAAGCATACTTTCCGTACCGAGTTACTGCAGCGTTTCTGGATATTGGGCAAGCAGAAGTCGGATCGTGAGGCCATGTGGAAGACATTACGCCACCGACAAAATACGCCAATGGTGAACTATGCTGCAAACGGAGTTCCAATCGCAGGATCTCAGTCTGCCTCTTCAGCGAGTTACAGCCGTATTTCAAGCTCACCACCACAAATCATGATGCCAGAAATGAATACCAGATTCTCGGTTTCCTTGGGATTCGAAAGTGAACCAGGAAAACCGGTAGTTCCGATATCCAGTGGGAATCTTGAATCTGCTGGGTTCACGGACGAGAAAGAGGTGTTGATCACGCCGGCCCCACAGATGTCAAGTCGCAAACCGAGTCGTTTCCAGGATAAGGAACTTGAAGGTCATTTCGAGTCGTCCAACACCCGAGGCGGGAACGCCAGAAACAGCTCGGTCGCCATGCCTATTCGGCAGGCCAGGTCTAGGACCCTTTCGACTCAGTCGAGTATCAGAGAAGAGCCCAAACAACCGAGCAGCACGAAACGCTTTTTGAAAAATATCCTCAAATAGTGAGGCTTGTCCCATCCATGTACTTGCTCCACATTGAAGAGCTATAGAAACATTTCTTTTGGTCAGGAGCCTAAATAGGCTGTGTATGATTATTTATGATGGGATATCCGATATGATTGGAAATGGCGATTATGAGCGCACGTACTACAGAAGGCATTACCCGGTTGAGGGAAGTCAATATGCCAGTGTGAACCTTTATTCCCAGATTTCAATGACATAATTTTGATGATCGAGGGCTCTCAGCTTTTGCGATCTTCTTTCCAAGCATCTCCCACGTTCGCGAATGACCATTTAATGATCTGTCAAGGCTGCCAGATATCAGGGCTCTAGCTGAAAGGGGGTGACGACTGTGACTGGCAGTGCCACCGAGACATCCAGACTAGAGGTCGCAACAGATATCATGTATGTGCCTGCGTCTACCGACCATGTGCCCCTGTCTTGGTTCCAGTAGGCGAGACTCTGGGGGCTGATTTCGATTTGGACTTTCTGGGTCTCACCTGGCGACAGATGGACTTTTTCGAATCCGGCCAAGGTCTTTTTTGGACGGTCGATTTCTGAAACAAATGCTGCACCGACATAGATTTGGACCACTTGACTTCCAGGGACGGTGCCGGTATTTTTCACATCGAGAGTGACTCCTACAGGCTGAACGCCAGTCAAAGACGTTGCCGACAATTCCACCCCAGAGATCTCAAAGCTCGTGTACGACAAGCCAAACCCAAAGGGGAACAGCACACTGTCCGGCAATGAGTCATAATGTCTGTAACCGACGAAGGTGCCTTCTGCATATTCGACCCTGTCGTTATTGATGTCACCAGGAAAGTTGGCGTAGGTCGGACAGTCGGTGATGGCCCGAGGGAATGTCACAGGGAGCTTCCCGCCTGGATTGGTCACACCAAAGATGACATCTGCAATCGAGTGGCCGGCTTCCTGGCCTGGGAACCATGCTTGAAGAACGGCGGCTACTTGCGACAGCCACGGCATTGTGATTGGCGATCCTGTCGAGTTGACCACGATGGTCTTCGGGTTGGCTTGTGCCGTCGCAGCAATGAGTCGATCCAAGGACCCATCTTTGGGTAAATCCATGTTCTGTCGATCAGCACCCTCAGTTTCCCAAGCTGGCGTGTGACCGACGAAGACGATAGCAACCTCGCTACGTTTCGCAGCGTCGACGGCTGCGGGAATCAAATCTGCGTCGTGGTCGGATTGAAGCATTTTGCCAAATCGGAAGCCTATCATCTTTGATGAGATCGGTGAGACATCCTTTTTGGCTAGCTCATCAACATGACATTCAATGCGAATCCTGTATTCTTGGCCAGCTGAAAACTCGTACAGTTTGGTCTCCTCCGCCGCGGTGCCGAGCATGAATGCCATTACGTCGACGGAGTCATCTGCCTGAGAAAACACCATCTCTTCATTGATACAAAGCTTTGCTTTGCCTATGCACCCAAAGGCGAGGTATTCGACGCAGTCGACTGATGGTCGATATGTACCAGTCATGACCGCAGTCACTGCCCCCGGGCACGCAAATGGTTTTAGTTGAGCGGTAGAGCTATTCGAGACAGACGGTCCTCCATCCTTATCCGAGCGTCTTGTCACACGCAGGGTGAATCCAGGTACACCGTCATCGTCAAACACGTTGTCGGCGCCGAATACCGGTAGACTCTTGATGATTCGTGCTCCTTGTGCATAATTGAGCTCGACAGAACTTCCGAGACAGTCTTCGAATGCTTGGTATGGGGTGATTTTTCGATGGCTCTTGACTGATGCCGAGCCTCCTCCATGACCAAGATATTGTTTTGCCAGGCCAATCATGGCGATTGATTTGACTGTGGACTTGTCGAGTGGTAATATCTTTTTCTCATTCTTGAGGAGCACCATTCCCTCTGCTCCCGCTTTCCTGATGAGACGTTGATGTTCTGGCCGGTCGATGGCTTGCTCGCTGGGGATCTCGTGATTGTCAAAACTGCCCGCTCTTTGCAGGAGGCGCAACACGGCTTCAACCCTCTTGTTGAGCGTGGTCTCTAAGATCTCACCACTCTGTATGGCAGAGGTGACGTTCTGACGAGTGCGGTGGACAGGGGGACCAGGCATTTCCAGGTCAAGACCAGCGTTGATCGATTGAGATATAGAGTTTGTGCCGCCCCAATCACTCATGACTAGACCCTTGAAGCCCCATTGCTCTCTCAGAACTTTGGAGAGTAAGAACTGGTTTGCATCGGCGTGGACACCATTCACGATGTTGTAACTGGTCATGACGGCCCATGGGTCGGCTTTCTTGATTGCCATCTCAAATGGTTTGAGATAAATCTCTCGGAGAGCTCGTTGGCCGACCCTTGCATCAATGCTGAATCGTCTGGTTTCTTGTTCGTTGACCGCATAATGTTTAATGGTAGCACCGATGCCTTCGCGTTGGAGGCCCATGATGTAGTGACTAGCCAACTCGCCAGCAAGGTAGGGATCTTCTGAAAAGGATTCAAAGTTTCGACCACCACGAGGATCCCTATGTGGGCAAACTGTTGGTCCAAGCAGGACACGAGCTCCTTTTGTCTTTGCCTCCTCCGCCAGGCTTTGACCGATTTTCTCTGCAAGCTTTCTGTCAAAGCTGGCAGCCAGCGATACGGACGCTGGGAAACATGCGCTCGTAAGTCCCCCTTCGAACTGATCTCCTCGAGCTCCATTTGGACCATCTGAAACCTTGAGCTTGGGAATCCCAAGTCTCGGTATGGGATTCGTTGTCCATAAGTCGGCTCCAGCAATCAAGGAGGCTTTCTCATCGAGGGTTAGCTGGGAAAGGAGATATGGGATGTCGCTTTGAGGAGAAGTATCTGTCCCAAGACTCCGATAAACTTTGTGCAGCCGATCGGAGGGAGACATCGAAGTAGCCTTGGAAATGCCAGGATCTTTCAGGTTGGATATGAGGTCGTTTTAGGTTGTGGTCGATTCAGCATGGAGAAGCCAAGAGGCTCAGGGCTAGTTAGAGACGCCATGAAGCCGCAAGTAAATCGACGGATGACATACTTTGCTCCAAGTACACCTTCACCTATTGGTGACAGTATCCATTAGATGTCAATATATCCGGCGTGAGCGATGCTGAAGTAGTGCTGGATGTTTGAAGATGCTTTCCAAGTTGGGAGGGGTATTTGTCTTGAGGTCCTCGGTTCAATATACCACCGGCAAAGGCCAAGTTGGGTGTTCCCGATTAGGCAGCGAGACCGATCACGTGTGTGACAGGCCAATCCAATCATATGGCGCGAGGATGTCACTATGTCACTTGAAGAATGCGGGCTGTGGCTGCAGTCAAGAAGCATTCGCAAACAACCAAAATGACTCGGTTTGGATTGGTCAAGACTGCAGTCAAAGATAAGGGCAACCCGGCATGATGGAAGGAATGATTTGTTCGCAATCCTGGGCTACTGACCTGGGTCCACATTGATTCAGGTTAATTCACGCTTCTTAGGAGTTGAAATATTGTCTGAAGCCTCGACGAGGCCACTGAACAAGCACAAAGTCAATGAATCTGAGCGGTGTTTCAAAGTTGTAATTAGTAAATCCGTCGCCTGCTCTGACTTTTTCTGAGCACCAGGACTTCTTTCGTTGAAGGAAGTGCTTGCATTGGAGAAATAGTCTGCTGATGTTGATCCAGTTGAAGAGGGGGGCGTTGATCGCCGTTGGGAGTCTGCGGGCGAGGACATGGTCACAACCTTGGTATATTCGCAATTCCTAACAGGAGATGGTTTGATTGAGTATTGGGTTGCTGGAGGAATGGATATGAACAAGCTGGAAGTTTTGAAAAGCAGACTCGGAGCCACGGGTCTGCGGCTGTCCATGGTAATTATATCACCTGCTGTGAGCTGGGTCCTAGCAGACTAAGCAGCAGATGATTCGACGTTGAATTCAATCCTTTGAAAGCCGGCAGTCTAGAGCCTGACCACTGGCCAGAGCAAAGACACCGCACGCATCTGATGACCGTGCAGGGGATGGTGAGCATGAAAGGTGGCTGGATATATATCTCTAGCCACGAATGGGGTTGTGCCCTGCATCGACGGGCCAGGGTGTAAATGTTTAGATGTACAGTAGTCGGCCAATTTCAGGGTGTAGCAGAATATTTGACAATTTCTCGGAGAGCTACACATGGTACCTGAATTTTCTGAGATGATTGCGTGATATCATTGGGCATAACTCGACCAGCCTCATCGGAGTCAACGCGGTCTCCGCTAAAGTGTGGGACCTCAACGGACAAGACAACTGCACTTGCATCGGGGCGTCAGCACCAAACACAACGGTTACATGCTAAAACCAGCCCCAAGGACGAAACAATCTGTGTAGAACAGCTCAGTCGTGGGGGATGGAGATTTACCACACTTCATTTGGTAGCAGGTTGACAGGCTCAGATATCACGAAGGCTATGGTGGAGCCATGAGCGCTAAACTTGTTATGGAAGGTACAGCTGGATACTCATTTTGTGCCAAGATTCGTCATAGCCAATCAATTCAAGGTATCTAGGCTATAGCCAGGGACAGAGGGCGGGTACTCGTATGTGGTTACACTGTATGAACAGATCAGTAGATGTCTACCAGCGTGCCCATACACATCTCCTCGATGCAGACTAGCCTAATATTTATCATGTAAGCAGGTGGATCATGTCATGATGAGCCTCCAATGATTCATCGATCCGTTTTGTTGTTTGGCCAAATGGATAACGACACTACCTTTGCGAATCTCAATCTGTCGTATTTGAGTATTTTATTCCCATGCTTCTTCCCTCAGCAGCAACTCCGCTTTGGCTGAAAAGACCCCAAAATGCAGACTAAGAAATCATGTAAGCAGCCTGATTGCTACGCATATACGAATTCACATAGACATTTGTACATATGCGGGTGTTCCTGACTCTACGAGGTTGGATCGCTCTTGAGTCTTCCTAAAGCCTGTCCATAGCCAATAGCGTCCCTGGCCCGTCCCTGCACCGCCGATGTGGTTGTTCTGTACCCAACGTACTAGCTAAAAAGAATGCCCTACTCTAGCCCTGTGCCAGGACCGAGGATTCCCAAGGTTATTGGCCAAGACATGGTCGGGGAATGAATCACGGCGCCCCAAGTTGGCTCGTGTAATGCGTCCCGAAAAGGGTTGGTGCGCCTGTGGATAAAGGATTAGTGGATAACGAGGCTGTAACTCTCCCTACTTCAACACAAGTCTCTTCCATAATGAAACCCGTTAATATGCCGGCCCTGGTGTTTGTCTGAAGTATCTTGGACCTTCTGGGCAACTGCTCGTTAACCGTGTTTGGTAAGAACTTTTGCAAACGCCCGTGCCGCAACTCGCACCCGGTTTGTCCTCTCAATCAAGGCCCCAAAGTTCCACTTCGCCCGATGATTTCGCACGCCAGAAACACCAACAACAACTGTGGTACCCACGCATCATGTCCCAAAGTCATTCGTCCCTGCATATTCTATCTGTTGACTTTCATTGCCACTATCATTTATCCATTGTCTGCTAAGGCACCAGAATTGGGCTCCGTGTTTAATTCAGCAAAAAGTGTTTGATCATGTTTGATTCCACGTGTAGTGTGCATGTGGGTGTGTCGATCACACCCTCGCCGCCACTACAAGTGACTTTGATATAATGTACCTAATTTATGGCAACTACACTCAGAAATGGCACCGCCGGTCTTCCTTCGAGGAGACCTTTTCGTTCACACGGGTCACACGGGTCGGTCTGAATCTGTCCGTGCATCATGATGACAGACCCACTCAGGACCGATGGCAGCGTTGAGATTGTCGACGACGTCGACAATGAGGGCGAAGCAGACACTTCTGGAGCGCAGACGCCAACATGGAAGCCCAATCGACACGAATATGGAGTTATGCTGACCTTGAGCCTGACCTCGTTGCTGGTGGCTCTTGACGCAACAATCATCGTGACTTCTCTCTCCGTCAGCACTCTGCTCCCAATACCAACATCTCCGTCTCAATGCTAACTCCTGTGCCCCTGACAGACCATTACCAAAGAATTGAACGCATCAACAACCCAAGGAATATGGATCGGTACCTCGTATCTACTAGCCTGTGCATCAACCATGTCCTTTGTCGGATCCCTCAGCAACATCTTTGGACGTACGCAGTTGTTGTTTTCTGCCGTCTCGTTCTTCACTATTGGGACAATTGTCTGCTGCACTGCCCATAACATAGGCGCCATGCTGGCTGGTCGGAGTATCCAAGGTGTTGGTGGCGGAGGTGTCATTGTCCTTTCGCAAATCATCTTCACTGACATTGTCCCTCTTCGATACCGCCCTAAGTATCTGGGTATCATCCAGGGAGCATGGGCTTTGGGAACTTGTTTAGGCCCAATCCTGGGAGGTGCTCTGGCGAAGAACAACCTATGGCGCTGGGTCTTTTACATCCTCCTGCCAATATGTGGTATTAGCCTCTTCTTGATTCCTTGGACCGTACGCCTGGATGGCCGAAAAGCTTCATTGCAAAACATGTTGACCCGTGTTGACTGGATCGGTGGAGGGCTCTTTGTTTCCTCCACCACCAGCTTTCTGATTGGTCTCTCCTGGGGCGGTATCCAGTATCCGTGGTCCAGCGCTTCAACGTTGGTACCTTTGTTCATTGGAGGGGTGGGTATGGTCGCGACCATCGTATGGGAGCGTTACTCCCCCCATGAACCCTTCCTCCCACCCTCTATCTTCCATAATGCTTCAGCAATCATTGTTTACGGAGGCACCTTTTTCCAGGGATTTCTGGTAAGTGGTGGCCCGTTCGTCTGGCGATCTCGCTAATTACTCGTTGAAAGTTGTATGGACAATTGTACTATGTTGCATTCTTCTTCGCGTCAGTCCAGCTCAAATCACCTCTAGGCACTGCCGTCGTGCTGACCCCGTCACTCCTGACTCTGGTTCCGAGCGCAATCGTTGTGGGGGCTGTCATCACCCGGACAGCCAGGTATCGATGGGCCATGTGGTCGGGCTTTGCAGTCCTCAGCCTTTCAGCCGGATTGATGACCATCTGGGACGAGCACACCAAGGCCTCCAATTGGGTGCCTGTCTGCGTGGTCATTGGAATCGGTCATGGCTTGGCCTTGAATGCGCTGTTGATCGCCTCCCAATCCTCCTGCAAGTCTGGAGACGAATCACTTGCCGCATCAACTTATGTTTTTATGCGAAGCTTTGGCATGGCTTGTGGTGTTGGCATCGGCGGCACCATCTTGCAGAACGTCATGGCTGGCAAGCTTCGAGACTTGAGCCTTCCGACAAGCATCGCCCTCGAAAGTGAAGCCTATATCTCAGCCTTGCATCATCTTGAAGATACGCCTGAGCGGACCGCTATTATTTCCGCTTATCGGACTGCTTTCCGGGGTTTGTTTGGCTGCTTCTGCGGCTTTGCAGGTGCTGCCTTGATTGCGACCCTGTTTGTTAAGCACTACGAGATTAACAAGCAGCTTGTGTCCGAACACAAGCTCCGCTACAGTCAGAGATTTGATCAGACAGCCCAGAAGGAGGCGACCGGCACAACCACCTCTCAGTCCTTGCAATCGACTTGCTAGCTTGCTAGACACATCACGGAGGCATTTGGGTAGCGTGGCATGGTGGCTTTTGCCCTTTCCTGGTCTCATAGGGTAACAAAGCGACAGCTCGTGAAAGGTTGATTGTGGATGGACATATGTAAGGTTCGAGTGGAGTTTCAATATCGGCATGGGGTCTGTGAAGCTTGCTTCAATATACTTCATGGTGCCATCTAATAACCCATACATCGATCAACTGCGATTTATTCTTGCTATCAGATATGATACTCAAAATAATGTTGGCATTGCGACTCTAGGCGCATTCTACAGGCCAGATCTAACGTCGACCAAGATCTTGACGTGATTCTCTTTGTCGTCAATCAAAGTGCGGAAACCTTCCTCCTCGACCTTGTCTAGCTTGATCTTCTTCGTGATCATACCTTCGGGCTTCATTTTGCCTGGATCGATAGTCAGCCAATCAGGTCCAGGGTATTGGTAGGCTGATCAGATGCGGAAGCCTCGCACGCCAGGGTGATACTGCAAAGCCAGGAGGGAATAAATGAACGCCAAGGGATCTTACCACTAGAGATAGCTTCGATAACACCCTCAAAGTCTCCTAGAGCAAAGGTGGCACTGTAGGCGTAGCAAGGTCAGTCAATGAATTCGTCATGTGCCTGGGGTCGGCCCAGCACTTACACGCCCATGTATGCTCTTTCTCGAAAGACAAGGTCATTCATGTTCAGGCTAGCACGTTTCTCCCAAATTGCAATGTTGACGAGCATCCCTCTGGCCTTGATTGCCTTGAATGCGGTGTCGACGGCGACTTGAATTCCAGCTGCGTCATAGGCCACATCAACACCCTCACCGTCGGTCAATTTCTCCACTTCAGCCACCAGATCAGAATTTATTGGGTCGATAACATGATGTGCACCAAATAGTTTGGCAAACGCTCGCCTCTTGCTGCTGACTTCGCTGACAATTATGTTTTTGCAGCCTTTGCCGACGAGGGCCTGAACAACTGCCAGACCAATAGGACCACCCCCAAGGACCAAGGTCGAATCGCCGTCCTTGTACGGTGAGATGGTGACCGAATGCCACCCGACGGACAGAGGCTCGATCAATGCACCGACTTCGAGCGATATGTTATCCGGCAGTTTCTTGATGCAGTGACCAGGTACGGTGGCATGTTCCGACAGCCCACCGCCGTAGCCACTGAGTCCCACGAACCCGTTCTTATCACAGCAATTGACCAGACCTCTCTTGCATGCGCGGCAAGAGTCATCCCATATCGTCGGCTGAATGCAGACTTTGTCACCAGGTTGTACGTGTGTAACGCCCTCGCCCACCTCTTCGACAATGGCGCTAAATTCATGTCCCAACGTCAGAGGCAGGGTTTCATTGGTGATGGGGTGAGGGTTCCCTTCAGATGGGATCAGGTTGGCACCGCCGAGATATTCATGAAGATCCGACCCGCAAATTCCGCAGAACTGAGGAGCAACCTTGACGAATCCAGGCCGTACCTGAGGCTCTGGGATCTTGTCGAGACGAATGTCTTTCTGGCCGTAAAACCGAACTGCGTTCATGGTCGCCATTTTGACCAGACTGGGTTCTGCTCGGAGGCCGCTGAGGTAGAGAGGAGGATCTGAGGCGTGTGTCTCGAGACAAGGCCTTGGAGAACGCGGTTGGAGCGAGTCGAGGAGCTGCTGGACCAGTGAGATGGCAAGCTAAGGGGAACGTGGCGGATGTCGTGTTGACTGAATCAAGGAGGTTTAATGGGGGCTGAAGCTATACAGGGTCTTCCTGTGATTTCCAATCCTAAATGTGTGAGGACGAAACAAAGAGTAGAAGGAAGGGAGAAGAACGCAAAGAGATACTTTCAGACACTTTCGTCGCCCAGGGCTTGGTTGGTGTCGAGATTGGCAATGGGGACATGTGAAATACAACACCAGTGTGACAAGCCGAACTGGCTCATAGCAGGGGCAACGCCTTACGCATCATGAGACAGGAAAAGTTGTAGAGTAACATTTGCTCTAGGTAAACTGGTCTTGGGAACCCCGCCTGAGAGGCGGATTTGCACTGCAATTTGGTGGAAGGCGTTTGCGAAGTCAGGCTCGTCAACCGGATCTGCAGCGGGATACCAAAGTGGGAAAACCGGAGAGTGGGTATGAGTGCGGGGCCCATGGGCACGGGGACTCGGGGGCTTGGAGAAGAGAAGAAACTCGGAGACCCTGGATATTATGGATGATGAAGAAGAACCAATTGAATGCATTGATGAATCTATTTATCCATCCAGTGGTAGAGAGAGAGAGAGAGAGAGAGAGAGATGTACGAGATGAGGAGAATAGAAGAAGAAGTCTCCTTGGGTTCATCTGGCTGGACATCTTGGCGTGATCGAACCCACGTGACTATGGATCGCACAGATGATCGTCATTTTGATCAGATCCTTGATGCATGTCCATGTTCGTTCCTTCCCCATCCAGATTTTGTTCGTTCTCCAAAGCTGGGGAAGGAGGTACCGGAAGATAAATTCTGCAGCAGAGTATAGAGACCATGTCTGCATTTCATAGCTTCCACGTGACTGGTAGGAAAAAGGGATTGTGGAATCGGCAAATCTCGTCGCTGTGTGATCCTTTGCAACCGCGTGCTCAAGTCCTGCTGCACAGGTATAAAGCCTATGATTTGGTGTATAGTGGAAGCCCATCAAGACTACGACATTGACTCGTCCAATGGCCGCCCATTTTGGCCTAGGGATAAGTTGCAATACCACATACTAGGTAGCTTACAGCATCCCAACCCTTCCTATTCCAACGTCGTTTCACGAACCCATGATGTACATCCTATTCAACCGCGTCCCGCCAAATCTATTGGCACAATCCTCCCCGCTCCCCAGGACAATCCCATGTCTCCTCCACCTCATTCTGCAGGACAGTCGCTCAGACCCGGGGCAGTGGGGTAGAACCAGGCAGCAACTGCAATGATGATGTACAACATGATGAGCAAAACACCCTCCAGCCAATGTGACTTGCCGTCCTGTATCAAGTAGTTGACCAACAGAACGGCCACAAAAAGAACAGCAATTTGAAAGCCGTCAAAAAATAAGGTCATATCGTCCTTGCCCATTATCCAACCCAGTACCACGACAAAAGGTAAAACTAACAAGGCGATTTGCATGCTCGACCCAACGGCGACACCGATAGCCAGGTCCATTTTGTCTTTGACCGCCACAGTGACGGCTGTGGCGTGCTCGGCGGCGTTGCCAACGATAGGCAAGAGGATCAAGCCCACAAAGTTCTTGGAGATGCCTCCGCCACAAGTGATGGCATTGATCGAATCGACAAGATATTCGGCATTCAAAGCGACCAAGACAGTAGAAATGGCCAGTGTCAGGACAGCGACGAGGATCGACAGCTGGGGCTCTTCCGCCTCGTCCTCTGCCTTGTCTGATGTAGTCGATGCCTCGTCTCGGGATGGCATCTCCTTCGAGCGCAGTCTGTCTGGAATCATGGCATTCTTCAACTTGGATCCCACATCCCGGGTGGGATTCTTCGCGCTTGGCGCATTGTACATGGTGGAATGACTCTTGAGCTGGAAGAAAAGATAACATCCATATACCAGCAAGAGCAGGATTGCCGTCGCCCGACTAATGTTGGCCACACCCGGCTTTGGGTTTTCCGTCGTGGCAGTCTCGGTAGTGCTGTTGTCTCCTGTCCGGGCCCATTGCTCAAATGCAGTGGGAATGATCAAACTGCTGACTGCAAGAAACAGGAGACTGGCAGCCGTTTGGGCCACCGTCATATTGAATGCTTGCTCCATGCGATTGATACCTCCAAAGAAAAAGCACATGCCAAGCACGAGGAGGAGGTTGGACAACATGCTGCCGATCAAAGATGTCTGAACAATTAGAACTTGATCCTTGGCCAATGCAATGATGGACACAATCAGTTCAACGGCGTTGCCGAAAGAAGCATTAAGAAGACCTCCCAGGACTTCACCCGTCCGTAGCGCAATCTCCTCGGTTGCATAGCTCAGCATAGCTGCCAAGGGGATAATGGCAATGAAATTGATGACAAAGACGGCGACTTCGTTGACACCAGCGTAGTGGACCGCAATCCCCACAGGTGAGGCGATCAGGAGGACATTGATCCACGAATTGAACAAGGTCGCGTGAATTTGTCCCCAGGCTGTAAACTTCTTCTTTTCCTTGCCGTTGTTGTCGTCGGGGCTATTGGTGCTGTTGCTGAACAACTTCTTGATGCCATGTTTGTCCTGCGAATCACCATTGCTGCGGTTCCTGATGCCATCCTGCTCATCGGAGGGGTTTACAGCGCCATTGGAGTGGTATTCGCCACTTGGAAGAGCCCCTAGCTCTTCAGTGTGATCAGCTGTCTTTTCTTGACGCAACGACTGTGTGGGACTATCCGACCGAGGGATGATGACATCGTTGCCAGGATAATATGATGGAGCCTTTGACCGTGCATTTGGGGTGCTAGCTACCTGCCGAGAAGACGACTGGCCACCAACAAGTTGTTTTCCACCATCACGGGTCTCGGGTCGATGGTTGTTGGGATCATCGGTGATGGTGCGTCGTACAAAAGCACCATCTCCGCCCTCAGCCAAACTTAGGGAATCCCCCCTCGTGCCTGGCCTCCATTTTTTAAAAGGGTTTGGGAATATGGCTGTCGACTGTTCGTTTGGGTCATCGTACCAGGCGGCAAATTTTGCCTGTCGGCGGTATTTATCTAGACGTTGTTGTTAGTTCTATGCCAGTAGAGGAATTGAAATGCGTACGCATATCGGCGCTCTGCCACTCTTGCTGACCTAGGGCAGAATTGTGTGTTCTGAGGGCAGGAGCGGGATGAGAACTTGATTCTTTTTAGCATTCGTTGTCAAGGAATGTGAGTCGAGGAGAAGAATCTGTTCGACAGAATAATAGCGGCGCTAAAACAAACGATGGAGAATTCAAGGAAGGAAAGGTTGATCAATAAATTGCCCGAGCCTAAATCAAACACAATCAATGACAGACAAGAAATGTGACCGGAAATCAAGTTTTTGGGTTGCAAAGATTGACGGCAACAATGACTGGAGATGCCATGTTGATGGCGGTCAAACTCTGGATCACGGGAGATGGTCGGGCACGCGTAGAGACGAGAGGTGGATATGGAAGGGGCTGAGTACAGCATGGGACATGGGGCTTCGAAGAGAGTCGGCGCCAAATTACAAGTCGATCTCAGCTGAAGACTTCCGGGAGTCCACGCTAGCGCCAGCGGGGAATGTACAATGACGAAGGACATTTTGAAACGTGTGTACGCCACAGCGAGTCTGTTGAGTCCGCCTTTCATTGGGAGTTACTGAACCTTCAAACAGGATGTTCCACTTGTACAGACTCGGTGGATATGTATAAGCGAGGATGTCCTGGAGAGTCTGTTTGGGACAATGAGGCAAAGGAGAGACACAGCAAGGCAATATGAATCCATGATGAAGGGTGGGAAGTGGGTTTGATGAAAGTTCGAGCATGCAAGCTGTGGCTAGGGGTGATGTTGGATGATCTTGGTCAAGCTTGGTTAAGCTTGACACGCCTAAGCCTCCTATGTCAGGCTTAAATGGCCTACCATCAAAGGCTTGTCTTACTTGTTCTTCTCCAGGCCACACACGTGATGCAGTGACTGGATTAAGCAGTTGAAGTGGAAAGTGGAATGCCCGTATCCTTTCATCCCTTGACAGAGTCTTGTGTGATTTGACTTGCAAACTTGATATCACACCATGCCAACGCATTCTCACTCAACTCATGTTTGTGTCTGCCGAGTGCAGTTGTGGCCCAAGCCATGACAACAGTGCATCACACCATCTGAGGGGGAGATACATGACATCTGCACCAAACACTACTCAAGCCACTCGTGGCTACTTCAGTGGCTACCATACCATCAACTCCGTACGTTTACAACACTGGATGTACCAGGTTAGTAAGGTACCTCACTGTTAGTCTGACTTCATCTCGCGTTAGATGGGATAGTATTTCTACTCGCCTAAGCCCTCCTATCAGAGAAGCCATTCATTCTGTTGGACCATTACCCTTGCATGTCTTGAGGCCCAACGAATTGATTCACGTGATGTTCTTACAAGAGTGGAAAGTGCATACCTAGGTACATACTTTGGTCTCGAGGAGGCAAGAACCAACAACAATTCAGAACTTGCCCCGCATAAATACTTTTTGTCCATTTCAGTCGAGGCTTCCACGTGATACTTATACCTCTGACTCAGCATGGCAACGGTAATCCCCCGTGTCCCCTGACGGACGATCCTCCCATGAGGCAGATATCAAGCAGAGTGAGGTAGCATGTCTCGAGCGGACTGCACCCCTGGTTATCACCACGTCTAGACTTCCACTTGCCGGATTGCATCCATCGAGGAGATGCAGCTAAACAAGTGTCCCATTTTGCCGGAATCGCAGGTCCTGTCGCCACAAATGGTGGATACATGGCACATGGCCCCGCGTGCCCGGCATACGATAAGAATCTGACCTCATTCTTCTACGCTGGGAGCATGCTGGGAGCACCGGGGTGGCTGTTCCAATGTCCAATGCCGATCGATACTTGGTGACATTTCTCCAGGATTGGAGAAAATGCCCCGCTGATCTCTCCACACAGTAGAGGGGGTATTATCGCCAATCTCGAAAGCGCGGTCTATAAAAAGTTCCGACTCGGTGATAAAGATGAGAACCGCATCATTCAGATATGGTGCTCGAGGCATGTCGTGCTGTCAGTATTCCAGCGGGGTTTGGAGCCACATTGGGCCATGTGGTCAAGCCCCACGAATTGATGCGAAATGGCTTGGACTTTTGCCCTGGGGAGGGTGGTCTTGGTACGGTAGGGCTGTCTTGGTTTCCTGCCAATCTGTGGCATCCAGAGCTTCACACTGGTCTGTCAGCTCCAGAGGGACGTGGAGGGACCCTCCACTCGAAAAATGGGATATCTCCGCGACCGCTTTTCCTGGGGGGTGCCCGAATCTGGGGTTGTCACTTTGTTTCTGGTCGGATGAGTACATTAACCCACTATGCCGAGCGACTTAGGAATCCCGCCATTCCATTGTTCTTCTCCGACCACTTGGGTGAGCCGATGATTGCCTCGGTAATGTCATCTTGGCATATACATGGGTCATATCTACGAGTTTGTCGACAGGACTCTCGTGTTCAGCCATTCTATTTCCTCCCTCCGCCGCGCCTTATATGGTACTCCGTATGTTGTCGAATGGATTCCCCCCTTGAATAAGGAGACGACCATTCGAAATGCTTCTCGGGCTATTAGTCAACTCGGCGCCCCGGCCACCAGTGTGCCAACCTATCTCCACGCCTCCCCGTGGCCTCCACATCCGACTTCCAAGCGAAAACATGCGGGCCTCCGCTCACTTGGCGCGACTTGGATCCATTCCATGCCTCAAAATGAGAGGTCAGGAGGCTGAATAGCGACTTGGCGACCTGGCTGACTCTTCTCCACCTCCAAGAAATCATTTCTTTGGCAGAGCGCACAAGTCTCCCACTTCACCAAGCAATCAACCCCATGCTCGGCATATCTGTGGGGCTTACCTTTTAAAACTCCTTTGAGTTTCGACGCCTTCAGTTTTCCCCGTGAGATAACAATTTTTGGCCAGTACAGTCCAGCGCATCTATACTGTACGCGCACTCATTCAAGATGGCCCCTTTACACGACACTCACAGGTATGCTCGGTCGCATTGAGCATCTTAGTCAAGATGGCTACTGACCGTCCTTTAGTCATGCGCATGAAGAAGACGTGCCTGGCACATTCAATCTCCAGGCCGAAGGTGAGACTCCGTAAATAAACATACAACAAACAGGTCTAACAATTGCAGAGGGAGCCGAGACTGGTTACGGCCAGGCATTGTTCCCAGTCCCCAGTGCCGATCCCAATGACCCGTTACAAGTGAGCTACGCTTTTTTCTTTTCTTTCAAACGACTCAGCTAAGCCAAATTTTCAGTGGTCGTACTTCAAGAAGGCAATGATACTCGCGATTGTTTCTCTATACTCTTTCTTGGCCAACACTTCTCTCCTGGGACCTGCCGTTTATATTGGAATCTTCATCGAAACCTTCGGAGTGGACCAAACAGCAGCGTCCGGCTTGATCAGCTATCCAAACTTGTCATTTGGATTTGGTGCCCTTCTCCTAGTTCCCCTCTTCATTAAGATCGGTCGCCGACCAGTCCTGATTCTGTCCATGCTGCTGTATTGTGGTGGACTACTGGGCTGCGCGTTGTCCAACTCATATGGCTCTTTGATGGCATGTCGGGTCATTCACACCCTGGGCTCGGGCATTTGTGAGGTGATTCCTATTCAACTGGTCAACGACATCTTCTTTATTCACGAGCGTGGTAAAAAGCTCGGGTGGTACACAGGTTAGTGCATCCTGACAGCAGCCAGAGATACGGTCCGCTGACGCTGGTCAATAGTCTGCCTTTGCCTTGGTTCCACGGCACCCCTGTACGCTGGATATATGCTTGCTGGAGGCTATGAATGGAGACTTTTCTTTTGGGTCGAATTCGCCTTTGGCTGCGCCCTGCTCGTCCTCACCTTTATCTTTGTTGAAGAGACTCGCTATCACCGGGTCCTTCCCGCCGACCCTGCTACATCATCAGTCGATGTGGATGGAAAAGAGGACGTCAAACACATTCGAGATGTCGAAGAGATGCAGATTCCGCCGAGGAAAACCCGCATGCAACAGCTGAGTCTGTGGAGCGGTATTGATCACAATGCTCACTTTTTCAAGATTGCGCTCCGCTCGTTCACATACTACCTGGTCCCTGTGGCGCTTTGGGTCAACACAACATACGGTACGTTCTCCCCGTCCGTCGAAGTGCTGATAGACTTTTATCTAATTCTGCCAAGGAATTTACATTGGCCTTGGTGCCCTCACATTCAACTATACCTTTCCCATGAAGATTGTCCAACCTCCCTACAATTGGAGTCCGGTGAGCAGGCCGCAACGCATAGCACGAGAGATTCATACTAATTCAAGCAGACAAATTCTGGTTTAATTGCTGTCGCATCTGCGATCGGGTTTTTCCTCGCGATTCCTCTGACCCCGAGTTCCGATATCCTCGCAGCCCGACTTACCAAGAAGAATGGTTTCATTCGAGAGGCCGAAATGAGACTTGGAGCCCTTCTTCCACCCATGATCATTGCTCCTCTCGGGCTGGTAGTATACGGTCTGACTGCCGAGTACGATCTTCACTGGATCGGCTACTTCTTTGGCGTCGCCATGTGCCAGTGGGGAGCCTACTTCTATTTCACTTTCACGATGGCCTACGCAATCGATTCCTATTCCGCTAATTTGCCTGAGCTGTTGATTGCCACAAATTTGGGCAAGTCAGCAATCTCGTTCGGTATGGGTTATGGTGTGCTCGACTGGATCCTGGAACGCGGATATGCACGTGTGATATCAGGAATCTACATGGCTGTGATGCTGGTCAACAATCTGGTCGTCATCATCTTCATGATCTGGGGCAAGCGTATCAGAATCTTCATGGCCAACAGTTGGGTTGGTCGATTGCATACCAAGTCGGCATAGGTGAACAACTGGCGGGGCAGTGGCTATTAGGTGTTACGTCTCCATACCCAAGACTGAAAGATTCGGAATGCGGCGATGGATTGATGGTACCGTCACGATAATATTGTCTATTACAATGGCCCCAACGAACAAATTACCATTACTATGCTGTGAAGCTGCCGAGACCCCTCATTGCTTTGTAACATCCTTCCTTCGCATCGAGTTAGGATCGATAAATGAAGACTTGGGTCTAATACGTAGCTGGGTTGAGCCAGAAAATAAATCGGTTGCTACTTGCATCCACGTCTCCACATCTATATATGTATGCATATGCACAACTACTACTATGACTAGTGTTCGCGAAAGGGAAAACGACATCCAAGCAGGGGATGAATTTTTCCGCCTCGAATGAAATTGACCCAAAATTGACGATCTTTGCCGTTCCTGAACTCAAAATGACCAAGTCTTGACAAGCTCCATCCACTTTCCTTGACCGTTGCTTTTCCGTGCTGTCCAGCGGTGTCACAAGTGCCACAAGCGCCCAAGGTTCCGGCAGCAAAGGTTTGCAACGCCTTAAACGTCGCCGCGGGCTGACCCAACTTTCTGCTCAATAGCTACATCATCCGGGGTTTTGCTGGAACTCTCTCCGGATACCCTGATTCAGTCCACCTCTGGTTGGTTGGCTAAGGGTCCCTTTCTCTGCCTTCGGATCATAATGCCCGTCTTCCGATTCATTCCTCGTGCATGGGCGGTAGAATTGCGGAGATGGTCCCCTACATTGTTGTAAAGTATAAGAGAAGTATCCTCGTGGGAAAATCTAGGTATTGAGCATCTACCTTTACATCGACTCAAGCAGACCGCTTTCTGGAGATCGCCGTCTTCTGCATGAGTTACACACTATGGCAGCAGCACGCCATGAAGAACCTGTCGTCGAATCGACTACCAATGCTCAGGCTCAGAAAGCCATCGAGGATCCCGTGTCTACGCAGCACTTGGAAGCTAATGTAGCCCCTGAAGCCCCAAAACTCACCACGCAATCAATACTCGCCGTGATCGTAAGTTTGCATGGCCCTCTTTCAAGCCTGCCGCAGCTGAACGCTTTTGCAGTCCCTGTGTCTAGTCTACAATGGCTATCTATTCACCCTTCTCATGCCATCAGTCATTCTCTCGGTCATAGTCAGCGATCTTGACCCCGACCCTAACTACCCATGGATCACTATCACGTAAGTCATTCACAAAAGATCCAGATGGCAACTCGTTGCTGATGGCTTCCCAGTTGGAACCTTGCTGCCGCTGTCATCGTCACAGTCGGAGGTCGCCTAACGGACATATTTGGTCGACGGTGGTTTATGATACTTGGTACAGTATTTGGTTTGCTCGGTGGCCTAGTAGGGGCGACAGGTCAATCCGTTTCGCAAATGATCGCTGCTGGCATTCTGATGGGGTTTGGCGGCGGCTTTCAGGAAATTGTTTTCGCATGTGTTCAGGTTGGTGCCCGATTGTGCGAGACGTTGGAGTATTTAACCCATCTAACGGTTCGAACAGGAAATTGTACCAAACAAGTACCGTCTCCTTATCCTAGGTGAGACCGTTCTTATATCAAGTCATTTGTTATCAACAGCTAATAATATGTTAAGGATGCTTGGAAATCTCAAACGTATTCGCCATGTTTTCTCCTCTCATCGGCTACGCCTTCATCACCTACAGCCCTATCACATGGCGTGCATGCTATGTCTGGATGGTGTCCTTTGAGACAGCCGCCGCAGTAGGCCTCTACTTCTTCTATTGGCCGCCGTCTTATGAAACGAAACACAAGTACGATGGTAAGAGCAGGATCGAGTTGCTTAAGGAACTTGACTATGTGGGACTATTCCTTTTCACCGCTGGTTGTGTGCTCCTCCTTCTCGGCCTCAATTGGGGTGGGCGACAGCATCCGTGGAAAAGCGCTGCAGTCATCACACCCATTGTACTCTCTGGACCATTATTTGTCGCATTGGGCTTCTATGAAACATACCGTCCACTCCGATACCCGATTTTGCCGGTCAAGATGTTCAAGAAATGGAGAGAGTAAGTCATGCTTGGTCCTCGCCAGCCGGGAACTCATCTGATTTTGCTACAGCTTCACCTCTATCATTGTGGTCACCTTTATTGGCGGTATGCTTTACTATAGTCTCAACGTGTAAGGCCTACAGCCCCTATAATCCAGCCCCTTACTCACAATATTAGATTATGGCCTCGGCAATCGACAATTCTGTTCGTCCCTCCTGGCGATCCGATAATTCGTGGTGTGTATGCCAATATGGTTTCTTTCGGGACCATATGTGCCGGTATCTTGGTCTTGACTATCGTTCCATGGATCGGTCATGAACGCTGGCAGCTTGTCGGGTTCCTGGTCGTTCAAACAGTCATGATTGGAAGCATGTCAACTGTCGGGGTGGGAGACCGTGCACAGGCCATTGCCACCGTCATCATCATCGCCGCTGTCGTAACACCTCCTCAGTTCCTTGCCTTTGGTATGGTCTCTTTGGGCTTGGATGACCAGAATGATATGTGAGAACACCAAAATGTGACATGTTTATGTGGCTAACCAAGTCGACTAGTGGAGTATCCCAAGGTGTTCTAGGCACATCTCGCCTGATCGGAGGCGCCATCGCCACTGCGATCTACACCGCAATCCAAGCAAATGAGTACAACAATCTCGTGGGACCCAAGGTTACAGAAGCAGCTACAGCCTCTGGCTTTTCTGGGAACATTACAATGCTTGTCAAGGCAGCTACTAATGGAACTGCGGCGGCTTACGAAGCCGTGGGAGCCTCGGCGGCGCAAACAACGGCGGTTCGAGCTGCTGTGTTGGAATCAAATGCCGAATCCTTCCAGCTGGTTTACAAGGTAGCTGTGGCATTTGGTGGGCTTGCTGTTCTGATTGCTTGCACGACGAGAAGCATTGACGTCAATAAGAAGAACGCTTCCAGGGCCGCGATCCTGGAAAACGAACGCAAGGAGGTTGAGCCAGATGAAAAAGTTGCAGTTTGATCTGGATGGTATCTAGAGAGGCGATATAGACGCCATATGTTGTCAGAGACATCGTATCAACGCTTAGGTCAGAGACATCGTGAAAGAGCAATCCCGAAGTCGCTGACGAGGCTCAAGCCAAGTAACTTGCTTATGACGATCTGACACACAAATCAATAACATTCCATAGAATAGATATATTCTTCTCTAGAGAACCACTAAAGAGTGTGTTAGCTGGACTATTTAACATGCCTCATAGGTCACGAGGCTGACTCCGTAAGGGGCCAAAGAAACCGGCTTACATAATACAATTTTTTTGATGCCAAGGCCTTGGGACCTCTCGACGACAGATTCATTCTCGATTCAACTTGGGTTCTTCGTCGTCAACCTCATCCATTACCGCCATAGGAATCCCAATTCCATGTCGTTAAAGGGAGCAGTGTTTTAATTCTGGTCAGCGTGCTGAACGCATACACCGTGAATGGAATATTAGCGTCAACATGCGCGTTTCAGTCTCAACCGTTCTCAATCGAGCAGCAGCGCGACTAGGACATCAAAGAAGGCAAGGCACTGTCACAAGCAGGCCACTGATATGGTCACTGCCGAAGTTCTAGCCCGATCGAACCTGGCCAGCCACGTAGTCAGAGCAGTTCGCCAGCTTTGGTACAATGGCCTGGAGAAGCATACAGTCAATGGGGTTGCCAAACTCGGTAGGTGGACGCACAATATGTGTTATACTGACACCGTGGAACTTGAATCTGACATTCCCACAGGAGTATGTGTCAGTGGAGGGCCGGACTCTATGGCTTTGGCCGCCCTACTCAAACGTGTGCCTGAGCTCGATCATGAGTTGAAAATCGAGCCTGTCGCATTTATTATCAATCACAATGCACGACCTGAAAGTGGCGCCGAAGCGGCATCGGTGAACCGGAATCTATTGGACTATGGTAAGCTTAAGTGAGATCCCCCATTCTCCGACTGAAGCTCAATTTCATCAAGGCATCAAAAGTCAGACACTGCACATGCAGTGGCCAGATGTCGCGGAACCTCTGGCATTGCCCAATTTTGAGGCTGTAGCACGCTACAAACGCTATCGTATGTTTGCTAGGGCAGCCCTGGATGCCAACATCCGACATCTATTCCTCGGTCATCACCAAGATGATCAGGTTGAAACTATTATGATGCGACTTTTGAAGACCCAAACACGTTCTTTCCTCAGCCTTCAAGGTATCTATGCTCAGGGAGCCATTCCTTGCTGCGAGGATATTCCTGGCGTTACAGGGTTGCACCCCGATGCTTACTGGCCTGAACCAAGTCCTACCTCACCATCACAGGACGGTGCCAAAGAGGCTGGGTATGGTGACGAACCCAGATCTCCTGGCATCCAAATCCATCGACCCCTTCTGGACTACCCAAAGTCTGAACTTATTGATACCTGCACTACGCTTGGGATCCGCTACGTTACAGACCCCTCGAATTTCGACCCGAAGATCACAATGCGGAATGCGATTCGCCATCTGCGAAGCAAGTATCGACTTCCTCGTGCCCTCCAAGCACCCTCGATCCTACAATTGTTGAAATCTTCTCGCGAATCCATGGCTGACCTAAACCGCCGAGGTGGCAAGTGTCTTCAGAAGGCCAGAGTCGTGCACTTTGATCCGCGCGTCGGTTTCATGCAAGTTTATTTTGAACCAGCCTTCCGAAAAACCTGCAGAAAGGATCCTGAGGCTGCAGCATATGCTCTGGCGAAGCTGACCGCCGTAGTCAGCCCACAGTCTCGTGATGTCGTTCCCACTGTTGTCCCAGAAGACCGTTTGAAAGAGTTCCAGGCGATTTTGATCTCCCCAAACAATCATGGTTCGGTGACAATGCAACAAGTGTGGCTTGAGAAATTGGCCATTTCGCCTTATGAGAATCAAACAGGCAGTTTGTGGCAGCTCTCAAGACCACCACTCCGCAAACCGGAAATCGTGGCGACAACTGCATCCTTCCAACCCTTGTCCAAGATTCAAAACGGAAATTATATTTCTCATTGGCTGTTATGGGACCGGCGGTTTTGGATCAGGGTCAAAGCGAAGACGTCGCACGACATCGAGAAAACCACGGTTGAGACATTCGGGCCAAGTCGCCTGGCAGATATCAAACGTCTCGTCTCAAAAGCCCGGTCCTTGGAGTTGAGCGAAACTCTGTCGAATTCAGCGCCAGACAAGCTCAGGTACACGATACCGGTATTGTTGTATGATGGGCAGCTTTTATCCTTGCCTACGCTTGATTTTGCGATCCGCCGCTCTGCTGAGCGTTCGCCGATTGTGGGTTGGGAGTCTTACTTCAAGGAGATTCCGCAGGCGCTACTTTGACCACAGCGTCGACGAACGACACTGAAACTTGGCGATGGGGAGTTCTTTGTTGAATGTGGCAGCGAGCGACCTTGGAGGATTGTGGTGGAAAAACAATTACCAGTGGACCGATGTGTGCTTCTTCAGCTGAAGAGTTTCACTCCACCTCCACGAATACGCTGCACCATGTTGTCCACAAATCGTTGGATGATCTGACCCTTTTTACTCGCCGCAAGAAGCTTGTAAAGCAGATGGGTTTCGACCGGGATAGTGCCGTCATCGACCTCGTCCAAATACAAGATGATGATAATGGATGGAAATATAGCACCGTGGACACCAAATGAGCCGACCGCTGGTTTCAGAAACGTCGGGATCAACTCGAGGAGCCTCGACAATATATTCTTGGAATGCCGACGTAGTCCCGATATGACCTGCGCCGAGGACAGACTCTCAGGCACCTAAGTCTGTGGCATCTCATCAGTATTTCCTGCACTACTGGTATTGGTGCAGTTGAGCCTCACGATAGTTTCATAGTAAGCTCAACGCCTCTCAAAATGACTAAGAATGTCTCCGTTGCAAGACCTGGCACTCTATTCGTAGCTCGTTCTCGCCTAGGGGTGGATTTCATACAGGAGGGGCCAACTCAGTAATGATATACGTAAGCATGGCCTCGTCGCACCCGTCCTCTGTCTGTCTTCCTCCCACAGGCCATCCATTGGAAAAAGTGTGCATCTCTCCTTTGCCAATGTACTCATTGATTCTGACGCCAGCATCCCTCGACCGTTTGATCCATCGAGTGCTATCAGTCATCAAGATCTCGGCGTCGCCGTAGAAGATCAGCTGGGGTGGTAGTCGTGACACGTCAGGATTGAGGACGGGACTGATCTCTGGCGTGTCGAATGGTAGTCCCTCGGGTCTGAGTATGTCATTCATGGCTTTGAATGATTGATCGTATTTTCGAATGTAATCCGTGTCCAGAAGAGGATGGCCCTTGATTCCTGTCAGAGCGCTGGTGACATCTGTCCATGGAGAATGAGCCACGGCGCATCGAGGCTGTGGAAGATTTGTATGGTCGCGAATGTAGAGCATGGCGAGGAGAATCAAACCACCTAGACCATTGATTTAAAATTCACGCGTTCTCATCAGGCTAGAGCGGGTAGCCCTAGTCACTTACCTCCTGCTGATGTACCTGAGAAGACAATTTTAGATGCTGGCACACCTTGATCGAGTAGCCATTCGTACATGGCCATGTAGGAATCTCTTTGTGCCGGCCACCTCTTGGTTGTTGACAAGGCTAGATTGTGGGTATTAGTTCATGGAGATGGAGAATAGGTCGATGCTTGGATAGATCTGATGGGTAGTGGATGGAGTGACTTACGATACTTGACTGTCACATATGCAATATCCTGACCTCGGGCTTTGGCCTTGCCGATTATGCGAGGAAACATGGTAGAATTCTGCAATCCGTGACCGATGGCGTACCCACCGCCGTGAGCAAATAAGATGACTGCATCCTTGTTCTTCAACTCGGCGACTGGAGTGTCAGGTAGCACCCAGCCTCCAACTGCACTCTTCTGGCCGAGCGGCGTATTGTACTCTCCGGCGGCAAAGACGATTTCCTGGCACCCGTGCCTTCTAGGTTCGGAACAGAATATGTCGGAATTTGCCTCATGAGCGGTATAAATCCATTCACGTGCCAATGCATTACGCAAGGTGAGTTTGCGGATGCGAAATGGCAAAATGATACGGGTCAAGAGCAGGACAGTACTTCTCAAAGAAGCCAGAGTCACCACCTTGAGGAAAGTAAAAGGGTTCCTCAGCAAGACGTTCCATTTCACGGGAGGCATGGCGTACTGAGAGGCGCCAATATGACTGTGGATTGAGGCTGGATGCGCCGTACTTCGGTCTACGTTGTCAATGCCTTTGATCAAAGGTCGGAGTGTGCACGGATGAGATGTAGAGGAGCACGAGGAAATGCGGCCTACTTGAGCATTGCACCTAGATTGCCGAGTCTATCGTCGTGGAAGACAACCATGGCAATTGATAGCCGAAACTAATCGATCTGTGTTCTAATACGTCCCTCATGCCGGGTTGTAAGGCGGCTCGCGGGTGGGGGCTTGGCTGCTTTGGTCGGGCGTCCTATACCACTGTTTGTCCGGAAGAAGCGATGCTCTAGTCTTGTAGGGTATGGTGAGACACAATCAACATGTAGATAGAGCCCTACCAAGCACATATGCTGAATCCAGATAATTTGTCGCGAGCCTCGCCGCTCATATCAAAGGCACAATGTTATACCACGTGACTCGAGATGTAAATGGGGCTTCTCCACGTGCGTCATCCAGACTCTTGAGACTCTTTGCCTTCTTCTCCGCATTTTCGGACATCTCCTCCACCGCCAGCCTCGGTCTGGGCAGAGAAGAACGGTTTTAATAACGACTTGACCCCTCGTGATGAATGGTCCAACCAACCTGACTAGCTAGGCCTCCTTTCTTGATCATCGACAAACAAAGAATCACACATCACCATGGCAGCTCAAGTAGAAGCGCTTTCTGCACCAGCACAGATATTCGAAAATGCTCCTCCATTTCCAGATGACGTTCCCACAGCGCCTCTTCTTCGACTCTCGCTAGCCAAACTGCTCGATCGAGATGCCGACGAGGTCAATCGTTTCGTCCGCGCTTGCGAAGATCTCGGATTCTTCTATTTGGACCTTTCTGGACCAGGAGATTCGTTGTTGGCCGATGCCGATGCCCTGTTCGATGTTGGAGCGAGGCTGTACGACCTTCCGCTCGAAGAAAAGAAGAAATATGACTTTATGCACAAGAAGTCGTATTTCGGATACAAGGGATACGGCGCCAATGTGGTTGACAGAGCCGGGAACCTAGATCGCAACGAGTTTTATAATGTAAGTACTGTCGAGAGCCGTCGAGAGCTCTTCCCGTGTTCAGGGTGGTGCTGAACAAGACAGGTATCCAAAGATGACATCCTCGGAATATCCGATCCATGGCCTGCACCAAACGTACTCGACTCGCAGAGGCCGCTTTTGAAATCCTTCATAACATCCTCACATGGTATTGTGCAGCTCGTCCTTGAGCTACTGAACGAACACCTCCGACTCCCACCCAACACTCTGCAGGATATGCATCGAATTGAAGATCGGTCAGGAGATCAAGTACGCTTTGTCAAAGCCCCACCACAGCCACCAGACGACAAAAAGACTGCATTGGGCGAACATACCGACTTTGGCAGTGTGACTGTGTTGTTCAATCGACTAGGTGGACTCCAAGTACTCCCTCCAGGTCGAGACGCCGAGTGGTGTTATGTGAAACCTTTACCAAATCATGCCATTATCAATCTGGGGGATGCCATGGTCAAGTTCACCAATGGACTCTTGAGGTCGAATATTCACCGTGTCGTCTCTCCACCTGGTGAGCAGGCTGAGCATACTCGTTACTCACTGGTTTATTTCAATCGCCCAGCAGACGATGTGATGCTGAAGCGACTGGATAGTAGCGAGATGATTCCTCCTCTTGAAAAGGACGAGGTTGAGGAGGAAATCAACAGCAAAGATTGGATTATTCGCCGGGCATTGGGTCATCGAATTGCCATCCAAGGAGACAGCGCTTTCGACTTTGACAAGATCCGTGGTACTGAGGCCAAGAGTCAGCGAGCATATCTGTAAATGCTGGAATATAGTTTGATGACGGATATGACTCTTCAGGACAACTTATTGACAATACATAGGGTTGAATCGTTGGAAAATTGCACTCTCCCTGTCATGTTTCAATAAAAGAAGATATCTTGATATTGGAAGCCGGATCATGTATTCTTCCGATCCGTTGGAGTCTTCACAAGAGTGGAGTCACTCTGACATGAACCTGTGAACTGATTGGCTGATTTGTTCGGCACTTGCCTCAAACCGCTCACGCCCGCTTCTACCAAATCAAGACTAGCGTATTGTCCCACAGAATATTTTTCCCTCTAATAAACCTTTTACCAAAAGTTCGCAGTGGGTGAGAGTATTGAACAACCTACATCAATATCTTTCATGGGCTTTAATGCCTGTCTCATCCCCTCCTGTCACTTAATCCCTCCTAGCCATAATCATCTTTACGTTATTGACCGTCCAGTCGATCACATTTCCCATGCCCTTGAGGAGCTTGAAGGTCCATGGCTATGTCGCTAGCCCCGCCACTTCGTCGGCCAATGATGCCGACCAGTGTATCTTTACCCATCACAAAATCACATAGACCTTCTCTGCCCAAACAACGCTCAACACTCAAGCGATCGATCGATGAAACCAGCTTCATGGATGCCCCTTCGAGCCCTTCAAAGCGGTCCCGCGTGACCTTTGACTCTGATGTCGAGATCGTCTCTGCCGATGAGGAAGAAGAGTTGGACCCTTTGGTAGTCAAGGAACAAGTTCGCAGAGCCATTGAGAAACATCGTGTGAGAGATGACGAGTCATATGAACGCATAAAATCCATCTTCTCAACTCCGCATGACAAGGAAAATTCACCCTCCACCAAAGTGCTCAAAATTCACCTCCAAGCACTTCTTGCAAACATCACTTCTCTCAACAAAGACTGCTCCGGATTGGTCAATGCCCTTCTATACAGTGAATGGGTCGGTAGAGACCAAAATTATTACTCCACCTATGTTCGGTTTCTGAATAACTTGGCCGCTGCTCAGCGAGGTTATCAGCATAAAATCATGGGCGTCCTCGTGGATCTACTTGGCCCACAAAAGACTCGAAGAATAGGTGGAGCAAAACCTGTGCGACAGTCCACCATGCACCGCCGGGTTTTGCAAGCTATGCAGTACATCACAACCAATGTACCATCGGCTTCTGCTGCACTTGCAGACCGATTTTCCGCACGCCTCGAGTTCGACTTCCAAAAGAGTGAAGAGCGCATGACCTACATCCGCAATCTCATGGAATTGATCAAGTATGTGCCAGAGTTGACCGCAGAAATTTTGACCACTGTATTGCGCGAGTTGATCAAACTGGACGTCTCTGTACAAGTCGATTTGGACGACGAAGAAGATGATGCCGAAGAAGACATCCTCCAACACATGTCTTCCTCACAAACTCTCATCGCCCGGCAATCTCAAGACCTACTCAAGAGCCCGTTGGACTCAGAGAATGACGACTTGACCACCTCTGATGAAGATTCAGATATGGAAGACGACGACGTGGACCCAGCAACGATGCGCCGACGCAAGTTAAAGGACGACATTCGTCAAGTGGACATGATCATGGACATTCTTTTCCAATACAATGCAAAGCTCACCACGTCTACCAATCTGCAGACGCGCGACACTGCCATCGAACAACTCCTCACCCAGTTCCATACTCAAATCCTTCCTTCATACCGATCTCGACACCCGCAGTTCCTCGTCTTCCACTTTGCTCAGTCTGATCCTATCATCGTCGATCGCTTTGTGACGTCCTGTGTTGCAATCCTAGTCGACAAGAAGCACCCTCATCACATCCGCCAGAGTGCCGCGGCCTATTTCTCCGGATTTGTCGGACGCGGTGCACATGTCTCTCCTCAAGTGGTCCAAGACTGCCTGGAGCTACTATGCGACCATCTCACTGTTCTAAGAAGATCGTACGAAGTCTCTTGCACTGGGCCGGATCTCAAAAAATACGGTGACTTTTACGCCGTATTCCAGGCGATCCTATACATCTTCTGCTTTCGATGGCGGGACGTTGCCTCCACTAGCGAAGACCTTGAATCCGATTCAGAATTCGAAGCAGATGAAACGACGATAGAAACATACCATTTTCCAGACTCTCTTCGCGACTCGCTGAGGGGTGCGATCTACTCTCCTCTCAATCCATTACGTGTCTGCACTCCCGTCATCGTCGAACAATTTGCAAAACTCACCTTCGCCTTGCAACTGTTCTATGTCTTCCCTAAGATTGAGGAGAACAAGCATGTACGACTTCCAACAACCCATGCCAGGAGCACGACCGATCTGAGCATAAGCAATCCAGACCGCGATCTGAGCTGGGTCGGTGATAACGGTATGCTCGAGGGATACTTTCCTTACGACCCATACCATCTCCCAATAAGCCGACATTGGATTGAAGGCGACTACGTCACATGGAAAGGCATCCCTGGTGAACCACTGGACCAAGACAGTGATAGTGATGAAGACGGCATGGATGAAGATGTCGATCTCGACGAAGATCCAGACATGGACGAGGGGCTAGAGGGATGAGTGTGGACCCTGGTCCTGACTCGATCAGTTATCAGAAGCCTTCACGAAGAGTACGATGACCACGATTACGACTACAACACAAAAGTTCTTTCTATGTATGCTCACTTCACCGCGTTACGCATGGTGGCTCTCATTGTACTTGCAAAGCATAAGCACGCTCGGAGTCGGGATTTGATCGTATACGAATTGTTTGGTAGATGAAGTGCTCCGAAAGGGGAATGTCGATGGCCATAATAGTTCATCTAGAATAATCCATCGACCAGTACAGACTAGAGTTGGAATTGATTCCTGTTCTCATCGATGCCGTTGGAATGAACCTCATTCATGAACACACCACCAATGCTTTGCCATAGTTAGGCGTACACTTGACCGTAAAGTATTTTGAGAGTTCAGCCGCGGAGCATTCAGCCCTCTACCGCTGTTTCCCGTAATAATTATTTGGAGTTTTATTTGCGCCGCAGTCCCGCTCATCAAAGTCACGGATTTTCGGGTCAGAGGGTAAGGAATAAAACAGTACAGAATCTCGTCGCATGAAACAACCATTCCTAACCGGCGTGCATAAGGATTTGGATAACAGCCGTCCTCAGATATTTCATTTTCACTACTCGACTGGGCAACGCAATTTGATCTTCTCCGCTTCGCCTTAATCCTCTTCGAAATATTGTGAAAGCCCAAAGACAGCCAACAAATCACCACGAGACAAGATGCGGGCCAAACGAAGCAAGAAATATCGGAAAATCATGTCCAGCTATCAAATGGCATTTGGATTCCGCGAACCATACCAAGTTCTACTCGATTCACATTTCCTCAAGACCTGCTATTCCTTCCACATGCCGCTACAGAAATACGTCGAGAATACCCTCCATGGACAGGCGAGGCTGTTTATAACCAACTGTACATTGAGCCGGATAATGGCAGAGCATGAGAAGGAAAAGGCAAGACTCAAGGCCAGAAACGGCGAGGGCAATACTCCAAGACTGAAGAATCGACCAGACTTCTTGCCTCCCCCGCTGGACCTACCCATGCGGCATTGCAAGCACAAGAATGATGCAGGCGAGGATCTTGGAGTGATTAGTGAGGCGAGGTGCTTACTGGACTTGGTGGCAGACCATCCACATGGAAATGAATTGGCAAAGAATAAACAACATTACATCCTCGCAACGGCGGATGCTGATGAGAAAGAACAGAGGAGCAAGTCGTTTCTCAATGTCAGAGAGAGGGCGAGAATGATTCCTGGAGTTCCCATCATTTATGTCAAAAGAAGTGTCATGATCTTGGAGGAGTTTAGCGGAGTCAGCGCAAGGGTCAGGGTCAAGGCCGAAAAGGAGAAATTCTCCGAAGGACTAGTCAATGATAGGAAGCGGAAGAGAGGAGAAGGGGCCGACGACAGCAGCGATGAGGACGACGGTCTCGAGGTCTCAGAACATAATCCAAAGGGTCGTGGGCTGGGAAGGGCCAAAGGTCCCAATCCGCTCAGCGTCAAGAAGAAAAAGGCCAAACATTCACAGGAGGATGGGCCCCCTAGTACGCAACCAGATGGGTCTAGCGAAGGCCGGAGGAAGAAAACGCGGAGAGGCACAAGAGGGAAGCGCAGGCCAAAGGGAGAGAATGAAACTCTGAATACCACGGCCCAGACTGAGACCGGCGGCGAAGCGACAGGCGCAACGGATACATGAGTTATTTTCTTGAGAGGCGATTTGAACGATGCTCACGGACAAAAAGTGATTCCCCAAGGCTACATCGCATAGCATAGGCCAAAGGAAGTAATGAAGTGTATGGATTAGAATACAATGCCTTTCTTTTCCAACTCCTTTTTGGCGCATTGATTGATACGCTACTACTGCTTCGCTAGGAAAGCACGGCCATAGATGACCAAGCCCGTGACGGCGAGGACACCAAGTCCTGCAGGCAATGGCTTGCCGGTCTTGATGGCGCGAGGAATACTGCTGCCGGCGAGCACAATCGAGGCAAGCAGGGCGAGCTCGACGCCGTAGGGTTGTTTCTTAGAGATGCGGAGGCCTCCGAGGCCATACTGTGCACAACAGGCGTCAGTCAAACCTAACTAGTTTGATGAACGAGGGGAGAGGTGTCTCTCTCTTTCATACCAAAGCTCCGACAGTCAATCCAGCGGCAATGCTGGGGATTGATCCTGTCCGCACATAACCTGTCACTCCACCGATCGACGTGAGTGCGGCCAAAATGTAGGCGGGTGTTTCGTTGGCCTAGGGGTAATATTGTGAGCGGTGATCGGACTATCTCGTCAGGAGACTGCGAGGTACTGACCATACTGGACAAAGGTGGTTGGTCTTGGAAGATATCAGTACGGTGATGGAATTGCTCGGTCTGGTGTTCAGTAGTGGTACTTTTTTGGCGGCATTCAAGTTGTCCGACGCAGTAAAAGTAGGTACCTAGTAGTAATAATAATAATACCGCAAGTACGACTGGATGACACCATCCTGTGCCTGCCAGACTGCGGGGAGCACGGGGAGCAAGAGGATGAGGGCGGCGCGCATGCATCTCAAGGTCTGCATGATTCACAGCAAAGTGCTCCACGTGCTCCCACATACGGCGAACCGAACGGCTTCTTGTGCCACTTCTGTGGTAAGAACTAACGTAGGCGAACATCTGGCATCAAATCCATGATCCATCGGCCTCCACAACAACCAGACGAAGCTCAAGCAGCAGAAGAGCGCAATCCCGATCACGCCATCGTCTGATTCAGGCTGCAGTCACCCTGCCTCATCCTGGGAACTGAGATTGCTAGAACGACAACGATACCATGGCGAAGAAAGTCACACCAGGGCCGAAGCCTGCACCGGCAACTCCAACCAAAGTTCCAGCTGCCGCAGGTTCAACATTACCACCCTCGGTGACCCCAGCAAAGGTCCAGACACAATCAACGCTTTCACCTCGATCGTCTCCCCAGGAGATCATTGTTCACGTATGGAACAAATATGTTCAAGACACCCCCTCACGGACAATTCTCCTTGATGTCTTTATGGCATGGTTAGTAGTAGTTGGAGCAGTCCAGTTCCTGTACTGCATTCTGGCTGGAAATTATGTACGTTTCTCCCGTTGGGTATCTGCACTGGCCTTTTACATGTCTTATTGACCAACATCGCAGCCCTTTAATGCATTTCTATCCGGTTTCTCCGCCGCCGTAGGGCAATTCGTCCTCACTGCCTCTCTCCGAATGCAGACCTCCGAAAGACCCCCGGCGGACGCTTCACTGGTAGCGAAGAAGACCACGGCAAAGACCATTGATGGAGTCACGGGAGAGATCATCGAAGATACCAGGGTCAGCACCGAACGGGCCTTTGCGGATTTCGTCTTTGGTAGTCTGATCCTACACGGGTTCTGCGTCAACTTCATCAACTAGTTACGCTTGAATGAAAATGTACAACATAGAACGAGGGAGATAGACCAAAAGCAGGCCCTACCCAGGCGGGTTTTGGGTGTTGATTCGGTGAGGATGCCATGTATTCATGCATCTTGATTGGCATAGCTTGCCCTCGGACCCTCTTAGGCATCATGCAACGGTGCAATGCAAGGGACGTTAGAAGTCCTGGACGCAAAGGAGCACCAGTTACGCAGATCAGTTATTGCATTTCCATGGGCTCAACCAATGTCGAGCAAAAAGTTTTTAAGACATACATGACGGAGTTGCATCTTGCTGGACAATTATTAGAGGGGCCAGGCCTGAAAATCATGTTCTCTTAAATCACTCTACAGTCGTGGAAATCAACCCATTTACGGCCAAATCTGATCTAAGCTTTGGTCTTACTTCCATCACATCTATCATACTTGAGTAAGGGAAACTAGTAATGTGACCCCGGGGTCTGTGACACGACCATGCGGAAATAAGGCTGTGACGAGTAGTAGAAGTTTATAGGGCAACAACAGAGCCACCGCGACATAAATCGGAGTGCGATTGACTCGTCATCAAGTTTAGGGAGTGTACTTGTACTCTGTGTCTGTGTAGCCAAAAAAAACGATGACAAAGTGGCCGAGTCCCATTCTGAAACGCTTGGGAGCGCTGGGGCTCTAGTGTTTCACCATGGATTATCATCTCCTCAGGGCAGCTAAAAAGCACCACCTCCTTTGCTCTTTAATTATCGCTGAAATGTTATGACAACTTGCGCAAAATGAAAAGCGGCCACATCCTTGGTATTGCATTGCAGACTGCCTTTGCCGTCGTCGTCGTCGTCGCGTCAGACCCTGAGACGGTGGCACGGCGTGAACGAGAACAGCAACAATTACTTGAGCGAGATGACCTAGTCTCCGACGAGTTTATAAGGGGCGAAGATGGTCAGCACGACGCCAGGACGGTTGACGGATCGTCTACCGTTGGAGCGGCGAATTTATCAACAACAGATGGAGAGAGTGTGGCTCACTCCGAGGCCTGGACACATGAGCCTGTGTGTACAGAGTTTCTTGGCGAGCTCGACAGCCCGTTGTGCGTTTATACCAACTCTAGTTTCAGCGAAGGACGAGGCATTTCAATCTTTACAACACCAAAGATTGCAGATGAAATAGCCTCTCTTCTTCCATTCCAGGACGCAGCGGCTCTGTCAAGCCGAGGTATCAATGTCGCAACGGACACATGGTATACGAAGGAGATCCCGGGCAAGGGCATGGGGATGATGGCCAAGCATGACCTTCAGCGAGGCGAGCTGCTCACAGTTTACACGCCATTTCTGTTGGCACATACAGAGAATATCCTAAACACAACGGAGAGAGAAAAATATCTGCAGATTGGCTTGTCGCAACTGCCGAAACAGAGTCAAGAGCAGTACCGGGCCTTGGCCAAAATCTACCACTTGCCTGAGGTGGTGGTGCAAGATGTGGTGAAGGCCAACTCGTTTGAAATGCACCTAGGAGGACAGATGCACTTGGCCGTCTTTCCCGAATCTTCGAGGCTCAATCATGCGTGTGCGCCAAAGTAAGTGGGATTGAATATTGCTCACTCACATAAGTGGAGTGAAGCGGACTCGTGGCTAACGCAGGATATTCAGTGCACAATATTATCTTGATCCAGACCTTTTGACACACGTGGTTCACGCGGTGAGACCAATCGCAAAGGATGAAGAGATTACAATCTCCTACACGACTCCGTATGAACCGTTCTCGGTGCGGCAGAAGTACCTCGAGAAAGCATTCCACTTTACCTGTTCCTGTTCACGCTGTCAAGAGGGCGCAGCCACTGATAGTGGGTTGGTGGAGATTCATAACCTTCAAGAGAGCCTGGGCAATTGGGGGGCGGACTCAACGGCCAGTGTCAAAAAGGCGGAAAGACTGGTCAAGGTCTACGAGCAAGAAGGGCTCGATGCATTCCTCGACAATGCTTACGGCCATGCAGCCTTGATGTACAACTCGGTGGGGAGTATACGGGGGGCCCAAAAGTACGCTCGGCTGGCTGCTGAGGCTGCCTCTCTCAAACAAGGACCAGATTCTTCAGATGTGAAGTTTTGGTTAGAACTGGTGGAGAATCCTCAAGAGCATTCGAGCTGGAAAAGGAGAAAGGTGGATAGAGAGTTGTAAGGGCTAGGAGATCTAGGTAGATGAAGGATGAATATTGATATATACCTAAGTATGTATGTATTGTGACTACTAGATGTATCAAGAGGTTGCACGTGATACGTGCTGATGGGAGACTGTGACATCCATTTGCACGTGTAAATTTTGTCAAGCTATTTTTGTCCTACTTTTTAGGCATTAATATTAGGTTCTTATTAGGCACCGTGGGCCCTTGATAGGCACGGGTTCCGTCCCCGCGGTGGATCGATTCGCTCGCCCAAAAAGTCCCCAACCGGCCTCAACCGCGACGCTCTACCCTCCGTTGCCTCCGAATTTCTTTACTTTGAAGCTTGTCCGTCCATATGGAGGCATCACCGGCTATCAATGTGTCATCCAACGACTCCGTAGAAAACTAAGAGTCACTCCAAAAAAACACTCTCTCCCCCGGCTCCGCTCTTATCCTCGTCTCTCCGCTTCACTGCGTTGGGGCGCATGCATCTCAACTCCTCCCCCCTTCACCGCATTCATTCATTCCTCTCTCATCTATTGTTATCCTTGCCGATTGCCACTTGCCTCTGGCTCCCAGACCTGATCTCGTCTCATCCATTTTGGGATACCGTCTGGTCCCTCTACCTTATCAACACCCGCCCACAGCGCCTCTCATTATGAGAGCGCTACATCCTTGATGATAACACATGCTCACTCAGGTGATTCGACCATCTAGACATACCATACATTTCACGACCACCTTGAGTGTTGAATCATTACTTTCAACATCAAGTCGTCTCCCCAAGTTCTCACCAGCACCTTCCCAATCTCACTCAAAGCGACCGTGTACCCTCTCCCATCGCTCCTTCCACGTCTCATCGCAGCAACTTACTGGCTCTGACCCTCAACAACGCGCTTTCTTCACCTACTCATCTTCTGATACTCGCCGCCATCTCATCTCAGAAGGTCGCACTACCACTCACAAAGACGATCAACCCACCACATCCTCCTCACCCTCAGCTTCTCCCTTCTTCCTCGAAACGGGCTACTCTATCTTCGCCAAACGCCCCAGCCGTGCCTTCCCACCTCCCTTCGTATCCCTCCCGTCAGGCTCATTTTCTGACCCACTCACCACTCACAACAACCCCGTTCGCGGCCGCCGTCCATCATATAATGGTGAGCCTATTCGAGGCATCACCAATGGCGATGACGCCATTCTGATCGGCGATCAAAACTTCCTCGCCGTCAACGACGGTGTAGGCGCATGGGCTCAGAAGGAACGAGGCCACGCTGCTTTATGGTCTCGCTTAATAGCACACTTTTGGGCCGTCGAGATCGAAAAGTCACTCAGCTCCACCGATAGTGATGCCAATAGCAATGGCGTTAAGCTCGAGGATCTTGACCCTATAAAATGTCTACAAACCGCCTACGAGGAGACTAAACTTGCGACTAAAGGCAGGGCCGAAGGTCTTGCTGTAGCTGACGCCGTTGCCTCCGGTGCGTTTGATGATCCAAAGCAGAAAACCTCCGACCTGTCTCCCTCAACCACATCCTCAAAGAAGTCAAAATCAAAATCCAAGGACAACGACAAGGACAATGAGAAAGACCCGTTCGACATTCTCGGCACAACCACGGCAAGCTCTGCCCTGCTTTATCACAAACCTAACCCCTCCCCACCGCCTCCTGATCCAGTCCCAGTCATCCTCGCTACTTCGCTGGGAGACTGCAAAGTCCTAATCGTCCGCCCTTCCACCAAGTCGGTCATTTATCGTTCCACAGAACAATGGCATTGGTTTGATTGCCCCCGTCAGCTTGGCACAAATTCACCTGACACTCCTTTGACGAATGGTGTCACCGAGATTGTCGATGTTCAAGTCAATGACATGGTTGCTGTACTCAGCGACGGTGTCACTGACAATCTGTGGGAACATGAAATCTCGGATATTCTATGCCAGGGTGTCGAATTGTGGGAGGGTGATGGTGAAGGCGAAGAAAAGGCGGATGCTAACAAAGACGGCATCGTCTATGTCGCAAGAAAACTCATGAACGCAGCCCGGGAGATCGCCACTGATCCTAACGCAGAAAGTCCATATATGGAACGAGCCTTTGATGAAGGTATCGCGGCAGAAGGTGGTAAGCTGGATGACATCAGTGTCGTCTTGGGCATAGTGAGGAAAAGAAAATCACCAAGGAGCGAAAACGACAAGGCAGATTGATATCATGATGCTCAGTGTTGCCGAATATAATTCGTGGACCTTCCCAAAGTTCCACTTTCAGCTTACAGCAGTCCGGTCACCGCTGACGGTCTTCGATGCGCTATGAAAGCTGAACGACACTCAACGAGGCATCTAATGCCCGAAATCGGTTCCGCATTCTGTCTCCGACACAAGCCCGCTGCAAGATTCGCGAGTGCTGTTTGTTCTCTGCCAGCCACTGCCACAGCTTCCCCATCAGGTGCTAGAAATGGGAAATCCTCTATCCAAGATGTCTGCCTAGTCCACATGGCAAAACAGTCAGTATCCGCAAGCCAGAGCAAGCTCCCCAGCGCATGTACCACATTAAGACTGGATCAAGATACGCGATTTGACGGAGGTAGCTTGCCCTGGGTTCCAGGGGCCCTTCAAGGCAGCTTGTGGGTCCCAATAGTTCTCGGCAACAATCACCGAGTCGTTGGCTCCAAACTCTCTTGGATAGGGTACCTGTATGTTGATGGTGGCGATGGCTGTCGCCTGGTTTGTCCTAGTGGCTCTCAACACGTGCAAAGCATGGTCATACATATCGAGGAAACAAACACCTCCTTCATGGGTTTACTGGTGGCATACAAATGTTCTGATTCTTCATCATCCGTGGCGCTAGTGTGAATAGCTAGCTAGATTGCTAATATTGTATAGCCCTGAGTTACAGATGTTCAATCTCTGTGGGCCATCCAGAGTCGAACATCTATGTGTCTTAGATTTCCCGACGCCTTGCCATGCCCATGACTGACGGTTGTTCGCGTAAATCATGTCTGCTTTGCAGTAAGACTCCACCTTTAGTTTCGATCGCCTCTTCAAAGCTAATCGACCACAGTGTGTGATGAGACAGAGAGCATAGTCGCTAGCTATGAGGACGTCGCGATTAATTTCTGGCTTTCGGCCAATCTGCGTAGACCAGGTCGGTCAGAGTCGAACGCTCTCACAATGTGGCAGAAGGCAACTTTCTGAACAACTTCAACAAAAGAGCTGAGCCATCCGCCGGCGCTGTGGGTGCTCCTGGTGCCACAGAAACAGCATCACCGACCTGGCCAAACCTTTGGGTCGACCATATTCGAAGCCAAGGTACTGTTCAATTCTCCACCATCGTTCCTCATCCACTAAATCGGAACTTGCTTGCCTCTAACCGTCCCAACCCCTCTCGAGGAGCCACATTTCTTCGTCTGTATGAATTCGTGAAATCTTGCAGGAGGACACGCACTTTTCTTGACTCGTTCTGCTCCAGCTTGTCTGAGATTCCCTTCATCAGCTTGTTCGCCTCTGCAGGTTTCAGAGTGCCCGCTGGAAGGAGCTGCAGTGTATTTTGGACCCATTGTGCAGCAGCTTGGGGAACCAGACTGAAGAGAGACAGCAGGACGGCTGACGCATCTGGAAACACGTCTTCGGGGAAACTAAACATCATGCCTGTCAACACCCGATGAACCAGTTGCTGTCCAGTGGTGCTGAGAACTCGCTTGACAGCGCTTCGCACTTCGAGCGGTGTCACGGGAGTTGGTTCACCATTGGGTCCATTGAAGTTCGAGATCGGAGGATGGTCAAAGCCGAAGTCAAGGAAGTCTCGGAGGAAATGCAACGAGGCCAGAACTGGCTCCAGCGATTGAAGCGTCAGCGCAGTCAGGGATGCCTGTACCATGGGCTCTGCCAAGTGCGATGTAATAGCTTTCGCCGGATAGTATCTGATGGCATCTGACGCTAAACGGAAGAAATCTTCGATGATATCAGGGAGCTCAACAGGCTGTAGGTCGGCCAAAATACGGAAGAAAACCGTAGCTTGCTGGGCGAAGAATTGGTACACATTTTCACTGGTGGCCTCGTCAACGAATTCAGCACCATATGAAAATTCTCGAATGACCGCATTGGTGGCCCACAGAAATGCTCCCTGGCGAGAAGTCTCAAATCCTTCGGCAATGCTGGTAGCAAGAGCTGGCAGTAGTGGCGCAGTAGCGGTCCGATAGGAGATTATCATGGTTCTCCAGCACTTGCAAACTCGCTCCAAGATGGGAATCGACTTTGTAAAGTGTTTGGCGATGCCTGACAAGGCAGGTAGGATTTCCTGGCAGTATTTGACTGCTGGGTTTGCCTCCTGTGGTGAAACATATGGCTGAACATAGTCGAAGAAGATGGTGATGAGGCCTAGATAGTCAGCTACTTGCTTCTCAGCGGCTTCATCCTTGGCGTGTTGAGCGAGCGAAACCACTCTGTTCATGACAGGGTCGCAGAAGAGCTTCAAAGATGCGTAGATATGATCAACTGGCTGCACTCCAACCACTGCAGCAACGCCTTCGGTCACCTCTTCTTGACTTGAAGGTTTCAGTTTGTCTATCACACCTTCGTAGAATTGATGTAGCTGGGGAATGTGGTCTCCCAAAAGCCGTGCGCAATCAGTTCCAAGGAACTTGAAAGCTAGCGCTGAAGCCTGAACCACTTCCAAGGCCGGGTGATTGAAACCGGATATGACATAGGTAAGTTGAGACTCGAGAGTCTCAGGATGCTGAGCAGTCCACTCAGTATAACGGGCCAGAGCCATGATGGCCTGAAACTTGAGCTTTTCATGATCAGGTACAGTTGTGAGGAGGGGTATGACCTGCGGCAAGACTGTGCCTTCCTCAGGACCGACCATGCGTCCCATTGCTCTGAGGCTGAAGAGGGGTGCTTCGAGTTCCTGCCAATGGGGGACGGTGTTGCCAGAGACATGCGAGGCGTAGGATTGACCCCATTTTTGGATTAGGGCAAAGGATTTTGTCAGACATTCAGTAACGCCGACCACTTCGCAGGCATCCTTGAGAACATCGCCCATGCTATGCCTGAAGGCGCGGAACTTGTCTTCTTGTTCACGATCACCGTCAAACAAATCCTTCTCATTGCCGTCTTCTGGGGTGGGAAATTCGAGATGCTTGATCATGACGTCGACGAGCTGTGAGAAAAGAGGAGCAATCTTGGCCTTAGATTGAGCGTACTTTTCCAGAACGAGGATCTGCTTTAGCTCGTACCAGAAAATAAAGGTTGTGGAAATGGCTTCTCGATCTCTGTCGCGCACACAGCATTCTAGGACACATTCGACCAGGTCTTTGAACTGATCTGGCTGACGAGCAATTAGAACCATCCAGGCCTCGCCTGCCTCGGCATAGAGTCTCGTAATGCCTTTCATCATGTCAAGATCTTCTGTCGCAGCGGCCTCCTGAATGAAGGGTCTTCTGATCAAGATGGCAGGGTATAATTTGCTGATGACCGGAAGGGATTCATCGACGTCCCGAGTGTCCCGGAACATGCTGCACAAGCAGTCCACGGCGGCGTCAAAGGATGCGCTATCCTCAAGAGCATCGGTGATCTCTTTGAGCAGAGGCGAATTGACAATGTCGAGAGCGGAAATTTCCCGGAGCCACGAGGCTAAACAGGAGTACAGGTGAGGATTTCTGGCAGCTTGTCCTAAATCCGTGGATTAGCAAGAGGAGTTGTACTGCAACAGGGATCGGCGTACGAGAGGACTGGGAATAGCTAATCAAAAGTTGGAGGACCTGATTGGCATTGCTTTCCAGGAGTTCCATGGTTCTTGCTGCAAGATCCTCTTCCTATATTGCACATGGTGAATTAGACTGTGATCGTCGGCCAGGGTGAGGTGGATGGGAGGCCGAAGACAAAATGCTGCGCGGTCGGACATACTGAGATGTTGATTTTGCGGCCATCAATGACCTCTTCTGGGAGAATTCGGAGGAAATCAAGCAAACAATCTCCGCCCTCGAAGGAATTGCCCACGGCGGAGCCGATTGTAGACACCACGTCCTTCCATGATGGTAATTGAATTGCAAGACTGGCCAAACAGACATTGATTTGAATTCTAATGGGTCTTGGACCAGGAAGATAAAGCTGTAGTAGAGATATTAACGAATCTCGGAGGGGCGTTAAGGCATCTGGAGGGAGTTGGTGAAGGTCATATGTGATCTAGACAAGATTAGCCCAGTGGACGAGGACGGGCGAGTGGTTATACACGCCTTTCCCTTTAAAGTGGTGGCAGCGAAGAGCCTGGCTTCAACAGGAGCTTTGGAGTCTTGAAGGATGGCGTGTGTGGCATTCCACGCCTCGGACTGAACAATTTGTCAAAGGATAACTCAGACGACGGTTGAGTTGAAAAGAGAACGAACCGATTTCTGAAACTTTTCTAAAAATTCGTGTGCCTGCGTCTTTTCTTTACCGGACAGATTACTCTGCATGGTAGCGAGAGCCTTGAAAACCGGGGCGAAGCCATCTTGGACGCTTTGGTGATCGGCCATTGCGGGAGTGATTGGGAGGAGGGGCAAAGAGGAAGGGAACAGAGGCCCAGAGCCTGTGGACTATGGTGGGCTTGCGCGAGCTCGCATCCGGTCGAGTAATGAGGAGAAAGGAGCGATCGGAAAGTGGTGCAGGCAAAAGAAGAAGAACTTGAATGTCGAACAGGATATTGCAATGTCGTGGGCGATGAACAAAGTGATGTGTAGTAGTAGTCGTAGGACTGGGTGGGTGAGTGGGTGCAGGGTAAACTTGGGTGGGTTTGGATGATGCGAGGCTTGAAAAAGGTTTTGGCGTTTGGCAGCTTGGATTGAACACAGCAAGCGCAGCCTGCCACTACTTACGACATTACGCCTGCCGTGGCCTGCCACTCTGCCCACGGTCGGCCTTGCCCAGTTGCCCCCACTGCACAGCAACATTGCACTTGCCCTCGCACCCTCGTCCACTTTTTCCACCTTTCCGCATCGGGCTTTCATTCTTCCTTCCCCGACAAAATATCAAGACCAGTTGCACTTGCACCGCCTTTGCCTTGAATACACATCGCAATCCTTCTCACAGCTTCCCCACGATCGATCTATCGGCCAGCCTAGTGCTACAAGCACACGTTCAAAGCGGTTCAACGTCACAACGCTCACCGCATCCTTTCCTCGCGTGAGACAAGGGCAATCCTCGCCCGCCTTCAACCTTCAAACAAACCACAATGAATCGCGGTGGTGGTGGTCGCAAGACCCTCCTAGCACCAATTCACTTTATTTTCAGTCTTCTACAAAAGCGATCGACAGTTTCAATATGGCTCTACGAGAATCTGCGGATCCGCATTGAAGGAAAAATCAGAGTAGGCTCCGCCCTGCCATGTTGAGGCACATCTGCTAACAGACTACCAGGGATTTGACGAATTTATGAACCTAGTCATTGACGACGCCGTCGAAGTGCAGTTGGCAACAAGAGATGGGCCAGAGAAGAGACGCCAGTTAGGTAAAAACCAGAATCCCCCCGCGAAATTCCCTCCATCCACATACATACTCATTTCTGCATAGGACAAATCCTGCTCAAAGGCGACAATGTCTCTTTAATTCAATCACTAGATTGAGAATCACGCTTTGAAAGAAAGAAAAAAGGCGTGTTTTCTGTCCAATATCGCATATGGCCTCTCCTATGGCTTGCTGACTGTTTACGCTTCTGTTCAAAGCGCCAATTCTGCATGTGTCCCCCAACACCTGCACCCATCGTCTTTGGCAAAAAGCGTCTGGTCGTTCAAGCCTTACTCATGCGCGGTGAGCACCTCGTCAACAGGCCAGTCGTCATCGTTGACTGGGACCTTTTCCTCAGGGGATAGAATTTGTTGGCGGAGCGCAATACCCACTGGCCCAATGTTGGTTAGCCAGTTCGAGATGTTTGGCAGCAGTCTTACCGAGAAAGGGCATCTTCTGGCCCGGCTGCGCAGCATCAAGACATGTTTTATAGGTGTGCAGATAGCGGTCATAAAAACCTTTGCCATGACCCAGTCTTTGGCGAGAATAATCAAAAGCTACGGCGGGCATGTATATCACGTCGAGCGTTGGAAAGTTACCTTGGTCATCCATGTCTTCACTTGGCACGCCCATCCCTCCAAGAGCATTGCTCCTTTGCAGAACCGTGTCTGGGGAAAGAGAGGGGATGCCCCAGGCGTCCGGGACGAGTGACTCGAAATCATGGCGGTCGTGTAGTTTCAACATGTCCATGATCTTGCCTTTTGAATCCTGACCTTTGTGCAGGTATGGCACGTAGACATGTTTTTCATCTTTGAGTGCTTGCAAGACTATCTCCCGCGTTGACACTTCGCGCCCTGGCATGGACAAGAAGATTGCGAGCGAGGTCGCTTTCTTGTAGACTGGTGATTGCAGCACTTTCTGGGTGATGATGGCCGCTTTTGTTATCAGCACAGCGACTTCTACGCCTGATGTCGATGACCTACACTGTCTTTGAATCTCTTGTGGGCTAAGCTGCTTGAGCTCTGACTGGATTCGCTTCCGCAAAACAGTCTTCTGCTCTCGAAGGGTACTGATTGACATCTTGCTTGGCATCCACACAGCTGTCCTAGGCGTGGAATGCCGAAAACACAGAGAGATCATCGGCACCAGTGCAGGGCCATGAGGAGAATGGTGGATAAGACAAAGGATGCCCGTGTTTGATATCCGCACACGACTACTGTAGAGTGTCGTGCTCGAAAAAAGCAATAAAAATGGATGGTTGTCTACTTGGTCTTTGTCCGGAACTCAGTCCAGAATGTACAATATGGCCTGTCACGCTGGTTTAAATGACCCAAAGCGGACACAAAGGCGAATCTGCAGTTCGACGGAGTCCACTAATTATCCGTGAGATGTGATTGGTTTATGATTGAAGCGTGTTTTGAAGTCCGGATTGGCACCAAGCAGAAAGCCCCTCAGCCTCCTGATCTGCCCTGGCGTGCCTGGGGACCAACCACTGGGAGTCAGGGACCTCCAGCCTTTGAACAAGGAGACACAGAGGCTCCAGGGGCTGCAAGCAAAGCTCCCACGCTCCCACGGTTGCTGTAACTTAATCTCTAGCGTCTAATTAATTGCACCTCCACACACCCAGGCAGTGGCAGTTGCCGCGCCTCAGCCTCCGCGTCAACATCCATTCTCCGTTGTCTTGTCTCTGCAGCATCCTTCTGTCTCAGGAGTGAGATTCGTACACACTTCACCCAATATCCAACCCCAACCTCGCCTTTACACCCTCGAGAGATAAGTCACACTTTAACGGCCTCAATCTACATCCTTACCTCAAAACCCTTCGCCTTATTGCCTGTCGCTCCTTTCCTCTCCTCGCCTTCGCTAGCGCCTGCGCCTGCCCCCAAGAAGATGCGACCATGATTTCCTCATTATCAAACATCTTCACTCTGTCCCTTGGCCTTGCAGCCCTTGCCCGTGCACAATTCGATGAACAACTGGTAGGGACATGGACAACAAAATCCAGAAAGGTCTTGACTGGCCCTGTACGTTTCGACGGTTTCCCATCTCCACCAACAAAGTGTGCCGACTAATCTCCTGGACAACAGGGCTTCTATAACCCCGTCGAAGATCGATTCATTGAACCCGAGCTTGCGGGCATTTCATACTCCTTCACCGCCGATGGCTTCTTTGAGTCAGCATATTATAGAGCAGTTGCTAACCGTAAGTCTCACCACTGTTGATGCCTGCAAAAAGGGCGTTTGGACCACTCCCCTCCACGAATTGATACTAAACCATTTCTTCCACAGCCACGACGCCACAATGCCCATCAGCTGTCTTGCAATGGCAGCATGGTACATACACCATTGGTGCTGATGGATCCATCAACATGACTCCATTCGGTGTGGACGGACGACAGTTAACCTCGTCACCATGTTCGTACGACGAAGCCATTTACATTCGTTACGACCAACCAGAAAAGATGGAACGATATGAAGTCCGGACAGACCCTTTCCACAACGTACCGCGCCTGAACCTTTTCCGTTTCAACGGCGTGCCCGTCCAACCTCTGTACAAACACTATCTTACTCCTCAAATGCTCCCAACCCAGACCTTGAATCCAACATCCACCCCTTCGGCGACTGCAGGCAGCAAGCTGAAGCGAGGGCTGGGAGGGGCTGACGGGTTAAGCCAACAAATCTTGGAGCCTATGGGTAAACCTGGCTTGGTCAAGACATTGGAGCCCTTCAACGCCGATAAGATCTGGTGGGCCGGGGTAGGTCTCACCGCTGTCGGCACCGTCATGTACATTGCGACCTCTTCGTGAGCTTCGAGCTTCGTATGTGCATTGCATTGCATTGCTTGGAGTTCATTGGAGTTGGGAATGCGATTCTACAGAGCTGACTGACCACCGGCGTGTGGCACTGCAGATGTTTGACGTTGGAAAGGTGATGTGATACCGCTACGAACAGATACATCAGGTGGGGGCTATATCTACCTTGATATCGGCGAATTTGTTTAGATAGTGCACGATTGGTCATCCTTTTACGGCTCTGCACGCCTTTTGATATTGACGGCGAAATAAATGGAACGAATAGGCTGAAGTGAGTAGAGTATTGGGTGTCATCTGCGATGGACTGTATGTATACTATCGATGACCGTCCTACCAATCTGAATTCAGCAAGGTCGCTTTTGCTTGTACAAGAAGCCAAGCCCCATGTTGTCGACCTGTTCAATGTGAACGCTGCCCTTTCCCCCACGCCTATACTGCTTCCTAGTAGAGCCAAGTTGATTGCTCGTAACATAACGACCACCATCAAAACCATAATGTCGGATAATACAATCACTCGGATATCTAGCAATGCAATCTCCTACCCAGCAGTATTCGAAGGGGGCTCGGAGGCAGTCGACCCGCGACCATTGACTTTTCTCAATTTGAGACTATCAACATCGACGCCCTTGAGTATACGGACCTAAAGGGTGGGTTATTCGTCAGTACAGTGCGACAGTACTCAAGTACTGTCACTTCTCTCCGCCGCCGCCGCCGCCGCAGACCCAAACAGGAGGGACAGGGGGAAAACACTCACATTTACAGCGCGATTATCAGCGAAAAAGTTCGGATCGTTGCTTTTCCCGCCGATACTGGTGCCACAGACTGGACAGAACGAATGAACCACTCTCTTGGGTCCAAAGGCATAATGAGTCATCGAGTCTAGACCTTTATGCCAGGTGATATTAGTCTCGAGCGGATATACCATTAGGTAGCCGTTGATGTTGCAGATAGAGCCTAACGATAGGGGATTTGGTTAGCTGCGGCTCTTGAGGAGATATTGTTTCGTCGTCAGAGATAGATATCAAGGGACTAGAGCGGCTGCGTGGTGAGCTGTAGGGCAAGGATTGCAAGGGACCTCACAGTTGCAGCTCGTCACAGGGCCGTCTTCGACAGGAGGCGAGATCTTGACGCTGAACCTTGAATCACTCGAGTCAATAATAGGTCTGGTGAGAGACCCAATGTCGCCACATACTGAATGTTTCCACAGTGACAAGCACCATCATAGACCTGTGACTTGGGCTTCGTCGGACTGATTGGACTACCAGCTGAGGCCATCTTGTTGAAATCAATCACCTGGTGATGTTGCTGTTATTTGTCTCAACCGTGAGCATGATGATCCTGATGATGTGATCGCCATCATAGGCTTTTAATAACGTTTGCTTGCCTGGTATCAATCTTACCTTGGATGACTTGCCAGGCTGTTCAGATAGCACGTTGGGATAGCAGCCTTGCGCTATTATCAACCGTCAAGCAATCAACTGTCCTTCGAGTGTTTGTTGACGTGTTGCCGGATCAAAGTTGGTCCGGTTTCTAGACACGTGAACGAATTGAAGCGAGCGTAAGAAAGGGTTGAGCCCCAGATTTCGAGACCTTGGAATGCGACTTGCAGGATTTGCGAATGAGGATCTGCTGTTGCCTGTTGGTTGCGAAAGAAAACCACTGGACAGGCACGCAGGCTACTCACCCCAACAATAACCAGGGAGGAGATTCGAAAGCTCGGCTTTGCCATCTTCACAAGGGGCCAGGGTGCTTCCTGCATGCATTAGTGCCGGCTGTTCAGGAACGGTGATTGGTGTCATGAAAACGTGGAGTAACGAACAAAGGAGGGGAAGGGGAAGGGGGGCTGGCAGGCTGGAGAAGTTTGGGTTCCATGTCATGTCTGGTCCTTTTGGCGGGCGCACGCGTTGTGGTGTCACTGGTGTACATACTGTAAACGACGGGTCTGCGAAGTTGCAAATGGACTACTAAGCAAGGGTTCTAAGTCGCTGACTTGTCACCTTGTGCTTGTCCTCTGCGTGGCGCTCCATTGACCCCTGGTCCTGAACGAGTTTCCTGTGGCCGTCAACATACAGAATAGGGTCATTGTGAATTGGCATTTTCCCCTTCATGGGTCGCAGAATGCTGCCTGAAAATGTCGCTGTGTTTGGACTGGTCTCGTACATACGGTAAGTCATAATCTGCTGGACGTCTTGTCCCCCATATTACGTGAGAAGGTCGGGATGTTTTCTCTGGCATGCATCAAAATGATTCAAGTGGCCAATTCAATGAATGGTATTGACCGCATGATGCTTGGATACCTGGTACCTTGGACCAATGTCAGGCACTCCAATAATGCCGCTGGTGGGTTTCAACTTTGGAATTGTTGGTGCTCGACGATCCTGGGCTGGAGCAGGCGACGCGACCCCAAGATTGGGCGTCAAGTATGCCTGCTTGTCGGTTGAGGGTGAATTGTTCGGATAACAGACCTGGTACTACGGAGTACTTTATATCATCACTTGGTTCAACGGCCCAAACACGGGGGGATTCTGATGCGCCAGCGACCCAACAAGGGAAAGGCTGCTCACCGCAATGCACCTGAGAGGCATGGGGAGGTGGAGAGGGGGATGCATTCGAAGGTCGGTACACAGGTCTATCGTTATCTTCCCATCTCTTGAAAAAAGACCACTGGATTCGCATCATGAGTACCGATGACACATAGTTTATGTCGTCGCAAATCTACATCTGAAAAGACCGTTTGTCCGCGTGTAAGCGAATCGGTGCAGGATCAGAGCCCACACGCATCAGTGTGCCTCTGCTCTGGTGACTTTTTAGCCCTGAAGGTGCGGCAGATCATCCATGTCAACATGGAGGTGATTCGACCACGGGCTCGGGAGTATCCGAGCGTGGGTGGTCAAGAGTCGAGAGGTTGGTGGATTGCTGTGGTGCAACGACAACACCCGACGCCAAAAATCCTAGATAACGCCTCGTGCTGCAATGCGGAATGATGTGATGAATTGGCTTGAGACTGGAGCTATCAATGGCGATCAAACCTTGGGGCGTGCTGGATTGTCGAATGGTGTGACCAATGTCCCCGAGAATTCCAACAGACTGGCCAAAGACTGGCCAAAGAAACGAATAATAGCGGCTTGGAAAGCGAAAAGCGTGGGGTTTGACTTTTCAAGGGCTGAGCGGATAGTGACGCAGGGCCCAAAAGAGGTACAGGAACATGAGGGACTAACTATAGTAGTGTGTAATTGAAACGTGAGAGATGGAGATGGGACGGATAGCAACTAAGAAGAGCCAAGTCGAGGCAGACGAGACAATTGAGACTACACTCGGTTGTTCCGAGAATGAGGATCAGAGTGAGAACGTGGACAAGAGGAAGAAGAAGAGCGAGGAGGAGAGGAGAGAAAAGTGCCTCAGTGCCTGAAGGCTTCTTTCCTGGGAGAGCACCCACAGAGTGAAACTTGAGGTTGGCCGCGACTGCTGTTTTCAATATATAAACATACTCCGTACTCCGTATGTACCTACCTGCCTCCCTACGGAGTACTTTTAAGTTTCTGAACAATTCACGTCTCACCACTTTTCAACTTTCAACATCTCCAGAGCCTTGCTAGGAATCGACAAGCTGCACCATTACCTAAGCCAACGGCGGTGTGAATACGCATAGAGTATCACGAAAGTGTATATACCATTTTAGTGACCCATGGCTGGCCAGAATGGAGGATCGTTGTGTAACCTTTTCCCAAGCGGGTAGAAGATCAGAAAGTGAAGCGAAACGGAGTCACTACTTACTGGTGCCGGGAAAAGACGCGAAGACAGCTTATGCAGGTTTGATACAATCTACGCATATGCGTACCCCGTATACATACATATTACTCGTAGTAGGTGGATTAAAAGCATCTCGCAAGCCCCAGGGCCCCTCTCCCATTGTAACTTTAAGTACTAAAAGTACTCCTCCGCTGGCTCCAGCCGCCCGGAGGCAGGGGACCAAGGGGACCCAGGGCCAGGGGCGCCTCGGACTCCACGGGCCACGGATCCTCTTGACTTTTGAGACCCAACCCTTGAACCATGACGATCTTCATCTCCAGACATGTGGAGACATACCTAATGGTGACCACATGATGTCTTTTTCTAACTTCAAATCTCGAGAGTGGGTGGTTGACGTTGCGCTCCCCTTGGCGCTCTATCTCGATTCTATTTGTGTTATGGGTTACAGGTCGTCACCGTCACCGACAGTGGCTGCGTGCTGCCATAATTCCATGTCAGTCAAGGTGCTGGCGACCAGCTAATAAGATATCGAGCCGAGTCGCCCCGCGTCTTTTCCAACTACCAGCACCTGATGTTCAACTCACCTCAGGCAATCTAAGCATCAGGCAGAAGAAGTCTACGGAACATTTAAGTTCAAGTCGCCTCTCGGCGTGGTTGATCTCGAGATTGATAATGCCTCTGAGACTACTGTACAGAATAATGCGTTCTAGAGTACCCTGATGTGCATGTCGCGTGTGAGAAAGACACTACTCGTAGGGCCTAGGGCTCACACACAGCGCCAGTGGCCGCCGTCCCTCGGTAGATTATCTACTACTGCCACTTGTAAGCGATAGCTTTGCCTTGGTCTGACTGCTGTTTTCAGCCACGCTTGGGCTCACTGTGGGTTTCCGAGTTGCAAATTTTGTCGAGGCGAAAGCCAATCCCCTCTCTTCCTGGGTTCCCCGTACCATGAATCAAACCTGGAGCATGGAGTAGGTACTTCACTCTCGACCAGGTATCACCATGGGACAGAGATGGATACTCAGATGCGTACTCCGTACTTTTGCTTTCCTTTGCTTCCGTTATGGGCTATCTGTACGAGCGCAGAAGCGGTTCGGTCCTTGACCCAGTACAAGGACATTTGTCGATGCGACGATGCCTGGCTAATTAATTGCCACCACCCACACACGAATGACTGCTCCTGTTAGGGTTAAGCGCTGGAGGCTAAGCGGAGTAGGCCCGCCCCGAAGCCAAAAATCCAAGTCCGAGGGGGGCCGAGGGGCGGCCGCGGCCGCTTCTTTGTGCAAATCATGCCCAACTCCCCTTGTAAATGTTTGACAGGTTGGGCACGGGGAGTGGTGGAAATGGTACTGTAGTGATGCTGGGGTACTGGGTACCAGGTACTCTGGCTACGCATACAACCAGGGCATGAGAGTCGTAGATTATTGGGACAAGAAAGAGACTGGAGGGTATTGTAGACCAGGAGTTCATTTCTCTTCCTCAACTCTGCTGCAGTTCTACATTCAGTACAATGTGACCACCGCATCTTGTGAAGTCGTCGTTGTTCTGGCGTGCCGAGCCCCGACATCCGACCTCTCAAGCCTCTCACGTCTCCTCTACTCAAAAATTGTCTCCAAACTCAATCCCAACCTTTGATCCCCTCCCGTGTCCACTCTGCCATTCTGCCACTACTTTCTCAATCTCTCCCCTCCATCCCTCCTTCGCTCGTGTCTTTCCACCATTCCACCGCCGCATTTCCAGCCTGTCAGCCTGGTCATCCCGCGTTCACCACATCTGCACCCTGTCTCGTGTTGAGGCACTCGATCATGCACTCCGCTATACACACCTCCTCCGACTAATGCCACAGATCGATTTAGCCTGATCCTCTCCCCATGTCGCTTCTCTCCAGAATAACTGCGACTTGACCTGACCACACCTGGCCACACCAGACCACACCTGGTCGGCCCAGAATCCCTCCTGGCCAGAAGAAATCATTCCCCTCCACAACGTACCATTGACCACCGCCCTGGTGCCACTCCTGTTCCTCGACAGGTTCCATCCACCTACACCAGCGTCCGCGTCCTAGCATCTCGCCACTCTGCCACAGGCCATGAACAGCAGCAGAAGAAGCAATCCATCTTCCTCCATCTCAGCTCCCTTGGCCCACGAGGTCACCTGAACCTGCACATCCTGCACGCCCCGGTACCTGCATCCAAACTCGAGGCCATTCTCCCATCCCGCAGTCCCGCAATCTTCTCCCTCACCCCCATCTTCCTCCCATCTCGCCTGAGTACTCATTCTCACCTTGTCTATTGACTCGTCAAGCCTTGTCCATACACATCCATCTCACCCTCCGCCAACCTCGACCGCTACCAGCGCCCGACTAGTTCCTGACTACCACCTGCCTCGATATCGACCATCTTCTTACACACCACCGCCGCAGCCTGTCCCTCGAACTTGCTGATTGTCCGCTGTTCTAGACTTGTTACAGAGACACGTGCATGCGAGTTGGTCTTGCACTGCTTTCACTCCTCCGCCGCATGTCCATTCCCTCTACTAGTTAATGATGGTGATTGCTCAACGATACCTACCATTCCTCGGCCCTCTGTCCTTGGCTGTGTAAGCTGTTAGCCTTACTCAGATCCCCTCTCGAGTTTGCCATGGCCGAAACTCAAGTCATCTCCAAAGCCGAGGACGACCTCGCCATACAACATGACAACGACAATGACTCCGCCAACGAGGGCCCTCCCGGCCTCGACGACGCCGAACCACAATCCGGAGAGCCTGCAAAGAAACGTAGACGAGTTGTCAAGCCAAATCCGGACAAGAAATTTGAATGCAAACATGAAGGCTGCGGCAAGAGTTATTCTCGCGCTGAGCATTTGTATCGCCATCAGTTGAACCGTGAGTCATTCTGAATATCGTTGTGTTCACGAGCCTAAGTTGTCTGAAGACACCCCAAAGACCATCTATCGATGTGACTACCCCGACTGCCATAGGTACTTCGTCCGACAAGACCTGTGCATCCGACATCGAGAGCGACACACCACCCATGGCTCTCAATTGCATAAGCGTGACACTTTCGCGCAGTCAAGTTCTTCTCAACAACCGCCCGCTGCCCCTGCTTCACGAATGCCCGTCGCTCAAGCCACCAACTACGCAATGCCTGCGCCTACTTTAAAGAGTCCATCTTACGACGATCAACCCCAACTTGGCAATATCAATCCTTCCTACCCTCCCGATGCGCAACATGGTCAACACATGCAAATGTCTAGCAACACTGTCTCACCTTCGACCGCCTCGACCGAGCCCAGATATCATCCTCAGACTCCGCAAACCAACATGGGTGCCCCGGAGCCCAGCATACATCGAACAGGAAGCAACAGCAGCAGTGGACCCAGCCCGCTCCAGAAACAAGAGCCTTCCTCGTGGCAGTCAAGCCTCCGCAGACAGAGTTTTCATGGAGAAGTCGGATCCCACAACACGTCATTTCCACCACCGGGCACAACACATCGGCATTCCTCCCCTAGCGTCCCGCAATCCCCCGTCCAGCAGTATTCCAGCTCTACTGTCAACCCTGGCCTCGGAGGACGTTCTCATTCTGATAGTGTTGTTACAAGGTCAAACGCCACGTTGAATGGTTATGGTCAATCTGCCGACATGAATACTCTGCCCTACAGCGCCACGAGCTATCAGAACGCCAATGCCTCACGACCAAACGACGCAGCATTCGTGGCCGCTGTATCCCACGGCCTTGCGACTAGTGATGGTTATCCTTACCCCATCATGAACAATCACATTTCTGCCATTGATATGAACACCAGCTATGGCTTTCCTGTCTTTGGAAGCGATGACTACACCCAAACCCCGTTCAACGTCGCCGAAGACTTCACCCATTGGCTCTTCAACGACAATAACTCGGGATCAAATGGCTTTTCTCCCCCCAACTACTTTCTTGGACAAGGTGGGCACGACGGTCAGCTAGTTACGCCATATTTCGCACAGAGCCCAACCCTACCGAATTCACACCACAACATGAGCAACCTTTCAAACACCAATTACAATCCGAATCAACCTGTTCATCCCATGAGTGTGAATAGCCTACTCGGGGCCACCGCAACAAGTCAGTATATCATGTCAGAGGCCAAACGACAGGAGCTTCTTGACCTGATGCAAACTCAATTTATCGAGAGACCCCACGACGCCGTCAAGAAGAGAAAGGATTCCGTTTTTGAGGGCGATATCGATTCTGAAGGCCATATATTAAGTCTAAGAATGATGCACACATATATCGGCTCGTATTGGTACCACCAGCATGCGCAATTGCCAATATTACACAAGCCCACTTTCTCGGCCGATCGAACCCCCAATCTATTGCTTCTCGCCGTCGTCGCCATCGGGGCCGCCACGTTAGACAAGGCTTACGGAACCTCTTTGACCGATTCTGCTGCCGAATTCGCAAACTTTGTTGCTTGGCACATCCGCTGGGAGATCATTAGAGATGCAGATTTCCGACCCCCGGCTAAGCTGTGGGTTTTCCAAACACTCCTTCTGATAGAAACCTACGAGAAGATGTATGCCACTAGAGCATTACACGAACGGGCTCATATCCATCACGACTCGACGTTGACTCTTATGAGGCGAGGAAGCTCTCTCCTCGGTCGCTCTGCTTCGGATTCACCGCCCAGCTTGCGCGGGGAACAGGATAGTGGCAGGTTATCTGGTCCATTTGCAACTTCCGAATCATCAAGATCCGAGGAATCGTGGCACAGATGGATCGTGACCGAAGCCACCCGGCGTGCGGCTTTTGGTGCCTTTGTGATAGATTCGACGCATGCCACGATGTTCGGACATGCCGCAAAAATGGTGGCTCATGAAATGAGACTCCCTCTTCCTTGTGATGAAGGCCTGTGGTCGGCTGTGTCTCCTTCTGAGGCGGGTCGTGTACAGTCATCCTTGCAGACCAATGGAGTCAAGCCTACCATGTTCCTGGAAGGGTTGAAGAAAACCTTGAACGGTCAAAGGGTACGGACCAATTCTTTTGGCCGTACTATCATCATGGCAGGACTACTGTCTGTATCTTGGCACATGACTCAGCGAGATCTTCAAATCTCTTCCCTGGGGCCACGAACTGCCAACTCGTTTGGCGGACCAGACAAGTGGAAGGGGGTACTTCTGAGGGCTTTCGACAATTGGAAACGAGATTTTGACGAGGCTCTCGCCGAAGCCGCTCCCGCGCCGAATTCGCCAGTCCCAGCCCCGGCGGTTACACTGCACGGCATGCTACGTCCGGTAGATGATGAGAACATCTTCGAGTCGAGGACTGTACTGCACCATCTTGCCCATATCGCCGCGCATGTGGATGTGGTCGATTGTCAGGTGTTTGCTGGTGCAAATCGACTGCTCGGAAGGTCCATCACTCCCAAGGACTACAGCGTCGTCCGCGAAAAAATTGAGCGCTGGGCGACCAAGGCATCGGCCCGTGATGCGGCCTTCTACGCTCTCAAATTTATTGCCCAGGTTCTAGTACCACCGGATGAAGCAATCGATGGCATCAGCAGTCGACTTTACGGACATGCAAGTCCGATTCTTCCACAAGCCTTTGAGCAGAATCAGTACTTTGCTCGAGATGACTTTCTTCTCAACCGTCCTTGGGTGTTGTATATTTCGGCGCTGGTGGTGTGGTGTTACGGCTTTGCTCTGGAAGGCCCTATCCAACCCACACCCCTAGAGTCGGACTTTGAGACATACGCTCAAAAGGAAAAGGATATGCGAGATTATCTGACTCGGGTCGGGGGCGTCCGAGCCCCCGACGACCTTGTTAGCGTCAAAGGACGGAATCGATGCCTCGGGCTACTCATGATATTGAAAGAGTCCTTTGAGAGCACCAGATGGGAGCTTACTCATGAAGCTGCGGGGTTACTAGGTAATGCGTGCATGAAGCTTCATGGCCTTGAAGGCGACAGAATTGTTGGTCCCGGCTCCCATGGTGCTCGAGATGAGTTCCCGAACCGAAATGCCAATGGACATGCACATGGCCCTCCTCGAGCGACCTACGCTCAAGAGCGACACCGAGGTGTGGTCCCTCTAAATGGTCCACCCACAGACTACAAGCACAATAGTGCTTGAGCAAATCTACCCTTGGAGCCAGGAGCATTAAAGTGGCCTTGTTCAATGGATTGACACTCTGATCCCGCATTAGGCAACCTTACGAGTTCCAAACTTCTCCTCACCTGCATATTTGCTTCCAACTACATCTGGACACGTTGGACATATATATTTATCGGGATTGTGATGACGAGATGCCACCACCTGGAGATCCAGTGTTTTGGACTACAGCATTTGGAGATCATGACCGACTTCAAGCACGAAATATGGTTGGGGTTAATCAAATGTGCGATCATCATCATCATCAACAACATCAGCAACATCATCATCATCATCGGATCATTCGCTTGTTGGGATTTATTTTGACATTTAATGCGCGTTCAAGCAGGCGGCTAACTGATACCCAATTTTGTCTTGTCATTGTTGGTTTTTGTTGATTTGTTTCTTTTCTGGCATTCATGTAAATAAGTCATGGTCGGATCAATTTGTTTGCGAGCCAGCGCTGATGAGCCATGGCATGCATGCAAGCATACATGGGAAATCGAAGATGTTGATTGAGAAACACGAAATGGCGACGCAACATTCTTCAAATTCCACTCGCCACGGGTCACTCGACTTCGACTACTCGACGTCCGTCCGGCCGACACAAAGCCTCACTCTCACACACTCATATGCTCACTCACGATTGACGATCATCATCAGCCTCAATTGCCTGGTCTTGCCGACAAGTCAAGGAGAGACATGACATGGGACCGACCTACTTCCCTACCTTCAGACCGGATGAAAATCAACCGGACGTATGTCGTCTCACATCACTTCTCACGTCTTACGTCTTACGGCTGCAGTACACATCATCGTTGTTCTCCACTGGTCTCTCTCTTCCTCTCTCTGTCTCCCTGAACGCACGCCCCTCGGCATCCCACTTACTTGCAATGCATATGCAACCAGGCAACCACCCCCTTAATCTTCGCTTATTAATGCATGTTGTTTTATATAGACCACATAAGCTTTATGAAGATCAATGCTATGACTGACGATTGCCATCCGTCCATAAAAATAACTTGCATGGATCCTTCCCTATGGGTAAGGGAAAGAGATACGTATCGTTCAAATATCAAAGTTATTAAAAGCGAATCAAGGATACGTTTGTTCTTATGACAAGATTCATTTTCTCATTGCGCTGCTTTTGTTCGTGCTATGAAGTGATTATTTCAACGTACATTTTCATGAGCTAGGTCGCCTCAATATGGGTATTAGACGAGATTTTTTGTTTTTACAAAATATGTACAACCCTCGTTCCTACTTCCTTTTTGGTGAGGTTGTGAGTGGAGATGATAGATGTCCGTACACGTAGTATGTACACTTCACCATTAGTCTTCGTCTTGTTCAGACAACGACTCGATCATTGTCATGTCTTGCGACAAACATCTCGGCACGACCAATGAGCTCCTCATACACGGTCCAAGCCAGAGCCGAACTGAGTGCCTTTCTGCCCATTCTCAAGCCTAAACCGTCGAAGAAACTCTTGAATCCATCTTCTTTAATCATCAATCGCGTGGCTTTGATCATATTGCCATATTTCCGGGGCATGAGTTGCAGTCTTGTCTTGACTGCGTCGAAGGGATTGGTGACGCCGGTTGCCAGTCCGGCTGCCAACACACCGCTGGATGCATTGATGGTAGCGCTGGACCCACTAGACCTTCGCTTATCCTCGACGCCGCCGGCGGCGGTGGAGGAAGACGCAACAGCGAATAGTTTGTTCAACCTCGCTTTACTGGCTTCGTAAAACACCACATAGAGACCCGCATACGGTGCGTCTCGTACGGCCGTGGCCCCGAATCCGGAGAAGAATCCCTTGAGGCCTTCGGTCGCATGGATGGAGCGCGCCGCGGAGGATATAGATTTATAAGTGTAGAAATCAGACTCATATCGAACCTTGATTACCGTGACAGGCATGAGAACGAATCCAGCAAAAACACGCGCACTGGCTCCGGTGAGCAGGTTTTGGATATTAGATAACTTCGGAAGGACGGAGGAGCCATGGGTGATGAGGGCGCTGTGTTGGAGAGTCGATTGAACGGATTGATTGGCGAGGATTTGGCGCAGTGAGCTGAGAGAGGTGAAATACAATGCGGAGCCGAATCCGGTGCGCAGAGCGGAGGGAACGGTTCCTCGCCACAGGCTGGCGATGGGCCGAGGACCGGAGAGGATTGAGCGGAGGACGGGGAGGAGAGAGGACGACCGGCTTTGTTGGACTCGAGTCTTGAGTAGATCGGCTGGTTGGAGGAGGACTGCGCTGGAGACGCCGGAGGTCAACCCAGCCAGGAAGTGGAAGGTAGGATGCGCCTTCCTCGAGTTCTGGCCTCCATGGGACATGTTCCGCGAGGAAGGATGTGCTAGTGGGCTGCACACCTAGGACTGGCGCAGAACTGTAGTGACTATAGATATGCGTGACTGCAGACCAATACTGATGGATGGCTCATGGCGATGGCTTGGGTGCGTAGGTGGAATTACGATTTGTCACCGCCTGGGTAGATGTGTAGAGAGTATGGGTTCTTCAAAAGGGAGAATAGACTCCGATGATCATCTTCCAGTCACCTCGTCGGGTTTCTGAAAGGCGAAGATCGAAATAGAGTATGTAATACACAACGTTGAAACGTCGAATGGAAGACGGCGGATAAAAACTGGAGCTTGGATGAAGTCACTCACTCATATGTCCGTCCATTTTTGGACGGCGCCAACGGTTGATTTAAACGCAACTAGTACGTTAGAGAAGCTCGCCAAGCAAAAGCGGCATCAGGTTGGTTCTCAGGCAGAAGCCACGTGATCAAGATTTTGTGCTCATGTCAATGGATATGCTCTAAGTCGGTGCTATATAAAAGCTCGGGGGTATCAAAACAGAATGGGTGCTTCCATAAAGTGCACATGGTATACAAACACTGGCCTTCTTTGGTCTATACCTAGAAACTCTTCCTTGGAATGCATGTGCGGTAGATGCCAGTCCCAGATATTCCCATGAGAGGGTAGGATGGCCTTGTGTATGAATCGGAATCGTGCTTCCACGAAGCTCCATGAAGTTCTTGCGGTTCAGAGGCTACGTGTAGCCGACTCTGGGATCGATGTGCCTGTCGTTATACCTCAACCCAGGATCTTGGTCGAATGTATCCCTCATCAACGGGCTGTACGGCAATACTGATCGCTGGTGAACACTGGAATGTTCGTCTGGTCCTCCTCAGAAATGATGCATGAACACAATCAAGCCTATTCAGCCAGTGGTTGGGTCAGGTTGAGTGGGTATCCAGATCGATAGGTCGTCTCGCCGGAGGCATCTGTTTCCGGTTGAGGTAGTTCTCATTTATCCAGCAACCTTCCGTGCTCATTCACCTTGGTCATTTTCATACCCTTCGGTCTTCATGTCGCTGAGGCCGAGGTCATCCTTTTCTTCTTGGGTTCTCTCATACTCCTCGGTAGAGATCTGAGGATCATTCCCAGAATCGACGTTCAGCTGCACGAAGGAGTTGGCCAGTGGATCCTCCAGCGTGATAGAGTATTCAAACTCTGCTTTGATGGCGCGATCCAGTTTGTCAAAGAATTGGTCCCACCTAGTTTTAGTTTCCGATGTCATCGAGTCGCCGCCTGAAAGGTCTTCGTCACCAACGTTGAATATTTGCCCGTGCAGCTGTTCACGAACTTGACTCAGGAGGCCTTCAACGGTTGTGAAACGCCCGCCCAGAGTTCCTGGTTGGACCTCAAGACCTAGGTCCAAACTTCTCAAAACACAAGATTCTGACTTGAGAATGTCTCTCGACATATCCTCTATCGTCTTGATCTGCAAGACGATGCGTTTTCCTTTTTCCGGAATCTCTCCTCCTGTCTTGACGTCGCTTGTTCGATAGCCACAATGGTCACACACAGTGGCCATTATGATGACCTCTTTGAAATGCGGGATGTTTGTCTTTTTCATATTGACCGTGCATGGTTTCGAACAAGCAGGACATTCCGAATGCAACTCAAACACTTCATCGTCAACAACGGTCACTCCCTCCATACCGCCACCTTCATCGTCTTCAGTGTCTGCAGCCAGTCCAAGTTGGGCATTCTGCTCGTGTGTGCGCAGATAGTCCTGTCGGCTATACTTTGATTCCTTATCTTCTGGCGAAGGCTCGATGAAGGAGTTGCCTGAGATGTCATCCAACGAGACTGTGACTGGGAAGGCGTCGCCTTGGAGCATTCCGTCCAATTTTTGAATGATGGACTCGAGAGCCGTAAACACCTCTGGACTGGCTTCCTTCCTAGTCGGTTGATCAAATTCCAAATCGGTCTTGATCTTCAGAATCATGCTTTCGAGGTTGGTCAATTGTCCGGGAGCAGCGGGCATCTCGAGGTCGATGGTTTCGATACGAAAGATACCGGTGTCGCTTCGCACGACTTGTCGTTGAAGGTCTTTAACATTGTCCAATCTGAAGGTGTACTTGGAACCCTTCTCTTGAATCTGACCGGCACTCTTAACAGTGTTGTTCTTCCACCCACAATGGTCGCACGAGAAAGATTCGAGAAGAATGTCTTTGAAAAATGGGATCTTGATTGGCAGGATTCGTGTCATGCCCTAAGAGGAGGGTTAGCACCATTCAAAGGCAAAAGTGGAGGATGCGTACATTGTCGTGACAGTTCATGCAAAGGCTTTCGATTTCATAGACTCCAGTCTCATTCGGATCAGCGTGGATGACGCCTGGCGCATTGGTGTTTGCCATCTTGCAAAAGTGAGCCACAGATAGTCTGGGCTCTGGTTGCTCGAGGTTGTGGAACAAAAATGGCCGGGTTAGTATCAACCATATGGATGGGTTGCGTTTGTTTGCCTCCTTGGGAAATGCGAGACGCTTCTGGAAGCAAAAATTTTTGGCTGACAGATTGAATTGAGGTCGACGTATGCCAAGAGAATGAGGGGTTGATGTTTATGGGCACCATGGGCGCAGGCGGGGAGGGGAGGGGAGAGGGCCAAGGGGGGTTCGCGGGTAGGAGACCTGGTGCCTGTCACGCCTGTACGAGATTCGGAGGTTTCCATGTTCTGGGCGTGCTCTGACCCCCAAACTGTGCCTAACCCACAAAATCATAGGCGCTAATGCACCCCTGCCTTTACCAGAACTTCGGAGCCGCGCCGCGGCACAATTCGCACCCATTGCCACCTGTGCGCCGATTTCAATAGACGTGACAAAAATTTTGATGTTCAGCGGCAGATGGAAAAGGTCATCGCTTCATCATGTCCATGAAACTGAGAGACGGTTGACTGCTAGTCTGAGTAGTGCGGTTCAAAAGGGCCTGCAAACCGTCTCGATCTTTTCTTGCTTTTGCCCTCTGCTTGCTACTCAACTTGGGTTGCGCCGCAGCAGCTGGGCCAGGGTTTATGGCAGTGTCGCGTCCAGAGGTGGCTTGAGGAGCATTGGTTTTCTTTGATGGAGCCAAGATACCACGCTTGACTTTGCCTTTCTTCTCCGACTGCTGCTTCGTGACCCTACGGCATACCAGGCACTGTGAATTTTTAACCACCTTTGTGGAAGCTGTGGCTTTGTCGGACGCAAGTTTTCCGGAGGATTTCATCTTGCGTGAAACTATCCTCGTTGACGATGTCCATCCATGAAGCAAAATAGTGCCACAAGCGGCACAAACGTCCTCCACAGCGTGTCGAGCGGGTTGGGGATCAATGCTGCCAAGGGCATCTCGTTCCCTCATCAAATGCCTCGAAGTCGAGGGGCAAGATAGAAGCAGTGTTTGAGCTGACGTTGAAAGAAATTTATTTCGCACATCTCGATTTGCAGGTCCCATGAGAGCTGTGTTGATGTGTACCTGGAGAGTGGTACGGAACTGACCTCCTGTAGATGCTACCACCAATAGCTATTTCACAAACTAGGTCTCTCGATTTCCGTATATCTTTGGTCCTCCCAGAGCGACTAGAATGTTAGTGTCTGTAGAATGATTTGGAATGAATGAGCCGTGGCAGATGCCAAGACCTCAAACTTGAGTTCAATAGGCACTGTTAGACCCGTCGGACCCCGGGACAATGAACCATTGGTGGGTACCTTAGGTGAGGCTGAAGGCCAAAGAGCCTTGAAGTTGAATTAAACGCCAGAACCTTATAGGTATGGGATTTAACCGCGTTTGTATCTCGAAACCGTCAGCTTCGTTGACCGCGGACCGCACACAGGGTTCTTCCGTCCTGTTCCGACCGGTATAATTCCGGTGCCTGTCAACCCCGCCTGCCCCTCCAACGTTGTTTCCTCTCTTTGCTGCATGCTGACTGACAATCCTGCCACGGTTGGTAGGACGTGTTGCGCAAATCTGGTAGCTTATTAGATAGGTAGCTAACCAGTTCAGCTGCTGACCAATTTACTGCTACACAAACCACGTTATACGATCTATTTTCTCTTCACGTAAGACTTGAGTACTCTGATGCAGGCTCTTGAGGTCTTCGTGGTGCAAAAACCAATCATCTACTGCATACGAACTTCCGTCTATAGGACGAATTGCCAAGGAGACCCTACCTAAGTGACCCATCGCCTTGCCGTAATGAGGGACCTCGGATGTGGATTCAAGTAAGGGTCGAGACACAAAGGGCTCTGCCCACCACCTAGTAAGACACCTCCTCGGTTCTTCCCCACTAGTTCCGTCTTCTCGTTCTCCTCCTTTAAGACACCCTTTCCCCCTAGTACTACTACCTGTACCGAAGAAGGCATCTTGTGAGCATCCAAACATGTCTGACTGCTGCAAATCCGGTTTCAAGTGGGACGGTAAGCCAGTCGGCACCGAGACCAAACTCGCCAACGTCGATGCCTATGTTACTGGCTCGAATAAAGACGTGGCAGTGTTGATCGTCCACGACATCTTTGGCTGGACCTTTCCCAATGTCCGTCTTCTCGCCGATCATTATGCTAGTGAAGCTGGAGCTACGGTGTACGTTGGAGACTTGTGAGTGACAGCAGTGCTTGATCCTCTGCTAGCACGCAGGCTGACTTTGGGCATAGCTTCGGTGGAGAGGTCGTCCATCCAGACACAATGTCGGACCCGGCCAGGCTTGCTGCCTTCGATGTTGGTGCTTTCCTTGGGAAAAATGGCAAGGCTGTCCGAGAGCCTGAAATTGCTGCCTGTGCCAAAGCACTGAAGCAAGAACTTGGATTCAAAAAGGTTGGCGCTGTAGGATTTTGCTATGGTGGCTGGGCAGTCTTCCGTTTGGGGGCCAAAGGTCCGTATTAAAAGTTCTCTTACAAACGATCTATTGTTGTATATTTGGCTGACTGTGGAAACCCTTGCCCATTCCAGGAAACGCTCTGGTCGACTGTGTTGCTGCAAATCATCCATCTCTCCTGGAAAAGTCCGAGGTCGACGCTATCTCTGTCCCAGTGCAGGTCTGCGCAACGGAAAACGATCCCTTTTTGGCCGGCGAAATGATCGAATACATCAACAAAGTTATTCCAACGCTCGGTGTTGAATATGACTACCAGTACTTCCCAGGACAAGTGCATGGATTTGCTAGTAGAGCTGACACCAGCGACCCCAAGCAGGTCAAGGCATTGGAGCGAGCCAAAAACGCCACCGTGTCGTGGCTTCGAGAGCATTTGAGCTCATAGACAGGCATTGACATGTCGACCATGTAACTTGACATGGAGGGTGATAGCGATCTGGGGCGGATACCAAGAGCTCCAAAGTACCAAGAAGGCTTCACAACCACATAATCACTCCTTTCTAGTCACAGTAATGCACAGCTAAACTACCCTTGTCCCCTCTTGACAATATCGACGACCATTAATAAATGAAGTCGATCAGGCCCTACACATGCGTTTATCTCAGGGTATAATAACTTCATATTACTGCCCTCTTTGGATCAATGGAGGGTGAGCCCACTTCAACGTCACTGATATCTTAAGCCTAGTAGTATATACCGACCAAATTACGATCAAACCATATATTCGGGCCGACTATCGTGGAGGGAGTGCTATCTAAATAGGCTTTATCAACGGTCTCCCCCCTCACAAACACGTGGATATTTGCGGGGGGACAGGGGGTTGACCACGGGCTGAAGTACTGGAGGGCTAATCAAAATGCCCAGGGTCAATACTACACCATCATTAATCCACCCTTACTCATGGTGATGAGAACTAACTGATAGATTCCCTTCATCTCTCGTTCCCCCCTAGACAATCACTGCACTACTACAACGAAGACTTCACGCTCATTTATCAAGCATACAAAACGGATACTCGAGTCCTGAATCAAGGTTATCTTGGCCCATCATCTTCGCAACAAACTTTGACTTTGCCAAATGTGCTGTCTCCCATCGTAGACTTTAGCAATGATGGCATGGCAATGTCTCGATGTTGCGGCCTTCTGAGAGACCAGTGAACATCGAATGGCAGTCGAAGAAAACCACTCACGAAAGACATCAATTAGGGACGAGAACATTCATTGTAGCTGGAAATCTCATTTTAAAACTCGCGTCATGAATTGCTGCGTTAACAGATCCCCACAGATGCCATGTTCTCACCAACACATTCGCCTATTGGTACTCCTGAGACTGTGCCGTTTCGTTGGATCCAACGACCTCGGTACCTAGTATCTCGCTAGTTGCGCCATGGCACAGGCGACAAACACGGCTTTGAGCTGTTCTTCCTTTTTCTTCACCAAGTCACTTAAGTTCACTCTCATCTAAACCAAGTGGTTGGGACAGAGCGGAAGTAGGACTCGACGTCTACTGCACATGAATGTCAGGTGGATCTCTTTCGTATTTCCCTGGCCCAAAGAAGAGTAAATGGATTATTTAGTGCGTACCTAGGATACTTATAGTATATGAGTACGCATATTAGTGACTTCGGGTGGGTCTTTTATCACGCTGGGAAAGGGCGATTCAATCACATCCACGCCTCAACCTTCTCTGCATGCCGTGCAGTGTTTAGCGAGGTCAGTTATATGCATCAGCGATATTATACAAAAACATCACAGAATTTCTTTAGCAGCTGTAGGTGAGCAGTCATCTACGTAGTGGAAATACCACCAGAACCCGTGTCACCCTAAGGATCTTATTGCTCTATTTTCGGCTTCGTGCTCAAGTGATAGGTACAAATCGAATTACGCAAATGTGGCATTGGTGGGTCTGTTGGATCTCGGAATATGAAAGCTACCGACTGGTTCTGGGCAGAGTCTAGCCATGTTGGTGTATTAATACGAATAGCCGTTCTTTCGGACGAACGCTATCATTTATATGCATCGGTTCAGGAAAGCGAGGGAAACCCAGATTAATTGTACTTATGATTAGCCTACCGAACATGATTGGCTTCACGTCAACCATGGCTTTTGTTCTTGGATAGTATGATTGGCTCCTGGAATGACCTTCCATTGTGGATGAGCCATCCGGGGAATCCCTGACTTCTATAAAATTCCCGACCGCACGTGGGAGTGTCCCAGAAGGACCCCTACTTTTGTAGGGGACTTCAGGGTTCCCTTTCGTTGCAACCGCGAGTCCCAAGTCTCGAACCATACATACATGTATTTCACTACGGTCAGCCCACCCAAAAGGGCTCGAACGTTATTGAAGCCTCGAGTGCTATAATGGCGGATATACAGAAGTGTCACTCGCGCATTGAAGTCATTCCTCGATCCTTCTCAGGTGGTACGATACCTGGATGAGCTCTTTGGTCTACAAAAGTCACTTTTCACTTCAATATATTGTGTGCCTCCAGATGCCTCGGGAGCTACTCATCATGAGATACGAGTAGACTGACAGGCTTATCTATGGACCCAAGGATAGTCGGTAAAGCTAGGTGGATACAGGATACGGCGCCTTATCAAAAGACCCACGAACCTCTTTGGGAATACTTCGAGGCTTCGAGTTCGCGCAATGGACTCCACGCAGGTCTATATCTAGCTGAATACTTCCATGGTCTGGATATCTTCTCATACCTCACTGCATATTTCTAGAATCTAGCTTACTGGATTCCATAGACTTGCCAGTATGTCTGCTCGACGTTTCGTCTCTTTGTTATGGAGTGCATCAGTTCTCCTTGCGCCGACATCACTGGCGGTAGCTGTCAGCTCCGGCAAGGCTGTCCACAAGTTGAATGCTCGAGGATTCTATGATCATTTGGACCCAGAAAACTTCATTATTGCCTCAGTGATTCAATCCCCTTTGTGAGAAACATTGAAAATCCCACGGTGTGCTAGTGTTAATGTCATACAGTGAAGGCCCAATTCCCGTGTCTGTCTGGACCGAGCCACAGTCGCTTCCCCAGGGAACCTGGAACATTACTTTGACAACCCAAAGAGCTGTCAGATTCATCCACGAAGCTGCTGCTGGCGGCGTTGGTCTGCTGGCATTTCCTGAAGTGTGGTTTCCAGGGTAGATAATTTCCTAGTCCGCTGTGCTGAAGTTTTCCCTAATTGTCTTGTCAGATACCCTTTCCCGATGAAGGCTCAACCTAAATACACCCAAGATTACATTGACAATTCTCTTGTCGAGGGTGATTCCAATTGGAACGCTTTGGTCGAAGCTGTCCAAGAAGCAGGGATTTACGTTGCGATTGGCGCCTCTGAACGCCGAGGGGACTTACTCTTCATGACTCAAGTTCTCTGGTCCCCGGAGGGTGAGAAGCTCATCCATCGTCAAAAGGTTCGTGCGAGTGCGTATGAGCGCAATCTGTGGAGCGACGGGGACTGGAATGATCTGAAAGTGGTTGCCACTCCGTATGGTCGTATTGGACTCCTTGAGTGTTGGGAGTAAGTGTTCTGTGTCTCTTGCTCGGCCAGTTGGCTGCTGACCTGGTCTAGACATCTACATCCCCAGATGACCTTCCCAATGCAGGCCCAGCTTGAGGACATTCACGTCGCCATGTACCCAAATTTTGCTGATCCCCACATGGTCGACAATCCTGAAACTGTCTTGCATCCTTTCAGCTCCATGAAGGTCAATATGGCCGGAGTGCATGTGTACACTGCTACCTCCAAGACCTGGACCGTCGTAGCTGTCAATGGTGGCTCACTCATCATGAATCCTGTTGGGGTGATTCAGTCCATGATGGGACCTTTTCCTCAGGGAACCTATGATGCTCCTACTTACCATGGAGTCAGTGTCAACACGACGACTTTCCGAAAGAACAGGACTTACGAGGTAAGTATCGGACTTCCTGCCCAATATACAATAAGCTCACAATTGGATTGTAGATCAACAGCCAATTTGGCTTTGGGTCTCTGCTGGAAATGATTCAAGCGTATCCCGACTATATCCCGAAGGACACTGGGACATGGGTGCAAAAGAAGGAGGTGACTGTCTTCTACCTTTTGGAACAAGCGGCCCAGAATATCACCTACTTCGACGGCGATGATAGCGCAGAGACAATTCTATAGATTCGTAGACACTGCGGACAGTATGTCTCGAGCTTACCACGCCCTGACCTGAAGCCTCTTTTATGAAAGCGGATGGAGTAACAAGCGAGGTAGTGTTATCGGGGCAAAACCAGCTCGCTGGCAAGCTGACACTCGCCAGCACAGTCCGTACAAAAATAAAAAGTTACCTGGATCTGTTTGCTAGGACATGTTCGAGCACAAAGCAAAATGTTCTCAGGCCAAAAAAAGGAGGGATGTCTGGAATGGCACGTGACAATTTTGGTAGCAATCCTACTTCGGAGCATTGGGAATCTGGACGCCGCTGCCAAGATATGAATATCAGACTCAATATGTCGAATATCTTCCACTCTTTAGCAACAGTGTTCACAGTCTCTTTCATCGGAGTAATCTTTCGGTTCTCCATTGAGCTTAAGGGTCTGTATCGCCAATTGCACGATGAGGACATCCTCTCCCAAAGATTGTGTCCTTCGCTCTTCCCCGCAATCAATAAAGTCTTCCACGCTGGCATCGATCTGAAATACCCCAGGCAGAGCACAGAACGTTGTGAAAATCTCCAAAGTTGCACGCTGAACAGAGCAAAATGTCCGACGAAAGCCAGTCGGACAACCGAATGGTTCGACTTGCAATCGAGGGATGCGTGAGTCTCTCTTTGCTTCCCATTCTTGACGAGATCTTTTATTGACTGCTTCAGGGCCATGGCACTCTCCACGCGATATACGCGTCAGTGACAGAGTCATGTAGAATCAAAGGCTGGGATGGTGTTGATTTATTGATCATAGGTGGTGACTTTCAGGTTGGTGTCCTGCAATCTCGGTATTTGCTTCTTGCTGACAGAATCCCGCTAGGCCGTGCGGAATCAACACGATCTCAATGTTACTTCAATGCCTCATAAGTACAGACGAATGGCAGACTTTCATGAGTACTACAGTGGTGCAAGGGTCGCCCCTTACCTGACCGTGTTCATCGGAGGAAACCATGAAGCAAGCAATCACCTCTTCGAGCTCTACTACGGAGGCTGGGTCGCGCCAAATATCTACTACCTCGGGGCTGCAAACGTCCTTCGATTCGGACCTCTTCGAATAGGCGGTCTTTCCGGAATCTGGAAACCATATGACTACAACAAGCCTCACTTTGAAAGACTTCCTTACAGCGAGCGCGATATTGGTAGCATCTACCATGTCCGTTCAGTGGATGTCAGAAAACTCCTAGCTGTGCGGTCGCAAATCGACATTGGACTTTCACATGATTGGCCACAAGGAATTGAAATGCTAGGCGATCATCAGTGGCTCTTCCGCTCCAAACCGGGATTCCAGACAGACTCCATCTCTGGCCGGCTTGGGAGCGTTGCCGCAAAATACTGCCTAGAGTATTTGAGACCGCCTTACTGGTTCTCAGCGCATCTCCACACAAAGTATGTCGCAATTATGCATCATGACAAGTACCAGCCACCCGGTGCCAGCACATCAGTTGAAAACAAATCCTTCTCGAAGAACAGCGTCCCGAAGCACGACACAGGAAACATAGACCAGAGCCGGGATCAGAATGAGATCTCAGCATGGCAGCAGTTCGGTGTTGGAGCGCAAAGAGCAGAAGCTGAAGAAAACGGCCAGATACTGCGCGAGAGGGAGAGCCGTCGTTTCGAGGAAGCGCAAACAGGTGTTCATCGAGGGCCGCAGTACGTCTTCGAAGAGACTTTTAAACAGGTAGTCTCGAGTGACGATTTGGCTCGAAACGTCATCTCCACTACCACCAACCAGGTAGACCACGACCAGCAGGACTTGGGAAAATCGTCTACAGTATCTCAATTGGACGGTTGTGTCTCATCGAGACCCAGCAAGAAGCAGCGACTACACAGTCCTGACCCACAAGGAAATGATCAAGGTACTCTCAATACTTCAAGTGCTGGCAACAATCCTCCACAAGCAACTGCCAATCCAGACGCCATCGACATTGAGATGAGTGACGACGAAGAGGAGGTTGATCACCCCCCTATCATGGAAAAGGCAGTCGAGCCAAGTGGAGGATCGTCACAAGCTCGCGATGAACCGACCATTCAAACCCCTGCTGTCGACCAGAACAAGGCGATGAATGACAACTCTTACGAGAGTGAAGATGGCGGCGTCGAGTTGAACTCAAAAGCAAGTTCCTCCGCCCCTGTCCCAACTGCAGGTGTCCCGCTCGAACACCAGGACTCTCCTTTAGCATCACCCGCGTTTGAAGATTCTGAGCCCCTGTCCCAGGTCAAGGCGTTGGAGCAGCCAGTGGACGCGGTGAAAGATGTTGATGCCAACACCAATGCCAAACCTGAAAGCCAGGTCTCAGAAGAAATGCGGGCTCAGCTCGCTGCCCTCTCAGGAACTTTCAGTCAGCGAGAACAAGTCACGACATCGCCGGCTCTCCCACATCCAGAGACCATCACCAACAAGACAACCCACTTCCTTGCCCTAGGCAAATGCGAACCATTCCAAGAATTCCTTCAACTCCTTGAAGTCAAATCCATCACAGAGCCCGAAGGCCCCTCCTCCCTTGTTCGTCCACTGAAGCTATCATACGACCCCGAATGGCTTGCCATCCAACGTGCATTCGCGTCAGAGCTTTCCTTGGGCGGACACCCCAACCACCGTGCCCCTCCCCATCGCGGCGACACCTACTATCGAGACGAGATTCACCGTGAGTCGGAGTGGATCAATGAACATGTCGTGAAAGCCGACAAATTAGACGTGCCATTGAATTTCACCATTACCTCACCTGTCTATGACCCTGACCTTCACGTGCAGCAGCATGAGATGCCTCGTGAGGTCAGCAACCCGCAAACCCAAGCCTATTGTGACTTGATTGGCATTGAAAACAAGTTTGATATCAGTGAGGAAGAAAGAGACGCGAGGATCCAGCAGGGTCCACGGCCAAGTGATGACGATCGAGGCGGAGCGAGAGATCGACGCGATGGTGATGGACATCGTGGCAGAGGAGGCGGTGGATATGGTGGTCGAGGTCGTGGAGGCTTCGGTTTCGGTCATCGCGGAGGTGGGAGAGGTAGGGGTCGTGGGGGTGGCCGTGGCCGTGGCCGATACCATTGAGATTGAAGTGTCATTGACTTGTAGCAAAACATCAGCGTGTGGTTACGCTGCTATGATCCTATCTCCCGAGCTGAGTCAGCGTCGATGAGGGATTGTATGTATCATAGGAATTGTGTGTGGCGTGGAGACAAAAATGATACCCCTGGACAGTCATTCGAATGATCAGTGAACAGCAGTATTGTCAAGTATATTCATCATAGAAGCACTGACACCCAAGAATCCCGTTTGCGCAGTTTCCATGTTCAAGGAGTGATTGGCGGGTCTATCATTGTGTTATTGGAGGCAGCTCCGTTTTATTTTACAGCGACTGAGCCTCCGCCACTTGGTCTAGATGACTTATTTATCCGATCCAACTTCCTCAGAGTATTCTTCTTCCACGCCTCAAACGCCTTTGTCCTGTAATCGCTCAAGAAGTCCACAGATTCCTGCATCATTGTGCCCAGACCAGGCAACAGAACACCTTCGGGGTCGTCCTGCTCCTCTCCACGAACATCCGCACCACGGAGACGACTCTTTTTCCCACTCAACATGTCATCATCATCTTCCATTTCAGCCCCGTCCTCGCGATACTCAAACTCAAACTCTGCTTCCGGCACATTGTCCCACCAGTCCTGATCTCGAATGTAACCGTCTCGATTGACGCAGCGGATCCATTCCTCTACACCAGCAGATCGATGTGGATACTGGAGCTCTTGCACCGCCTGCTGAGAGATAGCCTTGTATACTGGGACGGTCATTTTAGATGTTTGCATCTTTGTCAATGTCATGAGGTAGAGGGCAATGAGGAGGCCTGTGACGGTTTCGTCAAGGCTCGCACCGCTTGGAATACGGGTGTCTTGGTCCCCATCGTCTGTTTCTGCCGATGGTGGCCAAACTCCGGCTAGTTCGAGGACGATGCAAGTGCCAGTGTAAACGTGAGGCGCCAACAGTGGAGTGTCAAAAAGCCGACATAATTTGCGGATTGAAGGCATAGTGAACCTGGGAGCTTCAAGTTCTCCCTCAGCGAGGGTGCTAGCAGGATTGATGGTCTTTATTTTCCCCAAGAACGCATGGCTCTTTTTGGTTTTTGAGGGTGTGCCAGCGTCGACAGGACTGGCAATATCCCGGCCCCCTCTGCTCGATTTGACTGAACCGTCCGCTGCTCTTTTCTTGGAAGTTGGCGTAGCGGACCCTGCTGCTTTCGAACGTGTCATTGATGCACTGGCCGAAGCTCCTCCTTTTTCATCTAGAAGGCCTTCCAAGAATGCAACCAACTTTTTGTACACCACAGGCTTGCAAGGGGCGCCGCCAGATTTGACGGCCGGTAGCCGGCATTGTGCTCTGAGACGCCTACATGCTATCTCGCAACATGCATGTGTGCGAGCGATCTCCTCTTCCGGTTTCAAGTTTGAAGCCCGTTGCCGGGACTGTGCCAGAAGAGACTCGGATAGATGGACAAGGGATGGAGGGAGTTTGGAGGCGTGGCTAGGAAGGAGGAGTTGTAGGGACTGGCGGACGGTCGAGGACGACATTGATGACGAAGGAGGATGTGAGGAGGGAGGGAGAAAGCACAAGAGGTCGCCGCTGTCTCATCAAGTCTTGGTTGTTAGGTACTAGGTTCGATGTCGATATTGACTGTAGACTTACTCTTCCAGATCTGCCAATATTGTTGCTGGGGACACATTAAAGTTGATCCCCGCGACGCGTCATTGGAAGGCAGTTGCACGCGTCGAGTGCTTGCAGCAACGCTAACCAATCTCGGTTTAGGCTTGTTAGACATATCGATCGCCCTTGCCTTTACCACAACTCGTCATTTCGCTCCTGCTTGTACGATGGATTTAATTCATGGCAAGTTTTTTGCAGTAAATGCAAGTCTGTATCTCTCTCCACGACCAGTTTCCAAGTACATTTGTCCCTTCAAGCCTCAGGCTCATTCCGTCACCCGCTCAACCGCCGCCCGAAGTCTCTCGCATGGTTTCGATGGTGATGTGCTCCCACTTGACGATGCGTGTGCCTTCCAGCATACCGATACATAGAATCATTGATCCGATCATCAATGCTGACCGAGTCCGTTTCGTAGATCTGCACACTTTTGACTAACCAGAATGCTTGCTCAAACGCTTCAGGATTCTTTTCCACATACTCGCTGCATGTCGGTGCCAAAGACGCGCACGAAGATGTGGTCCAACCACCGTTGATCCATGGTCCACAGAAATTGGTATTGAGGATGATTCGCAGATCTCGAAAATATGGTTCCAGATTGGTACCATTTCGACTAAAGACGGCAGTAGGCGTGCCCCAACTGATTTGTGCGTCTGCGTCGATGTACCCCGAGGAGTTTTGTCCAAAGATTTGCTCGCCAAGGGCTCTGTCCATTTGCCATGCCTTGATCCATCCACTCGTGTACTCGACCACCATAAATGAGCCGAGCTGTCGATTGAACTCGCTGCCAAATGCTTCTTGGGGTAGAACAGAGCTTATACTACACCCCCTTCCCCCAGAAGTTACCACATTGCAGTCAGTCGTTAGTGCAACGCCATTCTGGATACCACCCGCGAGTTTGGAGGAGATGTTCGACGGGCTTGTGTAATCATCAAGCGTCAGTATTTTGCTGGTATGTAGTGACAGCCGATTTTGAGTCTGATCATTGATGCCCTCGAGAATGTCGATCTCACCGGCGTCAGGCCATGGTCCATCAGTGCCGAGCATCCAAAACGCAGGCCAAACTCCACAGCCGCCGGGCATATGGTAGATGTCGGCGACGAAGAGACCCTGATTGAAGGTTTCTTTTGACTCTAGCCGTAGAGACGGCCGTCCTGTGGGTGTAAAGTTTCGTGAGTCTACACCGAGGTAGAGAAGGTCTGTCACTTCCTTGGTTGTATTGTCATCGTATTGGTAAATGTAATCGAAGACTCCAGTGAGCTGATTGTCGAGGGCTGATCTCATGTCCTGATAACTGACAAACCCATTTGCTGCGTCGTATCCGCCGTGAAGGTCGAAACCATCAAAGAAATACTCGTCGGCAGTGTCAGGATTGGTGGGAAACACTGTATAATTCTTGACGAGTCTGTAGTTTTGAGGCGAGCCTTGCGCAAGCAAGACACAAGTGCCAAGTGCGTATAAGGCAATTGCTTTCTTCATATTGAGACCAACAGAGATGAATGGAATGCTGAGATACACACGAGTGCTCTGAACAGAATCCGCGTCTTATTTGTCGCAATTAAGGCTGTTCAACTTGGTAAGCGTTTCGAGTTTGAGATATTCAGGGTTCTGGGTCAAGTTGGGGAGAAGATCACACCTCATGGCATATTTGACAAACTGATGAGACTGCAAACAGAAATGATCACCCGTGTCATTGAAAGACTGGTGTGATTGATTGAGAGGAAGCAAACCAGGGCATCATTCATATTGAATGGGCACAATAGCCATTGCATGAATATATTCAGCTTCTCCAGTGAAAGCATTGTTCAATCAGAAAAACTTATCCTCAGTCAACCATGTGAAAATCAATGCTGCCAACAATAGCTTGAAACACAGTGTCCAAGATCCGCGAGAGTGTCTGGAGAAATCTTGGACTCTTCATGGAAGTCCCTTTGAATTGACTCCTTGTGCAGGCGGATCGACATCTTGTCTGCACATTAGTAATATGTCAGAAAGAGGCTGAAGAATCGCGAGCATAGCTTTTGAGACTCTCTGAGCCCAGAAGCTGTGTTGATAATGTGTAGCCTACCTGTATTCTAGTCAATGGAGCACAATCAAGGTCGAAGTCGAGGAATAATATCAAAGAGATTCTGTCACGTGATATCGCGTGCCACTTTACGCGTCCGCGTGAGCCGCCTGGGAAATTCCCGTCGTCATCGATTTTGGTTCTTTCAGGGCCGCTTTCTGGCACGGATTCTTCATTAACATCACTTTATCAGCTAGAAGCGCTCATCACCCTTGACTCGCAGGGAGTGATGCACGCTATCCGTTGTCTATTAGTGCCATGAGCCATGGCCAAGCTGCAGGGAGCGTCCGTGTCGAAGGTGCCTGTCAATCGGAAACGCAAACGACCTCAGAAGCCAACCGAACCGCCGCCTAGTGAGTCAGAGCCTGCTGATGACAATACCACTGCCGAAACCACAACAACCACAGCTGTTCCTACAAAGACACATGATGGAGGCAGCGGTACCAAACGCGGAAAGACGGGTGCTAAACCAGCTCTTCTACAGCGAAGTTCCTCCTCCAACCTAGTCGAATCCGAAATTCCCTGGCCCGAACACTTCAAATTCCTCTTACAGTTACACAAAGCCCTTAACCTTGTATACACCTTCTGCTGCACGCGGAAGCATTTTGCAACTACTTGGGAGAATATAAAGTCAACAGTAGAGGGGCATATAAAGAGACCACTACTCGAAACCGATGTGGCGCAGGTCAAAGCCCTCATACCTCGTGCCATCAATTTTGCCTATGTGGATGAACACCACCTGCTCGTCACTTTGATGGGCGAGGAAGATGGTGTTAAAGGAGGAAGGGCTGATCACTTTCGGTCTCTGCAAGAGGACGAGAGCGGGCAAAATGACAAATCTGACACACAAAGGGAGTTGCTCCTATTTGAGTTCATCGATGGCGATCTCAAAAGGCAAGTTATCGATCCTAAGACGGGTCAGCCTACAAAAGCCACCCAGAAATTAAGAAATGAAGCTTTGAAAATGCCCGTATTCAGCCAAAAATCGATGCTCAAACTCATCGAGAAGCGCAATTCCAAATTTACGTCTGCCATCAATGTCTTCCTCAACCAGTGCGCGGAAGAAAAAGTGGACGCAGTGGAGAAAGTGATCGCTATGAGCCAGACTTGTATCCCCCGCCCTTCGACGATTGAGCCTGACCCATTGGATCTGATCACCACGTCCCTGCCAAAATCAATACCCAAAGATCGGAAATCAATATCAGAAATTGTAAAGGAGTTGAGCGAGATGGAATGGTACACGCAACAAATTGTTCCCGACGGACACCGTGTCTTTGATCCCCAGCCTCCAATATACGGCGACTTGAAGTTTGCCTTGTCTCAGAATCTCGTTAATGCGCTCTACAACTCCCGGAACATCACTCAGTTTTACTCACATCAAGCTGAGGCCATCAACAACCTTCATGAAGGCCACAACGTGATCGTCTCGACCTCGACCAGCTCTGGAAAGTCATTAATATACCAAGTGCCCATGCTTCATGCACTGGAGAATGACCCGGAGAGTCGAGGCATGTATATTTTCCCTACCAAAGCCCTCGCACAAGACCAACGACGAAGTATGAAAGACCTGCTGAAGTACATGCCTGGATTCGAAAATGTCATTGTCGAAACATTCGATGGCGACACGCCTATGAAGGAGCGAAACCTGATCCGCGACGAAGGACGGATCATTTTTACCAATCCTGATATGCTTCACATTACCATCTTGCCACAGGAGAGTGGGTGGAGGACATTCTTGAGGAACCTCAAATATGTGGTGGTGGATGAATTGCATGTTTACAATGGTCTATTCGGTGCGCACGTCGCATTCATCATGAGGAGATTACGTCGAATATGTGCTGCGGTGGGAAATCGCAAAGTCAAGTTCGTATCTTGTTCAGCAACAGTTGCAAACCCTGAGGAACATATGAAGACGATCTTCGGTGTGGATAAAGTCAAGCTGACAGACTTTGACGGCTCCCCATCTGGCCGAAAAGAATTTCTCTGCTGGAACACACCGTACAAAGACCCCGGAGATCCGTCTTCAGGCCGAGGAGACACTTTCGCCGAGACTGCCCGCTTGATATGCCAGCTGATCCTTCGTGGTGTTCGCACCATTGCGTTTTGCCGGGTACGGAAGCAGTGCGAAGTACTACTCGGCGCAGTCAAGGTTGAGTTCGCGGCGCTGGAGCGACCAGAATGTGCCGCATTGGTAATGGGTTACCGAGGAGGTTATTCGGCGCAAGATCGTCGTCGAATTGAATCCGAGATGTTCGGCGGCAAGCTCATGGGAATAGTTGCAACAACGGCTCTAGAACTGGGAGTCGACATCGGTTCGCTTGACGCTGTTGTGACCATGGGCTTTCCTTACACTATTGCAAACTTGCGACAGCAGAGCGGGCGAGCTGGGCGAAGGAATCGCGACTCACTGTCAGTTCTCGTGGGCGATTGCTTCCCAGTTGATCAATACTATATGCAAAACCCTGATGAAATTTTCACCAAACCCAACACAGAGCTTCAAGTCGATTTAACAAATGACTTGGTGGTCGAGGGACACGTACAATGTGCAGCGTTCGAAATGCCCATTCAGCCAGAGGAGGACAAAAAGTTCCTTGGAAAGACACTTCCCGAGATCTGTAGCACGAGGTTGTCATACGATCCTATGGGATTCTACCATTGCCACGAGCGATTCCGACCACAACCTTCCAAATGTGTGAGTATTCGAGACACCGAAGATGGTCACTTTGCAGTGGTGGACATTACACACGGTCGCAATGTCGTGCTCGAAGAGGTAGAACCATCTCGGGCCTTCTTCACACTCTACGACGGTGGCATCTTCCTCCATCAAGGGCGAACATACATGGTCAAAGAATTCTCACCTGAACGCAAGATTGCACGAGTGCAACTTGTCAAGGTGGACTGGACGACACAGCAACGCGACTTCACGGATGTCGATCCGATCGAAACAGAACAAGTCCGACGAGTGTCAGCCAATTCTCTGACGAAAGCATTCTTTGGTCGCATCAAGATCCACGCTGTTGTGTTTGGATTTTTCAAACTGGACCAAAAGCGACGAATCTTGGACGCCGTTGCAGTGGACAACCCTCCCATCGATCTATATTCACGAGGTCTATGGCTCGACATCCCTAGATACGCGCTGCAGATCCTCAAGGACAAGAGACTCAATCTCGCGGCTGGGATCCACGCCGCCGAACACGCACTAATGAGTCTGATGCCTCAATTCGTCATCTCCATGCCAGGAGATGTGCGGACGGAATGCAAGAACGCTTTGAAGGAGTTCGCAAAGAAAGAAACCCAGCGTAAACGACCGGCCCGTTTGACCTTCTACGACGCCAAAGGCGGAGCTGCAGGCTCGGGGATTGCGGCCAAGGCGTTCGAGTTCATCGACGTCTTGCTTGAACGTGCAGTGCAACGAGTTTCAGCCTGTCACTGTCTCGAGGGATGTACTGAATGTATCTGTGACGAGCGATGTAAGGAGAAAAACATGATCATGAGTAAAGCTGGTGCAGAGGTGATTCTCAAGTCTTTGATTGGCATGGAGATTGATCTTGATGCTTTGCCGGAGGGTGAAGAAGAGAGAGTGCCGGCCGGGGTAGAGACGGTTATCTTTGCAGAAGAAATCTTAGGCAGAAATGGCAATCGTGTCCAGGAGCGAGAGTTTGTCAAGCGTGAAAAGGACGACGATGAGGCTATCATAATAAAGGATGAGGAAGACGATTGAATCATCTTAGTTAGACGCATGTCTATATATACGAATATATGTCTTGAGAATCATGACGAGACCTGATCTGCTGTGTCAGACATGCACACGTGTTGGTGGGCCGCCTCCCTGCATATCCTGTTAGATGCTATCCCTGCGGTCAAAGGCCCTTAGTCACGTTCCTGACGAAGGCATCAGCCTCCCGCCTCATAGTCTGGACGTCGACTTTGCCCGTGCCATAGACCTTTGCCAATGCAGCCTGGACTTCTTCATCCTCAAAAAGGCTCTCGTCAGTGGCGGCATCGCTCTCGATAGCCACAACGGTCCGCCAATACTCGTCGTCAACGGCTTTGAGGCTGCTGTCCCTGACAACGGCATTTCTCACCACCGAAAACGCCCTGAGATTGTTCGACGTCATCTGCAAGGCCAGGTTCATCTTCGTAAGGAGTTCTTCGGTGCGACGTTTTGCCAGTGTGGGATCTGCCGACGATGGAGCACTGAAGAGGAGGAACCGGCCAGTGGCTGATGCATAGATAAGAAAGGCGACGAGGCCATCGAAGAGGGAAAATGATAGGTAGCGTAGGGTTGAGGCGAGCCAGAACGTGCCGGCCGGAGAAGGGGTCATCGGAGCTGTGACGGGTGTATAGGTGACGGCCTGCCAGATGTCGAGCGAGAACAAGATCACGGCGCCGATGAGACTCAACCGTCGCCAGTGGCGAGCTTCGACCCCAGAGACGGACTCAGAGGTGGCAACACCAAGCGCCAGGATGTGAATGAGGTGCGGGAGAAGTATGTTGGTCGGTAGGTGGTACAAGAGATACGTAAAGGCGTCGTTTGGATGGCAGAATGTACAGTCAAGTAAAGTTGAAGGGCCAAAGCGGAGGTATAATTGGCGAAGTCTGGAGAGTTTATTGCATGTGTTAGGGGTGGAGGTCATGTGAGGAAGAGGCGGATAGAATGAAGACCCTGGGGAAAGACAGATCTTTCGTCTCCTGGGCATGGGAAAAGGACTTACGATTGAGTAGTAAGCTTCGACTTGAGTTCCTCGTCAATTGGTGTCAGGATTCCATGATCTCGCATGAGCGCCAGGCGTTGGAACAGAATATCAGTGGGCTGAGAAAAGTGAGACTGAGTGACGACGAAGACATTATGATCTTCAATCTTGCCTAGGAGCGGCAATGACAGATAGATGGATATGCATATGGAGGCGAAGAGTACGTTGAGTCCGTGGCTAGTTTGTTGTGGGAGTGGTCTCGGAGGCGGCCTGGTCCGGATAGCAATTTTAACCACGCGATAGTAATTGATGGCCCGTGGCAGGACGAATGTGAACAGAAGCGGCCAGAATGGTTTGATGCTTGCAAGATATCAATGGCGATGACCATGAAAAGGATTCAAAAGATGGCATGAAAGTCAAGTAGCACATACCTTTGCAGAATTGACATTTCTGAGGCTTGGTTTTGCCTGTGGGCACATTACTGATCAAGAGAATTAGACAGGTCAGTCGAGCATAGGGACAAAAAAGTCGTCGTTGGCGCTGTAATTTCAGAATCGGCAGGTTGATCAGTTGCACACTGTGAGGTTTGAGAATTGAAGTCGCGACGATGTCGATCGAGTAGGAGATGTGGCAAGGCTGAGGAGCCGCGAGGCTGAAACACAAACTTTGACAGGCGCGATTTTGGGCAGGTGGGCCGGCTCAAGTACAGTAGTACCTCAAGTTTGAGTCGGTGGGTGAATCATCGAGAAATTGCCAGCCACGATCAAGTCTACTTGAAATACATACAGATCAAAGATCAGGGAAGCCATGGGACGAGATATGAATTCAGTCTCGAAAAGTCAAAGAGATCTAATCGTGAATACGTGACTTGACCTTGTAGCAGCCGTCGACTGGCAAAGCCTATCCAAGCCCCCAGTGTATTCACTGGTTAAATACGCCACGCCATTTATACGCCATCAGGACACCTTGCTAAGTTGATCGTCAGAGCTCCATCACCCGGTGAATAAGAGGAGAGGACGAGAAACAGGAGGATCGAAAGACTCGAGAGTTCTGAACAAATCCTCTTCTGTCAACGCCCCGCGCCATGTTATTTCTTTTTCTGATCTGCAACCTGACCGCCAGCCTTCGCAGCCTCCGCTAAAACAATCGTCAGATCCATTGGCGGAGAAGTAGATGTATTGTTCAAGATACCAACCTTTTGCTTGTTTGGCTCTCATGATAGCAGCTTGGTCTTCTTTGGTTCTGGCAAATTCCGTGCCAGACTGGGTGTTCTTTTTCTTTTGGCCAGCTTGTTCTTTGAGATTCTTTTCGCGGGCCTTGTCTCGTTGATTGCCGCGAGTCATGTTGGCGGATGAGGGTAGAGAGGACTTGAACTAAGCGCGAGAGGATGTGAGAGGGATCTTGACGGGGGATTCTGAGGATTTGTGCGACTGCTGGTGGGTGGATGTTGGTGAGAAATGAGGCTGCGATTATAGTGTGGAAATTGGGAAGGGTAGAAATTGGTGGAGTTGAGGTGGCTGCGGATTCTCCGACTCTTCTTGTGCTGCCTCGCCCGTTTGGGGTTCAGCATGCCTCTTCCAGCATCCTCATTCCCGCTTGTGTGGTACTTCCAGTCACTTAGGGTGGGGAGCCGAGAGGGCCGAGGGGCCCTCAGGCTGCAAATAGGGAAGGGAATTGGGTCGAAGCGCCCCCTCGGCCCCTCGGGCGTCGCCTTACTTAGGTCCCTCGGTCTTACCGACCCTCAAATTAGACTGCTGGCCAGTTCTCAGTCAACTAAAACATTTTGTTTGTCCTCCTCCTACCCTTTCGGATCGTTCAACAATCGTCTCAACATGATGCTTTATTCTTTCACCCAAGTTGATTGATCGATTCTTCGCCTATGGGCCATTCATCACTCATTCATATTCACCAAGGTCCAGGTCGGAGCAGATGGTGACCACCAACGGCGCCAAGGTGTTGGTTATCATTGTCCCTCGAGAGAAGTGTTTCAGCAGGTGCAGCTCTCACAATAATGTCGGTGTCTCTCAGCCAGTCCTTTTCATGAGAGCCTCAATGCCTGGGAATCCCCTCCCAGATTACTTCATGCTCGAAACTACTTGACTCAGGATGCCATCTCCGCGACCAGAGCTGGCCATGTCTCACTCGTGAGTATCAGGTCAAGTCTCCCTGCTTGAAACTGTCGTCAAAGTCTGCTCAGGCCATGATCGGATGCAACCAATGATGGCGCATTGAAGGTGAAATGGACAAGAGTCCTACGACAGCGTCACACTACCCTCGCGCGCTTCCTACCATATCATGGCCATATTCAATGACCTTTGATTGAAGACGATGTTCACGACGTTGACATCACTTGATCTAATATCTACCTTGATCACCTATTCTCTCATCCCTCACTGACCCATTGTTGGAACAAGTCCCATTTTGCTTCAACTCATGTCTTGACCAGATGTTCTCAATAGCCAGCCCATTTCCCATTGTTCTATTCATGATTGCACAACTATATTCTTAATCGCACTTTTCTTCCAACTCTTCTCTGTTGCCTTGCTACGCCTGAAATATTCTTGACACCTCTCACTCTCACACAGCGTCGTTGGTACAACACATTCAATTGCTTCGTTCCTTCCATCCTCACCATAATCACCCACGTGGTCATCTTCCGTCATGCCTTCCTTCGGCAGACGCCTTCTCGGCGCAGGTTACGTCGTGCTCAATGTCATCCGGGCGATGAACATCATTGGCCTTCTCTCAGTCATCGCGGCAAGCTCGGTCATGCTGGTCAAGACCTTTATCATCTCCAAATTCTTCTTCTTCGACGCCTGTGAACATGTGGTCAGGATCATTATGGCCGGTAAGTTCGATCTCCAGCTAGATCTGTTTTCTCTTCTCCGGCTGACTCAAGCTCAGGCTTCCTGATCCTGACCGAACTCCCACTCTTCAAGTCGTACATCTCTCGAAATTGGCCTCTTTTCAGCCCCCGATCAGGATTTGTCATGCTTGGATTTGCCATGATTTTCCTGGGCAACAGCATCCTCGGAAATCTCAACAAAGAAGCGACAAGTCAAGAAAGTCTAGGGATGGCTTTCTGGCGGTTGGTCATAGCCTCTGGCATTATTGTCTTAGTCCTCGGGCCCATCAACATCCTGGCTGTAAGAGCTATCAAGATTTAAGCGTGATGATATAACGATTACTGACAAGCTCACAGAGCTACATTTTTCGAGACCATAAGAGCCACGTCACAGCTCGACAGGTACGATCGGACGGTGCCGTTGCCTCTCATAAAGCGGACGTGGAAGCATCTACACCCAAGCCACCCAGCCGCAAAAGCCGATATCGATCGTTTCTTCTAGGCAATCGACGAGATTCTCTTCCTTCCTACTACTCGGGCAAGACGGCAAAGCACAATGACATGGTGCAGACACCAAAAATTCATACCGCAATCTCCAATCCTTTCTCCCAGGACTCAACCAACTCCAGGGTTGCTCAAAGTCCCGGAGGGTCGAGCTCAAAATACAGCCACAGCCCCAAAAGCGAGCGATATTTCCAGAGCCCTGACATGAGTCGACCCCAACTTGCACGACATCCAGCAATGACCGATGGACATGCTTTGTAGTACCGGCAGTCTCTCAACAGTGTCGGACGGTGGGAGTGAGTGGTAAAAATACGATTCACGGGGTGGTGGCAGATGATTTGCACGGCGTTATCTCAATGGGGATCCTATCTACGCAAGGCGAAATGGGGAATTGGATGTAGGGCTGAAGCCTTGCATGGGATGAAGATCTATGCCAAAATACCGTGCAGACCCAAAGCACCATACCATAGACAAGAACCACACTTAATCGATGTATGTGAACCTCACCGTATCATCCATCATCAAGGCTGTCAAGATAGACCAAGACGAGTCATGGATGGCCAGACCGGATGTTTTTGGCGTGATGATCAGACACGCGCGATTCGAATCCAGACCAAGCATTAAAGTTCGTAAGGACAGGGATCACCAGTTTCCCCTTGAGTTTTTCCCCATGGATTGTCAGATGCTGCAGTGGGCAAGACTATAGTTCTTATCAAATTGCCACTCTGGCTGGGAACCGGTGAGGACCGAGAACCGGCCTATGAACGAGGTTTGTGAGACGGGCCAGCCATTTCCAAGACGCGAAATGAGTTCGTTCTACTGGCTGCATCGTACTCGATTTCCAGATACGTTCGAGTTTGTTCAATACCCCTCACTTCATTTTTTGCCTCGAAGCCTTGGAATTTGATGCACGACAGAGAGGTCATTAGGTGTTTTGGGGGCCGGGTCAAGGAGTTCGCCATATTCGATTCAAGTTTCAATCACCTCTTCTGCTTGATGTGCTTGCTATACTTGCGCTACATATCACAGTTTCGCCTGGTGGTCATGGACTTGGACGGTGGTCTTGGTCGAATTCCACAACGCCTCGCCTCGACTCAACTCACCCGTCGGCCCCGCGCTGAGAAACTCGGCTCTGCACATCAATATGAACTAAACTCGAACTACTGAAGCAGGTAACAGATTGGGTCCACGATAGTGTTTTCCCCTTATCGAATCCGCATGTGCCCAATTCATTTCCACCATTGCTTGCCTCTATCGCCACCACCAGTACCATCGCCTCCTCGCTCCTACTCGTCCTCCACCTCCTCATTGAACCCCTCGTTCGCTCGTTCTTCTCTTCTTCACACTACACTTTCCTCCATCTCCACCTCCACCTCTCTCCATGTACCCTTTCCCCCCACCCTTTGGCTTTCCAATCCACCCCCTCCCTCCTTAATCGGACCCATGACACTACTTCTCGTGGCGACAAGGTTGAAAAGAGGGTCAAATGGCGGCGCGAGGCGTGAGCACGCAAGCACACAAGCATGCCTCGAGCAAACAGCTCCTGTACCCGTCCTAAACAAGTGATTTGACTTCCTAGTTGGGTCATTCTGCCATATCTTCAATTCACGACAGTTGTAGAATCGCCACCTAGGTGGATACCCAAGCAATCCGCCTTGCAGTATTCAGTATATACCCTGGCCCGAGGGCCCCCATAGGCGCCTCGGACGTCTGCTAGGCTTGCTGGTGAGGGATTGGTACCTAGAGGCTACTGGGCCACAGGACACGGCACACGGCACATGGCACATGGCTTGACAAGCTTAGAGTGGTGGAATGGGATGAAACTCTCTGAGAGGCGCGATTACTCTATTCATCCACTCGTGCTTTTCTGTGTTACTGCGTCGTGGAGGAATGTTCATTTGCATACAAGGCTTCATGTCATTCGGCCTAGCTATGTGTTACATCGAAGAAGATAGTCAAGTCTCGTTCTCCTTCCTCTCGGACTCAGATGGCAAAACCAACATGGCAGGTACTTCTTCTCATTTGAGACAAGCGTTGAAGTTGCAACATTGACATGTACCCATCCACCTTAGGTGCCTAGGTAGGTACATACGGTGTGTCCGGAGTACAGTACATACCCACCCTCAGACGCTCCCGTGCTGCCGTGCTGCCATGCTGCCCCGCCGCCCTGCGCGATACTGACATGTCACGCACGCATGCGGTATGCCCAACCATGTCCCTGTCCAACCAACGACCAAGGGATGATCCTTGTCAAGGCTGAAGTCTGGATCCTTACGGGCTTCAGCTCCAGCAGCTAATAAGCTTTAGGCTTGGTGGGACGGGACTTGAGATCGTCCTTAGCCTTACCTCAAGGCACAGGTGCCCTACTGTAACAGCCTCTACCCGTGCAACGCCGTGCGACTCGTAAAAGTGTCTCCTTTGCTTCCGGTGCCCCAGTTATTTCATGCCGGTAAAGAAAATAGGTGGTTGGGCGGATAGGGCAGGTGGTGCAGGACAGTGGAAGTGACATTACTTACTGTTATGAGGGTAGTGGCTCTACTTAGGTACCTGGTAGCTACCCAGGTACTGTTGCATGTGGCCAAGTCGACCGACCACGTACGTACGTTAGATGACATTAAGTAGTACTTGTTGAGTACCTATCTAAACGATAACTCCGAAGGTATCCAGTGGACTATCCAAACTGCTTGGACACTATCTCCATGCTAAAGACCTACTTACGCTGCTGAGTCTCTCCGGTGAAGACAGGTACTTTCAAAAGGTGCTGTGAATACTCAAGTACGTAGGAGGGAGCGGTGGTCCGTGATTATCATGTGCAAATTTGTTACACATGATCTCCTGTCCGGTGGCCGTGGCGATAACTTGTCGATATGTGTTGTGACTGGAACTTTTATCGATCACCAGCAACACGTGCTGGACGGCCTCGGGCAGCCGGCCTCACCAATCGCCAGTTATTTGCCAGCGTTTGATTACTCATTCATCATTCGATCATCCATCATGTGGCGACGTCTACGCCGTGAAGGAAGCAAAGATATCCAATCCTGCCAAATTGCCCTGTTGGGATTCTCGAAATGGTAATCGTAGGGGAACAAATTTACGATATGCATTTACAAGCAGTTACACAGATACACAGATGAATCGATGGGTAGATGCGACATGTGTGATTGTCTCACATGTTGTAGTAGATAAAAGCCAATGAGTTGTCATACAGGATTGATTAAATGGAGCTGCGATGCGAGTCCAAGTAAAGTCGCGAGAGACGGTTTGACAAAAAGTAATACTCCCCAGTTGCTCCGTCATGTCGTTTCGTCTGTTGGTTTGCTCCTATCTGAGGTATGAGCCTGGCAAGCTACATCCCCTGTGACCATTCTTGAATCAACCTTTCAGTCACATCTTAACGTCCCTTCTAGATTGTGCTCGCTATTGGTATCAGCTCGTTCCATGACTCCTCATCCGTTTAATCATCTGTGGGGCGTGCGATGGTATGTCACCAAGAATGAAGCATCCAGGGTTTCCGTTAGGAGCGTCGCTTGAGATCCAGCATTTCTCGGGCAAGGCGTTCTTCTGATGTTGCACTTGCTACATGGTTTTCGCCATCATCAATGTTTTCCATGTCTTGATCATTTATCTCGTTTCATTCACGTGAACATCCAGCTTCTTCGCGACGGGCTCTTGCTTCGCGTCTGGCTCTTTTCTCGGACCACGTACATCTTGTCACCTTTCTTGACGTAGCGATCATTGGGCGTCAACGTTGTGATGGTCTTGGTCTCCTTAACATACGGGCCCGTGATGAGTTTTCGTTGTGTTAATCGGCGCGTATGCTCGAAAAGCTCGTCCTGGAGACTGTCGTCAATGTATTTCTTGATGATGATGAATTCGCTGTCAGCCTATCGAATATCGAGTTAGCTGGCTGGCTGGTAGTCAAGTCGGCTTTCGCACTCACCCCATCCCATTGCCAAGGCAGACCATATGCATCCAGAGTGTCAGGATGTAAATACTTTCGGTTGACTTTGATATAGGTCGGTCGGTGAAGATCGATGGCCAGTGTCGTCTTCTCTTTCTTCTTTTTGTGAAGCACCTCATCCACATAGTCGGCGCTGTAACCTGTTTGCGAAGCATTGCCATAAGCCACTAGCAACAATAATGGAATGGAGATGTCTAAGGACATACCAGCATTCATGAATTTCTCCTTGACCTTTCGCTCGAATTCGGCATCTTCGGCCTTCTTCTTTTCTTCCTCTTTCTTCTTTCTCTCTGCCTCTTCTCGCAGAACTCGTTCTCGTAGTTCCTGCGCCTCCTTTTTCTTCCTCTCTTCCTCAATCTTGGCTTCGAGCAAGATCGCCTCGCGTTCCTTCTTTTTCCGCTCAGCCGCTAACTCTTCCTCATGTTGCCATTTCTTTCTGGCGTCGTCGCGTTCTTTTTTCTTGCGCTCAGCCTCGAGCTCTTCTTCGTATTGCCATCGTTTCTTGGCTTCCTCACGGTCCTTCCTGATTCGTTCTTGCAGACGCCTCTCCTCTTCCTCCTTGCGTTGGAGGCGAGCATAGTCGATCTCCTTGCGCAACTCATATGGGACATCGGCTTCGGTGACGGCATAATTCTTGCTGTATCGACGACCACGGTGAGAACGTGAGCGTGAGTGGTCGCTCGAACTTCTGCTTGAAGATCGTGATCTACTGCGATGACGATGACGACTGCGGCTACGGGAGCGCGAGTGAACGCTTGGGGCCGTGCCGATGTTGACAATGGTGGGTGCGGGGCCGGCGCCTGTGCTGGAGGCCCGCGGACGAGTCTGAGGCACACCTAAATAATTATTGACCACAGCGGGCTCTCCGCGTGACCGTCCATAATCACTCCCACCTCCTCCAGAGCGCACCGGCATAAGGTAATATTCATGCTCTGAGGTTGATGAGCGGCGTGAGTACGGCATTGTGACTATTGTTCAATTCGTCGTGGGCGAGCTTCTCCTACACGACGCCCAGAAACGGTTGGAGATCGGAGGGCGCCCACTTTCAGCCCTATGGTGGGGGATACAGTGTGTGGCAGACGCTGTGGAGCACTGGAACCGGGTGGGTGTGTGGTATGTGCGCTGGGATGCCAATGAGATCCGTGAATTCAAATGGTGAGGAATGTATTGACTCTGGAGGTGGTTCTAGGAGGAGGGAAGACTAGGATGAGCGATGGGCGTACTTATATCCGTAGGAAGTAGCGTGAACTTAGGAAGCATACCGCAATTTCAGCTGGTGGGGGAAGATGATGGACGGTGGTCACGCAGTTGGCTTTATCAAGTGTTTGCAGCCCTGCAACTGCAAGTTGGATGCAAGCACGGGTCATGGGTGGCTCTACGGAGTACTCTTTACTGTCGGCTGCAGCCACTTGCCTCCTGGCCCGTGGCCTGGGGCCGAGGGGCCTGGCGTCTGGGGCCTGAGGGCCGGCACGATAGACAAAGAATTGACTTGTCAGGTCAACCACAAGGTTAAAACTGGCAATGAAATTGGCAGCAATTGACCGCCGATCGTAGATGGTAGACCGTAAACTGTAAGTAGACCGGTTACTTGGGGCCAGAAGGATGTGCCAATAAAGATGCGCTGTGGTGGAATCCCTCCCCTGTTTGTCACGCGCAATCCCATCGTATTTTTACCCAGTCAGCGTTCTCAATCAACTGGCTACGATTCCGGTTGGTGCCACTCTGTCCTCGGTAATGTCTGGCATCCGTTACAGTTGCGTTTCGTTTGCTGGCCGCCACGACTGTTTTCATACTGACGTTAGTGATCGAAGGATTCATTGTGCAGTACCTAGGTAGGTACCTAGTTAAAGGTGGCAAGCAAGCGTTTGCTGGGCAGAGAGGGTGGCTCCAGGCTGCACTGCACGCTTACCCACCCAAACCCGTTGCTTAAAGCCGGTGCTTTGTCACTAACAAGCCAACAAGCCAACAAGCCAAAAAGCTTGGGCTACCTGGTCAACACAACAGCCACAGTTGCGGTATGGGTGCGCCTAAAATCGATTCGCACGGCCGAGGGGCCTCTTGCATGAATGCGTCATTAATGATTCTTCGCGTTCCCGTCATCTTCATCTGGACTAATATTGAGAGGCAAACACAACAGCAGGTTTGTATGACCTCTAGGGTCCAAATCATTTTGCCAAAGACCGGCCTAGTCTCACAAACACAGAGTCTCACCCGGGACGGACCTCCTGCCCCTTTCCATGGCATACCTCGTGGCTCATCAGGGTTCTAAGGGGCCCATTCCTTTGTAGCGACCGGGTGAATTTTTTTCTTGTCGCTAACTGATACGTACCCAGGTCACTCAAGATACTGCAGTATTGAATCGCAGAATTCGAGGAAGTCTTCGTATCAAGTGCTACAATATCCATCTGTTCATTTCAGACGTTCAAATCGTGGCTCCACGTGTTCAGTTGTGTCCTAGTGGCCACACCCAGTCGATCGTGCATCCAGGACCCGAACGCGAACGGAGTAGGGTCTCGCGGAAAGCATTTCCCGTGGTTACTCAGATACCCAGCTTTCAGGCTTTGTGCGACAAGGTTTTCGATGTCAGACAGTCTTGCGATTTGATTGAGCAAATACTGTCTCGGTCAGATTGCCATTCATGAGCGACCACTTGTTTGAAGGATCTTTTCGATGTGTTGCCGGCTGTTCTTGTAGGTCGTCTCTTGATAATGTAACTTCTTTTCCAGGTCGGACATTTCCTTGGACAATGAAGACGACTCCGAGGCAAGGCGCTGGGTCAGGGTGGTAATAGGCACGGCGACAAACCTGGACAAATTGGTGTCAGTTGGATCATGGGAGGCAGAAGACACAGTGGACTGACATCTTGCCAACGCCCTCATAGACGTTTGTGTCCTTTGCCAGGGCCTTGATTTCAGTAGACGTCAGGTGGTTCAAACGAGCATCACGGCGTTTGGCATTGAGTTCTGCCTGGGTCTGGGTAATCTTCTGTTGCGAAAGGATTGCCTGCGTTTCGACCTCTTGCAGCAGCTAATCGTAAATCGAGTCAGAGGACAGCGATAGACATGGGAACTCGGGAAACCTAACCTTCTGCAACGCGGCATTTGGAATAGCCATCTGAGTGTGTATACCACGAGAGACAAGTTGGGTAAATAGTAACGTCGTGGAATGATTTGTAGAAGCAACCGTAGAAGCAATCGGCACTCGGGACAAATGTGAAGGAAGGACTTGGCCGCCAAGTACGTGTACGGAGTAGGTACTAAGGAAGTACCTACTAGGGTAGCCTAACGCCTAAAGGTACCTATAAGCACGCTACCTACATTTAGGCAATGATTGGCTCCACTGAGGGGTAGATTTCAATGTCATATTGGTGGGGCTGGGGGTCCAACAACCAGAGTTACAGTGCAGCCTTCCAAAAAACTTAAGTTCGGCGCCTTGAATTCGGATTTCTCCAATGTCCAAATGCTGACCAGAGATGTATGGAAGACAGCTTACCTACTGAAGCTGCTGACTGCAGGTTGATGAGGCCACTCGATGGGAGGAGACATTCTGGATACCTCAGTATCTCGAAGTTGGGTGCCTCAATACCTAGGTCGTTATAGGTACTGTTTGTGCATCAGGACATATGTACCCATCGTGCCATCACATACGTCACATCTTAGTCAGTGCCACGACTCAATCAGCAAAAAATCAGGAAGCAGGAATGATTGTCTCAGGAATCAAACACGCTCCCGAGCCTTCCACTTGACACGTTGACAACATTTTTTATCAGAAACTTCCCAAAATCTGGACTGCATCTTACACCCATCTTCCTTGATCATTTACCGTGTTGGAATTCTTTGTGTGACTTCGACCTTCGTATTGATCATGTCCTCCCCCTAAACTCACGTCTGACCGCAATCTTCTTGCATCCAATCCCACGATGGTTTCATGGCTTCCTGCAGTCCCTTACCCCCCGCCCGACCAGCCTGGATATTGGGATCCAGTGACCTCTACTCTGCAGTGGTGTGAAGAGGCGAGCCTTATCCATCGTCCTTCCCTCTTACACTGCGGCTAACCATCGATAGGATTACTATGCCACTTACTATGCCGCGGAAATCATCAATACCCTTACAAACAGCTTGTTCATCTACCTAGCCTACCGGGGTGTCAAGAGCTGTCGGAAGCATGGTCATGATACTGTCTTCCAGGTCGCATACTTTGGTTATTTCCTTGTTGGGTTTGGAAGTCTGATGTTTCATGCCACCCTCAAATGTGAGCTCCCAACAACTGCCACAGTGTCTCATCCATACTCATCAAATCGTCTAGATCCGTGGCAGCTGGTTGATGAGTTAAACATGATCTACACTACGTGCCTGATGGCCTTTGCCAATTTGTCTTATTCTCGATCTTTCGCCGCCCAAATGTCTCTCGCCGTCTTCTTTGTCATCTTCTGTGCCGCCATCACGGCCTACTATCACTACATCCAAGATCCAACCTTTCATCAAACCGTCTATGCCGTGCTCACCAGTTTCATCGTCTTTCAGAGCATATACCGCATGGAGTTCACTCTTCGGCCGTCGTTAAGGAAGAGTGAAGAGCGTCACCGTCGAGAGAGAGAACAGCTTAGTGACCACCTCCCTTCCAAGGCCGATACCCACTATGAGAACACGAGGGACCTGCACATTCTCAAAACCATGTGGCTTTTTGTCGCTTTCGGTCTCTCCGTCTTTCTTAGCGGATTTGCAATATGGGCACTAGACATTAAATATTGCTCCACCTTGCGTACCTGGCGCAGGCACGTCGGTATGCCATGGGGTTTTCTGCTCGAGGGTCATGGATGGTGGCACTTGTTGACAGGTCTCGGGGCTTATTGCTATATCGTTTGGGGTATTCACCTACGACACATTCTGAATGGCGACCAAGAACACTATGTCATGGTGTGGCCGACCATCTTTCGTCTCCCCGAGATCGTCAAAGTGTCTGATCCTTCGTCGAACGCAAATACATCCACTAACGGCGCGGTCTCGAATGGCAGTCTCAAGGCATTGAAGCAGAGTTGAATAGATTTCATCTATGGAATGAAAAATAAGGTGCACCGCACCTCCTCGTCCTCAAAAAGCCCTCGCATACACCGCAATCGCCATGCCCGCCCTCCCACACTGCCCAATATTCTGTCCATTACAAGCGACGCAATTGTCGACCACCTGCGAAGATGGCGAGGTGATTTTAATTCCACAATAGCAGTCTCCTTGCGTCGTACCGTTCTGCACTGTCCCAAAGAAATTTCGATCCCCGCGACTCATGCAAGCATTGGCACACTGCGATGCAATGTTCTGTGTGCTTGAGCCAGGATACGTTGTGAGATACCCGCCCGCTGTCGTCTTGTCATCCAGGCCATAGTACCCTAGCGAGCACGCCGCCGCATTGGGAGAGCAGGTTTGCGCGTAGCACCCAAGATATGCGAACTGTATTGACGCTGATCCCTGCGGCCCCGTTGCTCCTGCTGGCCCTGCCGGTCCTTGTGGTCCTTGTGGTCCTTGTGGTCCTTGTGGTCCTGCTACGCCCTGCACTCCAGTTGCGCCGGTCGAACCTTGTGGCCCAGTTGCACCTGTCGCTCCCGGCGAGCCTTGTGGTCCAGGTACTCCTTGCGGTCCAGCCGCTCCTTGCGCCCCTTGAGGTCCAGTTGAGCCGGTCGCCCCTGTCGCTCCGGTTGCTCCAGGCGAGCCTTGTGGCCCAACAGCTCCTTGTGGTCCAGTCGCTCCTGGTGAGCCTTGCGCTCCAGTTCCACCCTGAGATCCCGTAGCACCAGTTGCACCTGTCGGTCCAGGCGGGCCTTGCGGTCCAGGCGCTCCTTGTGGTCCAGTTGCACCGGTCGCACCTGTGGCTCCAGTCGCTCCAGTCTCACCTTGGGGTCCAGTTGCCCCAGTGGCGCCAGGCGATCCTTGTGGCCCAGCGGGCCCAACTGCACCCTGAGGTCCAGGAGAGCCTTGCGGCCCAGTTGCTCCAGTTGCTCCGATCAAACCTTGAGGTCCAGTGGCCCCCGTGGCTCCTGTCTCTCCTTGTGCTCCTGTGGCGCCTTGAGGTCCAGGATCCCCTTGCGGTCCCACTGGTCCCTGTGGTCCTGGGTCGCCTTGAGGTCCAGCGTAGCCCTGGGGTCCGGGAGAGCCAGTTGGTCCTAGTCAATGTTGTCAGTCATGTTCCTGGTAGAGTTCACAGCACGACAAGATCGCCATGTGGGAATTAGGAGAGACAAACCAGTTTCTCCTCGAGGTCCCGAAGGGCCTAAGGTTAAATCAGCGGTAGACTTCTCCATAAATTCATTAATACAAACCTGGTTCTCCTTGCGATCCAGTGGGGCATAAGATATAGTTAGTTGTGTCGCATACGTGGTTTCGAGACAGGACAAACCTGGACTTCCTTGAGGACCTACCAATTTGTTAGAGAAAGCCATATACCATCAAAATAAAACTTAACCAACCTGGTGGCCCGCTCACTTGAGGTCTTCCGGCTCCACCAGCACAGGTGCTAACCCTAGTCATGCTCAAAAGGACAAACACGCAATTTGAAGGAGCAAGGGACGGCTCTCCAAAGACAGCCACGATCGTGTTGTCCTCGAGGACACAAAACCGGGCAAAGTTGTTATAGAAGTCAGGATGTGACCACAGGAGGTTATTTTGAGAATCAACGGAGAAGGTGCTGGTGATGTCCCCAGGGCTCGCACTGGGAGTGAAATTCGCATAGATCGTGCCAGCAGTGGTGCCATATTGGGTCGCGCCAGAGCTGGTGTTTGCAAATAGCTGCCCGTTGAGGAGGTTGTACACTACGGCATTCTGACAACTGTTGGTGACCTGGCCTGATCCACCAAGATATATGGGATTCTGTCGCTTTCGCAGCCGTTTATTCTTCTTTCCATAACTTCGCCTTTGATGACCTTCGACAGCTGAAAGTGACAGGAGAAATGTATACCCAGTGACGTAGCTAAACTGCGAAATATTGCTTTTGTGTGTCAGTCATGGTATCTGCAGTAGAGTGAAGGAGATGTATACATCGTAGGGATAGCTGTGCTCGTTGTAGTCGTGGTTGACTGCTTGACGTACGACACACTGGTTCCCGTGTATATGGCATTGATCGTAGTGGGTGCATTGTCGACATGTAATGTCAGATAGTCATGTACTTGGAGAGTTGTATTTGCTGTGGCATAATAGTTGATATGAATCTACCGCATATGATGTCAGCAAATGTTGAGTATAATCCTCGTAGCTCTGATGAACCTACAGGGATCAGAATGAACACTTTTGTCACTGTAACATCCAAAGAGCAGTCTCCAACATATTGTCGGCGAGGATGGACCAGGCCACGCTCCAGTTCATTTGGAATATATGTTGCATGTGCCCGTTGTTCTGTGAGCAGGATCGATGCGATCAATGACTGAAATAGAGTGGTAAAATGAAGCATACTGGGAGACTGCTTTCTGCACTAATGTCAAGACAACAAAAGAAAGTACTGGAGGAAAAGGAAAAACACGCAAGGAAAATATGGCAGGTAGAAAGGAAGAAACAATGAAGCGAGTGGAAGTAGAATATATCAAATAGAAACGAACAAGCCGAATGCCATGGTCACTAGGTGATGACACTGATGAGTATTAGTTCTCGCCTGCAACTGATGGTCATTGCTGAATCTAGAATAAAAGAAATCATGATTGCAAGCACAGATCGTGGAGGCGGTTGCTGTGTGGATCTCGATTGAGTTGGAATGCTCGTGTTGCTTGGGAAGAAGGGAGAGATGTTGAAGTGAAGGAGATGAGGAAGATGAGTCTGCGTCTTCAGGTGTTATGCTGCGCTGTATTATATCTAGGCATCCTCCCTGGTCTGACGCGATGTGATTGGCTAACCATGAACCTCATTCCTCAAGATGAGGGTTTCTACAGAGACAACACCACCAAATAGATTCACAATCAAAGGGACACACAGTTGAGTGTTGGTCATTGAGAATTCTGCTCCCGGTTTTTTCTAAGAGGAGTTTCACCTGTCGGCTCTCTGACCTGGCTACAACCACACTTATCAATTCCCTAGCCGTGCGAATGCTGGTAACAATTCCACGAAAATCAGAACTCGAGCAGTTTGGCCTGGCATCAATGCAGCACAATCTTCCCCCAACGGTTTCCCTTTTCGGCTCAAGTCAAGCTCGGCCATGATTCATGATGGCAAACCCACAGCCAAATGCAAGCACTGTATCTAACCTCCTCACCACCCACCGCGCTCTGTTAGATACGGTGACATCATTCCTGACGGTTGTCACACACCACATCCTCTTCCTGCGGCAGCTATATCCACCTATCTCCTTCTTATCCGCACGAGCATACAATTTCCCGGTACGACAAAATCGACACCCGCAAGTATGCCGATGGATCAACGACGCCGTGGCGGCGATCCGCGACCAACTGGAGAAGAACACAGTCGAGAAAATCTGTCTGTGTATCTATGAATGTGCCGAATCTCGAGTCTTGGAACGTTGGACCATCGACCTCCGATCGTTCCCCAGTGTTGCCAAGCGAGATCGCGATGTGCCGTTCGAGGACAACCCGTCTGACGCCGACGACAGTAACACCACAGGGGCCGCTGAAGCCGAGTTGTCTCGTAAAGTCAACCTCGCTGACCTCGAGGCAAACTTCCGCGCCATGTTGTCTCGCATCAGTAGTTCGGCAGCCAAACTTTCTCCATTGCCGCAAGGGCCAGGTGCGCCAGAGTGTAGCTTCACCTTGACGATTGAGGTCAAGGACGCGGCTGACAGGCCGGTCGGCCGCTTGGAGAGGGAGGAGCGGAAATGGATCGCTGCTGAACCTGATTCGTTCGAAGAAGGAGAGAATTCATCTGAGGGTGGGCAAACATCTAATGTTATGGGCAAAACCCACCCGCGAACACACCCTGTCCGCCGCTTGGAAGCTGGAGAGCTGCGCATGGAGGTCTGGGTAGAAGAGTCAGCGACCAAATTCAACTATCCCTCTTCACGTCCAGTGTCGGCAGCAGAAGCTGCAGCCATGAGGAGGAACAAAACATCCTTCGGTGCGGGAAAGGATAAATTCGCCCCGGATGGTATGCATGGGGATTATGATCTAGAACCTCCAGATGTGAACCGAAAGCCACAAGGGGGAGCTGGCACAGACTACCAACGTGGGTGAATCATACTGAATTATGCCATTTTTGGCTAGCACGGGAGTATATATGTTTGTCTTGACCTTGGTGATTAAGATTTATGTGCCTGAATTGGAAGGGGTCTATTATTATTAAATCACCGGCTGCTGTTCATTTGAAACCTTTAAGGATGGCATCTGCAACCCATGAACTCAGTCTAAGTGTGCGAGCCCACTTTCGTATCTGTGAAATGAACCAGTTCATCTCATTCTGCAAATCATAGCTGCTGGTTCACCACTGTCTGAATCGCTTTAAAATGATCTCATTCTCCGTGATCACCACTCCGAGGATCATGATGCGACAGTACTCTCATGGATAAAAGGAATGCCATCATGAATTGTGCTGTCGTCTTGTAAAGTAGCTCCACTGCTCGTGTTTCAACGAAACAAGTATACATGCTGAAAGGAGAATGGAGCAGTATATGTCGTCAGGTTAAACCTTGGCTGGGCTATAGTCCTCGTCCTCGTCCTCGTCCTCGTCCTCATCCTCGAATAAAGCCATATTCATCTGTCCAAGGGAAAGTAGCCCTTGGCATTTAAGGAATAAGAGGGCGAGTGCTACCATCTGTCTTGCTTGTATTTGCGTTCGTGTCTGCGTTTCCAAGAAAGCCATGCACACGTTGTCTAGCAGCAGCTGCCGTTGGAAATAGCAGTTGTGATTGCATCGGGATCATATTGACTTCCGGGGCCATTGGGGAGTCGACGAAGTCTCTGAATGGAGTTGCGGAAGGATTGCCAGTATCAGTTGCGAAAAGAGGCATCGTAGGGATAGGCGTGTCGAGCCACGCCATGGTTCCGAAATTCCACATATCTGGTGTCATTTGCGGTGTTCGGTAATTCATTGTCAGGTCCATCTGAGGTTGAGTTCGCCCCAATGCTGGTCCGGGTTGGTGAGGTTGTTGCATCATGTTCAGTGTGTTTGTTCTGGGAACTGGAGGGGGAATAAGCAATTGATCTGGCTGTTGACCTGGCTGCTGACCTGGTATTTGGCCTGGACCTGGGCCTAGATGCTGGCCTGGGTTGACATTGTGCCAAATCTGTGGCCTGGTACCGTAGTTCATCAGATTGAGTAGGCCAGTGTTTTGGCCGTCATTTCGTGTCGCGTTGTTCTGTAGTAAAGCAAGTGAGGCTCTTCGCTGCTCATTAAGCAGGTTTCTCCTACGGATCATCATTTGGAATTGACGCTGTTGTACGTCGCGAGTGAGCCGAGCATAGGGTTGTGGAGCCATTGCCATGGTATTTCTGCCAGTGTTTCCAGCTGGCTTAGCATCGAGACCATTGGCATCATCTCGTCCGAGGCGCAGTTTAGACTCGTCTATGGTAGAATCTTCCTCCTTGGCTTTCTTGATGACTTCGTCCTCTGCAACTTCAGCTTCATGGGCATGTCTGTTGAGACCTGGAACATCGTGAAGAGGGCATGTTGCGTCAGAAAAATGGCTATAAGCCTGGTGCCCAAGGCGAGTGAGATCAGCTTGACAAACATAGCACAAGATGACTCTACACTGAGAGCACACTAATTTGTTGCATCCTTGGTCTTTGACGATCTTGACTTTGCACTTGGGGCATTTCCGCATGACAGCCTCTGACCTGGCCTCCTCGACGCGGTGACGGACTGTGAGATTGTTGACCTCGGCTTCTCTGACCTCCTCACACGTCTTTGGAACGTGGCTTTCCGAGTCACATCTTCTGCAGGATGAACGAGCACAGTTTGGATTTTGGCAGTGGAAAATCGGCTCCGCATCTACCGCGTCACAGATTGCTTTGAAATCACAGAAGGGGCACTGCGCAAGACCCTCAATTTCCGCCGCCATGATTTCAGCTTGCTGTCGGTTGAGTTGGAGACGATCATAGGTCTTTGTGCTTGTTGCCTTTGTGACGCCATGCGGAGACAATTCGGCTTTACATCCGCTACCATCCATACATGTCATTTCATACTTCATCAGACCAACCTGAGACTCCGCTAGGGATGAAATGCAACTGAAGCAGAAGAAATGAGAAACCTCTGCTTGACAGCCGACAACGCGATTGAGGGGGATCTCAGAGTCAAAGCAGCATTGACATTCTGCGAGGGCGCCGGTGGCTTTATGATGTTCTAGATTTCTGTCTTCTGCTGCAGCATTTTCTTGCTGGGCGGAGATTTTGTTTTGTTCTCTGAACCAATGTTGTTTTGCGGCCTGAAGTTCATTAATTCGACTAGGGTTGTGCAGCGCTCCAGGCCGACCCATAAGTTGATATTTCTTCTCCAATGCAACACGTGGAGCATGAAGGCGTCTGTATGGACGCTTTGAGGCTTCAAGCTTGTGGTACCGCGATTCAAGGTTTTGCAGGTGACAAAAGGTGTCAAAAATGGACTTATTCTCGACGATCTTTCTGAAAATATCGATGGTCGGGACATACGGAAACTCCTTATGCAGGAGCGCAACACCATCTGCCAGATACGAGCCATCTTTTGGTACATTCTTGTCCCAATCGATTGTGGTTCCCGATCCATCGCTAGGTTCTTCCTCTGGTTTTCTGACTTTGGGTTCTTTCGGGTAGTCCACCATCTCTGCCAATCGTGTGATGATGTAGTTTGCTACATCAGCCATGCCTGTAGAAGGTAGGTGGTTCTTCATGTTTGGTTGTGGTCTTAAGGGGTGGTCTAAGATCTGGCGCAGGACAAAACGGCGCGCGGCGTTTGGGAAGACATCCAGGACGATTGCGAGGCATTGTTCAGCCCATCTTGAGCTTAGCAAGCGCTCATTGTCAGTCAATATCGCCTCACAAGACTCTGGATCGCTTTCGATGCTGTGCTGCTCTGCAATCATTCCAGTCCCATGTAATCTCGTAGGCCCTCGCTGCGGCTTTACCACTCTGAGTAGTTCCCATTCCTTGCAGAAGTCTCGATGTTCCTTGACGTCGCCCAAGACTATGGGGAATTTTTCGTAGCCGGGACCCCGATACATTGTGACTCCCCATACTGGATCACAGTAGGAGGGCGGTTCTTGGCCAGAGCCATGTTGCGATTTGAGCAGGGTATCGGCGAGTAAAAGGTCATCAGATACAGGATTTGGGTGTGATGGACGAGATGAAGGCTTGAATATGGGTTCTTGCAAACCAATCTGAGCAAGATCTGGCCCAATTGACCGTTGGTTTCTAACCTCAATGCCGTAGTCGAAGGGATTGGAGGCGTCAGATAAGGCGGATTGTTGGTTCGACCCACTTTCTACAGTCTGAACACCTAGACGAAGACGCTTGTTAGTATAAAGACCGTGTCGGAACTGGCCATCTGAGATCTCGCTGTGCGGTCGAGTTGATTTAGGCAGAGGGGTTTGGTTTGGAAGTGATGTGGCTTGATCGAATTGTTGGCGAGTAATGGTGAGGATCTCGTCGTCGCTCTCGTCGCTTCCATTGTCTGAGATGTCGACGGTGACAAATGGTCGTGGGGAAGGGATCTGGTTGAAGCGATGCAGCCTGAATCTCGAAAAGATGATGATTAGTGAACAAAGACACAAAATGAGAAGTCAAAGTCGAAGGATTGGGAAAGAGGGGGGGGGGGGGGGGTTCCAGTAAATGAAATAGACATTGGCATACCAGGGGTTGTGCGCGGCTTCCATGATGAGCAATGATTAGAAGCGGTCTCGATACATTCTTGATTCTCAGTGACAAAAAGGCAAGAAGTTCGGAGGATGCGAGGTTTGTATTGACAGGAGTGGGAAGGAAGCTTCAGGGAAAGTGGAAGGGAAAGAATGAGGATGGAGAGACAAGGCAGTTTCGAGGCCAAGCGATAGAGTTCACCAGCTGCGCTGCAGTGATTGCAATTATCCTGGGGTGAATGATGGCAGGAACATTGAAATTGCCTGACGGTTGAGTGAAGAGTGCAGGAAGGACATGGACAAACGAGCGAGGGATGGTGAGGGAGCCAGATAGTAGTGGGAATTTGTATGATTGAGTCGAGCAAGTCTAATGTAATGGTAGAAACGGTGTCATGGTGTCGCCTTTGACCTCAAAGAATGAGAAAGCGAGGAAGAGAAACCAATTGACCAGGTAGAGCAGAGTGAGAAGACGTTGAATTAAAGAAAGACCACGAGGGACGACGACAGACACGAGAGGCAATGTTGTACGCGTACCAATGAAAGGCTGCCAGGCTGCAACAGCTGACTGAGCATCTTTTCTCACAGGAATGGGAAGGGAAATGGAAGCGAGAGGGTGACCGGAGTTGACTCGCCTGTGGTATGTGACTCGTGACTCGAGGAGTAACGGCCAGTTAGAAACAAACAACCATGACGTTCAGTTCCATGAATGTTGTTGTCGTTATTGCATGTTAAATTTTTAGGTGTTCAACAAAGAAATAGTACCAAATTGACCCAAAAAACAGCCTCAACAAGAAAAAGTGACCTTGTGCTAGCCCAATGCATGGTTAGGGCCGGGGGTAGCTCCTTTTAGAGTGCCACCTAAAAAGCTAAAGCACACATAAATATGCCTAAGTAGTGCCCTGAGCCCCAGTGGCCCCGTTACTTAAGGCCCAGCTAAGGCTGAGAGTGCCTATAGCGTTGCCCAAGTTAGCCGCAACGCGAACACGCCCAATTCATACCTACATACTTACCTACGGAGTAGTACCTATACTTTAGTTATGTGCTAAGTATTCATACTAAACGCCCAAGTGTCGCTGCTCCCCGCAGATCTCTACGCCATGTGTAGGCAGGTACTAAGTAGGTACCTAGGCAAGTGCCTATCTGTTCGCATATTATCGTGGACTTTAAAGTTAATCTCTCGGGTCTAAATTTTAGGCTCTGGGCGCCTGGAACCAAAGTACTCCATAGGCGTCCATCGCCCGATTGTCCATCCCCAAACAATATGGATGGCAGGTAACATTGAGGACTCTGCCTGCCGGTGTGCTTATGCTTCTTGAATGAAAAAAGATAAAAAAACTTTTTGTCGTGCAGAGCCGCAATCAGCCCACGGCCATTTTTAACCACTCAGCTACAGTTGATTGTCACGCCTTTACACCATGGCCATTACATCTTCTGTCCTGCAAACACTAACAGGCTACCAGGAACCACCTCCTGTACCGTCAGACCTCCTCCCTCTCGCAGATTCCCCCGATGTCCACCTGGTCCCTGCCACAGGACTAGAATATGTCCAAACTGCTATATTGAATGGCGTCGAATGGAAAGGTCCTTTGACCCTCGAGCAGTTTCTCGAACGAGAGGTGCATCTGCAGGCCGCCGAGTTGACCAAGGATGGTCGCATCACTGGTTGGATTCTGACAAGCAGCAAACTCCCTCCTAATCCTGATGGATCGCGACCCATCCTAGCCTCGTGTGAAACAATTCCCATCCGTGGTCGAGTCTCCCGCAAGGGTGCGGGCCATGATGTTCAGGCACATGGTGTAGCTTCCGTCTTCACCAGGCCTGAACATCGTGGCAGAGGTTATGCTGGGAGGATGATGAATGACCTAGGCATCAGGCTGGAAACTTGGCAATCGACTCAGGGAGAGACTAACGCCTTCTCTGTGCTGTATTCAGATATTGGAGACAAGTTTTATGCTCGACATGGTTGGAAAACCTTCGAAAGCACACACATCCACCTCGAAACCATGTCATCGCGAGACTACGACGATATCATGGCGTCCTTCCCACCGGTCAAGGACCTCGTTGCCACCGATCTTTTGAAGCTTCCTTCAGTTGCCTCTATGGAGCAGCATCTAGACCAGCTGTCCAAGGCAGACCCATCGCGGCCCTACTGTGCAATTCACCCAGACGTTGAACACTTTGCCTGGCACCATACTCGAGAAGAATTTCTAGCTATGATCAGTGGAAAGGTGGCACCCCAAATCAAAGGGGCCATTCATCCATCGTCAGGCCTGGCGATTGTGTGGAATCGCAGATACACCTCACATCCTAAGGATTGTCAACTACACCTTCTCCATGTCGTTATCCCGACAGACTCCGATGCTAGCCAAGACACGGGCGCAATCTTAGCTGCCCTCTTGTTACGGGCTCAAAAGGAGGCAGGGGACTGGGCCATGAATGCTGGAGTAGAGATATGGGATCCAACAGAAGAGGTGGTTGCCGCGGCCCAACTCCTCAAAACCAATGCCCACGAGAAAGTCCATGTCATAACTCGTGATAAAGAACATCTCTGTTGTCTCCGGTGGACGGCCGGTAACAAGGAAGATCCCGTTTGGATGAATAAAGAGAAATACGGCTGGTGCTAGTATACCGGCGCACAGAACCCTTGGAGTTTATGGCTCATGCGGTCACGTTATGGAAGATTCAATGGTACAGTGACCTTATGAGCATCCTCTCATCTGAAACTCCCAAGGCTATATCTCACGAAGTCAAGCCCTCGGGTAAGACAAGATGGTTAGATGCTTTGCTGGAGGGTCACGTGAATACAAGGCTTTCCCCCCAACTGCCAGTCCCCCGCCGTCCACGTGATGGATGTCAACCCTTCAACATCCACACATTGGATTGTCTCTGTGATGATGATAATTGTGATTTGTAGTAATGGCAGGGAGGTCATCACGTAATTCCAAACACCTGAATAGTCTATCACAGAAAGGCCACAGATTCGCCAACTCGGACCGACCGGTTTGAACGGCATAATTGCGAAGTTGTTCCCCCGCATTACAAAGTGGTTCCCGAGGTTCTTGTTCCCCAAATGCGGATGATAACCCCAGTTTTTCCAATCCAAGGCATTGAGACAGGCCTACGAGTCAACATCTCCGGCTATAATGGCGGATTATGTGTCAGGAGACTTGTTTTTGATGTATTTGAAAGCAAAGGACTTTGACCTCATTGATATACAGCCTGTCTCCTCAAAGAAACGAAAGTGACATCCCCCACCTGTTGGTCTCAAACATCCTTGTAGATTTTCGATTCCTATCCAACTCCAACTTCCCTGGAGATATTCCTATCTTTGGCGTTACCGATAGAGTTAACCCATCTCTTTTCTCACCCTTGCAAGTCTCCAGACGCTAAGCTCAATCCACCTGAGGTGAATATCATTATACATATCTCAATACATCAAGTATGGCGCCATCCAAGGATGGAGAGGGTTTCTCTACCAACCCCAACGGCGAGGTGTATAACGAACTGGGCTGGCTTGTTCAAGATGCCTCAGGCTATCGCATCAACGAAGATCCATACGAAACACGTCGCAAAATCCGCGTGATCCATATCGGCGCCGGCGCTTCAGGAATCACGTTTGCTAAGTTCGCCGAAGATCGTCTACAGAATGTCGAGTTGCAGATTTACGAGAAGAATAAGGATGTTGGTGGTACGTGGCTTGAGAACAGGTGAGTAATAGATCCAGTCGTTGTCCTTGTCTTGTGTGTGCTCGACACAGAGATTCGCGCTCCAAATTCTGAGAGGAAACTCGACGTACTAACATGGGTATGCGTTTGTAACAGATATCCAGGCTGTGCCTGTGACATTCCCTCGGCGTCATACCAGTTCACATGGGAGAGAAACCCGAATTGGTCGCAATACTATTCCGAGTCCCCCGAGATCTGGCAGTATTTCAAGGATGTCACTGTCAAGCATGGCTTGATGAAATATATTAAATTGGAACACAAGATCGCTGGCGCCTATTGGAAGCCTGAAGAAGGTGTTTGGGAAGTCAAAGTACAACGACCTGACGGCACCGAATTTACAGACACTTGCAATGTCTTGGTCAATGGTGGTGGTGTTTTGAAGTAAGATTTTTTCCCTGGCTCGGTCGTGTGAACGCAACTAACTTGTTCAACAGCAATTGGAAATGGCCTGAAATTGAAGGTCTGCATTCATTCGAAGGAAAACTCACCCATAGCGCCAACTACGACACCTCCATCGTTCTGAAAGATAAACGTGTCGCGGTCATTGGAATTGGGTCCAGTGGTATCCAAATCACATCCAAGATCGCCTCAGAAGTCGGACAGCTGTACACCTGGGTTAAGACCCCTACCTGGATCACAGCAGGCTTTGCGCAGAGATTTGCTGGTCCAAATGGTGGCAACTTTAAATGTATGTCATGACCCCAGTGTCTGTCACGGTGTGTTGAAGAAAAGTGAACTGATCTGTTCTGCTAGACACCGAGGAGCAAAAGAAACGCTTTGCCGACAAGCCTGAGTTGTTTTTGAAGTATTCCAAGATGATCGAGTCTGAGTTGAACGTTCGATTCAAATTCATCTTGAACGGTACCCCAGAAGCCGAAGGGGCCAGGGAGGTATGTGTGAATGAACCCATGTTTAAGCCCTGATTATTGACATAATCTTCCAGTTCGCCCGGCAGGAGATGACTCAGAAACTGGGTTCAAATCACCCAGAACTTTTGGAAGCTTTGATTCCCAAGAACTTTGGGGTGGGATGTCGAAGACCTACGGTACTTGAATGCCCCTGAAATCTTGACTGCGCCAAAACTAACACTGCTTCAGCCTGGCAATGGTTTCCTAGAAGCCCTCAGCCAAGACAATGTCAAGGTCTTTACCAAACAGATGCAACGGATCACTCCTCGAGGGTTCGTCGACAGTGAGGGTCACGAGCATGAAGTAGACGTCATCATCTGCGCAACGGGGTAAGTTGTCCATGCAGTCCAAACGAATAAGGGACTCGGGGCTGACATAAGGCCATCTAGATTCAACACCTCATGGATACCACGTTACCCCGTCGAAGCCAACGGATATAGTATCGCCAAGATGTGGGCAAAAGAGCCATCATCCTATATCTCCCTAGGCGTCCCCCATAGTGAGTCGCTAACCATCCGAAATTGTGCCTTTGATAGGCTAACCAGGTGCCTCCTAGTGCCGAATTATTTCATGATGGCCGGGCCTTATGGACCACTCGGCCACGGCTCATTCCTCCCCATTATCGAGACACTGGCCGGCAATATCATTCAATGTATTGACAAGATGCAGAAGGATCGCATTAAATCTCTGACACCAAAGGAAGAAATTGCCCAACAACTCAAACAACATGCAGCGCTATTCCTGCAGCGGACAGCTTGGACGTCTGGCTGCAGTAGTTGGTTTAAACAAGGTCGTATTGACGGGCCACTTCCCATGTTCCCCGGGTCTCGTCTAGTATACATGGACTTGCTCTCGAAGCCAAGGTTCGAGGATTACCAAATCGAATACGTCAATTCAAAGAACATGTTTGACTTCCTCGGCAACGGTTTTGCGACACGAGAGTTTGACGGTAGGGATTTGTCTTATTATCTTGGTCTGTTGGACGGAAATGATCACCAGATCAACCTTGAAGATGACTTGCACGATGAACTGGCAGATCTAGTGCATTGAGTTGATGCCAGATTGTGGGTGGTCGGTATTGCCAGTGTCCTGACTCATGTTCTGTAATTGCTTTCCCAATAAATATTGCAACTTACTGTATTACCTATTGTGCATCACATGATCTTGTAATACATTTCGAACCGGTGTGCCAAGTACAGTAGTATAGAAGACCATGTCAAACAGAGAAATTGTGGTGGTTCTGTTTGTGATGTTGTGGTTAGTGCTGTACCGATGGTGGTTCTCGAGTGACTCTAGTGACATGGCAGAATTGTGGTCATACAAACATATTGAGCCGACCAATTTGCTAGGAAATTTGTGCCCCAAATAGATCCTTGACAGCCATGTGGGATGAGCGTGGATGGATGTTGATGGACGTGGATGGGCAACCCTTGTGGACGACCCTCGACGTGACCACTGCGTCATTGTTGACGATCCGTCATTTCGTTTCTCCATGTTGAGCAACGCGCTAGCTGACGTGGCGTTGTGTGGTGGAATCGGTCACGGCTTGTCTTGCTTGTGTCGTCGCTAGTAATCGTTAGTTCCCGTGAGGATTTGCTGCTACGAAGGAAGCGAAGAAAGCGCGAACACGGTGGATTGGTGGTCCCGTCACCAGGTAGCTAATCTGAATCTCTCCCCAACGTGGCCATTGCCATGTCACGCCTAAAGGTGACAGTTCTACGTGGCAGCCTGGCAGGTCCTACCAAAGTGCATTCAGACACCTTACGTACATAGTAGTTGTAGGTACCTAATAAAAGAATATGAGGTGTTACAGGCAGTTCAAGGTCTATGTAGCAGTTGTCTTTTTGATCTATTCACTGCCAGGTACTGTACACATATAGACCCTGGAAAGTGTCACAAAATTCCACACCGGAGATTCCCAGCTGTCATATCTGCTAAGCTTCCCATGGGCAGGGAGGATGTTTACAATGAGCCCGTCTAATAATAAGCAATGTTGGCTTGGCAGGGGTCGAGCGCCCAAGGGGACCCAGGGGGCTTGCCCAGGAAAATTAAGCGGAGGAGGGCTTGGGAGTCTTACGAGGACTCGTATGGACTTGCAAACTTTTTTCCTTGGTACAGAAGTTCCCCGACTGATGATGTTTTGCTGACATTATTACTGGTGCGTTTACTATGGAGAGAAAAAATCAACACCCCCGGGGCCTGAGGTCAATGCTTATTGTGGGGAGGATGAAAACCTGATGGAGAAGTAATAATGACTCGGTCCACGGGCAGATGTCATCCGGGGCATAAAATCCAGCAAGTGCCTTTGCTCCAAACAATTAACAAAGGCGACAATAATTTGTTCTTCCAAGCCGGAGACTGGAATTCTTATTTCATTATTTTGATAATTTTGATACCAGCATGAATAGAATATCTATATGTGTAGGTTTATCAAACTGTACTCCGTATGTTTACGAACTTCGTATGTCACAAAATCAGTATACAGCGTGACAGGGCCAGGTGAAGGGCCGAGGGGGCCGAGGGGCCAATTGGGGGGACTCGCTCCTTCCCCGGCATGGGTGGCTTCCCTAGGTGGCTTTCTAGGGAGGCAGGCGCGCTGGCAGGCTCCCGTGGCTCCTTCCTTCCGCCGCAACAAGGGTCCCCACTTTCCACGTTTGTAATTTTCCGACGATCTGCTCGTCCAAAAAATCAATAGTTCTTCGCCTTTCCCCTCCATTGCCCACCTTAACAAGCAGTCATATCTTGACTATCGAAGACAAATGAGATGACCTGGGAAGTCTTTGTTTGTTCCCCCATCGAACCAAAGCTTGATCGTCCATGTCTTGTACCTACTCCGTAGACCCCCCCCTTTTGAACCTCTCAATGGGTCATTCTGTCACCAGGCCATGCCAGATGGGACAACATGAGCCACGCTTGAGATTGTTCGGCAGTAGTACCTCGCGTGCCAGCTGCATCCTGTGCCCACAATTGGCCATGATTGTTTGATTCACCTTCTGCACGTCGAGCATGTGGACCAAGACAGCTGTCTGTCCATGCACGCGATCGACATTGGTGATTGAACTGTCATATGAAATTGTTCATGCAATTGGTGCTCCCATCCTTGGTCCATGGGCCTGGCGAATACGAGTCGGAGGATTTGGCCCGACTAGTGGTTGACAAGCGAGAAACCAGCGTCAAGTCCAGTCAACCAGTCGTGTCTGCAGTCAAGCCGGCTCCTCGGATGGTCAAGCGAGATAATCAGGGTCCCTGTTCGGCTGAGGAGCAAAGCCTGACAGCCTGACAAGCCACCACCACACCACACCCGTTGACTCGGCCTACCTAGGCGTCCTAGCATCGCACATCCAAGAACCAAGGATGAGCGTGCTACGTATTTTCGAGAGCCCATGACAAAATACCTCTATCGCAAATGGTCAGATGGAGGTCTCAACCTAGTCTCCATTGGCAACCCTGCTGACAAGACGTCCTCGTCGCCGTCAAACGAAAGAGTTGGGTCAGCTGGCAGCCAATTTCAACTGTCGATAGCGCTTCCCACTTCTGCAGATTTATGCCCGACAACATTCGCTATCGATTGGCTTCAAGCCTCTAATGACCGACGTTGGTGACGCATATGTGTACAGAAATCGTAATACCCGCAATACGACCGACCCAGGAAACCAATATGGTGAGATGACCGGTTGGTACGCATATGTTTCCATTCCCAAGACCATGGAGACGCCGCTTAGGACAGTGGCCACGATGATTCCGGGCACCCATGCGCAACCCGACGTGCAACTCGCGTCCGTGCAGGGGTGTGACATGGAATTCAATCTTAAAGCCCGATGCCCGATCCCACATGCCCCAATCAGCATTTGGCCACGGTACTTGGCCGGTATACCCCTGCCGAAGAAATGCCCTTCCTCCCTGTCAACTGCGGAGGTCTCCAGGCGTCATAGGTGGCACACAATGTCTATTTCTGGCGATTGTGGTCCATTGGCGATTGTCATTCGAGAAAACAACCATTCAGATTCCGGGGCGGATGCCAGACACTCGCTTATTGTCATGCTAATTGACACACCGTCCACACATAGTCAATGTTCAGGCCTTGTGTGGAATGTATAACACTTCAACTCGCCTTGTTTTGGTCGTAATGGGGGCCACGGGGCCAACCTACCGGGGAACACACTTTGGGCCCTGTAGTGTGCGTACGGAGTACCAATATGCATGCGAGTACACGTACAAAAGACATACCTTGTTCTTGGCCTTTTACAAGTTGGATATCCAGTTCATACTTCGTACCAGCTTGGTTGGTTCTTCCCAATGCCGGCAACTTGACCACCCAACTGGGCAATGAGTCTGTTGGCGTTGCAATCTATTCCAACTACAGATATCCGGGATTGACAATCCTCCGTATCGGTTTAGACGGTTCAGCCACAACTCCACGGATGGCGGAGATTTCCACAGGTCAACGGTCCGATTGAGGACTAGGAATACCCTGCCATGTCGAATAGACTTCTCAATTCGGGGCCTCGAGGCGCCTCACCTGATCCGTGAACAGAACTTTGAGCTTTTTTCTTTTGGCGGATTTGCGATTCCCATTTCGCACTTGTGCACAGACCCTAGCAACGAACCAACGGTGAGAATTGATGCAGTAACAAGAGTATCGGCTGAAGATCAAGTCTTGGTCTTGCGGCTGGCTAGGAGTTCAAGTTTCTTAAGCCTGAAATCGCCGCCAATACAGGCGTTTGGCGATCCACTAGCCAGACCCGTATCCGCCGCGAAGCTTATCCCTGATTGCGCGGATGGATTCGTGAAGATCACATTGTGGCCGAAGTCTGATTTCAAACAATCATGCCCTTCCTGGTTCGCATCAAACCCTGCTTCCTCTGGGGCCGCTTAGGTTGTGGCTGATGCCATCTTCTTCCTGGCTTGCCGAGACATCACTATCTGGTACTACCGAGTTTGGGTTGAATTCATCTTGACGAGCGCTGGAGCCTCCTCTAGACCACGCCTCCACTCGCTACTCTGGTGGGATAGGCCATGTCGCAATTGACAGCGGGAGGGAGGGCCAAGTGTCCGTCAAACCAGAAGCTAATGCATACCTTCAGCTCCCTCATGGATCCCTTGACTTTGCATCCATATCCTAGTGGACCTGGCAACGGCACTATTGGGCGAACCCTCTACCTTTTGACGAGAGGAGATCGTCGTTTGTCGGCTGTTGAACATGAACGAGATTTGTCCACATCTCCAGTTTCCACTGCACCTCATGCACGGCTGCTGCCCTTGCATACACCAGACAATGAATGTCCTTCCCTGGCCATGTTTCTTCTTTGCCTCTCTTGACCATTCGTTGCTCGTTTTTCTGGTGTTTACGATTCTGACTTGCGCGTTCTACCAGTCCTGGACACGACACTCGATCCAGCCGCCTAACTCGCCGACGACAACACCATCCATCACTGGCTCTTTGACAGTCGCACGACCTCTGAACCCGCAGTCGCTCCTTCATCTTCTCTCTCCTCTCCTTATTGTTCTGCCCTGCGCACTTTCGAATTCACGGGAAAGTGCCCCTCGGCCCAATCCATTCTGTTCGCACTTGACCGGGTGGCATTGTTTTCTCTGTTTGGTCAATATTGGTTGCACTTGCAATCGGGGCCAAAATCAATCTCGACAAGGTATGGGACGCTGGTCTTCAGTTATGCTGTGCCCAATTTCTGGCCGATGTCATTGGGCTCCAAAAACCGCTGACCTTTTCCAAGCACTTGACCGACATCCAAATAAGTGTCGGAAGTACTCATCGTTGAGCCTCTCACCTCCTCGAGCCTTTGCGCCCTCTTCTATAGGACATTGCATACCACGCACGGTAACGCACGGACGCTCCTAGAGACGTTGTTTCCTTCTTCTGCCTCACCTGCTCAGCGGTGGTCAGCATCGTTCCAACTTGCATTCGACCCATGCGCAAGTTCACTTGCCAATCGTGACCCTGATGCAGACTTCACGTCCCCTTCATTCCCTTCTCTGTCATAAATCCTTCCAGAAGCATCGATCCAGCATTGACAGCTCGCGATACACGGTCGACCTCAGCTTGCCAAAGCCACTTGCAGTGCCCATCGGGGCATCACTGCCCACCCCTCCCATGTCGGGTTCTCCACCCCCAGATCCGCCTGTCGACCCGCCTCAAATTGCTGGGAGGAGAAGAAAGCGGTCAGAGAGTCCGCCGAGGATAGCAGTCGGTCCACTCGCGTCTCCTTCGACACCACTGGAACACGGCAGCTTACGACCTTTCGCACAATCAGCCATTGACGATAATCGGCCTGGGTCATCTGCCCAGTTTCATCCACACGCTTCAAGATATCCCCCTTCTAGTCTCTATGCATCGAGCTCGAGTACACCCTCTGGGTATGTGGCGGCCACACTCCCAGACTTTCCGCGCCCTCAAGAACCCATATCTCCTAGGGCTACCCGAAAACCGAAGGCCCATGTGGCATCAGCTTGTGTCAACTGTAAACGGAAACATTTGAGATGTGACAACAATCGGCCTTGCAATCGATGTATCAACAACAACAAAGCTGTAAGTCTTTGAAAATTTGATATAGAAACCACAACACTCACTCTACAATAGGACTCGTGCCGCGATGTGGAGCATAAGAAGAGAGGGAGACCTCCTCTGAAGCCGGAAGACCCAACGACAAGACGTCCCCACGAACAACCGACCCCTCAGTCAGGATCATTAGGGGAACCCATGAGGCGCTATTCTGGCTCCGATCCGGCATATCAGCCAGCTTCTGCATATCCCCCCCTTCGACCACACCCACTCCATTCACAGAGAGCTCCTTTCCCTCCAATGATGTACGCTCCGCCTTCAGTATCGCCAACTCATATCACGGCAACAGGCACTTTTACCTCACCCACGCCACAGTATTCAAGTGGACCTGCATCGATCGGTCAAGCACCTGGATCCTACCATCCGCCTCAAACAGATCCCCTGAGGCCTTTGAGCTCCTACAGTGGCATGTCAAATTACCCACCCCTTCACAATCAAATGCCACCGCACCAAACACACTATTCGAACCCGATCTTCTCGCGGCCGCCCCTCCCCCAATCCTCAGTAGGTGATAGTTTGCCTCCATTACACGGGCCAGCAAGTCTTCAACTACCACCAATTCGTCAATCAGCACCCATTGGTCCTATAGACCCTGCAATCTCCGAACAACAGAACCGGCCACAGTCGCAACAGTCGACCCGAGGAGAGCAGGGCAGGGGGGACAGGAGCCAAGAACCGCAAGCAAAACGACCTAAAATGGACATTCAAGGTATTCTAGGTCCACGAGACCGAGAATGAGAATGTGCCGCTAGCGCAGCATAAATGCGACGATTGTGTGCGCTCATCTTTGATGTGTACGACCCAAGCGTGATTCTTCTTTCAACACTACAGACGGTTTTCCTGCCTTGGTGCTGGACACAAGGCAAATGAAATGACTCGATCCAAATTACATGTTTGCGAATGGTCCTTCTGCACACTTACTTTGCCTTCAGTTTCTTTACTCATTTCCTTCGGTACATCCAGCTGCCGGGGGCTGCTTTTAGCCAATACTTGGTAATGAGGGCGTGTCTTATGGGTCCCAACAATTACTGATGAAGCACGACTATGATGCCTTGAAAATATACACAGAATCTCTAGAGAAGCCCACAGATTTCAACACACGAAGCATTTTTTATTGCAACTGGCGGAAATATACAGGCCGCCGAGGAGTTTCACTCTTTTCCATGTCGATACTTAATACAGTTACGCATTCAACATTGGCTGGCCAAGGCCAATCAATGGCAGCGGCGACGAGTTTGGGCCCGAGTGTTCACAATGGTGTAACATGAACCCAACAGAGAAATTGATTCAGAGTCGTACGGACGCAATTGAAAGCGAATACGACCCAGCAAATGTACGATATCCATCATGCATCAACTCTGTTCTGGCATTACGCGACGAATGCCTGACTTTTGCCGCGGCTGGGCCAACTGCGGGAGAACTTTTCTTTTCAACACTTGGAGCGAATGTTCAGGATGACCATGGAGACCACACACTTGGATAAAGTGGTTGTGGTTGTGGGTACCGCCGTCGACCTGCAATGCTCAATGTTGGCGGTGCGACTCATGAGGAAACACAAATGCAACGCGGGAATTGGTTCCTATATCAACGACTATCAAATTCTCAGCCTCGCTACATGAGAAGAGGCTAAGTGCCTAACCTAGGTTAGGTTAACATACACATGTACTGTAGTAATAATTATAATAATTCACTCATCACGATTCATCCCGAGAGAACATACATATGTAGCTAAGTCTGGTTGCCTACCTAACGCTCAAGTAGGCGCACCTCTCCAAGTCTACCAGTAGTATGTATTGTAGTTCTAAAGATTACCGGCGATCATCATTGAGCCAATAGACCCGACGCAAGAGCCTCGAGATCCTCAAGAGTCCTCGGCTGCTGATCCTCGCGATCGAGTGCCACACCACGACGAGGTTTCTTGGACTTTCTGGGCTTCGTCTTTGCTTGGTCCTCTTCCTCTCCTGAAGAAGCGTCTTCAAACCATTTCTTAGGTCTTTTAGCCTGGCGATCCACCGCCTCCTCCTCCTCATTACTTTCATCCTCCACATAAGGAATCAACTTAACCCCCTCATCGTCACCACCATCATCCCCATCACTATCTGCATCACCCATATTCGCCCTCCTTTCCCTCTCCTTCCTCTTGACAATCTTCTCCCTCCTCTTCTCCCTCGCCACCTCCTTATCCACCACATCCTGTTCCGCCGCCCTATCTCGTTCCCGATCTCTGAACTGCATGATTTCTCGCCGCACTCCTTGTTCGCCTTGGCCTGAAAATTCAATTTCGTCGCGATATGCTTTGTGGTCCTTAGGTGTGTCGCTGTCACTGTCGAACGTTTGGTGTGTGCCGGTGCCTTTATATTTAAGGAGCTTTTTGCGTGATAACAATAGTTTGGCGCGCCGGTTACTGTCGATGGTGAGGGGTGCGGCGGTGGGGTTGTCAGTGAGGGTGACCTTTTGAGGAGTGGGTTTGGAGGTGGAGGTTTCAGAGACCGAGGCGTTTTGATCGAGGCCTGCGTCCCCGGCTTCGAAGCGTCGTTTGACGGATAGGAAGTCATGGTCGGAGTCGGAGTCGGCGTTGGCGTTGGCGTCGATGGTCTTTGATTTAGATTGATGGCGAGTACGTACTTGGCCATCACCGTCGGACTGGTCGTCATCTTCATCGTCTTGAATCATTTTCGCGTAATGAGGTGCCAGCACGTCCTGGTTGCGTCGTTCGAACATTCGGTCGTATTTCGTTCGAACTGTCTTGGTCTTGTCCTGTTTCTTGCTGGCGATTTTGTCTCCTTGGCCATCAGCATCACCGTTGTCAACTCCGTCGTCGTCATCAGCGCCTTCGCTATCACTACCTTCCAACGCAGCAATCAAAGCCCTCGGCGCATTCTTCTTGGCCTTGATGTCTTCGCCTTTGATGAATTTCACCCTCGGTGTGCCAGGTAACCCGAGACTCGACGCATATCCTTCTAGATCCAACGCCTTGAGATTGAATGTCTCTTTGTCCTTTTGCACGTGGATACTCCTCGTGTAACTCACAAATGCTTTCTGACCAAGATACTTCAGTTCGGGGTCTTTGAAACACATGTTCTGTAGCAGATTTCGAACCGTGTTTTGCATCTTCTTCTCTCGCACATTGATCTTTTCGAGCTCGACCTTTTTTTTGGACAGAGCTGACAACATGCCTTCCTCTTCAGACGGGTCTAAAAATAAGACGGCATGACCTTCATGTTCAAACCGGGCGGTTCTCCCGACTCGATGGATATAAGTGTCTGCATCCTCTGGCGCGTCGACTTGCACGACCCAATCGACTGAGGGAAAGTCGAGACCACGTGCCGCCACATCGGTGGAGAACAGACATGCGTACTGTGAATTGGCGAATTTTGTCGTTATGTCTAATCTGGCAGTCTGTTTCTGTCGGCCGTGCAGATGGAGGAGAGTGATACCAGGCTGCAGATGGCGGAAGGACTCATAGACGAAGCGGACTTGTTTTCCAGATGAGAAGAAGACGAGGATCTTCTTCTTGACGTTTGCGCGGATGAAGGACCATAAAGTGTCGAGTTTGTTGGGAAGAGGAGTGATGACATAATTCTGTTGTAGAGTTGACGGGGTGGCGCTTTCGGCAGTTTCGTGGACTGAGACAAACTCCGGGTCTTTGAGACTGAGCCGGGCCAAGTCAGACACCTTCTTGGTCTGTGTAGCGCTGAAAAGGAGAGTCTGGTGCGAGGGAGGAAGATGTTCAACCAGAGCATCAATGGTCTGCTGAAAACCCATGTCCATGATTCTATCCGCCTCGTCGAGGACCAGCATTTGTAGGTTTCCAACGTCGAGCTCAGCTGTTTGATCCATGTGTTGGAGCATGCGACCGGGTGTTGCTACCAAGATATTCATACGACCCAGTCGTTCCCGCTCCTCTTGTAGATTCTTGCCCCCAATGACCAGGCCGGCAGAAAAGGTATGGTTCCGGCCGACTTTTCGAAGAACTTCAAAGATCTGGATAGCCAACTCACGGGTTGGAGATAGGATGAGGGCGCCGAGGCCGTCGTATTCGGTCCATCTCTTCCTGTAGAGATTCTCGAGGACGGGGATGAGGAAGGCAAGTGTTTTGCCAGAGCCAGTCTTTGCCGCGCCGAGTATGTCTGACTCTTTCAAGGCGAGAGGAATGGTTTTGGATTGGATTGTAGTCAGGGTGGTGAAATGTGACGCTTTCAGTCCATCTTGAGTGGCTTGAGAAAGAGGTAGGTCTGAGAAGTTCTCGAAGGCTGGGCCATTAGAGTCGAGGTCGGAGACTCTTTTGGAAAGGGATTCGAGATCTTCTTCTTGTCTCTTTCTTTTGAGAATACGAGGGCGCTCTGAGTGTTTGATAGGCTTCATTTGCCCACGTCGGCCTCCCCTAGACGCCATTGTGGGCAGAGGCTTAGGTTCACATTGAAGTTTGGCGACACGATTCAAAGGTAAAGTGATTTTTGGGGTTGAAAAGAAAATCGTTATCGATAAGATGGGAGAGAGCCTTGCTGAGTCATCTCCCTTGTAAGGCTTCGAAGATTGTCGCCAAACATGCCTAGTTGGGATACGACAGCCTTATTGTTTTTACCACGCCGCCAGACAACTCCGCAGCAAGTCTAAGGCGCAGTCGCAGTTCGCTTCACGAAAGACTTATGTACACTTTTCTACTGAAGACGTGGTAAAATATCTGAGAGTTCCTGTGCTCATCTCAGTACCCCACAACTACTACTTGACACTCTTCACCTATTCGGGACAGAAAGCCTTTCGGGGGTGGTCCTTACGATCTTGCAGTGTCTCGTGCAATTCAGGCACGGTTTCAGAGTGGTAAGAGATACACCAAAAGCCCACCATGGCTAATGATGAGACGGATGCCCTTGATACTCTGGAGAGAGAAGCCAAGGAATATGACAAGGTGAGTTCAACTGCTTGACACATTGTACCAGATTCTGACAAGCGAATCCACAGGATGCTGAGATTGACCGGATTCTCAAAGCCTTTAAACTTGATTCGTAAGTATGGCTCATGCTGACGCACTTGATGTACTGTATACTAACTGCAAAAGATATGCCGTGCTAGATTTACAACCAGGTGTGCCAGAGTCGGACATCAAGATTGTCTACCGCAAAAAGTCACTCATGATCCATCCGGACAAAACCAAAAACCCTCAAGCACCAGAAGCGTTTGACCGATTGAAAAAGGCACAAACTGCTCTTCTCGATGAGAAACAGCGTCAACATTTAGACGAGTGTATCGCGGATGCCCGCCAACTACTGATCCGACAACACAAGTATACAGTGGACTCGGAAGAGTTGAAAACAGATGAGTTCAAAGTGGAATGGAGAAAGAAGACGGTAGAGGTTCTAGTTGAGGCGGAAGCGCGAAGACGGAGACAGCTTAAGGCTCGAATGCAAGAGGAAGGTCGAGAACAGGCTAAAGAGGAAGCGGAACTGGAAGAGCGGAAGCGGAAACGAGATCACGAGAAAGAATGGGAGAATACTCGTGAGCAACGGATTGGGAGTTGGCGTGACTTTCAAAAGGGAAGTAAGAAGGCAGAGGATGGGAAAAAGAAGAAGAAATTAAAGGTTCTGGGATGAGGAACAAAGGCATTGCGAAAATATGACAAGATTAAACGGATGGTGTTCTATGGTGATAGAAGGGAATAATGGCATTGATTTTAGGTAGGGAAGAGCTAAGCTGCCTATCAGATGACATGGGCGGCGTTTATTGTGTATGTTAGGTACATAGAGTACTATAGTACTATAGTACTATATTTAAAAGTACTACCTACTAGGTAGAGGTACCTGTACTCCGTAGTCACCTGAGACCAGCAAGGCTCTCATCCAGGTACCTAGGCACCCAGACTTCAACCTTGAGCCTCATAAGTGGTGGGAGCCCCCTCGGCCGCGGGGGTTGCCCCTCGGGCGCCTCGGGCTCTCATCTCGAGCCGAGGGGCCCCGGTCGTGGGGATCAGGCGAGGCAGCCACCGGAAAGTCGTTGGTGGTGGAAGTCTCAGGCAGCCAGTAAGACAAGATCAACGGGTTCGTCTCGGAAGTCCCTGGATTTAATCCAATGATGAAAGATCCATCTGCTTCTCCGACTTTCACTCCGAAATAGTAATTAATTTGATTCACGTTGTTCGCCTTTTGAAGTGCCTTCTTGTTACAACGACTGCCTTTTCTGTTGCAACATCAACCACGTTCTCTACTTCCCCTCTCACCTCTCTTTACCTCCGCCATTTCTTCACTCTCTCATTCATGTCAACACTATGACCAAGTCTACATCACTGCCGCCCAATGCCCCCACGACCAATGGCACTGTTCCGTCTGTTACTGGTCGTGGAGAAGTCGATGTAATGCCAGTTTCCCAATCTTCCCCGCTCTCACCATCAACTGGTGTCTTATCCTCGTCCTCCCACACGTTACAAGATGTCTGTGCCAGTCTGCATGCACAAGTCACTGCCTTCTTGTCGTCCCCGCCTCCAGACGACATCACTCGAACCACTCAAGAGCAAACGCGAGTGGCCTGGCAGGTCATTGAAGAGGCCTTGGATCGATACTCGTAAGAAAGCGATTCTCCCTGCGCCCTGGCCCCCTCCCTCCCCCACCAAGATCATGTGTAACATATTCTGTCGCCCTGTCTTACACCTCTCTTTTAGATTTCAGCATGTCTCTCTATCTTATAACGGCGGGAAAGATTGTCTCGTACTGTTGATCATATATCTGGCCGTTCTACATTCTCACTACACCCGACCATCCTCCAGCCCTCAGACAAAGAAATCCGATTCATTTCCACAAACAATTCCCTCCATATACGCCAAACCACCAGACCCATTTCCCTCGGTCTCCTCCTTTGTCGACTACTCGTCGCGTCTCTATCATCTAGACCTCACACATATCTCCACCAATCCAGGACCTCACAAAAAACACCGCTCCCACTCCAACCCACCACTCACTACACCACCACCCAAACTCGACCCCTCGACGACGACTTCTCACGAGATTCCCGCCCCAACACAGCCAAAGCCCACCATCTCATTCCGCGACGCCTTTGCCCTTTATCTTGACTCCCATCCCTCCGTCCGCGCCATCTTTGTCGGTACTCGGCGCACCGACCCGCATGGAGGCCATCTCACACATTTCGATCCGACCGACCACAATTGGCCCTCGTTTATGCGCATTCACCCGGTCATTGATTGGCATTTGTCGGAGATCTGGTGTTTCTTACGCTCTCCGTGTCTCAAGGACCTCGAGGATGGATCTCCGTTGAAGTATTGCGCCATGTACGATCAGGGATATACCAGTTTGGGCGGAGTCAATGATACGCTGCGGAACCCGGAATTGAAGTATATAGATGCGAATGGGTCGGAGAAGTACCGTCCCGCTCATGAGATGACTTGGGATGAGGGCGAGAGGTTGGGCAGAGAATAAGCTGCGCCCACCATCCCATGACTCCGTCTCCGGGGTAATACAAGCCAGCTCCTTTTGATTAGGATGGCTGGGCAAGACGAAGACAAAAAGACCAAGCTCAAGCCGGCAAATGCGATCATGGATTGTTCTCAACGCCAAATTCGCGTATTTCGCTCGCATTCATCGCTGCACGCGAAATTAACTGAGCGAGGTAGAGCTGGGTCAGGGCTCGGAACTGTCACCGTCACACAAGTCCCTCAGCAGAAATTTGACAGGATGGATATCTATACCAGTTCACTGTATAGACATATGCTCCCATATATCATATCATCTACTGTCAGGGTCGACCTGTCGTCATGATCACGCCAGGCTATATTCATCAAATATCATCATACCATCATATTCCCATATTTTACATGCTTATCAAGGAAGAGGTAATCGTGATAAGCGAAAGAAGTGGTTGTAGAGCGAGACTCAATTCAAAGAAGAAAGGGCCGGATAGATCGGTCGGTAAGGAGGGAACAAACAAGAAAGTTTGTACTCTATAGCCTGGAAAGAAACAGGAACTGTTTCTGCGCCCCGAGTTTGGACATCCACTTCCTGGCCCTAAGCCTACTCTAGACGAGCCACGTCGTCCTGCACCCAATTGTCCATGCTTTGGAACTTGAGCACCTCATCGCCCCATGACCACCAGCCTGCCGTCAAACCCCGGGCAAAGAGTTCAAGCGCTTGGTAGTTATCTGGCAACAGCTGCTCCAGAAGCGGCTTGAGGCTGGGCTTACGTGAATGTAGGTCTGGGACAGCAGCAATGACCCGACGTCGTGGTTGAACCGTCGTCATGCCAGGAGGCTGGCTAGCTCGACGGAAAATAAGGCATAATTCATAGGGCCGGCGCCAGACACCATCTAATTGGGTCACGGGAACCCCCTGACTTGTTACTTTGACCCAGACCCATTCTTCCCACAACGCCATGTTAATGGTCCGAAACCGGTCTAGCACCGTGTGTCGAATGGAACTTTTGTTCGTGATCCATACTGCCACCAGGCCTGGATCTTGTAGGTGGCGCTGCACAATATGCACGGCCTGGTCGAATGGATCAACTGGCTGGTCTTGCGCTGTGAGGTAATGGCTCGAGCGACGTGCCGAACGGTTCGTCCAAGGCGGGTCCATCAATATAAGATCAAATAATGGAACATGAGGCGCGAAAAGCGTTTGGGAGCCATGGATAAAACTCTGTAGACCGGATCCAAGTGTCGCGTGGATGAACGTGGCTTCGGGAGGAATGACAAACTCGCCTTCATCGGTGGACATAAGGCTTGTCCGTGGCCAAGGGAGTGGGGGATTGTGAATAACAATGCCCGACAGAGCCTGAAGAGAGGGAAATACGGTGCGCCATTCGGTGGTTGACAGTATCATGGGCACCACCGAGGGCTGGAGTGGTCCGTGAGTAGAGTTTTTCAAGCCGTGACAAATGCCGGACGAGGCTCGTGCCTGGGTTGCCGGTAACTCTCGTGGCCATTTATTAGGTCGAGAGACTTCAGGGCGAGGCACGTGCCAATTGCCGTTTTGGCCGCGAATATAGTCCTTTTGAAGAGTGGCTATAGCCTCACGGATGCAATGTTGTAATGATGAGTGGAGGGCCTGATCATCAATTGATAGAGCCGCAAGGAGAGAGCCTCTTTTCTGCTCCCCAGGTTCGTTGCTGGGGTAAGGGATCTCAATGACTGGAGTGGAGGCCAGCCTGGATTGACTCTGTTGGGCATGCTGGATCGAAGAGGGAAGATCAAGGAGAACAATGCTATAGTCGGGGTTATGGAACAGGAAGGGAGTTGGCATCAATGCATTTCACCCGTTTGCAAACGCTGGGGCTGGGTGGTGCAGGAGCCTGATGAAGTCAGAGATGCCCACCAGAGCTGAGAAGTAGAGATGGAGTACACCACAGCTCTGCCCCGTGACTTGCCTCTAGAAAACAGTAATGAATTGAGAAAATTAGCCACGAGAATGAGATGAGGGTCTCGAGAAAAACTGGGTGTAAGCGAAGTCCGCGGAAAGATGGACCACGTCGAGTCTAGAGCATGAGATTAGCGAGATCTCAGGATCTACTAGTAGGCGATGCGAGCGGAGAACAGGACCAAACTTGTCTCGCCAAGCATGTACAGAAGAGGCGTGTGGGTGCGCATGGAGCGAGAATATGGGTATTCTGGAGAAGAAAAGCGTGATGTACGGAGTAGGAGGTGAATGGGGTGAATGGGCATGGAAAAGGTCCGTGGGATGTCAGCGCACAATATTGAGAGGACCCTTCCTGTTGTCAGAGCACCTTCCGTACTGTCATAGCGATGCCACGCTTGTCCTGTTTCAGGCTAGTCCATCAATCAATTCCTCTCCTTGGGAAGGCGGCGGGTGAGGCTGGCCGAGGGCGGCCTTACTTTCCTCCAATCCCTCTCGTGCCATTTTCATCCACCTCCATCCACCTCTCCCATTGTGGAATGTAGCTTCTCTGCATGGACTTCAAGATGGACCCTGCACGCACCAATGCGTCCTTCCCAGATCAAAGCACGACATATGTCGATCCATCTCAAACAACCTTCTCAAATCGTCCCTCTACGGAGTACTCTTGCTAACCCCGATGCATGCAGATCTTGTTACCCGTCATGCTACCGGAAACATCCTCCCCACAGTGTGCACGGTGCTGATCGAGGCAAAAATATCACATACTCCGTACCGTTCAATGCTCAGAGTTGGTCACTCTCCTCCTCATGCGTTTTCTGACAGCTCCACTCCCTTTGTGCCGCAATGTTTATGCCCGTTGTCCTGTTCGCTATACTCCCTTCCTTGTGCTGGTTCTTCCTCCCATCTGCCTGAACACACCCACCCACGTTTACTCTGCTCGCGAGATCATCCATAATCCCTACATTCGCTGTTGCAAAGTCGCCATATCTGCTTTCAGCCTGGCTTATGACCATCTGATCCTCCCTTTTGCATCTTTGGCTAACCCTTTACGACGCTGCGGACTTATTTGGGAGCGCGATACCATCACTCGAATCTAGGAATGTCACCTCGATAACGTCCTGCGTAGTGTCAGGATCGCAGGCCCTTCATCAGAGCAACATGTCCAACTCCACAAGTGACACAGTTAGGACCGATTTTCCATCGGTGGACGACTTCCTCGAGCGTGCAGCTTTGCTGGACTCCAAGGCCGGAGGATCATTTAGCGCGGACCAAATCAGAGCCATTCATATCGTCTCTCTAACATGCGCATGCATCAGTCTCTTAACCGTCTTGGTGACGTTGAGATGGTTCGTCTTGATGAGAAGAAGTTTCCGGCACCGTCTGGTCATGTTCTTGATCATCAGCGACACATTCAAAGCCTTTTGGTACTTTCTCTTCCCCGTGGTCATCTTTAGTCGTGGCCCTGTCGCGAGTTCCTCCAATTTCTGCCAGGCTTCTGGCTTCCTCCTCTTCTTCGCCGTCGCGGCCTCCGACATGGCCATCTTCATCATCGCTCTACACTCGATCATTTACATCATGAAGCCCACCAGTGCCACTCGTACAGCCGAGGGAGGATTGTATCCCTGGCGGAACTGGATCTACCTGCTGTGGCTAGGACCGCCCGTGATTGCAGCTAGTATACCATTTGTCAACACTCGAGATGGTTATGTCACCGCTGGAACTTTCTGCTTCCTTCCCAAACGACCAATCTGGTACCGGCTGGCCTTGTCGTGGATTCCGCGCTACATCATCATCACCCTCATCATCCTCATGTATGTCTGGATCTACCTTTACATACACTACAAATTCCGAGGATTCGAGAACCTTGGCGAGGCCGACTCCTCGTACGATTCCAACTCGTTCGGGAATGCGAACCAGAGGCCTAATGGATCCAATGCACAGGATGTGGAAGGCAAAACGTTGGCGCATAGGAAAGACTCAGCCACACCATCGGCACCAATTCCTGCGACAAATCGACCACCGTCATCTCAAGACAACAGTGATCCTGTAGCTCCACCTCCTGCGCCTTGGGACAATGTCAGTTTTATCACATCACGCTCTTCGCCGGCCTCACTGCCGACCCCTTCTGTTGAGCCCGTCCAGGAAGAAGATGTGGCCACGTTTCCATCGCGATACGGCAGTTTGTGGTCTGACGAGACCCAGGTGCCCTCAGGTCGCGGCTCCACCAACAATCTCAAGACAGAGGAATTGGCCAGAGGCAGCGCCCAGCCAGCTCCCGGCCTAACGGTGAAGCACGAGGGCACAGAAGAGGCTATAACTTCTTCTAGATCCCGTAGTGACCACCCCTCAAGCCTGGGAGCGAACAACGAGCAACTCAAGCAGACACGTGCTGCGATCCGGAAGCAACTGCGTTACCTCTTCATCTACCCAGCGGTATACATCCTCATGTGGAGCTTCCCCTTTGTGGCTCAAGCGATGAACTATGATGAATACTACATTGATCACCCGGTCTTCTGGGTATCCATGCTGTCTACGATAGCTCTTGCACTGCAAGCGTTCGTTGACAGTGTGCTCTTCTCATGGCGTGAGAAGCCGTGGAGAAAAGTGGACGACAGGTCAAAGTTCTCGATTCCATTTCTGCAGCGCCAAAGCAAAGCATTTGTGCAAAAACGATGTCCCGACAAAAAAATCAAGGCAGAACCTACGCCAGCACTGGCAACTGAAGCAGCTCCGCTCCCCAAACGGCAGGCGCACTGGTGGGAAGCAGAAGGCCGACGCCGTAATGATAGCATCTGGATGGGCACCAGCACTTTTCCTGACAATCTCTCCCCCATAACGACACGAACGCGTACACGGTCAAGAAGTCCCGAGAAGGCACTAATGCCGCGGATGTCTCACGTTCGCGCGATGAGTTCAGAACTACAACGATCAGGTGGCCCGCTTGTGGCAGAAGCGTCTTCTCCCAGTGTGGCACCAAGCAGTACTCCACCAGCTACGGCGCAGCCATCTCGAAGAGCGACATTGACGTCAACATCGATGTCTACAGCGGGACGAAATCAGAGGCACCGCCTGAGTTTACAAACCACCAATCTCTCTCCCATGCGAGAGAATGCCATCACCACCACCGAGCAAAAGTAATGTCTTGTGTAAAAATATAGAAATATAGCATAGGTCCGGCTTCAGGCATTAGCGATATGACATAATTAGTATTGAGTATACATATGTGCCGTGAGAATGACGGTGATATATAGTTGTGACCCTTTTCGACGTGAACTTGGCTATACAGTATCTAAATGTGGCCGCGAGTAACCGGATGAGGCCGAGGGCTTGATCAGAATTGTAATAGGCGATTGGCGGTTGGCCCTCGGCGAGATTCAGGCGATTCCGGAGGTTCCAGCGTTTGTCTTGGGGAGTTCGGGGGCCGAGGGGCTCTCGGCCACCCCACAGAGCCTCCGGAATTAGAAGCTAGAGTTAGAAATTTATGTACCAGGTGCTCGGGGGAATACGATTGTTGGTGCAGACCCCGTGACATGCCCACACTTTTTGGCCCCAGTCTTCAGAGTCTTGACTCTCCCTCGAGATCCGAGGGGAAATATCCGAGGCCTACAAGCCAAGGATGGAAAGTGAAAGTGCAGCGTTTGCCGTGCCTGCCTGGCAATGCACAATCCAAGCCCGAGATTTGATCGGCCAACGGGCCGTGTTCGCTCTTCGTACACAGACCACTGTGACTGCCACTGTTACTGCTCCTGCTAAACTGCCACTGCTGACCCTGGCCGCCAGCCGGGCTTTTCCAATTATTCTGCTCTGGACATTCTGCATCGTTTGCCCCTCGCCTCAAAACGTCGCAGGCATTCTTCACTTCTGCATGTTCTACTCGTCGCCATTTGCATGACAATATCTTTCCACCTTAACATGCCCTGATTGCCGACCGCATTGTCGATGCCTACCCGAGGCTCGAGCAATGCAGCAACAACATCGTCATCATCACACACTTCCGTCATGGAAAGCTCCCCTTCTACTCGGTTGCTCGAGGAGCCCGTGCCTCGAGCACCGAGTCAGAGAATCTTCAGCAACGATGATACCACGGTGACACGGGCGGCCTCTTTGAAAACCCCCTCGCCGCAGGCTACCCGGCTGGATAAGAGGAGTTGGGACTACATCGCCCGCACAGGACTGGCGGGAGGATTGGCAGGATGTGCGGTAAGTTTACTCGCGTGCCATCCTATATCCTGCGAAATTACACCAGTACTGACATGACAACGCAGGCCAAAACAGTCGTCGGCCCTCTCGATCGTGTGAAGATTCTCTTCCAAGCCTCAAACCCCCAATTCGCAAAATATACTGGCAGTTGGTTTGGCGTCTTTACTGCAATGCGTGACATCAATCACCAGTCGGGCCTCCGCGGCTTGTTCCGTGGCCACTCTGCCACCATTCTGCGCGTGTTTCCTTATGCCAGCATCAAATTCCTGGCTTATGAACAGATACGAGCAATTATTATCCCAAACAAAGCTCATGAAACCCCAGTCCGACGGTTTTTATCAGGCTCACTGGCCGGTGTCACTTCCGTCTTCTTCACCTATCCTCTCGAGGTCATCCGTGTCCGCTTGGCTTTCGAAACGAAACAAGATTCACGCTCTTCCCTAGCTCGCATTTGTCGGCAGATTTATCATGAACACCCTCCCCAGCCTCAAGCGTTAGCAGGCAACGGTTCGATAGCCGCTGCTTCGAACATTGCGACTCAGGCAATTCCTAAGACGGGTCTGGCCAACTTTTATCGTGGCTTTTCCCCTACCATCCTTGGCATGCTCCCTTATGCTGGCATGTCTTTCCTGACACACGATACAATTGGTGACTGGTTCAGACATCCCGTTTTGGCCCCTTACACCGTGATGCGGTCTTCTGCGACTAGCAACACGGCCGCGGGCGATGGCACAGAGGCTACCACAAAGACTTATAAACGCGTACCGCTCACTGCCCCAGCTGAGTTGATCTCTGGTGCCTTGGCCGGCCTGGTCTCCCAAACGGCCTCTTACCCTCTCGAAGTCATTCGCCGCCGGATGCAAGTTGGTGGCGCAATTGGTGATGGCCACAGGTTGAGCATCGCCGAAACCGCCCGGCGCATCTTTATGGAAAGAGGCTGGAGAGGCTTCTTTGTCGGCCTCTCGATCGGTTATGTCAAAGTCATCCCAATGTCAGCCACTAGCTTCTATGTCTGGGAGCGAGGAAAGTGGTTGCTTGGGGTTGACTGAGCAAACGCAAACCTGCCATCTTGTACACTTTCACACCTGTGAACAAATGGCCCAATCCAGACTCACACAAATCACCTATCAGGTGAATATGAGGTCCTCCCCAAACAAGGCATTCAGGGCACGACTCGACAAATATCTCTATGCCATATAATGACACGAAGAGCACACACATAGCAACCGCTTATGTGAAGTCTGCTCTGATATGCCCGCAACAAGGCCATTGAAGAGGCTTGTTTTCTTTGAATGGTAACTTGACCACTTTACCGACTCCACCAGCCAATTCGGTTGGTGTATCAGTCGTAAGCCATCGATCTAGCATAGCACAGAAAGGAACAATGATCAACTCCAGCAGCCCTGCTCTAGGGACAGATATTCGCAGCAGAATGAGTTTGCGAACATCGCAACGTCGAGGCAGCACGCGATATTGAGGAAGGACTACCGCCTGTTGAATTGGATACGGGGCGTCGCTGCAAATCCCACGAACGAGATGTATATACATAAGCTGCGAGCTTATCACGCTTGCTGGACTCCTGTTAGCAACCCTGTACTTGCCACTTACCAAATTTGTACAAATTGACAGTCTGGGAAAGCGACCCAGAACCTTGTCGGCAGCAACTCCTTTGATCTTGTTCTGTACCCGAATCAGTGGCTACAAGTGGCCTTGGATATCATCGTCCAATACGCACTATCTCTGAGGTTCATGAGACCATCTGGAGAGCAATGAGAATGTATGAAGCAAGAAATCGGTTCCACCCTTTCCAGTGTGGGTGGACAAATGTGTCGATAATGTATGGCAAAGGCTCCCTCGGCCACAGTATAAGCGCCCGCGACCCACGAGCTTGGCTCACATGCCAAACTGCAACGGGAGGCTGCCCGGCCCACATGAACCAGGGCTCACGAGCCGTGGTCTAGCCATGTGGTAAACGACGCACTGCTGTTAACTTATCAAAAATGTGACAACGATGTGGACAGGGTGATAAGATTGATGCAGCTCGGTCTATGTGTGCGAGTCTACGACGTGTCGTAGGACGGACTGCAATCTAGGGACATCATTCGCGTTTCCGTCCATGCAATAGGCACGATTCCAACACTGTTGAACCTGGCCCAGCAGTACCGGAAGTGCCACTGCTGCAAGTCCTCGGCAATGGCCTGGCAAGGAATCTCGATCATGATTCACTAATAATACTCGGTACATTATCATATCATATGCCAGATCACCAATAGCATTTCAGGTCAACCTTCCCGAAAGATCCGACAATAATGCGCGAGACGCCTCATTGCCACGTTTCCAACACGTGCTAATCTCGAAAGTTCTAAAGGACCGGCGAACACGAATCTCCTCCTAGTCTCCTTGTCCTATCTAACCTTTGGCGTTGGTGCTCACGCTCATCTCATGTCTGTGCTCATTGCGAGTCAAGCACCAATGACGAACAAGTTCCAAGATAAGTCGTCTGATTGATGCTGGTGACCGGAGGCTAGGGGGTGAATCCAACCAACTCGACCACCTCGACATATCAATCTTCGCTTGCTGAACCAAACTAAGAATCGGCAAATGATTATGTGGTCACATCCGATGACATCGATCTTGAGGGTTTCACCAGACGTGTTCGCACAGCACGAGGCAGTAGTCGAGCACGTCGAGTCTCCTGGAGAAGGATCCCGCTCCATAGCCGCGCCAAGGTGGCGCCAAGGTGGCACCAAGCTGCGGCCAAATATCTTGGAACGTCCTTCATGAACCAATTCCTATCTTCAACCTATGACCGGCTCAGGTCTTGTCCAGTCAGGATGCTCAGCCTCGCTGGCGGAATTGATGCCAAGGCCTTGGCACTCCTGCTCCACTGATAAGGACTGACTTGAATAATCGAGTACAGCAATACATCCGCTATCAACCAGCTTCGAGGTCGCGGTGACATTCCAATCCATAACATTAACGCGATCCGCTTGGATGAGATTGGAGCCATTGCCCTTAATGTTGCACCGCGCTCTTGTCGAGTTCTAAGCTCTGCGCCAAGTTGACTCCGTCTGTCCGATGCCTAGAGGTCCACGGCGATCTCTAAGAATGCTCTGCTCCACCCCCCACCGTCATGCCTAATCCGGGGAAGACAAAGTAAGCATCCAGTCTTTGCGGTGCGCGAGTTTGTCCAGTTACCATAGCCAGATCTCGATGACTGTGACCTATTCAAAGACAGTGACCTTATAGTGGATTGTCATAGTCTGCTGTGGCTGAGTACTAGATATCTTGTTGGGCCAGATCTCAGATATGCATCAGTCCGCCAAAACCTTGCCTTTGCCACGTTCCACAGCAGATTAGCCTGGGCGATCAGGACACCTCAGGATTAGGTTTCTACTTTGGGGTTTAGGCCTATCAGTGTCTATCTCTTGGCTTCCAACTCAGCATGGCCGACAACCACTTAGCATGAATCTCACCACCCTTTGCGACAGGGCCAGGTTGGATTATCGTGTTGCATATTTCTAGATATATGTTGGCTGCCTGGGCGCGATCTTCAGACATCTTCTTTCTTCCCCCCCCCCCCCCGTCCGCTCTTGTTCTCATTCCATCGAGACCGCCATTGGTCTTAATCTTGGTGTATTGGCCATATAACTGCAGGTTGATCTTGTAACAACATCACTGCATCATGTCTGAGATTGTGCCAATCACAGAATGGCCCGACTACAGCGAAAACCCTCAGGGTGGTGATCCAATTACACAGGATCTCAATGCCCCATACAACAAGGTAAAACCTCCTTGAGAGCTCATGCACCTGCTTCATCTCAGAAACCATTCTAACATTGACGTCCAGGGCGATCTCTGCTGGATCCTGGTATGCACAATTCTTTGCTGGCAGATCACCCCTGCCATCGGCTACCTTTATGCCGGCATGCACAGGCGTAAGGCGGCATTGACTATGGTCTTTCAATCTCTGTTTTGTGCCTGCGCATGCGGTATCCAATACTGGATTTACGGATACAGTCTGTATCAATCCCATACCTCAAATCCAATCTTGGGGAACCTGTCCTTGGCCGCCTTCCACAACATCTTGGCTCAGCCGTCGCTGGCAAATTCGGACATTCCCGACCTCCTGTACGCCTGCTTCGGCTTCACCTTTGTTACTGCAACCGCCATGATCTTGGCAGGCGCCATGCTTGAGCGTGGTCGTTTGTTCCCCTCAATGTTGTTCTTGCTCTGCTGGACCACATTTGTCTACTACATCTTGGCCTACTGGGAGTGGAATCCCAGTGGATGGCTATACAACCTTGGAGTCTTGGACTTTGCTGGCTCTGGTCCAGTGCACATTGCTAGTGGATTTTCTGCCCTGGCATGGAGCTTAATGCTGGGTCCTCGACTCAACGAGCACAGCAAGGAGGAGAGACAAAAGATCATTCACACCAAGCCACATAACCCTTTCCTCGTCGGAATCGGCACGTGTTTTATCTGGTTTGGTTGGTTCGCTTTCAATGGTAGGATATTGCACGCCAGCCGCCTCTGGCAAAACATTTCGATTGTCAGATGCTAACGAAACATGACAGGTGCAAGTACGGCCAATTTGTCCCTGCGATCGATCTACGTCGTGATCAACACCAACCTCGCAGCTTGCGGTGGTGGCATCGCCTGGGCTCTGCTGGAATACTACTTCAGTGGAAGATTTAGCATCATCGGCTTCTGCTCTGGTATCATCTCAGGGCTGGTGGGAATTACTCCTGCGGCTGGTTTCAGTGAGTTGACATGTGTCTTGACGTCGCTCTAATCTGGACACACGCAACTGACAAATATCACCAAACAGTCCCGGTGTACGTGGCGGCTTTGATTGGAGCTTTGACCTCCTGCTGCTGCTACTTCACCAACAAGTACAAGCATCTTCTTTCGATCGACGAAGGTCTCGATATCTTTGCCATCCATGGTGTTGGAGGCTTCGTGGGTGATATCCTGACCGGCTTCTTCGCCGCCTCTTGGGTTCCAGCCTTGGACGGGGTCTCTGGCGACGCATACGCAGGTGGCTGGTGGGAACACAACTGGATACAGATGGGATACCAACTAGCGGCCGCCGTAACCTGCGCCTCATGGAGTTTCGTCATCAGCTGTATCTTGTTGTTTGTGATCAACAAAATCCCAGGATGCCACATTCGCGCCAAGGATGAGGATGAATTGCGTGGATTGGACTTCAAATACCTCAGCGATGCTCATTGGGACGATCTCATGGTTGATTCCCATCCTCCTGCTTCGAGCACCGTCCATGAAGGTGTTCCTTTTACAGGATCTGGCCCAGGCAGCGAGAGTGGAAGTGGGTCTCCTGTCAAGAGAGATGGTGCTGAACCTGCCAAGTTGGATTAGGCTCTGGGAAAGTACTGCCATCACCATGTCTTAGTTTTTGCGTGGTAGAGATAGATGATCCCACCTCATTCACTCATGTTCAATGGGAGGGAGGTTCGTTTAGATTCACTTGATGTATTTGTTGACCACTGTCAAGAGTGGAATCTAATGTGTGTATACTTCACTGATATGGAGCTGACGTCTAGTTGTGCCACGATTATTAATATATCTGGATGCGAAGAATGGCTTTGGACATGATCAAGGAACTCGGTAATATTTCGAATGTACGAAATAGGTAGGTATGCTGGAACCCACAAGCCGCTTTCCTCGGCACCCCAGTAGAAGCTCATGGTTATCCAAGGCGTCGTGGGCGCCCATGGATACCTGGGGGCAAGGGGCCGAGAAGCTATACGGAGAAATTCTAGGCACTAAGAGGCCCGAGGCCCCTCGCACCCCCCCAGTAACCTCCATAATTGCAATGGCGCTTAGAGGTCTTTGACTAATAATACAACTTAGCTCACTCTTGCCCTTTTTTGGTGGTGAAAATGGTGGAAGGCGTGAAGGGTACCTTGCAGCTGCCAACCAACCGACGAAACACACGTCATTTCTTCGGCCTGAAATTTGAGTTCAAATGGTGCAGGAGGTGCCTGGCAGCCCCGCGTCTTTGGAGGCAGCCACAGAATCTTTTGTCTTTATCACTTGGGAAACTTAGCCCACGACCGCATCTTGCATTCTGAACTGGCATAACACCTAGAGTAGTGGGATCAGTTCCAATTTATGGACATCTCCAACCTCGCCCCATTCCAGCAGACCGGCATGGCCGATGAGAACAGGGCCTTTGTGCCACTCGGTAAGAGACAAACTTTGTTTGCTGCACCAGGCTGAGTCCACCGCAGCAGATGCACTGACTTGCTCATTTACTTGTTCATGGCTTGAGCCTTGACTGACATGAAATATCATCAGAGAATAACCCAGAAGTGATGACAACACTGGTTCAACAGCTAGGTCTATCGCCCAAGCTACAGTTCCACGACGTCTGGTCACTGACGGACCCTTCTTTACTGGCATTCCTCCCACGGCCAGCCTATGCCCTCCTCCTCGTCTTCCCCATTACATCCACGTACGAGAAATTCCGAGAAGAAGAAGACGCCACACGAGAGGAATACACTGGCTTCGGGCCCAACGAACCCGTCGTCTGGTTTAAACAGACCATTCACAATGCCTGCGGCCTGATCGGTCTGCTACATGCGGTGACGAATGGAGAGGTTGTCAACTTTATCGATCCAGGTTCCTCGTTGAAAGGTCTGCTTGACCAGGCAAACAACTTGGCTCCGACCCAGCGTGCAGATCTTTTATATAACAGTCAGGCATTGGAGGCCGCTCACGCCACCGCTGCGGCCATGGGCGATACACAGGCTCCAGATGCTTCAGAGGATGTAGACTTGCATTTTGTCGCATTTATCAAGGATGCAAACGGCGGTTTGTGGGAGATGGATGGGAGGAGAAAAGGTCCCTTGTTCAGAGGCACTCTGGCAGAAGGCGAGGATGTCTTGAGTGAACATGGTCAAGAATTGGGTGTGGGGGCATTCTTGAAGAGAGAGGAAGAGGCTGGTGGACGTGAACTGAGGTTCAGTGTGGTCATGTTGGGACCGAGTTTCGACGAGTGAACCACAAAGTCGAAAACAAGCACACCAGAAGCAACGAAATCATGGGCGGTGAGGTCACCGTACTTGACCACTGACGTAGGGTCAGTCGGTCGGTACTAGGTATGAGGAGATTGAGGATTCGGGGTTTAGGGATGCGGGATGGGAGGGAACATTCATATCTTCAAGGAAGGTCATCTACGATTTCCATGATGATGATACCGAAATGAGACCATGAGACCACGACGAATTTCTGTCCGGGAGGAAACGAAACGGGAAAGATACCGATGAAACCAATGAAACACACCCAACCAACCAACCAACCATGAATCTAGGTTCTATTCCCCAAATGTACAGAGTGTGATAATATGCTGTTGTTACATAGCCAGCGAGCATCATTTCGACCACCTCGCGGCACCCATGTCTCTTGCACGAAGAGTGATCTTTCCCGTCTCCTTTGCCTCTTTCTTCATCGTGTATACCTCGACTCAAACTCGCTCCTCGCCCTTGACACCGGCACTCTGATCCCACGACCTCTCCATATCCGCCTTATCAACAGCGGCAGCAACATCAGCACCAGTAGATCTTTTATTCCTCCGCCTCCTCGAATTCCGTTCCACATGTTCAAACGGCTTTTGTACATCCTCTTCATCGCCATCAACACCTTCACCCCAAATCCCACCCTCACCAAATTCAACATCTGCTTTCTTCGACTTCAAACCTAGCCTCGTATTCCTCACACCCCATAATCCCTCCAAATCCATTTCATTGCGTTTAAGTTCTGTGAACATCTGAACCACGATTCGTGTGGAAGAGTCTTTGTCTCCGAAGCCAGCGTATTTATGGGTGCTGGATTCGGATGATGATTGGTCGAGGTCGAAGTCGGGACCTGGCGGGTTTTCATACTCTTCTTCCTCATCCTCTTCGAGCTCTTGCTCGTTCTCATCTTCGAGGACCCGGCGACCATTCTCATCACGAGCAACCGATGATACTGCAACACCCTCACCGTTCCCGGTCCCAGTAACCTCAATATCATCATCCACCTGGCCCATATTAACACATATCCAACCCGTTGTAATCCCATCATCCGCACTATGATCTCCATCCATCAATGTATTGCCTACACTCTGCGCGAGTCTCAACCGTCGGGCCTTCCTCCTCAGTTTCAACTTCAATTCATTCCGGCCCAATAATCCATCTGCATACGGTCGTAATTTGTATTCTTTCCTCGCCCAACGACAGAAGCGATCTGCTGAGACATTTAAATGCTTGACACTGCGTGCGGTGCCGATGATCATCAGGAGATTGGATCCTAATGCAGGTGGAGGGTTCATGTCTCGAAGATCGAGGATTATGAGGTCGTCAAGACCGATGTGAGTGGAGAGGTGGTCGAGGATCGAGGGGAGGATCGAGGGTGGGTTTGCGGGCAAGGGCGGGATTTCTTGTCGGAGCAGGTCTTGAGGAGTCAAGGGTGTGATGGGAGGGGTTGGGTCGGGGACTTGGAGATACCAGGGTATGGAAGAGGAGGTTGAGGATGTGGATGAGATATCATTGTTGAGGTCTGGAGATGGTTCGTTTTCCGTCGTCTGAGATTCCGACTGTGGCGGAGATGGAGATTGAGATTGAGATTGGTTCAAACGTATTAAGTGATGAAATGGTCGTGATACAGGTACATGAACAGATCTGGATCTGGCGATCGGAGAGATGAGTGCGTTTCTTCCCGTCGACGATACCGACGCGGGTATCGAGATCCCTGCTAAAGAAGTAAATGCATCAAGTACAGATACCCGACATGTCGTGCATCTCTGTATTGAGCGATGCATTCTGGAACAATCTTGTCTTGAAAAACGAAAGGACAAATGGCGCAAGTAAGAAAGAGCGAGGGTGATTGCGCTGAAATCTAAACGGGGTCAGAAATCGTGGTGGAATGCATATATGTATCAAACGGCTTGAAGGATCGCGAAAAGTTCCCCGATGGACAGAAACAAAAAGTTGAAATGCCATCATGGACCTAAATACGGACTATTGTTTTCCCGAGAGTGTAGGATCAAAGAGTTCGCCTACGGCGATGTAATTGGTCTGGCTTAGACGTCGGTCCTTACTAACTCATTACCCACTTCGTCACACACTACTACTGAATTCGAGTTTTGTGGTCGTTATGGTCATGTCTGTTTCTGTGTGTGTATCATTTGACGTCCCAGCCTCTTCACGTGGCTATGCACAATCTTTATACCTACCTATGGAGGGTATTCAGTACACACATCATACACCGTTGTTCGTAGTTCCTTATTCTCCCAGCCAGCCATATACCTATCGCGGAGGAGGTATAAAATTTAGGCAATGCAGTTCTCGAGTAAGGTAGCGATCACCAGTGAGGGAGGAAACCATAGTATTAATCCCTTAATAAATTTTCACGGTAGAATATTTCTGGATCCATCTCTCAGACCAAAAAACTTGGATAAAGTGTCCCATAGACTACTAGGCTACTCAAAGCCTGCACCTCATCATAAGAAGGTGAGCCTCAGTTGCAGGCAAAAAAGAAAATCTCCCCGACAGGGAATCGAACCCTGGTCTCCCGCGCTCGTTACTTGGTAGTGACAAGCGGAAACTGAATTGCATGTTAGACAATGATGCACAACTATTTGCTTACGTGATAAGAACTTACTCATGACCACTAGACCATCGAGGACTCATTCTAATTGGTCAGAATGTACGAAAGTACAATAAATATAATGTGTGCATTGCGATTTGCTTGATGTGCCATGATGCTGGAAGAGTCTAAGTAGCTGTATGCAATATTTACTACAAGAAAATGATTCTTCAAAACTACGAAATTCAGCTATCAACTATGCTAAATTCCTCATGGTTTTGCAGCAGGAATAAAAACAATGGTACGGAGAGGCTCAGGAACAGTTCATTCCGAGCGTCTACATTTCGTTATTCTTTGATCGTATCTATCAAGAATCAAAGTTAGAGGGAAGGACATGGCATAATATAACATAGGAACGGCATCAACTACACATGGCGACTGGTAGAAGATTTCTCTTCATTCTCTTCAGATACAATCCCAGATGCGACGACCAGCTAGATAGGTACTTATCGACTATTTCCATCCATCCTCCTATCTCCTCTACAAAGGATCCAGACACCGATGCTTGCTTGTGTGATGTCGATATTGAGAACTAGGATCAAATGAATAATAACTCGACCTTATTCCGTCGTCATGTACACATCGCCACCGTTGTTCGGGCCTGAGGTGTTGGTAGCGACACCGGCAGAGGTACCACCACCACCACCACCACCACTCGTAGCACCTTCATCCGAAGTTCCATCTGTACTCTGGACGACAGGAACGAGGAACTGGTGAGACGTAGAGTCGAGGGCCCTTGCCGTTTCAGTCTCAGCCGGGTCGTCGATTGTGTCGCCATCACTTTCTCCACGTGTGTTGTTGGCCGTCGCCGTCTCGCCTAGGACGTTTCGAGTATCGTTGTCACTTTCGGTATCTCCAGAAGTTTTGACTGCGACGGCATCTTCCTCGTCTTCAGTCTTACCCTCTGCTTCATCGTCGTCTTCATCTTCATCCTCCTCGTCCTCGTCACCTTCAACGTCAGCTTTTTCTGCGATCCACTCAAAGACCTCTTTCTCATGCAGCTTCATCATCTCATTGAGGAGTAATCCCTCGGATCGGACTAATGTGCCATATCGTTTGGACGCTTTGCCGTCTTTCTTCCACAGACTGTGTGCCCGTGAAACGAAAATCTGAGAGTTGTCTTTATACCATTGCGGGAGCCATGGATGGTTATGGTTGTAGATGGGTCGGATCGGATTGGTCGAAATGAAACCAATGATTCCTGTAAGGTTGGGGTATACATTTTCTGTCACCGGGTTAGTATGTGTCGGAAAGCTGCTCGAGGTGACCTTGTACAGACCATTCTCGGAAACCAGTTTGGCAACAGCATGGAATGCATGGCCTGCTCCAATTAAGAATATCCCACCAGGGAAATCATATGGTTCAACATAATTCTCCCAGAGGTAAGAAGCGAGCTTTTCTCCTTCGCGCCGTGCTAGGTCTGTTTGATTGCTTGAGTATTCCACATTGTTATTTTCATACCCACCCGACTCTCCGTAGGACGAAGACCCGGTGTTGGGATCGACAGTGATGAACTCTGGAATGTTTATATCAATGACACCATAGTTGTGTGATACTCCCCAGCGTATGTACGACTGTACGCCGTCAACCTTTGAAAGTGTAAGAGTAAATTTTTCAGATTGAAGCGGACGACGAGGGCGAAAGAGACAGTCAGGTAGGCAACGCAGATGTCAATGGGAACGGGGTGCAAACGATGAACACTTACAAGCCAGGTATCCTGAGGTTTTTGTTGCGTTGTAACGCCAGAATTGGAGCCGAAGAGTAGATCAGGTCTGGTTTCAACTGATCAGATTCATGAATGAACGCAGAAGCACTTGTCGGGAATCAGCTTACGAATCATGAAAAATCATCAGCAGGTATTTCCGTGCTTCGTAATTTGGTCTGCCAGAGTAACGTCAACATATGACAACCCTCCGCCCGTGTTGTCAGGTCAACTTACGAGGCCAGCACCTGCTGGTCAAACGACTTGGAGACGGTATCACGGAAGACGTGGAGTTGAGTCAACTTGAATTTATCGTACAAATGCATCGCTTGCCACTGTCGGATGATGTCTGTGTTTGGTTTTGTGAGCTCATGGTCTTTCATACGCGACGTCTCCATCTCTTGACAGGATGTTCTGCTGGAAATACAGCTCTTCAGACCCGTTTCCACTCACCATGTAGTCTTTCGCCCTCAAAGGATCCGCTGACAGGTTCTATTTTACTTTGATTAGTGTCAAATGTCTTGAAAGGTAGGAGTACCAGTAAATGCAGAGACCATGGTATACCTTTTGGATACACGCTCCTCCAATACTTCGACTGAACGTTTCGTACTTTTGCAATCGTATCGATGGCTGAAGCTGTCGCACCTGTGGCAGGAAGACGATCTGGCGGCTCTCCCATCAAGGTTCGTGTCACGGCGACGGCGGATTTGGAAATGGCTTGGAAATTGTAGCCTCCCTGAGATCATGTGAGTGACATGTGTGGCCAAAAGAAGCGACTCACCTCGAGACAGACGGCAATCTTGCCACCCGCAAGTGACATGAGCATATGTGTCATATGAGCGTAGCAAGCAGGGGACACAAAACAACCTCCAAGCTCGTCACCGGCTGCGGCATCGAATCCAGAAGCAACTACGACAGGGCGTTAGAAAGATCTCCGAGGGTTTGGGGGATATTGTTACTTACCAATAACAAAATCGGGATCAAACTCGGTCGCAATGGGCATGACAACCATTTGGAAGGCGTACATATAATCTCCATCTCCCATTCCTTTCGAAGGCCAGGGTATGTTGACGTTTCTATGCTATTAGTGCTTTGATCTTGTCCGTCATATCATGGATCCGACACTCACTTGCCAAGTCCTGCCCCGGCGCCACAGTGATACATGTCACCCTCGGGGCCAGAGGGATAGAACTTCCCGTCCATGTGGACATGTAGGGAAATATAGAGAATATTCGGATCATTATAAAATGCTCCTTGACAACCATTACCTGCTTACATCAATATGGGAGGTATCAAATAATCTGGACCATGTTAACCTACCATGATGTACATCCCTGGACGAGATCAAAGTCAGCATGGGGGAGTACGGCGACAATGGATGCATGTGTTTTCTCACCAATCCACAATCAAGATCTTCCGACATTCATTACCGAAGTCTTCTTGGCATACCTTTGAGGCAATGCAGACATTATTGAACAGACAGAATCCCATAGTTCGAGTGACTTCGGCATGATGTCCTGGAGGTCGAATAACAGCTATGGCATTCTTGACTTTTCTTGAAACGACTGCACGGCATGTTTCGATGGCGGCACCAGCAGAAAGCTTCGAAGAAAAGTATGAAAGGTTGTTGAAGTAGATTGAGTCCATGGTGACGTCTTCTGACAAGTCAATGAGGCTTTCGTCACTCATTTCTGTTGTCACGATTAGCCGTGGTCCTTCAGAGCAGTAGAATAAATAATTGGCGACGAACCTGCTGTAGACTTGACGAATTCATAATGTTCGTCAGTATGGATAAGGAGACATTCTTTCTTTGTCGCTTCACGTGCTTCAATCCTTAATAGAGGATGCTCGACGAAAGGGACGACCCCAGGTTCTTCGACAAGACCAGCCTCGCGAAGCTCCTTGTAGATGTAGTAGATACGGCGAGGGTCCTCGGGGTGAACATTTTCGCCACTGGTAGCTGCGATTTCGGAATGATAGCGCATGCGCTCATCATAACACAGCCCAGTGCGAAGCTGCGAGATGGGAAGCCCTTTCTTTGAAGGGGGAAAGCCATCTTCGAGACCAGAAGAGCTATCAGAGAGAAGACTGTCTTCGTAGTCGTCGTCCTCGTCGGAGGTCTCCAGCTTTAAATGAATTCCAACTTCAGTCGAAATGTCCGGGGTCTCACGCATAGGCGTGTCATTGCTGGTTGAGCGGGGTTCTCGTACTTGCGGCACAGGTCTTGGAAGTCTGAAGGCGTCGACACCTGGACCTGCCGGGGTCTGAGCCATCCCTCCAGCTTCCACCAAACGTTGAGCCACTCAATCACAATCAAACAAGAGCGAAACTGGTGCTAAAGCTCAATCATAGTCTGCTAGGATGGTTTGGTGGTTCCAGTGAGATCTTGGCTCCTTTACTTGGGATGCCTTGGTCCAGGAAGCCTGCGCCAACCAATCAGGTTTTGATGAGGTACAATAAGATCAAAGGAACATACTTGGAGTGTAGAGAGGGGCGGAAAGAAGAGTGTCTGAAGTCGAAGCCGGACTAACCCCAAAAATCTGAGCTGATGGCAGACTAGGTGTGGGAATAGGAGGAGGTGGATGAGGTAGATGGATGGTTGTACCCAGTGTCAACAATCCGCTAGAACAAAAAGGGGCTGACGCATCGCCTGCATGTAGAGAGATCTGCTGAGGTGCTTGTATGGAACAATCAGCAGTCGCATCAAAACCGAGATTGAACTGGTGACAGATGTATGATTGTATCTGCAAGACTAGAGGTGGACACGAGAGGAAACACGACTACAGCGAATAACCTGAAGTGGTATCAGGAAGTGCCAAGATCTTCACGTGATTAGATGAAAGGAAAGGCGAGTCACGTGTTGTGGCTGCTGTTCCAACTTACGACGACGACGACGACGATGACTTGCTGCAGCGTGGAAAATCTATGCTTAGTATTTGGGCGTACGTACTTGATCAAGGTAGCCGCTTGCAAATCTTTGTTCATCATGCCATGGATATGCTGTGTGTGGTGTATTGCTGTGCGAGTGGTCTGAACTCGTGTACTTCAATTCATGCAAAAGCTTGTCAACTATAGCGCGAACGATAGCAGTAGCCAATTACAGCTCAATAGGCAAGTCAGGTTTTGGTGCTTTGCGTGGTTGAACTAGGTACGAATGCTGCTAAAGATTATTGCTCCTCAAGCAAGCTAGCACAGTCGATCATCGCTTAGCAGTAGGCTCGGGAGTATCGATCTATGAGAGGTCCACTTTTCCGTGTCCAGACCCCAGGATCTGATCCCACCAGAGCAAAATCTCCACCGCTTTCCTTCCAGCTCAATTCATAAGAATCATCACAGACCAATCTAGGATATTGTTGCTCGAGAGATGGAGCTTTAAGCATTGCCATCCTTCTTAGCAATGTAGGCTAAATTTCGACGTCAGTAAATTTGATCCCGAAAACTTCCGACTCGGTTGTTGCACTTACCCAAGAGATCGAGGACACGGCGGGAGTAGCCCCACTCGTTGTCGTACCATGAGACAAGCTTGATGAAATGGTCGTTGAGGGCAATACCGGCCTTTGCGTCGAAGATGGACGAGTGGTTGTCTCCGAGCAAATCGGTGGAGACAAGGTCGTCCTCGGAGTATGCGAGAATGCCTGAGATGGTTAGCTGGTTGGAACATGTGTGTAAGACAGCTTTGTTGACATACCCTTGAGTTTGCCCTCTGAGGCATCCTTGATGGCCTTCTTGATCTCGTCATAGGTGGCAGATTTCTCCAGGGTGACGGTGAGATCGACGACGGAGACATTGGGAGTAGGGACACGGAGCGACATGCCGGTCAGCTTGCCATTGAGAGAAGGAATGACCTTTCCGACAGCCTTTGCGGCACCGGTGCTGCTGGGGATGATGTTCTGAGCAGCGGTACGGCCTCCTCTCCAGTCCTTGGCGGAAGGGCCGTCGACGACTTTCTGGGTGGCGGTGTACGAGTGGACAGTGGTCATCAAACCTTCCTTGATGCCAAAAGTGTCGTGGACAACCTTTGCAAGGGGAGCAAGGCAGTTGGTCGTGCAGGAGGCGTTGGAAATGACGGGGATGTCGGAGGTGTATGTCTCTTCGTTGACACCCATGACGAACATAGGAGCATCAGCTGAAGGAGCGGAGATGACAACCTTCTTAGCACCACCCTTCAAATGGGCAGAGGCCTTCTCAGTGGTGGTGAAGACACCGGTGGACTCGACAACGTAGTATGCACCGGTCTCAGACCATGGGATCTCGGAAGGATCTCTCTTGGTGTAGAACTTGACGCTCTTTCCATTGACGACCAAGGTATCACCCTTGACCTCGATTGTGCCCTTGAATTGACCGTGTGTAGAGTCATACTTGAGCATGTATGCCTGGAAAGGGGGTGATCAGTATGTTTCTAGACGACGAGGACTCGATAAAGATACGTACGGCATATGTGGGCTCAATGAAGGGATCGTTGACGGCAACAACGTGGACATCGTCGTGCTCGACACTGAAAGGCAGGTTAGAAAGAGGCTCGGGGGAGATTCAAAGGATCGAGAGATGGACTAACGCATTTCTGAAGACCTGTGAGAAAAGTCAGCTACTGAAGAAGAAGAGCATGGTCGTTTCTGGCACTCACAATACGTCCGATACGACCGAAGCCGTTGATTCCGACGTTGATAGGCATATTGTTAGATTGAAAGAGGTTTGAAGAAGCTGTTGGCAGAAGGAAAGTCAGTACACAGAAAGTCCCAAGTCAGATCAAGGGTTGAGGCTTGCGGCGATGATTGTGGTTATATGCAGTTGATATAAGGACAATGAACGCACGTGGGAAGATGGCAGGACTCACGTAAGTGAATATCAGCTTTGGATGATCAAATCAAGGGTTTTGAGGTTTCTGATGAGTTGCAAAAGAGACTGCAACTGTGGTCTGATGAGGTGATGAGGGTAGCTTTTTGTTTCTTTTGAGCAAATGGTGGGGCGGTGTTGATGTTGAGGGGCAGGATGATAGCTGCGATTAAGAGTGGCTGTTGCTTTCAACGCAAATGTGGCCCAGACAGCCCACCAACGGGAAGGCAAGGAGGGGTTCCCACGGTTTCCCCAAGAGACTCTGTTAGCAAAAGATTGCCCTGCGGCCTTGGCACCAACGCCAATCACAACTGGTTGTCGGGTGGTCGGGTTTTTTGGTCGGTCCCGATGGAGGAATCACTATGTGTGGAATTATCGTGAAACGATAATCAAACAACTCGATTCTCCGTTCTTACGATAAAAGAACGGACGACGGACAAAGACTCTCGGATGTTGCACTACAAGTATGGGTAGTGGGACTGATGTGATGAGGCTATGATGTGATCAATTAATCCACACGTGGTGGAAAGGCTGGTTATAGGTACTTATACAGCATCATTCCCTACTCATTGTGTGTCGTATGCCTGCAGGGTCATGACCTGGTGGTGACTCAACATGGTCTTGCTTATCAAGGATAAGACCTTCATCTCAAGTACGAGGTCAGGGCAGCAAACATGGCCGATCAGCATTCATCCAATCGTCGTGGGGGCCCCGGATGGGTGTGCGGCACAGCTGTCGGAGAAATGGGTTGATCCGCAAAATCTCCCGCCATAGCCGACATCTTCGCCCGACACTTGAAGAGGATGCGTCGACAGTGGAAGATCTTTGGCATAAGAAAAATGATCTGGACCAGGCCATGCTACCACTATTGGCTTTAGAACCTGGTAACTTCAGCCAGGTCTCATCTCACATGATACTATGACGAGGGGGTGGGCGTTGAAAAACTCCCAAAAATGGCGCATGTTGAACCCTTCACATGTCCTTAGCGGAAGCCCGGTCCAAGCTACCTGATACGCAAAGCCGATGCGGCGACGGGATATTGGATCCTAATTTCAGTACTGTCAAGTCTAGATTCAACTCGATAACACTGGGGACAACACGTGCACGTGATATCGGTACGCTGCTCTGACTATTGCTCAACCAGAAACTGATAAGATGCGTGGATTGATCGATCTACATGCGAATTGCTTTTGACTGACTCCAAAATTCTATGACATGGAACTGTCTATTCATCCTTGGCACCACCGCGGCCAGAACGCTCTGCGGCCTCAATGCTGGCCTTGTCGCTCTTGGTCTCTCCTCCGCCCATGTTAAAGGGACCAGCAGAAGCCTTCCATGGTCGCTTGAGCTCGCCAACCGCAGGCTGGCCGAACACATGCACCTTGACCAGATTGCCCTCAAGCGCGCTCTTGACCGGAATAATGGACTGGATCAGGAGAGGATTGGTGTAATTAAGGTAAAGATGCATGAATGCCATCATGGCCACACCGGTGAGCTGGCCCTTGTATGCGGCGCCGAGCTGGTTCTGATCGTACTCTTGGATGGTGGTGGTGACCAACTTGGGCTCCTCGCCGGATCCCATGGGTGCCGGCTCAACATATTTGAGTGTAGTGAGATCTGAACAGAGAATGTGTCAGCTCCCTGGTCTCACATGCGCTTTGGGACCGTCTCTGGAAACATACCTCTTTTGGACTTAATCTTCATGCCAATGTAATAGTAAAGGGCCACAATGATCAAGTTGGAGCAGATGTACAGGGCGCGCACCCCGTTCAGCACGGTAGGATCATCGAATGGGATTCGTTTGGAAACTTGCATCATCCCCAGGATGATGGCCAAGTTGGTGCTATTGCGATGTTCAGCCACAATTCAACGGTTGCAGGACAAGTCAAGAGGAAACTTACATCTGGGGGTTGAGCATGTTGACCATGGTTGCGACGGACGAGGAGAGACTTCTGATCCTACCGAGAAAGACGAAGAAGCTCAGTGGCACCAGGGGGATGCGATGAATTCAGATATTATAAGAGAAAGGTGAACTGGAGTTGAGGTTGAGGTCGAGATGATCGAAATGGACAGATCGCAGCAGCCAGATTGAAGACGAATATCAAGTGTAACCTAGTAAGGTCCCACTAATAATACACGCGAGTGTGGACGTTGCCTCTTTGCCGCCAAGATGTGGCACCCCAGATAGGGAAGGAGGACGATGCCGCCCTTGCTCACCACCCACCAGCTCACGGAGTAGGTCTGCCTTGAAAATTGGTGGCGAGTAACAGTGTCGCAAAGCAGCGTTGTGTCCTAGTGTTCGCTGGGTCGTTCTATGGACCTTACATTTACAGTACAGGTGTGTATAGTGTACCTTCGATAAAACGGGACCTGCCACTGGATACCCAATTGCCCAGCCACCCAGCTCGCCCGAATTTCCCAACCTGTATCATAGGTGGCACTCTTACAACTGCTGGGTTAAAGCGGGCAGCTGTGGTTTAGCATAGCATTATATATATACTCGTTGGGATCCTGGTTCTACGCAGTTCTATGAAGAATGCTGTTACATAAAATATAGTTACATTAAATGAGTCTCGTGTGTCCGTCCATAAGTCTCCTAATACGAGCGGAAATATCCAGGCGTTATGCCCGAGAATTTTTACTCATCGGATTTCGCGAGTTCTGGTTGGAAAGAGAAATCGCCAGCCTAATTCTGAGATACAGAGGGGCTAAACACATGACCTGTTCACCAAATAGAACAAAAAGAAATTACAAAAAGAAACTCCCCGACAGGGAATCGAACCCTGGTCTCCCGCGCTCGTTACTGGGTAGTGACAAGCGGAAATCATGACCACTAGACCATCGAGGACGTTTTGCGATTGTTGAGGGGAAACCTAGACTAACAAATCATAACTCCTAAGAATATGCGGAGCCCTCTGTCAGCGCTGAGCATATTTACACTTTTGGGCTGCCAAGATGTGGACAAGCGCCACAATTTTGTCACAGCCACTTCACCAGATTTCGTAGCCAGACAGGAGGAATTCCATCCTCAGATTGGCTATGCCGACCTGCTCTCTCAAGATATGTCGACTTGCCATTTCAATATGGCGCTTGATTCGAAACTAGCTATATTCGTGGGTGAAGATTACCTTCTACAGTGATTACAGACCCAGCTAGGACACCCAATATCCATCGCCGAGAAACACTCCACAGAGCGCCGTATAGTCCCCTTGCTTGAAGATGCCCTATTGACTTTTGAAAACTTGTATTTTATGTCCTCGTTTCGGATGATCTTCTTTCAGCATTCACCATTTCTCTGATTCTTACCGCTGTCCGAACGCATCAATTCAATGTCATCGTTGTCTCCCTGGCGAGATTCCACAGTCACACGATTGCTGAGAGATTTGTGACTTTGGGAACCTGTACTTGGCATAGAAGATTTTGAAACTCGGTAGGTTCGTTCTGATTCGGTTCGTTCTGATTCGGTTCGTTCTGAATCGGTGCTGGATTCGATGGCACTGCTACCAAAGCAGCTAGGGAAAACTCGGCGGAGGAGTGCGCGAATTGCAGGGAGGCAGCAGCAGATGATGCTGACAAAAGCCTCAAGGACGCTCCAGTACGCTGTCGGTACATTGTCATCTAAAGACAAAATCAAATTAGGATCATCCTTGAAGGGGAGTACTTCGGTCTGACGTACATGTAGGGTTGCTTGTTGTCGCAAACTGCACCAATGCGGTCAATCGAACGATACTGACGATGGTGATGCTGTTCCAAAGTCAGTCAAACTATACCCAGCCATCGTGGTGTGGATTTGACTTACAAAAAGCCAACCGAGAACATCAAGATGATATGGATCAACTTTCGTCGACCCAGATCTAGCTTGATCAACTGTGGAATCGGAAGGACAATGATGAAGATGTCGAAAACAATATTGACGATAGCGTGAGCCCAAGCAAATGCATTGAAGTTGATGCAATGCCCTTCCACCTCACCCGTCCAGCCTTCCCAACCAAATGAAATTGGTGTACAATGGAAGATGACTCCGAAGGAGAAGGAGATGATGAATGCAGAAGTCAAGATTAGCGAGGCAATCACGATCTTGCGGAACCTCTCGGACTGGAATACACGATAATAAAGGAGGAGAATGGCCGCCTTGGTAAATCCAACGACGAACATATAGAATATCTCGGTATACCAGGTGAACTATTCGGGTTAGTTCAAGATGAAATCGAGTTAGAGAATGTCTTCGACGGCAGGAATTCATACCTTTACAATTCGGGTGATCTTATCGAAAGGTATCGTCCAAATATCTTTGCCAAACCCGTCACTGGACATGACGAATTCAAGGGCAGCCATCGGAGTTGCGAGTATCTGCAGAGAAGGTTAGAATTTCAAAAAGCACGGCATCATATTTCTCCAGGGGTTTTCATACCAGTGCAAGGACAACACACAAATCCGCCCATTGAAGTCGGGCCAAGTGCGGAAGCCGATCAGCAATTCTTAGAACAACACAGACAACGGCCAGGGCTCCTGAGACACCAGTGACAATAGGCGTGACTGCTGTGTTGTCTCTGACAGGTTCGTTGCAAAATGTGGCAGTGAAGTTTCGCGCCGCTGAGCAGGACAGTTAGCTTGACATCTGTCCCAAAAACAGGTGTTCGGTACATACTGAGACTATCCTTGACTGAACAGCTGCTCAAAGTGCAGTCTTGAACGCTCGTCATGAGAAAGACGTCGGCACATATGCATGGTGCATCTGTCGAGTCACACGAGGACTGTGGTAAGAAGGTCCCAAGACATGTGGCCTAAAGTTCAAACTTGTTAGTCGACATGGGTACCCTCAGCAAAGGTGAGGTAAGTCCTACAGCACATGATGGCAATGACTGTGCTCGAACCGAAGCCCACAGACTCAAGGTAAAAAGACACAGCCAGATTGTGTTCATACTGAAGTTGAACAAGCTAGATGGCGATTTGAGGATATGGCTGTTTGAGACAAGTAACTGCGGTACAACGACTAAGGCATGTCATATATGTCGTTTGGTGCTTTTCACGAGCGAGAGACACAGTCCCGGGGCACTTGAGATGTGATACGAGTAGGACCTCGAGATTTTCTTCATTGTGGAGGTGGAGTGTCAGTAATGGGCTGGGAGGTGGCCAGTGAGGAACGAACGTCAGCGTGCGCGACCGAAAAGCCCGTTTTTGGATCAACGGCAGTGGCGCCAGCCCTGTGGAGAGCCGGTTGGGACACTGGACCTGAAACTGCATGGGCTCATGCTTGTGATGAAGTTGGTCTTGTACGGCTTGATGGAAGGTGACTTCCGTCCAGGACCGGCAGCAATCAGTCTGAGACTAAGCTGGGGTCCGAGCAGGGTTCCGGGTAGAGGCATCGATCCGCAACGTTGAATAGATTTCACCGGGCATACTTCGTGTGTCGTAATCCACTGATGGGGCGAACTAGTCTGGTTCCATACGCCAACCCTTCCTGGGAAGGGATTTTCCTCGTTGTGGTATGAAGCAACCAGTGGCGAACAGATGCAAACCCAAAAGGCGAGACAAGTCTGTCAAACTGCAGATAGGACGTGGACAGAGTGACAGGCTACTAGTCTCGAGAACGGTCGGGTAGCGTAACCAGAGCTTCGCCTGAAGATGCAAATCTTGACATCGGGGCGGGGGAGGCAACTCAGAGGACTAATGGAAACATTGGTGAACAGGTGTGACAGGCTCTGCGGCTCTGCGCATATTGGGTCTAAGATGGGCGCAGGCTTGCGACGCTCAGCTGAGTTCTTGATGTCTCGGACTGCAAGAGAAGTGGTTCCTGGACAAAACTGCTGCTTCCACCATGAGGCTTAGCTTATTAGACATCAATTTGAACGGAGTGTTTACCCTGGCCAAGTTCTTTGTTCGCTAAAAACGGGGGATTTTGACAATCTGATCACCTCACGATGGCGTGAATGTAACTGGTGAGTATGCATGGTTGACAGATTGCCTCTCGCCAATTATGGAGATCTATGCAGTAGTCGAGCATCCCACTGTCTGAAAACCGGTTCACTTGTACCCATGTGCTGGGATTAGCGAGGGTCACCATGAGAGCGTCTCCATATTGCGTTCCCTTCCGTAAAGTCAAACCAGACTGCGATGGATGGCGTGGTGGGTCGGGTCAGGGATCAAGATTCGTCAGGACTCAATGGCAATGATGGTGGTCTGATTGGCCAATTCGGAGGCGCCACTGGGGCTCGAAAGATACTCCGTAGATCGAGCATCGAGCTGGGGATGTGCTACTCCTGTTAACCGAGACGTGGGGTCCGTTCCGGGTGCCGTGGGGCTGGATGTGAGTGCTCAACACTGGTTCAGGAGAATTGTAACTTGAACCCAGACTAGTAGTGAGTCTGGGTGATTTGAGTGAGATGGCAAAAAATAAGAGAATCTCGAGGAATGGTTGTCCAGTAGCAGCCTGAACCACGATTCGAGGAATCAAGGGTTGGAGTTATTTTGACAGTTGACATTTACATGGACATGGAGATGTGGCTAGCGGGCCTTGGCGGAGGTTCAAGGCAAGAGCAACCCAATGAAGTATCGTTGATGCAGGAACGACCGATTCGAGCATCCAACCCTGCTTCATCTGTGTCTGCACCAGAGCCAACCCTGGCTTTTACATTTATACATACGTACATACGTACATACATACATCTATGTTGGAGTTCCCGTTTAGCAAGCCACACGAGCCTGCCGTTGCTCCACACTTCGTGTCAGGAGTCTGTGACTGACCTCGGAAAGAACCCCCCGTCTTTCTCCCACCCGGTGATGGGACAATCCCACCCGACTCTTCTCCAATGTCTCTATCTTAAGACTAGGGTGGGCAAGGAGATCAGTCTAGCCTGGGAAAGAGTTAGAACTTTGGTGATGGACGACAACCCCATCCCGGCAGATGTGCTGGCCGGATAGCGTTGTGAGAGGGACCGAGGATATAGTCTGCCATGGGCTTCTATAACGTCAGGGTCCCTCTGATTATAGGCGGTCGCATTGAGCACCTCAAGTTTCCATCCTATCTTGCAAGCTGATCAAGTTTTTAGTTCACTCCTCCCTCGAATACACGACGGAACGGCTCTGAGGCATAAACAAAGTCCCTTCTGACCATGGCCATCCCGTTACCATCCACTTGGCACCTCCTCTCTCTGGCATCCCTGGCCTGGATTTTGGGGGTTTTTGTGACTTACTGGCTGCTTTGGATTGTATACGCCAGATGCTTCCATCCCCTCCGCAATATCCCTGGACCATGGCTGGCTTCCGTCAGTCGTACCTGGTATATGCTGCAGATTGCAAAGGGTGACATGGAAAAGAGTCAGCGGCGACTGCATGCAAAGCACGGCCCTCTGATCCGCATCGCTCCTAATGAAGTTGCCTGCTCTTCACCTGATGCCATCAAAAAGATCTACCGGAACCAAGCTGGCTTGGCCAAGACTGACTTCTATTCAGTCTGGAACAGCCAAAACTTCAGCAAACACCTTGATATGTTTACCATCATCGATGACAAGTACCATGGCGAACGAAGACGTATCTTCAACCATGTTTACACTCTCTCCAATGTCCTCAAGTCGGAGCAATATATCGACATATGCTCCCAGCTCTTCATGGATCGTCTCAGCGAGTTTGCCAGCCAGGGAAAACCATTAGATCTTGGCAAATGGCTCCAGATGTGAGTAGATCAAGCATTACCTCAGTACAACGTTGATGTTAACCCTTCAGGTACGCTTTTGATGTTATTGGTGAGCTGTACTTTGGAGAAGCCTTTGGCTTCTTGCAGAATAGCCACGACCATGGCTCCTGGATACACTCACTCGATTTGTTGATGCCCTTTTTGTGCATGACAGCTGTGGCACCTTCCTATATCCGACCCTTTATTCTCGCCTCATCCCTGGTTGTTCCTGGGTCACTCAAGGCGTTAAAAGCAATTGAAACCATTGGAACGTCGGCGAGAGCCTGTGTTCTGCAGCGCTTCAAAACGCAAGGCGCCTATGAGAAACAACCCCGGGCTGATATTTTGGAACAATTATACTCGATTTCCGTGGAAAAAGGTGACCAGGTCGATTTCAAGCTTGGTGACATTCAACAAGAAGCATACGTTGCCCTGTAAGTCCCTTTGGTTGTTCTCTCAAGCTGGATGACCGATTGACCAACTGACTTGTCACAGATTTGCTGGCTCCGACACGACTGCAATTGCCTTACGGTCGGTTTTCTATCACCTCATGAAACACCCGGCAGTCTATGCCAAATTGCTTGCGGAAATCGACGAGGCTACTGCCCAAGGTCAACTCAGCGAGCCAGTCAAATATGCCGAGGCCATCAAGCTTCCGTTCTTGTGTGCATGCATCAAGGAGGCTCTTCGCTTACATCCTGGCGTGCAGCTGACAATGGCCCGCCTTGCACCTGTCGAAGGTCTCGAGTTATCTGGCACATACATTCCCGCAGGTTATCGAGTCGGCATGAATGCAGCAGTCGTGCATCACGATCAATCCATATTCGGTCTTGACGCCGATCTCTACCGGCCAGAACGTTGGTTGGAGGGGAATGCAGCCGCCATGGACAAGCATCTGCTACACTTTGGAGCCGGCACCCGAACCTGCATCGGCAAGAACATCTCGCTTGCGGAGCTGCACAAGCTGGTTCCGTACTTGCTGACGAAATTCAGGGTCGATCTGTGGGACGAAAATGACACATGGTCGACGAGGAACTTGTGGTTTTGCAAACAAGAAGGTTTGAATGTGCGTGTGACACCCCGGACGGGAGCCACTAAACAAGAAAGCGGATAGTTTTGAGGACTGGCCTAGAAACGGTTGACTTGACTTTTAAGCCCATGGATGGTAGGGATGGTATAGAGAAATCCAACACGACTTTGACAGGCACGACAGGTTACACATCAGAAATTCTGTTAGGCTGCATATTGACTGTGATAGACATGTCGCATCTTGACATGGTACCACAAAGTGCCTTCCATGCGGCCCAGCATGTCCTTTGGTCGCCACGAGTAGGGAAGAACAAGTGACATGAAGTGTATGATTGGAGTAGACTGTAACTTGTCGATCAAGCCCAACCCCATGCAATGCAATGTTGACAACGGCGACATGGAGTCCCCACCAAAAGTATGTGTAGGGCTAAAACCAGCATGACCTTATGATTGAAACTTCGGATGCACCTTTGGTACAGTTATGCTTTTTCGGATGTTGTTTTGGCATATGGTCACGTGATGACGAATCATTTTGTGTCCACATGCTTTGTCTCTTGGCTGCCACTCGTGCCACTCTAAAAATCCCAAGGCGTGGCCGCCATTAAGGTGATTGACCTGACCCAGTATGCCGGGTGTACCGAGTTTGTCAAATCGCTGATGAGAGCGTTTTGTCACAAGACAATAGTTAGCTGATGACAGGTTGTGAGTCTTGGATTTCCTCTGCGGAGAATTGAAATCCAACACACTAAAGACCGAGGTAAGCGAGCGCAAGCCAAAGTCTGCGGGCTCATGGCAACTCGATGATGGCGATCTCGCTTGGTGGACGTATCTGACCAGCATGCCAATGGAGCCCAGCTGGACCGAAACAGTGCTAAATGTACGAAGTAGTCTTGACAAGAGTTGACAAAATTTCGTCATAGTCGTCAGACTTGGCTTCGCATGACATGTGGGAATGCCTTGCATTGACCAACGGTTCTTGCTGAAGATTGGATGTGGGAAATCGATGAACGACTCAGTGGCCATTCTCAATCTTGACGTCCTCCGCGGAGTCGTCCTTCTCGTCTTTGACAGTTCCATCAGCCAGGACTTTGATAGCCACTTCAGGTCCAAGTGTGCCTTCCCCGCCTGGCATGACGCTGCTGACATTTCCGTCCTCGTCCACAAACTCGAACCTGTATCGTGACAAGTAATGAGGGATGGAGCTCAGCTGAGGTCCATATCTTGCAGTATTGTCGTACAGCTCAAACAACGGAACCGCCAGCAACTTCATATTCTTCGGCACACTAAGCACTTTGTTCGGAGGAAGGTGTATTAGGTACAACTTCTTGAGCTCCTTCGGGCGTGAAACATGAGCAGGGAGAAACGGATAGAGGAAGGTTTCGTGATTCGGTCGCCACCTGCACACTCATCAGTACCTTGGTAGGAGAACTCGTGCAAGAAAGTGTTAAAGTTACCATTGGGCCAGACAGTCTCCGATTTCCCAATCCATGTCGCCTTCTTTCGGGTTCGTGGGAGCGAGTCTATCATTCAGACGAGCCTTGAATCCCTCTATTTCATCCGCGTCGTGGGGCAAGTAGTCGCCTGGCCTATTGTCCAGCGTCAGCAACGCATCTTCAGGGTCTTCGGACATCAATTACGTACAGCTTGAAGAAGGCATTTGCGATCTGAAGCATCAGGACGTGTGGGTGGTTGTGTTCATGGCAGACCAAGATACCCTCACAAGTGCGTCTCATGCCATAGCTTTCATAGTGCTCTCCAAGGCGTTTGAGCCGGGCAATCACTGAAGGATCCTCCTCTGGTTGTGTTTCTTTTGTTCCAAAGGTGTAGTTGGACAGAGGATAAAGGCGGACGGTGGGAGGCTGGTTGGCGGAGAATGGAGGAGGCAGAATCGGTCTGGTCGTGCATATTAGGACTTCACATCAAGAATAGCGTCGCTAGGATCTCTTCTCACGGATTTACTGTTTTTAGGGTGGCTGTGGTTAAGGTACTCATGGCGGAGGTTTCTGCGGTGTGTGCTGGAGCCTGCGGCCGTCACCACGGGGCACTGCGCAAAGTCGCGTTGAGACACGATATAGCTCAGTAGATATGCGATCAAAGCAAGACTTCAGAGCCCCGATGAATACGATCCTGAGTTATAGGTTGCGTTGGTCCGGGGCGCAAGTGGGAGTCACGGACTCGTGTTTCAAACAATTGAATAATTGTTGACGCGGAGTTGGAGACGGCAACCACGCAGGCATAAAAATGTTTGAGGGGAAGGCACGCCTCATCCACTCGTGCCACTCTGAAGCACAACATCTTCTTAAACATCTCCTTACCATATTATTAATTGTCCAGTACCAATGCATAAACTACTGCCCTTTGCAGGTGTCTATCTCTACCCCGATGATCTATTCAACATGATAGTCCTTTGACAGCGCCTTCGCTTGGTACCTTACAGTTCAGGTGGCGGGTGACATCGTAGCCTGAAATCCAATATAATCTAATCACACCTTCAGCCACATCTTCATAACTTTGACTCGAGGTCCTCGAAGTCTCGGATGTCCGAAACTGCAACCGGTCCTTGAGTGACCTGCAACCCTGCTTTCCATTGATACGCATCTTCGATGATTATCGGCGTGGGGATTTGAGCGGGAGCTTCGACTTGATTAGTCTCTGCCATGGGAGGTTTGATCTTCAAAGCCACCATGACCTGAGGAACTGCTTCTTTCATCTGGACAAGGACTTCGTCCACTTTGGTATCTGGGAGCGATTGACTGGCATAGGTCTTGATCGAGTCTAGAACTGCTTGTTGATTGCTGGGTTCCACATTTTCGAACTCCTTCGACAAAGCAGCTTCATCAACGTCGACGCCGACCGTTCCAAGTACCTGGCTAATCAAGCCTACCATCTGGCTTTTCTGTTCTGCTGGTGATAATTCTGGTGGTGTCGACGAGGCTTGTGCCACCAGATGCACCGAAAGTTTGGCTCGAGTGGCCGATTGGGGGTCAATATAGTGAGTGTAGAACTCTTGAATATCTTCCTTAGTCAGCTCGCGGATCTTGCTCACATCTTGGTCAACCTGCTCGAAGTTGAGGTATTCACCGCCAATATAGGCCCAAAGGCGATTAGTCTCAAAGTCCAGATTCTTCAGCTTTTCCAGTCGTTTGTTAACCAGACTTCGCTTGTGGCCTTCAAAGTCTTCGGTCGACATGCTGTCTAGCATGGTCTTGATTTTCAGCAAAAAGGCATTAATTCGGGTTTCGAGGTAATCCGGGGTTCTTTCACTCTGAATCAAGACCCTGAAACCCATGGTGACGGCAGCAGGACGAACACTACTCCAGACGACGTATCCCAGCTGTTCCTTTGTTCTCAACTGATCGAATGCAGGTTCGTCACAGATCTGTGCAAAGAGCTGAAGCTTCGATCGAAGAGGCAAGTCCATCACGTGTCCAATGTCGAGATAATACTCGATGGCGTGATTGACGTTCGCTGGGTCGCTCAACGTGTGCTTGTAGACATAGTTGCTTCCCGGGGGGATGATAATATTTCTTCGCAAGGGCCATTGCGAAGGTGGCAGTGGTCGTGGCTTGAGGATGGACTCAACTAGATTGGCAATCTTCTTTGCTTCTTCTTTGTACAAGTTCCCGTGTGCCAGGATTTCAATGTGTGCCTGTTGAAGCAGTTGTGGCTTGAAGCTCCTGATGTCTTCCACCGTGATGTGGGGTAGCTCGACCTCGTATGAGTCGTTCATCCACGATTTCTCATTCAACAACCATCTCGTGTAGTCGCCAATCTGATAATAGGGCTGCTGAAAGCCCCAATTCTTGTATTTGCGGGCCATACGTTCCTTGATGACATCAAAACGGTCCTCTCGGATCTCAATTTCTTTCAGTGTTGTCAGGATTTTTTCCAAAAGAACGGCCATCTTGTCGTTGTATCCGTGGACACCAAGATCCAGTCCTAGCATGTTTGCAGTGATGGCATAAGACAGTCCGGAAATTTCGGCGTCGTACGAGTAACTAGACAAGGCGTCCCTGACCAAGCCGACAAAAAGGCATGATTTGACATAATCCAAAGGATTGGCATAGGTGACTTGGTTGCGGAGCTTGATGCTCAGATTGGCTTTGGGAACCCAAAATGTGTCATCTTTCTTCCACCACAGGCGAACGGAACTGTCGTTTCGGAGGAGCTTAGGAGCCTTGGCTGGCTCTTTGACCTCGATTTTTTCAACGTCGAGCTTGGTGGGGATGAATTCGTTCTTGTGCGGAAGATGCAGATCTGGAATAGGGCTAACCTCAGGAGCGGTGAGAGCAGTTTGGATATCAGCCAGGACCTCTGAGGGGACTTTTTCCACCTTGTATTCTGTCCCATACCACTTCTCTTTCTGGTCCCAGGTGCCGGGGAAGTCACGAGACACAACCATCAGTCGAAAATTGTCATGGCGGAGAAACTGCATGGCTTGGACAATGGCTTTGGCGTCAAACTTCCGGAATTTGCTGGTGCTGCTCAAAAGCCAATTACGTGGCATGTTTTTCTGCATAACGCTGCTGGTGCCACTGGTGAATCGACTGGCAGGGGATTTCTGGCGGAAGCGGAAGTCGACATCGGCCATGTTCTTCATTTCCTGATGCATCCATTCCAAGGGAGGACTCGATTTCATCATTCCAATGTATTTGAAGACGATCTTGACGACTTCATGGTAACTTTCGAGACCTTTGGGGGTCAAGCCAATGTCGATTTCGAAAAAGGCGGAGCCAGGACAGACTGTATGATAGCCGGCAGAAAGTGTCTGGGCGAGGCCGCTCTCCTTAAGGTAAGCGAGCACGCTGCCGGGACCCTCGTGGCCGATCAAATGACTAATGTATCTGGCGGGCTGGGTCTCATACATGTCTTCTTCATCTTGCCAAGGAAAGCTGATTTCCAAGGATCGCGATTCCATGACGGGTTTGGCAAAGACTTGGGTTGACAGCTGTTGTTCTGTCAACATATCGATGCCGTCCCACCGATTCTGGCTGAGATTTTTGTTCTGGACGTTGGAAAAGAGCTCGACGACCCACTTCTCAAGGTCGTCGAGGGACTCACGGCCGAGGACAACGAGCTTCATGCGGTTGGCGGAATAATGACGGTCATAGAAACGAATGAATTCGTCACGGATCTTGACACCTCGCTTTTCGGGGTCTTCCTTGAGAGTCTGCAGGTTTCCGGTGGAGAAATGGTGATAAGGGTGGGAGGGATTGGAGAGAGATTTCGCCAGCTGGGATAGCCTCCATGCGTCGCTTTGCAGGTTCTTCTTGTTTTCCGAATCGACAGCCTTGAGTTCTCGGTCTAGAGTGGTCTCCAAGAAGAGCGGCTTGACAAAGAACTGAGCAAAGCGGTCAAGAGCACCATACAAGGGACTTTGGCGCGAAGAAGCTCCCAGGCCGTTGGGGCTGTCATTGGATTCTGAAGTAGCGGCACATTCGAAGAAGTAGTTGGTCTGGGTGGCGGCAGTGTATGCGTTGGAATGGCCGGAGTTGGAGGAGAGAAATGAACTGTACTCGTTCTCTACAGGATACTGGTTGGTGTTAGCACTCAAGTCAGCGAGCAGGCGCAGTGATGATCCTGACCTTTTCTGTGCCCATGAACAGCAGATGCTCGACGGCATGAGCCATGCCCGGCATGTCATTTTCGTCGGAGAAGTTACCGACATTGACATTGAGGCTGGCACTTGCTTTGTCTGTCTGAGCATCTTGTACTAGTAAGGCTTCCAATTTATTGGGCAGTTCAATGACTCGGTATGATCGGTCGTCAAGATCTGGCTTCTCAAGTTCGTCGGCGATGCGCCTCACCGAGCCCATGACAGTAGCGAATTGTCGAGGAGGAGACTGTTGGTGGTATGGCAGAGAGGACATTGGTGGAGATGATCGGAGTTTGGGTCGGCTGAAGAAAGAAGAACGAGGAGCGGCGTGGACGATGGCGGATTTGGGGTGAAGCCAGTGACCAGCAAGACGAAAGGGCAAGGTCATCTAGAGCCAATGGAGAAAGTTGAGTACGAAGAGACAAGAGACGGGAGGTGAGACGGTGGGATGGTAAGAGGAATGTGTGTGTGGACACGGGAATGAGAATGGCTGAGGGAACAATGTCGTGCTCTGTGCGGATGCAGGTTAAAGATGCAGGCGCAGTTGGAGTCGTAATGTGTAATGTGTGCACTGAATCGTAGTGACAGACTGACAGTGAGGGTCAACCCGCTGGCTGCCCGTGGGGTCCAGGCACGGGTAGCGGTGATGGGTGCGTGTTTGTGGCGACGCCAAAGCCGTTATCGGCAGCCAACAGTTGAAGGTGACGGTGAAGGGCGGTGGGCGGTGGGCGATGGACGATGGATGATGGTAGGGGCATCCTTAGATCTCACTTAGGCGAGGCATGGCAGACCATGGCAGACCAAACGCCCCGAGGATCCTATCGAGCCTCAGTTGAATAGTCGGTAGGTAAACTAAAACTACTAAGTGCCTAAGTAGGTAGGTAAGCAGTACCTCGCATGATGACCCATCAATATCGCCATTCCACTCATCGACAATCATACTATAGGGCTTCGTGGGCTTTCTAATCTGCACTACGTCATCAATTGATGGCTCCACTAATCAAGTGAAAGCAATTCAATTCAATTCACTCAGCATTGATTGCTTGCTGTAGTTGAAGTTGCATTTTTGGAGTTGGAAATGCCCGGTTTCGAGATAGAGGGACTGTACTTCACGATGCGATGCCTACCACCTGCAAGCCAAGAAATCTCCGGGCACTTCTTGTGGTTTGGTAGGCAATCAAATCGCCCGAGGCGCCCTTAAGTTAAGCGACAATACCCCAGAGCCAGCCAGCCAAACATGCGCATCTACAATTAAAAAAAAAGTGATTGACTTTCCCCCTCCATCGTCACCGCCTTTCATCGGTAGTGAATTAGTTTGTCCATTATTGACAGCCTCGACAAATCCCACGCCGTCAACGTCAACGGATCTAACATCCATTTGTCCTCAACGTCCACTGTCATCGTCCACCGTTTCACAGTGTCACCGTGCCACGAGTTCTCCACACTGGGGTTGTCGTGTCGCTTTCAACGTCTGATCTTCGCACCGAAACTTTCCTACCATCCATGTCCAACCTCCCATTCCTTTTTCGTTTGGCCAGTAGTACTTTGCATCAGACCAGCACTTTGAAAAATGAGGACCTTGAACGAGATTGATTTTCTCTATTTGACTCGGAAGTCAACTTCAGGTCCTCATGCTTGGCATCGGCCACTCCTCTAATAAGTCAGGGACATACATCAGTACCTGGCCCGATTCTTCCCTGGCTGACCGACGTCCCATCTCTGTATCACAGAGAGCCATCATATATTATCATCGAGCCTGGCAGCAATCTGTCACCCATCGTGCATTGTGCTACAATCAACCGCATGCCCTAAGGGCCAGTCTAAGTACTGGACGAGTAATATCTTGCATTTGTGTTGCTTCTCTGCGATTGACTGGTTGTTGGATCGTCTGCTCCCGTTTGGTTGGTCACGCACGAGTCTTCTCTGTAGCCAAATCCTTCCACGTCGTCATACCTGTCGGGTTGGACCTCGTACCATTGGGCCTGTTTTCAATGTCGTTGCCTATATATATCCGTCTTGTCTTTTCTGCCGTCGGTGAATATACGCTAACGATCGAGTAACTAGTTACTTACACTCAAATGGACTAAAGAACTATAAAAGCGAAATTCCTCAATTTGAGTTACAAGTACTTCGTTCTATATGGTTGTTAAAATGTCGGCACGTGATAAGGCTCTCCCCATAGGCCAGGGGCATGTTCAAAGGAGTTGTTCGAAAATTGGGATGAAATCGTTGCATTGTATTCATTGCATTGATCATTTCTCTAAATATCATACTATCTACCATCACGGTGCCAGCCAAGGGCCCATCTGCAATCAAGAGATCAATCCTAAACTGCACTCCATCCTTCATACTCATTCCATCCATTGTTGATTTGATGCTCAGCTCATCCTTTTGTACCGTGGTTCCAGTCTTCGTGTATTAGTTGTAGTGGTTCTTTCTTTTTCGATGCATCAAGCGTGTGCCCCATATGTCGCGTGGTTCTTTGTCTTGATCTTGGTGTTGTAGCGGTTTTTCGTTGTGCCACATTATCGCGTCAAAATTCATAACAAAAAACCCAAAGTATTAAAAATTAGTAAGTATGCCTCTCAGTGTAAAAATAAAGAAGAAAATTGTAATGAAAAGGTAGGAGGTGGGTGGATAGGGTTGTGTGGATGGGAAGATGGAGGTGATAATCAATCCTGAAGGGTTTGGGGTGGTCGAGGGACGTGACGGTTCAACGGGCGGCGTTGGTCATCCTTTCATCGATCTATAGCATTGCCACCAAGCCAACAACGGCGCCAATGACAGCAGCGGCGGCTCCAGATGTCTGTTTGGAAGCAGCTCCGGTGAAGGCACTGACCGCGGCCGGGACAGTCGAAGTCGAACTTGCCTTGATGGATGTGGTAGGCTTGACAGAAGTGGTGATGGGGGCGACGGGGACGGACGAGGTGGTCACAACAGTCACCAGAGAGCTGGATGACCAATCATTCCAGACTTCCGATGTGGGAGCAACTGGCACGGGAGTTGTCGTTGTTGTCCAATCTTCCCAGTGTGCTTCCGAAGTGGTCGTGGGAGCCACAGGAACTGTGGTTGTGGTCCAGTCAACCCACTGCACTTCCGTGGTAGTTGTAGGAGCAACAGGGACGGTGGTAGTAGTGGTCCAATCAGCCCACTGAGCCTCGGTGGTAGTTGTAGGGACTACGGGAACTGTGGTTGTCCAGTCCTCCCAGTGGGCCTCAGAAGTGGTTGTAGGGACCACCGGGACAGTGGTCGTAGTCGTCCAGTCAACCCATTGTGCTTCTGTGGTAGTGGTAGGGACGACAGGGACAGTGGTCGTAGTCGTCCAATCACCCCATTGTGCTTCTGTGGTGGTGGTAGGGACTACAGGGACTGTGGTAGTAGTTGTCCAGTCAACCCAATGGGCTTCTGAGGTGGTGGTAGGAACCACTGGAACAGTCGTCGTTGTGGTTGTCCAATCCTCCCAGTGTGATTCTGAGGTGGTTGTAGGAACCACGGGGACTGTGGTGGTGGTAGTGGTGGTCCAGTCTTCCCAATGCTCGGTTGTCGTAGTGGTGGGGACAACTGGCACAGTTGTGGTGGTGGTGGTAGTGGTCCAATCCTCCCAATGCTCAGTCGTTGTAGTGGTAGGGACAACTGGCACAGTTGTGGTGGTGGTGGTGGTGGTGGTGGTCCAATCCTCCCAATGCCCAGTTGTCGTAGTGGTAGGGACAACTGGCACGGTGGTAGTGGTGGTCGTGCTCCAGTCCTCCCAATTCCCAGTTGTCGTAGTGGTAGGGACGACTGGCACGGTGGTTGTGGTGGTCGTGCTCCAGTCCTCCCAATTCTCAGTTGTCGTAGTGGTAGGCACAACTGGAACGGTGGTCGTAGTGGTCGTTGTTGACCAATCCTCCCAGACACTGGAAGCAGGCACCTCAGGTACTGTGGTAGTGGTCGTCGTCGACGACCAGTCCTGCCATGATTGAGGTCGAGCACTGGCCAACGTAGAGAGCCCAGCAGCCGCCACAACCACAGCCGATTTGGAACGAGAATGCATATTCTATACGGAACGAGCGGGGTAAAAGGTCAAGTTTACAAGTGGGGGGAGGTGGTCAATGCAAGTAGGTCAAAAGAAGGGATATGGCGCTATGATTGCTCTGATGAACGTGTTTGAATCAAAGCGTTCTGTCTTGACAAGACTGAATGGATAAGAAGAAAGGGAAACACAGACCTCCAGATGTTCAATGCGGCTATATACCTGTGTAGCCATGAGTGGTGGCGAGTCCAAGATGCATGTCGTGCTGCGTTGCCCCAGCCATCACGATGGAGAACTCGTTGCTGGAGACGAGCTGACATCAATGGTAACGACGAATTCGTCATTAGATTGGCCAGGGAAGAAGTGTCCATCCGGTTTCCAGCAAGTGGCATGGGGCGAAGCGAGAAATAATGGATGGCCGGATGAAATGGCGTTGAAGTTGGCTAGGAAGCCAAGACCAACCAAGCCTTTTACTTGTCTGTCATTGGTCCGTGAGGCCCCAACCACCCAGGGTCTAATCCAACTTGGAAGCTATAAACAAAGCTAACTCGTATGCAGGACAACCACCTTCTTTTCATTTGGTCGTCGAATCATCTCCCCCGCTGTCTTGAGTACTCCGTATTGTTTAAAAAAAGAGCATTGCGAATGCTGCAAAGTACTGCCCCAAACAAGTCCGATTCGTCATTCCACCTCCATTGTGGAGCTGGCATGTGGCCGGTGTCTGATGCGTGGACTTTGGAGAATGACCAGCCCTCGAAACCTTCTATGGACTCTGTCTTGCTGATGTCTAAGACTAGTCTGGGCTTTGAGGTTCACTTTTGAGAGGATGACATGTGGCACTCTGCATCTCCGAGTGGTGTTGCAGTCGCCATGTCAAGAGAAGCCATAAGCTATTTTCCCAGTCTTTTGCCTAGTATTGACCGATCTCGTCCAACATAGCAGTTTCAAAAGTGGTCTCTAAAGTGGTCTCTCAGGCAATGAGGCAAGGTACATGAACCTGTTACACGTAATCAGAGACCTTTTCGTAAGCCTTTCGGCTGAGCCGTCAAGGATTTGTGGGACTTTAGCTTCACATACAATATTGGCCCAATAAACATGAGGCGGGTGTTTCAGGCTTTATGCCCCACCCGTGAGACACTGTCGCATTGCACAAAAGTCCATGTCATCGATCAGAACACAAAATCATTACGGACTTCAAGTGAGAACAACGTGCAAATCATATTGTTACAGGTGACAGAATAATTCTGTCTACATCTCCGCCGTCTGACCATACAAGGCCTTGTACAAACTACTCGTAGTCGCATCACTCGTAAGCAATCCATACTATTTAAGTACGGCAGCTTTGCTATCCATAAACTAAAACATGCTCTATATACTTTTGATCTGAGGCAACATTCAACGACGAATTTCAACCTTTGCCGAAAACAACAATCTGACAGCCAGACCCAAGGCATTTCGCAAATTCTATGCACACTTTTGTCTTTCCATCTCGATCTTGCTCTAGTGCGAAAGCACCAAGGCCAGGAGAGCCATCCTTGTGTACAACCCATATCGCATCTGTCTAAAATATGCTGCTCGTTGGTCAAAGTCCACTTCCTCACTGATTTCCCGGTTGCGGGGTAGTGGATGCATCACTACCATGCTGGACTTGGCGTATTTGAGAACACTGTTATCCACAATCAGACTATCCTTGAGCCGCTCGTATTCTTCCAGAGATGGGAATCGTTCTTTCTGCACTCTGGTGCAGTAGAGGACGTCGCTCTTAGCAACAATCTCTGGCGTGAGCGATTCGGACTCGACGCCGAGCATGTTGTTGGCCACAATTTGGTCTCGAACTTCGGCGGGCAAAGCAAGGGCTTTTGGCGACACCAGATTGATCCGGACTTCGTAGTATTGAAGAAGCTTCACGAGTGAATGGACGGTTCGGCCGTACTTGAGATCACCAGTAAATGTCACTGTAAGTCCAGTCACGGTTCCGAGCTCCTCCCGGATAGTGAACAGATCCAGGAAAGCCTGAGTAGGGTGTTCGCGGCTGCCATTGCCACCATTAATGATTGGCACTGGAGAAAATTTGGCAGCAATGGCCGCAGACTCATTATCAGGATGACGGAGAACCACCGCGTCACCATAACATCCCAATGTTCGAATACTGTCTTGAAGACTTTCTCCCTTCTGAGTACTCGAAAGGTCAGTGTTGATGGCAATTGTCCGGCCACCTAGACGCTGCATGGCTGCATCAAACGATGACGAGGTTCGCGTGCTTGGTTCGTAGAACATTGTGCATAAAACTCGTGATGGAAGAATGGGTAAGATACCCTGACGCTGAACGCCGAGTCGCATTTCTTGAGCAACTGTGAACAAGATATGAAGGTCTTGTCGAGTGTACTGGTTGACCGACAAGACGTGTCTGTTCTTGAAAGGCGAAGAAGCCAATAGAGAAAGTAGGGATGGGGATATGGTTGATGGCGCCGTGGGTTGTTGAAATACGGCACTTGGCAGGATAGGGCTGTTGGACTCCAGCACCTCGTCCATATTCCTGGTCCTCGTGATTGGCCTGCTTCTGCTGGGGAGTGGCATACGAGGCGAGGTAGCAGTTTCTAGAATTGATGACCGGCGATCAAGATTGCTTTCCTGTGCCCGAATGATTGGTGATGAGGAAGCTCCCTGCACTGGTGACATTGGATGCAGCAAATGCGATGACATGTCTGCTCCCTGTGGCGTATCAAGCAAGACTTCGCCATCGAGGCATACGGTTTTCCCCTGGAATACCACTCTTGAAACCGCACCTCGTAAAGTCTTTCCAACAACTGGCGACCAGACAGGCCCGGCCTGGAGAACATATGGTCGGTCGATATCAATCTCGACAGAGGTTGTGTTCTGATCATGGAGTTCAAAGATCGCCTTTGGATTATCGTAAAGGCGTCTGGTAACATCGTCCAGGGTCAGTCTTCCTTCAGCAACAGCCGTCAGGAGAAGGGGGAGTGCATCCGCGATGCCAACTGTAGGCACGGCATTTTCACCCGCAATCTGGTATGGGAGACTGCCAATCGAGAAGACATCGATAATCGCGACGTGGTCCCAGAGAGCTTCTTGATCCTTGGCCGTTGGTAGGGCCAGACATTGAGGGTACTCGGACTGTGATAAGAAAAGACTGTAGACAGACACATCACATGTGACTTTCAAGCCCTTTTCTTTGGCGAGGGCAATCAGGCTGATGTCGTCTTTGGAGGTGACATTCATGACGTGTACCTTTCTGTCATGCAAGCTGGCCAGAAGCAGAATGGACGCGAGATCTGTTGCTTTGGCATCGGTGACGATTGGCTTGTATGTTGGCCATGTGCCGAAGTGGGAGCTCACTGTTGCGACTTTGTTGATGTTGCCAGACAAGTGATTGAACAAGATGAACAGCGATCCAACGTCACCTTTGACATGAACAATTTGATCGGCGTTAGTGTTGGTAGCTGCTACAGAGAGATTGAAATCGCCATAGGCGCAGTGGATTGCATTGGCTTGTGCAATCTTGAGTGTTCGAGCATCAGTAACGGCACTGTGGACTCCAACTGGCATGATTCGGATCATGCTGAAACCGGCCGCAACAGATGCTTTGCTCACAAGAGAGAAATCGTGAGAATCTCGCTCGGCCACACCAGGAACGAAAGCTGCAATGTTGATGAGGCCTGGAATGACCACTGTCCGATGGCTAGTCTGAAAGTCAATCTCACGAATGTTTAGATCGTAATGTCTGGCAAGAGCTTCGATCAAAATCTTAGCAATCTTGACGTTTGTTATCAGCGGGGTCTGGTAATCCACGGCCATACGTCGAGTGCGATAACCCTTGCTCATGTAGTTGGCCGGTCTCCTGAATCTGTTACTCGAGGGGAGATTGATGTACAGATCAATCTTGTTGTTGGCCAGATGCTGCGTTAAAGAGTACTCCGACTTCTGGTCTTTGTCTTCGCTTCCAAGGACCTCCAGGAATTTGACTTTTACTCCGTGTTCCTCAAGGAAGTCTGCGGTTCCGGCAGTTGCAAAAAGATTGTAGCCCATCTCGTGGAGCTTGCGTACTGATGGAAGCATTTCCATCTTATCCTTGAATGAACCGATCGAAAGCAAAATGTTCTTCTCGGGAAGCTTAAAGCCGGTGGAGATGGTGGCTTTGATGTAGGCTTCGTAACGATCACGGCCAAAAGATGCCACTTCTCCAGTCGAGGCCATCTCCACGCCCAAGACGGGATCGGCACCAGACAAACGAGAGAATGAGAATTGAGGTGCTTTGACACCGACGTAGCCCGCAGGAATGTTCAAAGGCGGGTATGGCACAATCGGCTTGTCCATAATCACCTTGGTGGCCAGTTCGATCAAGTCCAATCCCATGACTTTCGATACGAACGGGAAGGACCTCGAGGCACGAACATTGCACTCAATGACCTTGATCTCGTTATCCTTTGCAATGAATTGAATGTTGTACGGACCAGTGACGTTCAGAGCGTTTCCGATTTTGCGAGTGGCCTCCTCAATTCTTGCAATGGTTTCTGGTTCAAGATCTTGAGGTGGGCAGATTAACGTCGCATCTCCAGAATGCACACCAGCATTTTCGACATGCTCGGAGATAAAGTGGCCAACCATGACACCGTCTTTGGCAACAGCGTCCATCTCGATCTCCTTGGCATTCTCGATGTACTTGGTAATGACGACTGGGTGATCTCTCGACACCTCAACTGCTTGATTCAAGTAGTTGGCCAGGTCGTCCTTGGAATACACTGTGTTCATTGCCGCTCCAGAGAGAACATATGACGGCCGTACCAAGACTGGATATCTGACTTTGTTGCAAAATTCCAGTGCTTCGTCGATGCTGGTCAGCTCCTTCCAAGCAGGCTGATCAACACCGATTCGGTCAAGCATTCGGGAGAATTTGTATCTGTTCTCAGCCGAGTCGATCATCTCTGGAGAAGTGCCGAGGATTTTGACGTTCAGTCTATGCAGTGGCAGTGCAATGTTGTTAGGGGTCTGCCCTCCCATGGAAATAATCACCCCACTCGCCGACTCAAGCTGATAGATGTCCAACACTGTTTCAAGATTGATGTTCTCGAAATACAGCCTGTCTGCTTCATCATAATCAGTGGACACGGTCTCGGGATTAAAATTAGCCATTATTGTCTTATAGCCTTGCTCTCGGAGGGTGCGGATTGCTCGAACTGAGCACCAGTCAAATTCAACTGAAGAACCAATACGGTAAACACCGGATCCGAGAACCATGACGCCATGGTCCTCGAAGGTGATATCGCTCTCGGTACCGTTGTAGGTCAGGTAGAGGTAATTCGTGTAGGCAGGGAACTCTGCAGCCACGGTATCAATTTGCTTGACAATAGGATGAATGCCGGCCTCTGCTCTGAGGCGCCTCACTGCGAGTTCATTTGAGTTCCAGCATCTGGCCAACTGGCGATCGGAAAATCCCAACTGCTTGGCCTCTCGAACCAAGGTGGGAGGGACTGTGGTTGCGTTAAAGGTGGACATGAGTTTAGCAAAATCACTCAAGCCCTTGAGTCGTGACAAGAACCATTTGTCGATCTTGGTCATCTCCCAGATCTTGTCCACAGAGTATCCGGCATGCATGGCATTGGCAATGGCGAACATTCTCTGGTCAGAAGGGGTCTGAAGTTCATCATCAACCGACATAAGTGGATTGGAGATGTCTGAAAACCCGAGATTGTGGAAGTCGACGGAGCGAATAGCCTTCTGAATGGCTTCTTCGAATGTTCTACCGATTGCCATGACTTCACCAACACTCTTCATAGAAGATCCAAGCTGAGTAGACACGCGGGTGAATTTCTTCAAATCCCATCGTGGAATCTTGACAACGACATAGTCGAGCGAAGGCTCGAAACAAGCACAAGTCTTTTTAGTGACAGAGTTCGAAATTTCGTTCAGGGGAATGCCTAGACCAAGTTTGGCTGCAATGAAGGCTAAGGGGTATCCGGTCGCTTTTGAGGCCAAAGCGGACGAACGTGACAATCTGGCATTGACCTCGATGATACAATACTCCTTGGAGAACGGGTTGAGGGCGTATTGAATATTACACTCGCCGACGACGCCCAGGTGACGAATGACGTTGACTGCGGTGGTTCGCAGCATGTTGTAGTCTTCATCAGAAAGCGTCTGAGAGGGCGCAACGACAATCGAGTCGCCAGTGTGGATTCCCAGAGGATCAAAGTTCTCCATATTGCAAACCGTGATACAGTTGTCACGTGCATCACGGACAACCTCGTATTCGATTTCCTTCCACCCCTTCATGCTTCGTTCAATCAAGACTTGAGGACTGGCGGCGAATGCTTTTGTGCAGAGTTCTCGAAGTTGAGTAGGGTCTTCAGCAAAGCCACTACCCAAGCCACCGAGGGCGTAAGCAGCTCGGACGATGACAGGGAATCCGATGTCTTGCACGACTCGCATGGCTTCATCAATGCTTGAGGCAGAGGCAGACTTGGCACACTTTTCGCCAATCGACTCCATACTTCTTGCAAAGAGCTCACGATCTTCAGTGGTGATGATGGTGTCGATCGGGGTTCCAAGGACACGAACTCCAAGGCCTTCGAACTCGTCCTTGAGCTGAATTCCAACCTGCAAAGCTGTCTGGCCACCGAATGTACAGTAGATACCGTCTGGCCTCTCATGCTTGATCACCTTTCGCACAAAGTCGGCATTCACCGGGAGGAAGTAGACTTTGTCCGCCAGACCCTTCGAAGTCTGGATGGTTGCGATGTTGGGGTTGATCAAGACGGTGTAGATACCCTCTTGTTTCAAAGCTTTGATGGCCTGACTGCCAGAATAGTCGAACTCGCCGGCTTGACCAATGCTGAGACCACCACTTCCGAGCACAAGCACCTTCTTAACCTTGACCCTCGGATGGGCTAGATCATTGTCATCAATGGCGCCACCTGGGAAGGTGACTGGAATGGTCAAGGCGGCAGCCGAAGCAACACTCTTCATGATGGCATCGATGAATACATCGAACAGGAACTCGGTATCCCGAGGGCCCGGCGTAGACTCAGGGTGAAATTGAACGCTGAAATATGGGCGTGAAGTATGTCGAATGCCTTCATTGCTGCCATCATTTGCGTTGACGAATAATTCCTCCCAGCCATCTTTGAGGGTCATGGAATCGACGGCAAAACCGTGATTTTGAGATGTGATGTAGCACCGACCGGACAACAGGTTTGTACAAGGGATGTTGTGGCCACGATTACCGAACTTCATTTTGAGGGTTTCGGCGCCTGTGGCGCGGGCGAGCAGCTGATGACCAAGACAGATGCCAAAAATGGGTGTTCTGGCTTCCTTTAGAGCTTCGGCAATATGGGAGACTGTAGGTGCGAGTGTTGCTGGATCACCGGGACCGTTGGAAATGAACAAACCATCGTAATCTTTCCCGGCGAGCTTAGGGAAATTGTAATCCCAGGGCACGATTAGGACCTCTACTCCCCTGGAGAGGAGACAACGAAGTTGGTTGTATTTCAGGCCAACGTCGACCACCACAACTCGAACAGGTCTTCCGGAAGGATGGGACAAGACTTTGGATGCTGGAGGGGAAATGAGTCGAGGCTCTTTGACAGAGACTTCTGAAACAAGATTCCGCTTGTTTTGATCATGCCATTCGACCTCCTCGACCTGGTCCCTCCAGCTAAGTGGTCCAGAAAGAATGTCGGGAGTTGCAGAGTTGGACCTGGTGCCATTGGTCAGAGTAGTTGGGGGAGAAGACCTGGCGTGCAACATTCTTCCCAGCATGCTGCCTTCTTCTCTGATTATCTTTGTCAGCGCGCGGGTGTCGACGCCGAACATGGCAGGAACATTCTGTTCCTTCAGCCAAGATCCTAGAGAAGAGGTTGCAAGGTAGTGTGAATAGGTCTCTCCGGCATAGGAGGCAACAACAAGACCTGCGACATGGATCTGGTTGGACTCGAAATGCTTGGGAAGATCACCAAGTAGCTCATCCAGGGTTTCTCTGGAGGGGACTCCGTAATTACCAACCAGCGGGAATGTGATGACTAGGATTTGACCGCGGTACGAAGGATCGGTGATAGATTCAGGATAACCGACCATGCCGGTTTGGAAGACAAGTTCGCCGGAGATGCTTTTCTCGGCTCCAAAGCTGATGCCATGGAACACCTGGCCATCCTGAAGTTCTAGGTAGATGGATTTCTGCTCATCCTTGAGAGCGTGGGCTGTAGCGATTGGATTTAGGGAATTAGCCGAGGCACCGACGGGCGTGGACGATAACACATAGTCAGTGGCGTTGCTCAGTCCCACTGAGGCAGCGACTGAAGGGCTCTGAGGCAAGGCGCCGCCGCTAGAAAGCGGCCGGCCGTCATTTTGGAGGGGTGTCGATCTCGACATGGTAGACAAAAGAGTGAATTGCCGCCCGTTGAGCAGGCTGCAAGGTCAGGGAATCATTTACCCGATTTTGGTCAAGGTTAGATTCCCAAAGATAAGATGGAAGCAAGGGCGACAAGAGGTAAGAAACAATGATGTTGATGGTGAAGCACAGATGTTGTGAGGAGTGCTGAGAACTTTTTTGATGCCAAGACTTTCCTTTTTTTTACGGGTCCAGAAGATCCTCGCACTGGAGCGGAGCATTACAGTGTTTAGTGACGGGCAATGCGGGAAGGGGCCGAGGGCCTGGAATGGCACGCGTGGTACGCGTACCTGCCCATTCGTTACCTACTATTGTTCATACTTTACATATTAGGTAATTAGGGCTGTGAAGTGTCGAGTCTTGGTACCACGGAAGATGAAGTGCACCTGGTGTGGCTAAAGGCGTGGTGGATGTCACATGCATATTCAAGAATCAAGTTAGGCAGTCTTTGGTCGTACTTTCCTATCTTCAGGCATCTTGTCGCTAGTTTTGACCGCCACTACCGCGAAGATCGAGGGTTCCCTGGACCAAGGGAGTGCCAAGGTCGCCCGGAGAATTCATCCTTATAGGCGAAGGAGTGGGAGAGAGTTCACACAGACTTGAAGAAAGCTACAATTTCTCCTGATCTTCCCCGTGACGGGATCCCGTAGTCTAGAGGACATCAAGAGTAGTGTATATCAAAACCAAGTCAACGCCACTACAATCTACATCTCCTTTTTAGACGTTCAGATCCCCCACAGTAAATATGACCCGCATGAGGTAGACGTAGACAGGATGAGGCGCCATCGATGGATGCCGTGGGTGCTCACCCACCTGTGGCACCTGAACAATGGAAGCTTGGGCGATCTGGGTTCCCCACGCTGCAAGCTGCAGGCTGCACGGCTAAGTAAGTTCGCTTGGATCTTGGGATTGCATAAGTGCCCCCAAGGTGCAGCTGGCCTGTCAAATAGCCAATCTCGATCCTTCAGAACCTGCCTGTCACCAGTTGTCTCCGTGCACAAACGGCCTTTGATGTCACCCATCCACCCTCCATCAGCGCATTCCACCAACTACTACAGGAGATGTTTTCCTGGCAATGGCCCTTTGCCTTCTGACAGACGCATCTCCTACATGGATACGGTGAGTCTGGGTTGGCTGCACTCTTGACCGATATTCGATACTATTCGAGTCAGATGGCAACTGGGTGGGCACTGACGATCTTTGATCCATGCCCCATACCCACTTTTCTCACGCGCACGACTTCTGCGATCTCCTGCCGTGTTTTGGTCTCCCACTTCAATCAACACCAGTGAATCTCCCATCTTTTATTTCTATAGGATTTCTTTACTATGTCGCAGGTTGATTCTACGGCCCTATTCCCTTTCCATGCTATCTCCTTGAAACCCTTGATCCATGAGGGCATGTAGAAAGCGCGTTTGTTTTCTCGATCAAATCGACATATCCTTCTCCCCCGGTGGTTCTACTCCACGTCGTTCTGGACAGACCAATGTTTTCATCTCTCCTCCGTCCAGTTCGCAACAAGCGTCGACGTGATCACTCACCTTTCTCGACCTCTTATGCCCCTTCAGCACGATCACCAGATGTATCGAGGGCCAACACACAACGTCGAAGGAGGAGATCGTCAGATCAAGAGCATGATAACTTGATTACAGAAGAGGAGGAGTCCGAGGGCGATGGAGACGAGGATGATGCCATTGAGGATGACATGGAGGATGAAGACGAAGATGTGAGCGAGTCGGACGAGGATGGTCCGGACGATAATGCCCCGTTGCTCCCTATCTTTTCAGCCGCACGTCTCGACTCCGTCCCGACCTACGCCTTGACTCATGCCATCCGCACGTTGGTGAGTTCGAAATGTGATACTGTCTTGACATGGGAGCAGCTCAGGTCGCCGCAAGTCTCACAATTTCTTGTCAAGCCCATCGAGCAGGAGGTGCGCCGAAATCACTTGAATCCTGCCACAGAGTACGCCTTGTTGTCCAACTGCTTGCAATACACCAAAGAAGCCGCCGATTCAGTGGGCAACAGCGGCACCAACAGCACACGAGCCATGATCTGTGAGCTACTCGCCATCAAGCTATTGCGAGACCATTCCACTAGGGAATTGATCGATGCCTTGTCCTACGACTTCGACCCTCTGCAGGGCTACCTGGACATGGTGGACTCTGCCAATGTTCCAGGACCCCGTGGTGCTGACGCTTCCCGTAAGCACGCACAACGACCTGCCCGTATATCCTGTTTCGAAGTCGCGATTCGTGCTCAGGCCAAACGATTTCTCGCCCATCCTCTGGTGGTGAAACAGCTGGAAGCCATTTGGGCAGGAACCATTGTTTTCCACTCGGCCGCTGATAATCTGCATCGAAAGTTGCCTGTCGTCCCACAGCACAGGACCTATGGAACCGTGACACAGGGGCCGTCCTCTAAAGGTGACTTCACACTTGATCACGGGCCCGTACGGCGAGCCGTGACTCTTTATAATCCTCGTGACGCTTCTTTGTTCAAGCTATCCAGGTTGCGGGTCCCTCGATATCGAAACGTCTTGTCCACCATGTCATTTGCTGTGCTCTTGAGTCTCTTTGTCGCAGTCCTGGTTCAGAGATCGTTGGAAATCACGCCGCTCGAGGTTTTCTTCTGGTTCTGGGCGGCTGGCTACATGCTCGACGAAGTGGTTGGTTTCAACGAACAGGGTTTCAGCCTGTACCTTGCGAGTTTCTGGAACACATTTGATTTGGGCATTCTCCTTGTCCTGCTCATTCATCTTGCCTTGCGCGTCTACGGCATCCTTATGCCTGATGTCAGGAAACACACTGTGGCCAATTTGGCGTATGACATCTTGGCCGCCGACGCCATCCTGCTGTTTCCTCGGCTGTTCTCAGTTCTGGATCACTATCGGTACTTTTCTCCTCTGCTGATCGCCTTCCGCTACATGGCTGCAGACCTCGTCGCCGTGTCACTTTTGATCCTGATCAGCTGTAGCGGGTTCTTCGTGGCACTCACGCTCTCTTTTGGCAATGATGGAGTTGACACGCCCAGCTCGGTGGCATATGCACTCTTGCAGATGGTCATGGGATTCACGCCAGCGGCCTGGGATCGATGGGACCGCTACAATGCCTTGGGCAAGTTCATCTTGACCTTGTTCCTGTTCATTTGTCATTTCCTTGTTGTCACGATCCTGGTCACTGTCCTGACTAATTCGTTCATGGCTATTGTAAGAAATGCTCACGAAGAGCATCAGTTCCTGTTCGCGGTCAACACCATCTCGCATGTCAAGTCGGACGCGCTATTTTCCTACGTCGCGCCTACAAACATCGTTCAATGGACGTTGGTACCTACCAGATACTTCTTGACCTTTCGGCAGTATGTCAAGCTCAATCGCACCATGATCAAAGTAACCCACTTTCCTCTGCTATTCATCATCTACCTTTATGAGAAAACGATCTTGCAAGCGACTATCTTTGACAGCATCGACCTGGTGGAGCGGCGGGGGAGACCCAAAAGAACACATACTACTACGAAGTTGACTCGTTTGAACAGAGCTCCTTCGATTGCAACATTCCGACAGGATATGGCTCTGGAAGAAGTCTTTCGACAGCCCTTTGACAGCACGATGCGCAGTGCCCAACACAGTCGCAACAGACGCAAGACAAGCAATGTAGTCAAATCCTGGATGAAAGGAATCGGGGAGGAGATGGCTAGCTCACCGGGTGACCACGACAGAGCGGCTAGTGTTGTGCTGGAAGGAAGAGAGGTGACCCCTCGACGAGGGTCAAGATTGAGACCGTTTACACGGCCGCGTGACTTTTCTCGGAACACCATGTCCATCGCTTCAGACCCTGCCGACTTTATGACGCATACCGATTTCTTGTCACCACAGCCAGGTCCAGCTGTGACGGATGTTGCGACTCCGTCGCCTCTTGGGGAGACATTAGATAGCACAGATGCAGATGGCGACGACGAGCTTGTTACAAATGACGAATTGGAAGAGGAAGCAGAGACGGCGACATTCTCCCAGAAATCAGCTGGCAGGCATGACCCAGATGTGGATCAAAACACTCGAGATGACATTCATCAAGACTACTTTGCAAATCGAAAGTCTCCAAGAAGTTCATTGCCCGGACTGGCCATGACGAAAGCGAGGACAGCAAAAACGAAGACCAAATCCGGTGCGACCTCGCCGATGCAAGAATCCCCTCAACGCCGTCCTCGGCAGCATTCGCGGAACGCGTCAACGGCGACAATGATTTTCAAGCCTGCAACAACGGATTCAGGAACGGAGAACTCGTCGAGAGGGGAAACAACCTTGCAAGTGTCAGGACAGGCGTCGGGTACTCGAACCCCGATATCCAAGCAAGGCTCGAACGCGGCCGGTCATCGCACACCAAAGCGACAAGGACCAGGGCCGACACGGATGCGGCCAATCATGGCCAACCAGGAGAATCCGGCCTTCCGATCGACGCCCAATTTTGCTGCACTGATCGATGGACGAAGTCGACCCACACCCCAACGAAGGCCATCGCTCGAGATGGATTTAGTGTCTGACATCGGTGACAACAGAGCCCTAGGAGGAGGATTTATCGGGGCACTACCTGCGTCGTTCGCGTCACAGTTAGGCCACGGTGGAGCTGGTACCCGGCATGGCAAGGATAAGGCCAAGAACGATGAGCAGCAAATGTTTACCAAGATCATGATGGCTCGGATGAACACGCTGGAAGAAGGCTTTCGAGAAGTGATCCATGAGATGAGGGAGTCGATGAGAAATGATCCGAGTAGAAGCCGCAGTCGGGGTCGAGCAGCACGACCGGCGGCGATGGTGACCAAAGAAAAGAGAAAGGAGAAGGAACGGGATAGGCCGTCGACGGCTGGAAACAAAGAAAACGTGGATCCGGACCGAGATGGGACGGCGGCCACAAAAGATGGCGTTGAGAAGGGGCTGGACGGAGAACAGAATGATACCACAAGGTCGGTTGAGGGGGAAGACAGACAGGGTGAGTAGAGGCATTGATAAAGAGAGGAGGGGGACACGGGGATCATTGGTCCTTGGGAATCTGTGTCAGTATACGATGATACCCTCAGTGCTGCGTCGGGTCTTTGTAAAGCAGGAAGGCATATTTGAATCCTTAGCAAGCAATCATGGATTGAGTTTTATCTGGGTTTGTCAGAGTCACCAATTGCCTATGCAGCCTACTTATATGTATTTTCTTCTCACGAGTATAGCAGTCTCTAGAGTTCCAAGCACGTGAGAGAGTGATAGGACTGCGGTACAACTTTTATGATTCACCGAATCTATTCCTGCACGTGTCCTAGCATTTGACAAGTCACGTGCTAGTTCCACCATGGATCAAACGTACGGAGTAGTATGACGACAATGACGCAACTCTCGCCTTCCCACCCAGAAAGCACCTGACAACAGCATCGTTGATCACAGGTCCCAGGCTCCAGGCCGTAAGGAGTAGACTCTTTCTTACGTTTCGTTGATCGTTGACCACCATTACTGACTGCCACGAAATCAAGAGACACCTATTCATTACGAGCAGACTATTGGACCTTGATTTGTTCGTTGTGTTGTCCGTCAGGACCAGGAGGAGACTGTCGACAGCCCTTAACAATATCTCCCCACCAGACAAGCTGCGATGGCGTCCAGCTCTAATCAGTCGCACCAGCTGCTCTAGTAAGTGGTGGCATCAGATCATCTACGAGAACCAAAGCGACTGACTACATATTCTAGTGCATGTATTGCACACGGCACCACCATCCTGACCGAGCATACCTCACCTGGGACCTCCTCTACATCAGCATCATCTCTCGCCTCTGTCATTCTTCCCAAGATATCACACTCCACTCCCGCCAAACTCACTTATACCCATGATCGCCTGTTTGTCCATTACATTGCGGATTCACCGTCATCAACCTCCAACAGCCCCGATGAACAACTGTCGAGCCATGCGGCACTGACATACTTGGTGGTTGCTCAGACGGAATTGGGAAGACGGATACCATTTGCCTTTCTGCTTGAACTCAAGAAGAAGTTCCTAGGGCAGTTCAAGCCCGAAACGACCGAGTTTATGAGCCTTCCGGCATATGGAGCAGCCGCCTTCAATGCTACACTCAAGGCCATGCTTCAGCAATACAACACCGCTCCCCCCAACGACGCATTGGCCAATGCACGAAAGGAGATTGACAGCGTCAAGGACATCATGACGGAGAACATCGAGAGAGTGCTAGAGAGAGGAGAGAGAATCGATCTCCTAGTAGATAAAACAGATAGGCTTGGTGGTAGTGCACGAGATTTCCGAGTTCGCAGCAGGGGTCTGAGGAGGCAGATGTGGTGGAAGAACGTGCGTCTGATGGTTTTACTGGTGGTGGTAGTGGTGTTTCTGATCTATCTGTTCGTTGGCTTTGGGTGCGGTCTGCCTGCCTGGGGCAAATGTATTGGTTGAAAGGGGCATACACAAGATTTTAACAACCAGCGCGGGTTTGGCGTTTCATTTTTGGCCTTCCTGTTGTATTTTATATACATAGTACAGTTGGAGCAGGAGTTCCGTGATATTCGTACCTCAGCCATCGAATCACGAGTGCTTAGAGAGGAGTCAGTGTCAAACTAGTTTTCAGTCAAAGGAGTTGCTGGAGTCAGCCATGTCACTAGAGTCACCAGCACCAGAGGAGTCAAACTCACTGCAATCATTGCTTCTTGTGACTCGATCTTCTCTCACCTCCGTTTGACCCTAGAAATATAAATATCTATACTCACTCTTTCTCACTCTCAGTTCTCGGTTCTCAGTTCTCACGCGCTCTAAATATATATACATATGTATATATTATATATATCAACATTCTCAGGTCCTATAACGGCGAGGACAGGCTTAGGCTCGCGGGCGGCTGAGGATCAAGGGCACTGCGTCGCGTTCCTCTGTTCATTGGCCTGAACGCGGCAGACCTCCAGGGTCTGCCCGCTTCTCCCAGGGTTGATTGCGGTTCCTCTCCACCTGACAATGCACAAGTCTTGCGAGCCATTAAGCGACGACCATGACATTTCAACCGTTCGCGGGGCTGGTTCTGCTGATTTGGACCCTGTCGTGCCTGTCACACCTCATCAAACGGGTATCCTGCATGACCACACATGACGGGCCTTGAGCAGGTTCAGGCCAGGCAGACATCTGGACCGTTCACAATCATGGTTGTCCTTACAAAAGGCAGACAGCGGCTTGTTCTTCTTTTCGCCTCATCTCCATCAGCCTCACAATCTCATTTTCATGGGGTTGCTATTCATTCGCCCCGTTGCATGCTGGTCACACTTGCATCAACGTGGTTGACGTCGACGCACCAAATCACTTCTTCACACAAATAGCCCAACCCTGGTTCAGCCTGATCCTCGCCTTGTGTCACACGGCCCTCAACCTTCTTGACACTGTTGCGACTTGCGACGAATTCATCTTCCTCTAGCACCCATGCTTCTCTGTCGCAGTCTCCCACTGCATCTTTAGACAATCCCTCAGCATGGCTTCCAATGTCCCAAATCAACCTGCGACATCCACCAATCCGCTACCCAGCCGCTCTACCTTTGATCCGGCCTGGAATCAGATCCAACAATCTACGGACCTCCCAGATGACCCAGATGTTCAAGATGCCATCAAAGCCTCACTTGAAGAAGCCTCCAAGAGACTTGCCGACTTCAGCCCTAGCCAAACCCAGAACATTTTCGCAGCTCAATCCCAAGATATCGAAAATGACATCGTCTTATCCCTGAGCAACCATTTTGCTCCCTTGGAGGATCCAGATGCCGACACGGCAGTCTACATGGGATACCCTCCCCAAGGTCCTGAGCAGAAAGACAGCGAGTACTTCCATATCAAGCACCACTTTGATCGTGTCTTCCTCCTTCACAGTGCCAATTTGAAGCTCATGGGCGAAGACTCCAAGTTCTACAAACTTCTCGGTCCTGTGTCTGCTCGCACTGAGCGCCGACTTCGAAAGCAGGGCTTGCTGGACATTCCAGAGGCCCAGCGAGGTTCAAAGTTCAAATACTACATTGATCTGAGGCCTGACACCCAAGATGAAGAGGCTATCATCTTGTTGACTGATTTGACTTCCACTAGCGGCGTTCTCAATTGGCATTTGGCGAGATCAAAATACCAGCTTGATCCTAAACTAGTCCTGGGTTACGATGACTTTGACTCTATACCCAAGCTGAAAATCCAGGATGATGATGCGAGCTATCACGAAAAGAAAACTGCTCACAAAGCTGCCACGACATCAAGCCTCCGCCAGGGCTCTCTTTGCGAACCTCCAGCCAGGTCACAGCCTCCTCAAGAATACTCTCAACTTCGGCACTGGTCAGCCATTGAGCGTTTACTCAATGCTATTGAAGGTCGCAACCCAAACCTAGACTCTGCTCCCAAGGTCTGGACCTTTTTTGCTCTCGCAAAGTATTTCGGCTGTGCCAAACATGAGCGTATCTCGGGCTGGATTACTTCATGGATATATCGCGAGAAGAACGAGAATTTCATTCAATGCAACCCTGAAGTCGCCTACAGAATTGGAATGGGCATCCAGTCAGCCATCCTGGTCCAAGCTGCCTTCTCAATCCTTGTCGGTGAAAGAGCTCTACTAGTCGCATACAAGGAGTTCAACCCACCTAAGGCGTCAGACGACTTGAGAAATGTCCACCAACGAAAACCGGAATCGATCGATGACGACGAAACCAACCGTATTGATCATGCTGCTTCTTCGTTGGTCCAGCGCATGCGAGAAGTAGTCCATCAACTTTGCATTTCCATGGCCTGGCTTACCGACTGCCCTGAGTACGCGAAGCTACACGATGTCGTGGCCAGAACAGAGAAAGAACAGAATACCATCAACAATGCCAAGGCCATCATTCAAGAATATGTTCGAGGAAGAATCTACTACGTCGTTTGTCAAGCACAGCTTGCTATGGATCAACTAGAAATGCATCTATGCGATGTTTCTTCCTTCCGCTCGTGCGTGGGGTGCCCGTTTGAGATCGTCTACAACACGCTCAATCAATCGATGAGGGTCTTTACCAAGACGCTATGGATGGCACTGAGTCGCACCATGTTCAATGCTGGATCCAGCAACATCGCATCTATAGGAACTCCTGGCCAACCTGGACTTACTGCGTACACCCAGGCTTTGATCGATGAATATCCCCGCGACCCTCTGAACGGCATCAAGTGTATTCGGCGCACTGAGCTGAATAATGCTATTGAGGCTGTCAACTCGATGCTACTATCCCATCGTCAAGTGGACGCGAGGATCTCTGTCCATCCCGTCGATCTCCAGAATCTCATCGCAGTGCTCGATGTCTTTGAATCATCTTCTCTCAAGCATACTACCGACATTGACATTCGAGAGGCTCAGGATCCAACATCACCGCAAAAGCGTCGCAAAACATGGGATCGTGCAGATGCGGAACCTATTCCACCAGTGTCAGTGTCGGAAGAAAGCATCGGCACAAGTACCAGTACATCTGTGAGACAAGCTCTACCGTTGCGACAGCGTCTCCAACCAGCACATCACCAGACCGGAGTGTCCACACGTCCCCAGGGTCTTTCTTCGAACGAGTCCTCACGCACCACCATTGACCACTGGTGGAATAAGAATATTGGACATGCACCGGCTCATCAGAATTCACCCCAGCCATCAGGCCAATCATCTACATTTCCAACAAACACCGACACCACTGTCCAACAGGAGCATGTGAACAACAACATCAACTCCACCAGTCCTGGTACTGGTACTGGTACTGGCACTGGTACTGGCCCTGTCTCTGGTTCCTTTCTGAATCCAACCGCCGCATCGTTCGAACACTCAGGACCTCCCAAATCTCAACGAACTTCCAAGCCGGCCCAGCCCATCGCCTTTCCCGCTGTTCCCACCTCCACTAACACCGACAAGTACATGACGACAGAAATCCTGCTCCTCCAAGTAAACCGCTACATCCACAATCTGTGCTCCAAAATCCTCCATCCCACCCATCTATTCCACGGCACAGGCGCCACGGGGATGCTCCCCACCAATCTGTTCGACAACCTGCTTTGGCTGGAAGACAACGAATGGAGATATCTCCCCCTTTGGGCTGGCGGTAACGACGACGGTACAGGTGGTGTGTACGATGATTTACCTCTTCCGATCATCGACGAGGCTACTGCACAAGCAGAGAGTTTCCGTCCAGGACGTATTCGACGAGGCTTCGATGCGCCTTCGGAATCGGACGAAGCGGGAGGATCGGATTGTTTTGAAGAGATTGAGAGTTCGCAGGCGTTGAGTACCGTTGGTCGTGCGAGTAAGAATGCGACGGATGGCACGGCCAAAACAATTGCCGATACGGTTGTGAGTTTGGGAAGTGAGAGTGGAAATGAAAGTGCAAGTGTGTCTGATTTCTCGGATACGGCGTTTGTGAGGCTCTTGCTTGATGATGTCAGTCTGAGTGATGGCCATCATGAACCAAGACATGGATATGGACATGAACGTGCAATGTCTCCGAATGTCTCAGATGATGGTCTTGACACAGAACATGAATTCGAATATGACGACGACGACGATGATGATGATGACGACAATGAAAACGTCAGTGGCAACGACAGCGACGATCAGGAAACCATTGCTGGAGGACTCGACGATGACCATGACGAAGGATTTGAGGAAGTTGATGACAATTATGGTGTCACGACAGCAGTTCCGCAGACCATTGAATCCGTCGATGTGAATATCCATATCTATGACAATGGCCGGGACGGAGACAGAGACAGTCACATTGCTCCAAATCCAATGACGGGAAACGTCTCAAACAATCCCAGGTCCATGGAAGATGATGATTTCGAAATGATTTAATTGGAGGGAAACAATACAGAGGAATTCAGAAAATGACCCGTCCCTCAATCAGAGAGTGAGACTGAAGAGATGAAAAAGTTCATACTATGAGACCAAACAACCATTGGAGACATCAAGTCGAGAACCCTGCATGACAACTTACCAAGGTAGATAAACCGTTACGGATAGCATTTCTATCATTGCAGTACAGCGACATGTACACTGTGGAGTGGTGCTGAAATAGATCAAAATCCAAGAAAAGAATAAAAAGGAATTGCACTTTACAACACGGCTTCCACTTCAATCAGTAGAAAGTACGAGTCTTGGGGGAATTGATTGCAATTACAGGGCCTTGAAACTAATCGTCTATCACGCCTCGGCCTGCGTGCGAAAAGGATGTTGTTCCGCGCTCAGATATGAACATCCCACTCCCTCCTGTCCTAACTCCCGTGCACCACGTCGGAGCCAACTGCCCTCCAAGATTTGTCGCCCAGGGATGATAGTGAGTGCATGGCAACGCATCGTTCTCTAAAGTGAAAATTACATGATACAGCATGCTTCCCATGTCGAGTCAAAAGCGAGAGAAAGTGGAGTGGTCGGGTAGGTCTTCAATCTAAGCCAGGCGCAGCCTTTGCATCGAGTTGTCGTCCTCATTTACTGATACGGGTGTCAGTACAATGCACTCAGCATATCAAGTCGACGTCGCTCACCGAGATCTCGTCCATGGCTTCGTCTCCACCGGCGGGAGCAGGGTTGGCCCCGTTGGCCGGCGCTGCCGGGGCAGCTCCGGTAGCAGAAGGGTTGTTGCCTCCCCAGTAGTCTGTCATCTCGGCGTCCAACTCTTCTGCGGTCTTCTTGGGTCGCGCGTTACGACCGCGTTTCGGCTTAGCATCCTTGCCAGCGCCTTTACCTTTGGCACCGTCCTTGGCGGTTGCTTTCTTCACATTGACGGCAGATTTTGGCTGAGCCTTGGGGTTGGCACTGGTTCTGGTCAGTGGTTCCGACTTATTGGAGCCTTTAGGTTTTGCGTACGCAACACGTTCGGCAAGTGGCTTCGGGGCAGCCGGTTGCGGAACACTGCTGGCGTCAACCACCACTTCAATCTATTCGAGGTCAGGATGGATGTCGTAAAGACAGGAATTCCGAGATGGTGCTTGCCTTCATGGGCTTCTTGTCAACAAGCATTCCGTTGAGTTCCTTGGCGGCTTTGGCAGCGGAATCTGCTTTGCCAAAGAGAATATCTGCAATACCACGGCTCTGTCCACTCTGGTTGTATTGCAATGAGACTCTCTTGACAAAGCCTACAGATTTGTTGAAGTATTCCTGTTGGTGGCATAGTGATCAGTAATCGGTTGAACAAAGGTAGTAATAGCAGCGCTGATCGACTCCACGCACGCCTCCAACGACTGGGGCAAGAAACATATCGCTCGACAGAGAAGATTCCGGATACCAGTTCATTCGAAAGGGCGCCAGTGGGATCGTGTACACAAATTACAGCAGCAGTAGCATGGCGGGATGGTCTGGGAGGTATGTCGAGTCGCGAGACAAAGTGTCTAATGTTGGCTGGTGGTAATGCATTGAGCGGTTCTCGGAATCCAATAGCATGCGCAGATGTCGCGCTGACAATCGATCAAACTCCACGTACTCTTCTGTCCCGGAAGAGGTCTGAGCGAAATGGTATGATGGACAGACATAGCATCTGTTGCTCTAGTCTTGGAATGCTGAACACCCCCCCTGCTCAACAAAATATAGTCATGTTGAAGGCGAGGGAAGGGCCGGAGCGTTGAGATCCATGCTTGAGTTGTGACTGCTTCGTTTTAGGGCGGAGAGGCCGCCGTCAGGCTGTTAGCATCACATGTGTTGGATTCCAGGTCCAGGTTCGAAATGGGCGGAAAGTTGTATCCAAGATGGGAATGACCAGTGCGCGATGCTGTGCGATGTGTGTACTGCTAAATTCACCCACTGACGCCACAATCGAGTATATGTTGAGGGAAGTGGCAGCATTCTCAGCATGCCATATCATCCTCTCGGCAGATCTGCTTCAGAGCCTTATGCGGTGGCTAGCCAAAAGGATGAGTAACGCAAGATCGTCGGCGATCTGTAATCTCGTGCAGCAAGCCGCGAATTGATCAAGCGGTTGCTAAAATGAGCATTCAGATGCCGGCCGTTGATGTAACCAGCATTTCCAGCATGGTTTGTAACATCATTGGATATCGATTCTCCTTCTTGGACATAGTCTTTCCATCTCGCAACATCATCTTCCTCGCTTGCCCCCCAGTGGCCTCGACTCTGAATTGAGCGGCGGTTGAAAGAGCGTAAACATAGCGGGTGACGACGGCAGGCGACAGGGTTCCAAGGTGGAAAGCCTTTTCATCAACATACCTTGATCTGGCTTTCGTTGACATCGTGTGGCTGTGAGAGAGTCAGTTCGTGGATCAAAGAGATGAGGTGAAAAGATGGGAGCATACCAAGCCACTGACGACGATTTTGGAATTTCGAGAAGGTTGAGTCTGACCAGCAGTTGGTTTGATGGCTGACTTGACAGGTCTTGTGGTCTTCTTGACGCCTCCAACGGGGACAGCAGCTGTCGTCTTTGGCTTGACGCCCTTGCGACGACGGGCCTCGCGCTTCGCTTTGTTACTGGTATCAATGATTGATTGAAGGGATTGATCGAGTCTGCCAGACATCTTGAAGATCGGAGGGTAGGAGGATCGGTGGAATCAAAGATGAAGAGCGCGAAGACGAAAGTAATGGGAGCTGCGGGGTGGGGTTGCTTGCAGTTTGAAAGAAAGACGTCGTAAGGCGCGAGGTCTTCAACCGTGGTTGGAAGGGCAAGGCGAAGTGGTTGAAAGAGAGATTCGAACTGAAGAAAACTGGCTGGTTGAGGACAAAGAAGTAGATGTTGATGATGAGACTGTTTGCAGACAAGGTTGAATGGGAGCGAAACAGGTGATGATGGTTGTGGTTGATGGAAGTGAAACAAAGACGCAAACGGGGCAGGTGAGGTGAAGATAGGAGCAGATCACGTATTATTAAGTAATAAGGTGATAGTAGGGAAGGCAGGCGCAGGCTGAGGCCCGGACGCAGGTGGGCAGGAACAATAATGCGGCTGGGTTGTGTTTTGAGTCACGTGGTAGTGTTTTGGAGCCGTGGCAGGCAACAACGCTGGAGCCCGATTGACAGAAAGGGTTGGGCTGGCCAAAGCAGTGCGAGGGTAATCCTAACATCTTACTAGCGCCAGATCTCCATCATGTTGGATGCTGCTTTGCTGGAGATGGATGACTGTATTTGTTCATAGATTCATGTGAGTCACGGGTGTCTTTTGCAGAAAACCGTTGAACGAGGTCATCGATAGCACGTGACCAGGGTTCTGGCGGGGTGTGGGTGGAGACTTGCCTGCGGCGCACCTGTCGTGATCAATATGCGCATGAGGGACCTGAGTACTATACACATTCTCCGTGGTTATCTATGCCAATTGCATTGATCCAAGGTATTCACGTCAATTCCCATGGTGTCAACTCAAGAATTGCAATCAGTTCAACGTCATCCATCGTATCTCGTTCAATTCATGTCGACACGGCTGACTTCACTACCACCTCATGCCAGAAATAGGGTTTAGAAGACCCAGACACACTCAACTCTTCAATGCCTCTAATCGGCCTCTCATCTGCGCCAACTCGGCTTCTCTGTCTTCTGCCTCTTCCTCTTCTTCCTCCACAGGCAAATCGGGGATCTTTTGCTCCGGTGCGCCCAGTTTCCCCTTCAGCACTTCGCTGAGCACTTTGTCCACTTCAGTTTCTGCCTCTTCATCCTCGCCTTCTAGTAGCTGATCGTCTGGAAGGACATCGCCGACCATTTCTTCGATAATGCCGGCTTTCATTAGCTCTTGGCTTAGTTCTTGCATTGTGCCGGTCAACTCCGGTAATCTAACCAGTGTGTTGACGTCTTTCATGATGCCAGTGCTAGCCTTCAGACTGCCTTCGATCTTGCGCACTGAAAAGGCCTCGTTGACTTGCATCTGTACACTCTGAAGTTGTGCCTTTGAAGTGTGTAGCCTCCCAGCTTGCTTCCTGACCCGCAGTAATTCCCGGGCATATATTCGTGTCTCATCCGCAGCTTGTTTCGCCTGAGAGGGGTTCTTTTGTGCACGTTTGGAGGAGTTGATGATGAGGGATCGTGTCTTCTGCTCAGTGACTTTGAGGTTCTGAATGTCCCGGTCTAGCCCGCGCACGTTTTTGCGTATGATGGCATCGCATTTTCGTTTCTGAAACAGAATATGTCAGTCGGCGCCAAACAACAGTCGTGTTCTGGAATGGTGTTACCTGTTCTTTGGGATCTGCTTTGAAGAAGACGGCTTTGAATGACTGCATCGCGAGAATAGGCAGTTGCCAATCAGACAGCTAGGCGAAGACAAGGTGTGGTGGTATGGAAGGGGGTCTTGGTCGACGCCAGCGCAGGCTGCAGGTAGGAACAGCGGCCGCTCTGATGAACCAAGACTACTGGACCATGGCGGGGGACCAAGGTAGGCTGATGACGCGGTCGCCGAATCGTCGTTCAAATGTCCTAGGCAAGTGCGCTACCGAAACGTATCAAAGTAGATAAGGGATGGTGTTGTAGGCGGTAATGGAGTCGTTGTCGTTTGGAGTATGGCACAGATGACAATAGAATTAGAGTGTTGTAGGGCTAGTAGTGCTGATGGCTATTCGCTTGGCTGGGCGGTGGGATGAATTGTGCCTGGCCGACTGATCAGTGAATTTGTGGGTTGATAGGGAGCTTGTAGCCTATAGGTTTAATGAGGGGGAATCCCTGTTTATGCGAATGGTGACTAAGTGTCCAAGGTTCATGTACCATGCTTGGTGGCTGTGATCGCACGAATGGGCACATGCTATACACGCTTTGATATTCCAGCTTCCGAGTTGCATGTTGAAATAATGTTCCAAATTACGAAGAATTAATGTAAGCGTGCCTGATCCTCGCTAACTTGATGCTCTGCGTCTGGATCTCATCGTGAGGTTCCTTGTGGAGGTACGTGGTACTTACCAACCTAACCTAAGTATGGTAGTCAAGACGCCTGATGTGGTAGGTGCGATTGGTGATTGTTACCGCCTGGCTAGAGGTGCTAGTGACCCTTAGTCATGGAATTTAGCTAAGTCTGGGCCCGAGGGGCCTTCGACCCCCAGGCCAGTCAACACCTCAGGCCATCCTCAAGCTTGCGCCTCTCTTAAGCTGGGGTGTTTGTTCTCAAGCTGGGTATCAGGACACCAAGACACCCCGAAACCCCGTCAATTCTGCCCTATGCTCCGTACCACCCGCCCGCCCACCAACCCACTCTGCCATTGCGCATCCTCCCAATTCTCCATACAAAACTTTTAGCTGTGGAACAAGTGCGCAGTTTCGATGTCATTCGTCGCCATTCGAACAGCCTCGTCAGGACCATCGTTACGTTGCTAAAATTCCTCAGAGTTGCACTTCAACGCACAATCCACAATCCCCTCCGCAAACACAACATCTGTTCAATTGCCATTGTCACGCCGAAAGTATTATCGACAAACCACCATCTGACCTTCCCTTAAGTCCGCCCGCTTCGTTCTGTAACGCAGGCACTTCCTACAAAGTCTTGTCCCTCGCACCTCATCCAAACCTCCAAAATTCCACCTACTGCCGCTGCCTTGTGGCAACTTTATCTCCTCTCAACTCTTCGCCAAACATCGTTTCTCAAGCTGTAATCCTCTACGGCGCATAGCCTCCGCTTAACATATCGAGATGTCTACACAAGTCACCCCCGAAGGTATGCATGTCGATCGCACTTTGGGCTCTGCCTGATCTGATGGTCTGCCGTTGAGCTCTTTCACTAACATGCTACCCCACAGTCCTTTGGGCCCAGCGCTCTTCTGCCACCGATGCTGAAAAGAACTACGTCTACCTGACCATCTCGGTTCCTGATGTTCCCGCCAAGTCCTTGAAGTTGGACCTCACACCAACTGGCCTGACCTTTACCGGAACTTCAGACAGCAAGAAATCCACATATCACCTGGACATCAAATTCTACGAGGAAATCGATGTTGAGAATTCCAAGACACACCACACTCCTGCCAACATCCAGCTCGTCCTGCGCAAGAAGGAACTCAAGGAGGAGTATTGGCCCCGCCTACTCAAGGACACCGCAAAGGTTCACTTTTTGAGAACCGACTTTGACAAGGTATGCCCCGCTCAAATTTTGCTGTCTTCCATAGGAACAATCTAACCTGTGATTCGATAGTGGGTTGACGAAGACGAACAAAATGAGGCCCCCGAAGATGACTACATGAACCAATTTGGAGGCGGTCTGGGTGAAGATGGTGGATTTGGTGGAATTGACTTCTCAAAACTTGGAGGAGGAGACGGCGCTGGAATGCCAGGTTTGGAGGGTCTAGGCGCTGCGGGCGCTGGCGCTGGTGCAGACGACGATGAGGGCTCTGATGATGACGAGGAGCTTCCGGATCTCGAAGACGATGATAAAGAGGCAGCCGATGCCAGCAAAGGCAAGGCCAAAGCCTAGAGAGTCGCAGCAGATGCCCAAGGGGTAGGGGTTGGGAGAAGAGGGAGACACATATGCACGACGTGACAATTGACTCATCTTAGCCTCTTCTCACTGAACGCGATATCATATCGCAACAAGGCAAGAGGGCTAATGACCCCCTTGCACAGACAATGCTTAAACCTCCACATACGCGCTCAAGTGTTTGGCATCCATGTGTCTTTCAAGGATACCCCCTCAATACAATCAATCAATCACTCAGTACATTGGAACAGGCAATCAAGAGTACTGACATCGACAAGCCCTTGTCTCTGCAGTCCCTTTTCGAGTATACTAGTTTTTGAGGATAGGATTGTGGACATCTGGATGAATCATTGGGCGCAACAGAAGTAACAGATATGGAAACAATTCTATCAACTGTTTTGCTAGAGTTCGTATACAATAACAGACACAATGAAACAAGTCAGGGTTGTAGGGATGTAGGGATGATCCATTCACTTGACAGAGGTAGCCTCAAGTATTGTACATACAACTTCCATGTAGGATTGTTACATTTTGTCACATTCTCAGCGTTGTCACCTCCTTCTTCTCTGTTCCCATGCACTGGTGCCTTGAAGTCCCGCAGATTCTTGTCCGGCTTCCAAGGCTCGCATTCCGCGGTCATATTCTACACTTCCGCTACTTCTTCTTTCTCGTTCCAACATGTCGTCAAATTCCTTTTGTGCCTGTGATCGTGCATACGATTTGTCGGCGTCGGATTTGGAGAAAGACCCCCCTTCGCTAGAACTTGGCATGGGTTCGCCGTACCGATCTTCTCTTGAGGACCTCGAGGAGTTCCAGCCTTGTGACTGTGATGGTGTCTCCGATGATCCTGTACTCGGCTGTGACCTGCCTCCTCTCCTTATACGATCCCAAGCACCTGGTCCGTACGATGTACCATACCGTGACGGGGTGGACATGTCAGGGTCGTTTCCGGCTGTGGGCGAGGCGTCATCGTCGAAGAAAATATCCCCACCGCTGGGCGGGCTTGAGACTCGAGGGGCCGGGGGACGTTCATATGAAGGGCTTGTACCAGTCCCCGAACCGCCCCACCGAGTACCATACTGATCGCCACTTCTATTATTTTGACGGCCCGAGTCCTGGTTGCTCTCGAATGTCGAGTTCCTGTCGAAAGACTCTGGAGTAGATTCCTGATCTGCTGAGAAACCTTGATACGAAGCCTGGCCGTACTCGTAAGAGTTTTGATCTTCGCTTTGGGCATGGTCGGACTCCTGTTTCCCACCTGGCGGTGCACCACTAGCTGATTTCCGGAGATGTGGAGTGGCGCTGTTGAGGCCTGCTTTAAGTAGAGGCTTCAGATGTTTCGTTCGATCGTCCTCATAAATACCATTAACCATTTGATAGTTAGCCACCGCGTTAAAGATCGGCCGAATGATGAAAACGCAGACCATGCTCCAGGTACTGTAGCGAGCAACTTGCCACATGCTTTGAGCTAACGACCCAGTAAGCAAGGGTATGGAGCGAGTGGGAAAAGCGTTATACGCATTCAGTGGTTTAGGGGAGCGAAAGGGAAATTTCATGTTTGCGGAGGTCCTGTAACCGATGGCGCAGGCAGTCGATACACCAGTAGCCACGCCATAGAAATTGTATACCGACCTCTTGGCGGTATGATAAACGATGCCTTCCACTTCGGTTTCCGTCAGGTCCTTCCCTGTGAACACCTCCATGCCAACCAGTGCGTCAATGGCTTTGACGCCTGAGACATATCCTCGTTTTGGGCCTCCGTAGACTATCCACCTTTTGAATCCGGTCAAAGGGAGTCTGTCGAAAGAGAGACTGTAGGAGCGAGTGGAGCCCTTGAGGTCGTAGGAGAGAAACACCCCTGACTCTTGGAGACGGACATTATATGTCGATCTTATGTTGGGTGTGTCCTTTAGAAGTGCATCTATGGACCTCTTCTGTTGGTTTTCTGTCGTGGGCCGGGCACCGGGACCTAATGAAGGGGGTATCGAAGAGGAAGGAGGGTCTTGAAGAGGCATGATGGGACATGCGCATTCAAAATGCGTTGTGCATAGCAGGACGAGGTTGAAGTTTCGTCGAGAAAGCTATCAAAGAAAGCGCGTGATGCAGATGCAGCTGACGTCGTGACTTCCCCACATTCTTTCAGTTTGTACTTAGTGTGAGTTTGCACCCACTAACCCGTTCCTCAGGCAGAAAACGGCAGGAGCACCCGGAATATCTTGTCGCCGGACTTGTCACCTCCACCAAACTTGATAATCTCAACCGCAGACAACTCTTTGATTCTTCATTCAATTTGCCGCTAGACCTACGGGTTCCCCTCCTTGGATCCCACTCACTGCTGACCCTAACGACCGTCTCGTTGGATAAAGATTTCACCGCTCTCAAACGCCTCACCCACATTCTCAACACCCCGACAGCACAAACCCCATCTCAGCGCTAAATTAATTCACCATGCCACCCAAGGCGAAGGGCAATGAGCCACCGAAGAAAAAGGCCACCGTCGATGACAAGACATTTGGCATGAAGAATAAAAAGGGTGGTAGTGCGAAAAGACAAATTGCACAACTCCAGGCTCAAGCCAAATCCAACAAAAGCCCCGAAGAAAAACGCAAAGAAGCCGAAAAGGCCCAACGAGAGAAAGAGAAGGCTGCCGCCGAGCAGGCGAAGTTGGAGGCTGCCGAATTATTCAAGCCAGTTCAAACTCAGAAAGTGCCCTTTGGTGTAGACCCCAAGACGGTTCTGTGTCAATTCTTCAAACAGGGACATTGCGACAAGGGCCGCAAGTGCAAATTCAGTCATGATCTCGACATTGTCAAGAAGACGGCCAAGAGAGACTTGTATCAAGACACTCGAGAAGCAGAACGTGAGGAAAAAGAAAAGGACAACATGGACGAGTGGGACGAAGAGAAATTGCGCAAGGTGGTGCTCAGTAAACATGGCAATCCTCGCACGACCACCGACAAAGTCTGCAAACACTTCATCGCTGCAGTCGAAGATGGGAAATACGGATGGTTCTGGACTTGCCCGAATGGAGGAGACAAGTGCATGTACCGTCATTCGCTGCCTCCTGGGTATGAAACTTGCCCCATCTTGTTTTCCGAATGTGACTAACATTCTATTTAGGTTTGTCCTCAAAACCAAAGAGCAGAGGCGTGCGGAAAAGGCCTTGATGGACAAGTCACCTTTGAACACACTGACACTCGAAGACTTTTTAGAATCTGAACGCCATAAGCTCAGCGGAACATTGACTCCTGTGACCCCGGAATCCTTTGCCAAGTGGAAGAAAGAACGTCTGGACAAGAAAGCAGCCGAGGCGCAAGCCATCAAAGCCAAGGAAGCTACAGGACGAGCCATGTTTGAAAGTGGCGATTGGAAGGATTCCGAGGACGAGAGTAGTGACGATGACGATGATGATGACGACCAAGGCGCATGGAACCTGGAGAAGATGCGTCAAGAGACCGAACGTCTCAGAGCAAAGAAGGAAGAAGAGCGATTAGCCAAGTTGGACGGCCAAGTTCCCCCAGATCCGAACGAGGACAACGAGAACGGAGACTCGGGATTGCAACAGGAGGCGAATGACGACGACGATGACAATGGCGGAGAAGGCAGCAGCGGAGGACGTTCTTGACACACTATGAATCAGCGTGAATACACCTTAGCCCAACACGCGGGATCCCCGTGTCCGAAATCACAATCCTCTCGAGCAACACACATGCCTGTCGAGAAAGACAGTTCTCGGGGGAGTTTGAGGATTTGTCCAGGGACATATGGGCACGACCGTAAAGCCGTGCATGTGTCTTGCGACGATGATTGATGAGAACAGATGCTATGATGCTCTGACACATGGTCATGATGATGGCGTTGCCTCTAACGAGGTTTAGATAGCGATGTCTTACCTCTATTGGGAGGTTGGTCGACTCCTACATACCCTCTTTCAGGATGACAACGTACTGTAACTTGAATTCCAATTGGGTCAAAAGAGGCGTAGATGACATGTTGAAGGGATGGTCTCTACTACCCAATGGCAAGGCAGTCTAGAAGTGTGACTTGATCAAGAGTATCATTTGCAATGTCAGATCGTTGTATGGCGGACGGACAAGATTGTTATATGATACGATCAAGCGTAACAGCCACAGTAGAGTCGTGCCTTCCCCGCAAAAGAAGAACTTTGAGGCGAGTGGAGCTCGGCAGGTGCCAGCTTCTCCACTTTGGACGGTAGCACCTTCCGACATACGAGTGTGCATATCTTAACATTCCTGCAACGGCCACAACGACCTTTTCCTTGCTCTCGTCTTGCCCTCCATCACCACATCTCTCGCCCAGAGCTGGTTTTTGGGAGCTCCTTTGAGACCCCGAATCATAGCTTAGCTCATTCATGTCCTGCTACTTTCTTGTTCATTGCCACAAATTCCACCAAAAATCACCTTCTCACTGGTCGGCCTACCCTCACTCGGTGAACTAAAGCAGCCTTCCAACTACACTGCAATACAATCGATCGAAAGCCTGCACCTGGATAGAGCTTCTAGTTCAGCAAGCCATCCTAAACACCATCTCTCCGCACCTCCGGAAAAATGCCAGAACGCCCTCCTCCCAATCCTGTCCCACAAAGCTCGATACCAGGTTACCGGCCCGCTCCATATTTCACGTACGTTCCCCCCCAAAAGAAACTCGTGTCAGTTGATGTAACCTCAATATCTAACAACCCCGCCCTACAGACGTGGCAATAAGTGGCTGTTAGCCAGCTTTTTCTTCATCCCCACCATTAGCTACATCTGGCTAAAGCGACTGGAAGCAAAATCGAGGCAAGAGAACAAGATCATGGAAGAGGAAGGTCGAAAGAATTGGATTCAAACTGAACGCCAGCGTCTGGCGAGTAAAGACTTGAGCGTCACCGTTGGAAGGAGTGGCGGTGGTGTATGATGTTATCCACGCAGTTGTAAAAACTATCACTCTGCCATGTCGCTGTGGACCCGAACCAATCTGCCGATATAATCTCACATCCACAACTTCTACGAGGTCGGTCATGTCAGATTGAAGTACAATATTGACCCTTCCGATGACCCTCACGAACCAAACGGACTGAGTACTGCCATGGACTTCTGACAACAGCTAGTCCGTCGCGCCCGCGCCGATACGCTCTGTAAAGTCTCTGTGTCGCAGCACCCCCTCAAGCCTGATCTTGGGAGGTACAAAGACGACGAATTCGACTCTCAATGAAGATAGCGATCACGAAACAGACCGTGACTTCTTCCCTCGGCCTCCAATACTCCAAAGTTTGTTATTGGTTGAGATGCCACTCCATATGAACCTCATCTAGCCGCCCAGCATCACGGGGGCTGTGAACTCGGAAGCGGCCCTGTTCCAGATAGCTTGGCCAAGTCGGTAGGCCGAGGATAACCCCGACGAAGCGCGATTTGACCGGAAGCCACTTGCTCTCAGGGCATCTCGCTCTTGTCTCATTATTTGCTGACACAACCACTTCCGAGAAGATGCCGGATTCCGCTGTACCACATCATCCGCCAATATGAGCCACAACATGCAGGCCAATGTCGGGCGTGGAAGGCGGTCTTCTAGGCACATTGTGCAAGGCCAACTAAGGACGGTATCAGAACGAGCCAAGCAAGGCCCATGGCAGTCCTCTGCCCTCCAAACTATGGCATTCCTTAGTTTCAAGTACTAATCTTGCCAAACATTGTTTACCTATCGACATACCCATACGGGTATTCTCTACTCTGCTCATCACAACATCAATTACTCAAATATTCTCCACGTCACCCTCTGCGTTCTCCTCGTAATCACTCACGACCACAATCACCCACATTCCGAGAAGAAGGACCGACCAGCAGAGCTCACCATTTTCACATCTCGTACCTTCATAATTACAAATCTGCCATCATCACTGCCGTCGGCATCATTCAAAGGACCGTAAAGAATCAAAAGTAGGAAAGCTCAGTGTCGGAGCTTTGACAGCATGAGACCGGGCTGCGCGTCGGACTCTTGCGAGCCTAGGTTGATGTATTCAAATCTAGATTGATCCTTTTACCTCTTTTCACACCCAATTGTCCTTCCTTTCTCCCTCCTCTCCTTTCCTTACATCCTGTCTGTTAGTGACATTTCTGTTTCCCACTTTCCAGGCTCGAAAGTAGGTTCCGATCCAGACTCGGGCCTTGTTTGTTGAACAGGTCGCCGCAGCACAAATCGTAGCACCCCAAGTGAACTCATATTGTCGAATGCCCAGCATCTTGTATTCAACGATTAGCCACTCAATTGATCTCGACGCCTCGACCCATGTTCATCGCTGAGGCCAGGCTCTCATAAGGGCCGACATTGCCATCAGGTACTCTGGGGCTCATCGCTGCGTTGTCATCTCCCCTCCTGGCGCTGCTGCGTCCAACGCCCGGTGTTCCCGCCGTAAGACTCTCGTAGGGCTGAGGATGGCCATCACCGATTCTCGGACTCATGGCTTGATTGTCATCATACCTTCGTCCACGGCTTGGACTGCGGGCGCGGCCGAAATTGCGCAGTTTGGAAAATAGCTGCGACGTAGCGTTGCTGGAGTTTGCGCCGCTGGCTGCGTTGTTGGCGCCGAGACTGGCCTCGTTGCCACTTCGGGCCCGGCGATGAGCGCCGAGCAACGGTGCTGATGCCAACGCTGCACTCGGCAGAGGGTCCGCGAACGTGGCTTGAGCAGGTATCGCCGACATGGGGAGCGGCACGTTCTCGGCATCCGGGTTGTTGTCATAATGGCGAAGGGTCGACAAAGGGGCTGGAGGAGAGAAGGCTAACGGTTTTGCAGAGTGTGGCGGAGGTGGCGGAGGCGGCGGCGGTGGTGGTGGTGGAGGAGGAGGGACGGGCGGCATGGCCAAATGTTGCAACTCGGGGAGGATGGGCGGATGATGCTGAGGAGGTGAACTGGCATAGACAATTTCAGGGGAGGACATGGTTTCGTTGAGACTGGCGGTGCCGACACTGATGTGCGACAGTTCACGTGAGTGCTCCCCTGGGTTTGGTGACTTGCGTGTCGCGCGATCGCGAGATGTTGTTCGTGTCCTTGATGATGCTCGCCCCTCGGGGCCTTTACTGTTCGAGCGACTTCCAGCGATACGTGTGTCGTAGGCTGGGTGTTTCGGGATTGACGAGAGGAAGTCCATGGATGGAGGAGCCCGTGCCGAACCCGGTCGAGAAATGCTGCTATTTGTGGTTTCCGTTTCGTCACCTCGAGTTGGGGGCCGGTAGACTTCACTGGTCAGAAACTCTGTGCCTTGAGGCTTCGCAATAGGAGTTTCATCTGCAAGATGGTATCCTCCAGAGGTCGGGGTTGGGCTCCCCAGAACCCCAAAGTTCGCCATATTAGTGATCAACGATGGAACCGCTTGCCTGCTGGGCACCGGATCGTCATCGCTAGATGCTGGTACCATCGGCGGGATGTTACTGGTTGAATGTGATTTTACATGCGATGTCACGTCCCCAGGATGCGGGATGCTTGGAACAGAAGGTCGTCGAGTCAAGGATCTGCGACGGGCTTCTAGCCTTTCCGCTGCAGCCTCTTTTCGCATTCTGCTGCTCCCCTGAGGCTGGCTGGCAGGGCGAAATTCGTCGAAGTTCTCTGGAAACTTCTCCTCAGGATCGTCAGGGTGAGCGCTATAGGCTGCGTCACTAGGCCGCCGGCGTCCCTTGGATTTCTCGCTCCTGGTTGGCTGGGATATAACGGCAGACTCTTCGGCCTGTCGGCTTCGAGAACGAGCGCGGCGCCGCCGTCGATCAGGAGAAGAATCTCTCACAGCACTTGTGCTTCGATGAGTGTGGCGGCTAGAACTTCGCGGGAAAAGGTGACGGTCTTGGGATACGAGGCGTAGGGCTGAACCCTTGTCGAAGCGGCTCTGCCGATCCTCTTCGGACGGAATCATTGGGCGTGGAGAGGAGGGCGATCGATGTCCGCTCTTCTCTTTGTGCGTCGAACTCCTTCCCCTCGGCGAGTAGAGGCCGTTCCCACCTTCAGGGCTCTGCTGTCTGCTGCCATTGCGACTTCCAGCTTTGGTTCTTGTGCCTAGCGTGCCAGACTTGGACCTCTGACGACTCTGCTTCGATGACTTGGCTGCTGAATGCGAGCCTCGTCGACCTGAACTAGACATGGCGGCTGGGGTATCTGACCGGTCAACCCCTGAGAGATTGGAGCTGGTGTATGTATAATCGATGCTTTCTACACTGGTACCGTACAAATGGAGATCCTCTGGCGACATTGGTACCGGCGAGGAAGGTGATCGCTTCCCAGCAGGAATGGTGCGACGCGGTTCGTCCGGTGGGTCAACGCTGTGGGTCACACGCTTCTTTCGCTCGGAAGTATCGTCTTTGGACTGCCTGCTCGTGTTGCTGAATCCACGAGCTCGCGGGTGGTTCGAAAAGAGGTGTGCTTGATCCAGACTGCTAATGTATTGGTCCCGACCTCGGGCTGTGAGCATGGGACTTTTGGCGCTTTGAAAGCTTCTCCCGGTCGTCGGCGGGCTTGTCATGCTGGCTGTTGTGTCGAGCAACGATCCGGTCGTCCCCGGCCTGCTGATGGGATCGCCGTAGCTCGTAGAAGGAAGATATTCCTCGGACTGATTGACTCCGACCGATGCAGTTTGGATGGACAGACCGCCAGGTCTCTTACTTCTGGCTGTTGACTTTGAATGGGAGTGCTCCAGACCATCATCTTGAATATTGTCTTTCGTGGCGGGGAATCTCAGTATGGTCGATGGCCCGACTGCTGTTTGAGGCGTTTCCTTTACAGGAGTCTGTAATGGCTCATAACGTGCCGATGTTAGGACCGTGAGCCCTTGTCTGCCTCTCGCCAATGTCTCTTGTGCCAGCGAACTATCAGTCTTTTTGCTCGATGTCAGCATCTCAACGGGAACCGAGGCAGATCTGAGCGGCACGGAGTCCGGAAATTGTGGACTTTCGACATCAAGTGGCGTTTCTCCGATAGCTGGCAGCCTATTTGGCAGGAAAGCACTGGGGTTGGTCGGTTTTGCTGAAAGTGCACTATTGATGCTACGAATATTGTTGAGACGATAAGATCCCAAACCACCGGGCGACAGGGCAGAGCCACCCACTGCAGATTCGGCGATAGGTGTGACAGCCGCCGCGACGGTCGGGGTACGATCTTGAGGCTTGAGACCGGGAAATTTGAACTGTACATTGGATTGTGTTCCGAACGAAGTAATGAGTTTCAGAGCAGAGGTCTGAGGTGTGATGCGCGTCCCCTTAGCGGCAGCGTTTCTGAAAGGGGTCGGTGGAACTGGCATGGCATGTGCATGCGGCGGCGGCATTGCTACAGGGGTGGGAGCGTCCAGTGTGCGGCGTCTCTCCAGAGTCTTGATATAAATGGCAGGTAGTTCAGTGGGTTCCAGGGGTTGCACCTTGTGAACAGGCTCCTGAGGCATGACGGGAGGAGAGACAACCTCCAATATGGTGCCTGTTGCCTTTTGAGCCTGGGGTGATGTCCATGGATCCGAGGGCTCGACACCAGTGCAAGAAAAGCACCGAATCGCAAGTGACTGCTGAGAGTTTTCGACCACGTACTCGCCCCATTTCCGTACGAGGAAAGATTGTCGCTGCCAATCATCGGGAGACAGAAGACAGGTGAGGAGTACGGCTTCCATATACTGACTTCTTGACACATAGACCTCGATTGCATCACTTGTATCCCCCAGAGCAAGCATCAGTGTGGCGGCAGCATGGATTTCCCCCTTGGTTAGCAGCTTCTCGACGAAAACCTGGACGATCTTATTGGAATTCACATGATTGCTGATTGTACCGAGGGCTAGCAACATCCAGTCGAATTGTGAATTATTGCCCATTGAGCCAAGGACTTCAGCGAGTCGGTCGGAGTCCTGTGTGAGCCATCTTGAAAGCAGTACTGCGTTTTGACTGTCTGGAGGGTGGTTTTGATATTCATGCAAGATCAGTTCATCGATGTCGCCATCCCAACCGAAAACAACGTTCAGCATCTGCAAGCGCAAATCATCGGGAGTCATGTGCACATCGTCTTGAGCACGCGGCGGTTTGTAGGTAACATGGTGCAGTCGTGCTCGGGTGTGGGGGAATAGGTCCACAAACTGCTCCGGTTGTTCTTCAGGTGTCATCACAACCTCCTGCCTCAGACGAGAAGCCTTGCGTGTCGTTCGGCCTCCGATTGGTGACTGTGGTTGATATTGTTGTGGGACCTGTGCCTGTGGAATGTATGTCTGATGCGACTGTATGCCAGTGTCGAATGAAGTCGTGGTATATTCGGTTCGACCTGCGGGTGATGCGACGTCATGGGCAGCTTTCATGGCAGAACTCTGTGGAGTGGTGGCCGAGTCAGGAGTGGGAAAAGTATTATTACCCCCTCTCATGGCCTCGTTGGTGCGTAGGTCTCTTCTCGCACGCGCGAGTGGAGATGCTACTTCTTCTTCACTCTCTGATGTTGTCGTCCACAGTTGCCTCGAATCTTCTGGCGGCGTTGGAGGGATCGTGAGGGGCATATGACGCACATTTTGAACCATCTGGGACCTTTCGACATCATATTGTTGGACAGTGTAGTCAGGGCCCAAGGTAAAAAGTGTGCCAGTGGGCCCATGGGCAGTCACACCTCGAACGCCATCGATTGTAGGGACAGGCTCATACGTGACGTGCTTGGTTCGGACATCCCAGGCCCAGGTCTTTCCCTCTGAAAATTGAAGGATGCGACCATTCTTGGACCAAGAGATCCAATTACGACCCAGTGCGTAGGTGTCGGAGCGTTTCAAAACACGAATCACTCGCGGGGCTTCCGCGGTCGGAGGTTTAGACACACTCCAGACTCTCAAGTCACCATCTGCTGTTTGGGTTGCAAGCATGTCGGATTTTTGCTTTGAGGAAGACGCGTGCCATGTCAGCGAAACAATTGGTGAGGGTGCTCGTGATGTGGTCAGCGTATGAAGAATGGTGAAGGACGGTTGCAACGCTGCAAGCAATATAGAGCCATTGTTGTATCTGTCCAATACTCAGCAACGAAGGGTTTCTATTTTGATGAATATGGCTTACCCGATAGCATATGTTTTACAGTCGTAGGAGGGCGCAATAGCAGTTATGGGATCGAAAATGGTTCGAGCGGATATATGCTCGCTCGATGACGGTTCAAAGAGGATAACCTCGCCTTTTGCGTTTCCTGTATGGTGTCAGTGCGGGTGCTGGGAGTAGACTGGTTCAACATACCAAATGCAATATTTCCATTTCTCATCCAATGCGCCACGCGAAGAGACTCATACGAAACAAACCTCGACAGTTGTTCTCCAGTAAACAAATCCCAGATGATGGCGGTTTGCCCAATGTCATAGGTCACGACCAGTCGACCAGCCCCCGTCTCGCTGACATTGTCGGCAGAGATCAAAATGACGTCCTTGGAGTGCTTTTGAAATCGTCTTTCAACGGCCAGGGAATGATGTTGAAGGCAGACCACGGTAGAACCCTGCGCATACAAGACCAAGGAAGCGGTGCAGGCCAATGGTTCAAAGGTCGAGTCTTCGAGAGGTTGTCTTGCGCGTGGGTTCGAAGGCAGGCTGATTCCTTTGGCCTTGCTTGAGACAGAACGCTGCCGGGAAATGCCGACAGCGGCCGACATATTGAGGACAAGCTATGCAGTGATCTCGACGAGTATATCGGTCGAGCAACGACTTTGGACAGCGTCCGGGCCAGCAGTTGCAGCGTGTGTGTCTATTACTCGCCGTGGGTATCGATCATGTTACCCGCGATGTCCAAATATGATCGAGGTCGTTGGATACAGGACTTAGGTAGGAGTCGCTGGTTAGTGAGGTCAGAGTGAATGAACAGTAGCGACTGAGGGATATGGCAAAGGGGAAAAGCAGCGAAGCGCCTGAGTAGCCGCGGAGAGGTCTCCCTGCAGCGAGTATGGTAGGCTCAGTGAGGTTCGCAAACGCCGGGTCAGGAGAGATTGATGTTTGTATCGGCGATCGGAGCAAAGAGACAACAAGTCATGCAGACAACGACTGAAGAATATGCAGCGGGCAACGCCTGCACCAGCGATATAGAGCAACGAAACAAAAGCAGTGAAACAAGTATAACCTGAGTTGACAAGTCTTTGACGGTGACCCAAGGCAATAGATCGGTCCACTCAGACTGTATTGAGGCGCAGGGAGAGGCAAAGATGCGCAAAGCACCGAGGAGAGGGATTGCTGAGATGGGCGTCATCTCTGGTTGTGCCAACGGGAGGATGGAAACACATTTGCAGGGCTCGACTGGCGGGCGGCGCTTGATTGCAGCCCCGCAAAAGGCCAGGTAGGTGAGCAGGCATTTGATTTCAGAGGTCGGCAGAATCATGGCGACGACCATCTTGTGGCATCTGCAAGAGGATTGTGTGTAGAAGACATCTGTATGGTGGAGGTTGGACGTACGATGGATGAATCGAGGATAAGTCGAAGTCGAGTGGAGGTTGAAGGCAGGCACAAAGCTTGGAAGGTACAGGCATGGGCGCTTACAAGAGCTCGGAAGCTTCCCTGTCACACAGCAGGACATTAGACCCCGACCAATTAGAAGCCCATTCTAGGCTTTGACTGACCTCTATCACAAGCGGGATGCTTAGGCGGTGGGCCAGACCGGGGGGCAGAATAGGCTTGGCCAAAATTTCAGGCTCTCATGGCGGTCCAACCGTTGCACCTCAAGCCTAATGGCACTCATGGCACGGTGACTCCGTTCACCGACCTCTCGTCTCTCGACAGGTGAGACAACGTCTCTGATTTCTAGAACAATCATCAGCGCCTACGCATGACAAGGTCATCAGGAGTTAAAAAAAAGGAAGGGATATGAATGCCCAATTGACGCTGGTGCAGGTGTTGAAGAACGTTGTTGGTAGGTAGGGTTTAACCACAGTAAGTACCTAGGGACGGGAGCAGATGGAGCAGATACGGGCTTTCATAGGCCCTGATCCCTGGTTCCTTAGCCCGAGGGGCCCATTTTGCCTATCATCGCTTCGCTTAGGCTTCCGGCGGGACTACATACCATCTCTGGCATCTACAGGCAAGAATGTTCAGTTCAAACATTGTCACTGCATCTCCCTAGGACATGATATAAATTGAAAAATTATGCTATGTAATGGTCGAAATGATAGTCTAAAACATACCCACTTACGCATACTATCAATCATCTTCAGGGAGTTAAGTGTAGACCAAGTTCAAGGACTGAAGTTTGAAGGCTGTTCTATTTATGCCACAGGGTTCAACATCAAGTCCCGCCCAAGATCGACTTTACTTAAGTCCGGGGCGAACCTTCTCCCGTTATGCAAATCAAAGGGTTCATTGGCTGTAGGTACAAATATAGAGTTCGACAACATCAAGCGAGAGTACTTATCGTCCAGGTATTGACGCACGTAGGGTCCTCGTAGAATTGATAACTGGAGGTGATGCAGCATTGATATGTTGGTCTGGGGCTAGGGCCGGACTGGGGCTGGGGGGCACTCCCGACTGCGAGGGGCCGAGGGGGCACCATTGGCACTCATGCTGCGTAGAAAAGATCGGGCCCATAGGGCCGGGGGCCACCGTCCTTGCGTCTGGCTGGCCATGCGTTAGGTACCTAGGTACCTACCCACCTAAACACACTACCCACCGCTTCCTGACCTAGGTACCTAGGGAATATCCATCGAGACTTGGGACGACAATACCACACCACGTTGTGCAAATTTCGATCACGGTCTGACTGTTGACAGCTATATACCGTCACACTTGATAGCCACGTTCGTTGGTTCGAACGTGCCAGGCGTGCTTCCACGCGATCAAAGGCGAGGAGGGGAGTAAAAATAGTTGCAGAAGTCATGCAGCCTGTTCTCTCCGGCCCCATACTGCATACATCACATCCCCAACCAGGTTGCCCGCAGTCTTTCGTCCCATCAGCCGCTTGACTGGGGAATTACGCGCCGACGCTAACACTAGAGATTGCCATCACGGTCCAATGAGATGACTTCAGAACCACCACAATGCGATGGGATTGCGATTTTTCGACGATTCGAGGCGAAAATCCCCAGCCTAATTAATCACCGCCATCCGGGAAAACCCTCATGGGATATTATGCTCGGGAAATTCTTCAGGTGATGAATGCAGTCGGACATATTGGCACGAGCTAGTACTTGAATTGATTAAGTCCATTGTTGAAGTCCTGTCATCCAGTTGCATGATACCTCGAGACGCGATGGTACCCTACGGAGCCGCATCCAATTCAGAGTCCAACGCTTGGACATCACAACTAAACATGAGCCTCATAGAAGTCCATCGTATCTACATCCTTACCTAGGCTGCATTGTAATTAGTGTCTTGCAAAATGACACAGTCTTGACAATTTCTCGACACACGTGTAGGACGACCCGCTGCATGCACCTTGTCCCTTCTGCAGACACTTTCAAATTGTGAGACTTGCATTTATCTTGTGGGACGTCCTCCCGGATTACAGGGGAGATGTCCTCCGAATGTCCTCCGAGAGTCCAACTCTGCCCTGTTCCAGACGGCTTCCATCTTTGCCGACATCTCACAGGAGAAAAGGAAATCCGCAAACGGGCTAGCCATGCAGCTCACATTCAGCACTGGGGGTTCTCCGCATGATGAGTATTTGTACCCAAAGGAAAAGACGCAGGCCATGTCCAATAGGTCCATGTGCCCAAGCAGACCGTGGAAACCTCATGTAGTGAGTGAGGCTTCGTAAAGCCAAAGGACACCGTATTGAAGCGATCGGCCCCGGCTGTGTTGATGTATCCGCGCGGCAATGAGACTTGGTGTGGTCCATGTGTGGCTATTTTCAGCAAAGGTAGGGTTGGGGTTGGGACAACTTGAGGCTCTGCGACCTGCCAAGCGGCCTATTTACAGTAGATGATGTTGGTGAGGCTGTGGCTATGATATTTATTAGCCTTCTGACCATATTGAACACCCAAATGTGTACGTGGTGAACGCATAGCTCTATGTATAACGTAGCTGAGATCTGAAGTCATGAGTGTTTCGTCTCGTCCCGTTGAATGTGGCTTTGTTGTTTCATGAACCCAAACCTGAAACAGTTCTTCCTCCGAAGACCTTCACAGCAACTTCAAGTGTGCTTGACTGTCATGGCGGGCGGGGTTGAGATGAAGAATCGAGAATACTATGGATCAACCAACAATGTCAGAACTCTCCCCATGTAAAGATCATACCTCATCACATCATGACCCAGAGAGTTTGGTGCATCACAAGATAACCTCAAAGTAAGCGTTGTAGAGGCAGTAAGTTGGTGCTTGTTGAGGTGTAGAGTTCCCGTCAAAGAAATCTTGAGCCTGCGGATCGAGCCTCCCAAATGCTTGGCATCAACCCCTGATTCGCGTCAAAGTCGCTTCAGCTAATCTCAAATCTCGTTTCCGCGCTTTTCAACAACCTCCACCCACGCCCACCAAATCTTGGACCACGCATGGGCTTGAACAGTAGTCATTCATTTTTGGCAGCTCGAGGAGACTGCGCCTTCAGTTGACTGGTCAAAGACCAGCAACAATGTGGACACTCCAGCCTAGAGACCCATCGGTCGACTCCAAGACCCCTACCTTCGAGGCTTGATCTTAACTTGGCAGATGGGGTCAACAACTACAAATATGTCGACGCGGTGCCATTATTTGTGCACATGGTGTTCTGATAGAGACTTGTTGCACTCCGAACACCCTCCCAAACGACCCTTTCTCCTTCCCTAGGACAGCATTCATCCGACAAGATGCAATACTACTCTGTGGTTGTCGTCGCCGCGCTGGCCGCGCTTGGATCGACTCAGAGTGCTCCAGACTTCCCAATTGATGTTACCAGTTCTTTGCGTGTCAACTATGAGAATGGACCCACCCTTGGGAACAATCCTGGCGTTATGCTGACGCGAGAAGGTAAGACCCTGTCTCATCGTCCGCCGTCAAGCCTGTGAAACTAACACAATTTCAAGATACATTGGATGCGCCGACTGGGTTGGGCCCAAGAGGGACGACAAGGCAGGGCACATACGTTTTAATCATGGTCGACCAAGATGTACAGCTAGAAGAGGGTGCCGACCGAGTACAGCTTCTGCATTATCTACAGCCAAATCTCTTTGGATCCGAAATCCTGTTCTACGATGAGTCAGCGCCGAACGCGACGACAGCTACCGGAGCCCCCTACATTGCCCCCAACCCTCCAGCAGGTGATATTGCCCACAAATACACCTTTCTCATGTATCGACAACCTGTTGGATTCGAGATTCCATCCGAGTTTGCCTCCATCAACCCCCCTGCCACTGTGAATGACAGAATTGGATTCGATGTTGAGGCCTTTGTCCGAGCTGCCGGGCTTGTCGATATCATTGGCGCAACATGGTTCCAAGTTCAGAACAATGCAACCGACGACTCTTCCAGCAGCAGCGGCGGCAGCAGCTCCACGACAGAGTCGTCAGCATCCACAACTACAGAGTCGGATTCAGGCTCCCAAACCTCAGCCGCCGAAAGCACCAGCACTATTGCAACCGCTACAGCAACTACAAGCGGAGACTCGTCGAGTACGGGCACCGGTGCCGGTTCAACAGCCAGTGCAACTGCCAGTGCAACTGGGACAAATGACAATGCGGCCGGTATGGTCACAGCGAGTGGCAGTCTATCTCAAATGGCTAGTGCCATCATCTTGGCAGCTTTTGGAATGTGGTTCCTGTAAGGGAAACATCCTACTTGGATTGAAGGGAACTCAAGTTGCCATGTCTAATGTAACAAAACAAAATATGGAATATATCATATGGACCTCAGCATCTAGGAAGGCTGTTTTAGGGTCGGCCAAATAATTGCAGATTTTCCATGTCCGAATACCGTCCTCCGCATCTTCCGTCCAGAGTGACTCCCACAACACCTCCCAAATGACAACACCCTATCGTGAGGTCAGAATGAGCCATCGCCGATTTCACATGCCCACAAAGACCGAGGTACTTTCTGGCTAGCCATTTCAAATCACATGGCTAGAAGACTCGGGCAACGAAGCTGAATCTTCGTCAAGTTCAAGCTGAGAACAAGCGTTTGAGTTACCTTGGGCAGGATGGGCAATGGTCGGCAATTTGATCCTTTCGAGTCATTTCAGGACTGACAAAGCTGGAGCTGCGAAGGTCAGATGATGTCGAGATGAAGTCTTTCGGGCGCTACCGCCCATGGACACATCGTGGCAAGGAACGAGGTCAGTAAGGCAAACCTTCTAGGCAAACAGACAACCCAGCAAGAAATCTTTTGATATCAAATCAATCGATCAGGCCAACCGCATCAAATTATTAAATACCTTGGAACGAGGCGGGGGTGAGGCGAGCTGAGGCGAGTCATGGCGAAAGAGAACCAAGGAAGACGTTGCAGTAGTGACGCAAGACTTTTACTTACCTGCAACAGCCCCAATCACTTCCCTCTCAAACAAACACAGTGTTTGTTCACATGATACACCGTTTAGGCCTTACAACAACGGCTGACTCTCACATGTTGCTGCCCAATGGCCGTGACTCGAAATTTAGAAACCGTCCTCACAAATGGGCATATGAAGCATGTGTTTTTCAAGGAAATGGTCAAGGTCCGTGTGATCTCCTCGGTAGGCAGTCATTGTGACACACATCACAGTGCCTCATGTACAGTATGTACGTGAGCTGTTCAGAGATCCACTTCTAATCCTCCTGATCACACAACCCGCATGTGAATGGATTGTCAGAAAAGCCCGTAAGGCGGACCGTTCCAGCCTCGATCGCGCATCTACGGGCATAGGCGACGGATGACCCTCATCACGTCACGTAGGCTATGCGTCGGGTAGGTAGCCACGCAGCCTGACGCTTTGCTTTCGTTTAACCTGAAAATCCCAGGCGACCAATTACTCGTTGTTATATCTACAAATCATGCCTCGTTAAGGTGGTCTGGTCTGTACACTGCTCCGTGGGGAAAAGTAGGCAGAAAAGTACTCTGCATCTACAACTGAGCAAATGTACCCAATCATCACGTGCTAATAAGTCGAGACCTGTGGCAGTGCGCAGATGTGGCAATTTTATTGTGGCGATGTTAATGTGGTATGCGACTGTGGCGGTGCAACAATTCTCTGTGCCACTGTCCGGTCCACGTGATTGAACCCCAGGTCAACATCTCCGCCTCACTTCGCTTTTAGCCGAGCAAAGTAGGCCGAGGTACGGTACACGGTATACGGGTACCTAAGGTATGTTCGGTCCGTAGGTAGGCACTCATCATGTTGCGAAGTTTAGTTGATGGCTTCACTCGTACAGTACCTCCGCATCCACGGCTTACACGGCATCTTGACCGGGCCTCTTTCGGACCTCTAGTGATGGTGACCAGGGAATCACCGAGTAAACAAAACAAGACACATTCTATTGATCGAAACACCCGATATTGTCTTTAATGGTCCCATCCACTAGACAACTACTATTGCTTCGAACGGGGCCGTGAACGGATACTGGACCCAACCACCTTGAATCCGGGCGCCACACAAGAGCACAAGGTGAAAATGTGCTTCGCGATGTGCATGAACAGTGCATTATTCCATAGCCGTGGATATCGTGTCGGAGTCGGAGAAGAGAATGGTTGGTGCCCAAACAATGACAGACGCACCCCAGGATTGCTTACGGTGTCGTGGGTATGTACAGCAAAGGGCTCCTGCATTCAAACTCTATTTGCATCACATTCTACATTCCCACCCACACTCATACAAACACGCGACGCCGACCGAGTCCGACTGATTCCTTCTGAACTTGATCGATGCTACTGCAAACGAGTCATGGTGCCCAAGCCTCGAAGGTTTCGCATCCCTTGTAAGGCAGATGACACTCCTGGAAAGGGAGTCTTACTTACAAGGGAGGGCATGCCACAGGCAGACAGGTACCTAATTCCCGTCGTCGGAGATAGATTTGTTCCCACCCTTGGAAATTCGCATCCTGTACAGCACAACAATTATTGTTGTAGGTACCTAATAGAAGGCCCAACTCGGATCCGGATCGAGCACCCTGACCTTGACCGGAAAGGCAGCAAGCTACTAAGAGAAGGCCGGAAAGTGAGGCGGGGTAAAAAGGTTGCTCAAGGTAAAAAGGTATGGATTGTCTGCCGCTTGCATGCGATTTGCTAGGTTACGGCTTGATTTCCAGTAGGGTTTTCGGAATAAGGTCTTCCACTGAGACCGTTTCTTGAGCTCTGTCTGAGCTTTCTCCTCTCAGCTCTCCTCTCTCAGCGCTTTCGGAGCCGTGGCCGAACAAGAGTTGCCCGCACGCCCGCTTTTACCCCGTAGTAGCCCCCATCTTCTTCCGACCCTGACCCTGGAGCTCCACATGTTCCACACTTTTCGGCGCGAGCCAGTGAATCAACGAATCAGAGGGATGGAAATGGTCAAGGGTCTAGTGAGGGTTGTTTTCGTGGCCTTGCGACGAGAGGTGACCTAAACCTATCATGATATTGATGTTCACGGGTGCGGTGAAAGTTTATGTTGCTGTATTGACCAGAAGGGCTCCTTTGTTCTGGAGAAATGATGATCTCCGGAAAGCTAAGCTGTCGAGCGGGTGAACTGGTGAACTACTGGTGAAGATGGAAGAATCCGGGGAACAAGATGCGCTAAGTAGAGGATGAGAGTTTCATGTTGAGTATACTTTGATTTATCCCATAATACGAAAAGCAAACAGGATGCAAGACCTCAGGCGGCTACAGTACAGTAGAGTAGATCCTAGCGCTGATCCAATACCGTGGACACGAAAAGAATCAAGCACAATGATTTGTTGGTGCGTTTAGATATTTGTTGAAGTGGATTCCGACCATGGCCGCGTATTACTCCTTAGTGTATGCATTTCGGTCAACATTATCCTACAGTGATGGAAATGAAAGAATCCAAGATGTTGGGGGTTTGTGAACGCCGTAACAACAGGAACCTCGAGATACGATGAAAAGGGTGGTGGACATAATTCAATCATTGGATCATTCCATCCATCCATCTCTCGTAGACCATCAAACCAAGAAACATTCGCGAGTCGCGGCTCGGCCACGTTGTAATCATCATCTGATTGTTGCAGCTTACTCAGAGCGATGTGCTGATTAACCGCCCATGCCATGGAATGGATGGTCGCCCCCATGTTGACCCCCATGATGATGTTACATGCCAATGATCGGCAGAGTACATAAGAACTGTATATCCAAGCATAGGTCACACACCTCATTCAGTAATGAAGAAAGAGGATGGATGGATGGTTCTTGGTGATTCTGATTGATGACCAACACCAACACCAACGCCCAACCACTGAGCTTCCAATTTTGCCGGTCATGTCATGGTGGCCGTGCGGCATACATGGCGGCAAACACCAAAAAATGACCACAGGAATTGACAAATAGACAAATGCTACCTGGACTTGATCCTTGGATCTTGGAAGTTGGAAGTTGGAAGTTGGACCTTGGGTGTAGAATGGGATTAATTTGATTTCCTCCCCTTGCAGCACGGCATGGTGGCATCATTAATGGATGGTAATTGTACTTGGTGGCAGCGATGGCAGAGGTGGTAGCATTTAGTGGTAATTGTTGCGAATTCCTACCTTGGTAAGGTCTCATCTTGGACATTCCATCCCAATTCCAACCCTGGATGTCGGTGTCTCTCCCTGCGTCTCCGTCCTTGAGATGGCACGTCTGTGTTCAGGAATGAATAGGTAGCTTAGCTATGCGTACCAGTCGGTCAGTCTCTGTCAGTTAGGTAACCCCCTCGACTCCGGCATCTCGAAGCCAAGGGATGAACCGTTCTTGTACCGGTTAATAAGAACTCTAAATCGAAACCCCCAGTTCGTAACAGTTAGATAGACTTCTGACCTTATTAGCCATTATTGGGGGCGGGTGCCCCGGGCGAAAAGAATCCCCAGAGAAATGTACCGTAGAGACTTACCGTGCCGACGACTACCTACCATACCTTAGGCAGGTTATGCCTCCGTAACGTGGGCCCCTAGGGCGCCTTCGTATAACCCCGCGACCCCGGCGGCGCCCCGAAGATCTGCCCTTGTAGCCCCGACCATCTACCCCGAAGATCTGCCTTGTGTTTGGCTCAGAAATGAATTACCCAGAGATCTCTGCCGGCACGCTCTGTGTTGTGCCGTTTGCGACTCTCCGAGTTCAACGGGGATAAGTCGGATTGGGTAGAACGAAGTATGTAGTTTTAGAGTCCAGTATGAGAACGGAGGTCCAAGCGTCTGTATGTCCACGCATACGAGATGCATGCGAGAATGGCATACGCCCCCCGTGTATCCTGTGCGCCTCGTAAATTGACGACCGAGACATCTGGTTGATTTTCTGGAGCACTGCCTATCCCAAGGCACCAAGGTACCATGGTACTCACAGAATGCTGGCCGAGGACCTCGGTGATCTATCGCCGTTATCGTTATCATAGCCATAGCCTATTCCCGTAAGGAGTTTCACCACAAAGTACTCCGTACAGGACCTCCAAGGGCTTTGAGGGTCACAGAATGGAAAGATCCCACATCGCTTAAAAGATCTCGAACACGGGGCAGTGGCGGGCGTCGACTTCCGTTCGTCGCGAGCCTTTCCTTCGACATCTGGAAACAGTGGCTACATTGGACTGCCGGGTTGTGGGCACTGTACAGGCGACTAAAAAAGATCCGCGGCTGGCTAAACAGAGATCCGCGGGTAGTGCAGCCTGCGAGTACTACGGTTGGAATAGTCAAGGAGAGGCGACGACCATACCATCGGACTACGGAACTGTCCCTCGTGCGTATGCGTAGGCTTGATTGTCCGGGTACAACGAGCACCGCAGGTACATCCCCAGGGGTAGACAGGGCTTCTAGTTGCCGAACATGGTTCTTCTTGCTATCAAGCGAGATTGAATGGGCAGCAGTTGTTGATCGCAACAATACATAGCAATATCCACTTTTGGACACCTTCTCTATGCACTCCTTTGATGATTGGGTACCAAATGAAAGTCGACATCGACCTCGACATCCCTAAGCAAGCGCAATTTGATCGTTCAGGGTTGGGCCTGGAACCGGATGTGATGATTGTTTTGCATGTCCACAGTGACTTGGGCAACCACGGCAACATAGCACATGGCTAGACAGGCAGACAGGGTGACAGGACAGAGAATAGACGTGAAAGTCGGGGTGAAGGACCCTCCAGGTGTCTACGGAGTATTCCATTATTACATATTGCCTCCAGACCGCCCCAGACCAAGTGGGGGACGGGGAGATACCAGCGTCGCAGGCAAAAGCACTACTACCGGGGAAGTACCGGTACCCACGCTGTTGGTCCAGGCCCTTGAACGGTTTATTAACCGTAGTGGCAGAGTGACAAAGTGGATAATAAGAAATGGTGGAATTTGGGGGCGTGCTTCTCTCAGGAGTCTGGATGTCTACAGAAACTTGAATGAATTACCAGACAGCGGTGACAGAGAAAGTGTGCCTGTAAACACTGTACGTACATAGCCACATCGCATACATGGACCGAGTGCGACAGCTTCCAGACCAACAAAGGGCTAGATGTACGCATAGGCAACAACCCGATTGGAAATACGAAGCAAACAACTAAGACCATGCCATGGCCCTGGACAGGTCTGTCTCAAACTTGGAATTCATTTTCGTGCGAGTTTGGAAGTTCTACCGCTCCAAGCACTATGACATCGTTGCTCAGATAAGTCATATTACTGTATGAAGTTTCCACCTGCGTGGGTGAGGGAAAAATGAAGTGAGAATGTCATTAATAATGATGGGAAAGAATTCAGCCGAGAAAAACAATGGAAGGAACAACGTGGGAGAAAAGGGCACCTTCTCTTTTGGGCAAATTAGGTGCTCAGATAATCATGGATCTGATTGGCTGGATGGCCTCTCGTTCTCGTTCTCGTTCTCTCGACACGCGCACGCGCTTTGTTACTCAGGCTGTTTGTTGCCTTGCCATGACGAAAGATCATAGGGAAACCGGGTAGACAACGGCACATTTCAGGTTTACTAGCCAAGTTTCTGAAAGAGGCAATTGAGAATTGTCAGGAGGAGAGGCACGGCAACCATGGCATTGAGTGGTTGTGATGATCAATGCACCACACTAGTCAAGGGATAGGATAGACAGAGACAGAAAGAAAGACTCGAAAGTGATGAGTTCCAAAGTGTGAATCAGGAGAACCAGACGGTGGTGACGCGAATCTCGAACACCACACACGGGATGAAGCTGTGATTGAAGCATCCTTCACATGGCTATTCGCGAGTCGCAGCGTCAGATTGCTTCTGATCCAATATGGTGGTCCAGACAATTGACCAGTCAGTGCCGAAGAGAAACCGTCACATAGAATGAAAGGCCATCGGTCGCTGAACAGTCTCAAGCGTCAAGCCTCCAAGCAGGAGACCGAGCGCCCCCTCGGCCCATCATCGTGGGGGCACGTTTAGGTACCTTGTCCGGAGCAGTTCAGGCGCCTCCCGCGTGTGGACCGCCAGCCGAACGCCAAAAGACCAGGGTTTACAGCAGGGGGTGTCACCAGAGCCACTGCCTATGCCCAGGCTTTCGCTGTGTCTCTACGGAGTACTCTAGACTCTCTGCCTGGAGGCTGGACGTGTCTACGGGTACAAGCGACGTCGCTCGAGATATCCACGATACCTCAGGTGCTCAGGCACTAGGCCAAGAGGCATCGTATGACAGTTTATAGGATTGACTCCACGGTCTAGACTACCTATGTAGTCTCCTGGATGCCTGACCGCCCTGGAGAATTGGCTCGTCCTGAATGAAGCTGGAGGAAGAGGAGTGAATGAGGAGGTGACGAGTCGATTCGAGTCGAATCTAGTTTGTGACTCAGTGGCCCGGGGTTGAGGACTTGTTTAGCCGGCCGTGGATATGATTATGGTTTCTGGCGGTTGTCGCCTGGTGTGGGAGTGCTTTTGGTTCAACCGTGTCATGCCCTTGGCACCCTGACCATGTCCACCATGTCCAGTCCGAGGCGGATTGGGAACCCCGACCCCTGGTGCCCTGATGAGCTGTGCCCTGTGGCCCAGTAGTAGTAGCCCCAGTAGCCCCGAGTTCCTCTGGCCCTCTCGCCCTGGAGCCTAAAGCCATAGCCCTGCTCCATGTCCTTGTCCAGATGCACCAGCACCGCGTGGCTGACCAAAGTTGGCCTTGTCTGGTGTCACATCCTCTCAAATTCCTGTCAAGGCGGTCAACAGACCGGTGCTTCAACGCCAGTCAATCACAGACACTCGTCAAGTCATCAACTCCGGATGCGGAAGGACGGCCAGTAGTAACTAGTAGAAAGTCGTGTACAATAATCAGCCGGCCAGGGCCAGCTGGATCTTTCTATCTGGGCACCCGCGTGGGAGGTATGAGTGTGAAGGTGACTAAACTGATCAATTGTGCTATATCATCTCCTTGTCTGCCTGTTGCCAGATGATTGTGACTTTCTTCTCACCCTTGACAGTAATTGCAACACATTTTGATTTTGCCTACACTGCAACATTCTCACTTTGACCTCGACACGGCTACTCACACACACAAACCTTGCATTGCCGGTCGGGCATTCCCCCTTCAAGTCCTCCAGCCACCCTGTCGGTACCCCATTTTTACGCTACCACGGTCGTAGTACCGAGGAGTCAAAACACCTCCGAACCCAGGTCGACCCAGGTCGACCCAGTCACTTTGTGATCCACACCGTAACCCACCGATACGACGACAGGTGCCACCCATCGTCCATTCACCCTTGGCACACCGAGCTGTCCCGACACGCCCGAATCCCAGTCCCGGGGATTTTCGCCATCCATCCTTCAATCTGGTATCCAAGAAAGCACGGGGAAGGGGCAAATTTGGTCTTTGGTCGCTCCGGATCCTTGATTCCTCGTGGATTGAAATACTCACACTCCCCCCACAAACCGCCATTCCTGAAGCCCTTCTGCCATAACACATCTACACACCGTCGACACACCTTCAACACCCTCAAAATCCTCCCTCTCGACTCTCAAACACTCTCGTGTGTCCAAGAAACAATCCCCCGGCACTCCCACCCATACCAATTACCGGCCTACCACTTTACCTCAACTCGGTCATTTTCCCCGACCGCCGCTCAACCCTGACTGCTGACATACATTGCATCACCACCCGAAAACAGTCAGCGCGTCCTCCCATCCGATACCCTGGCTGCAAACAGAGGATATCACCCACCGACTTTTACACAGTCAAAACACCTTCACCATCTTCCACGTTCTTCATCTACTCTCTGTCGTCATCCTGTCGACGCCATGTATTTCTCATCGCCCACTAGCAACATTACTCCTGCATCCACATCAGTAGCCATGTCGAGATCAGATTCACGCGACACCACCTACTGCAACGCCAACACGTACTCATACGCTGCTACCAGCGCGTATCTGGCGTTGAGCAATGCATCCCCCAACTCACAACCACTCATGAGGTCAGATAGCAGCTCATCAAGTACTGCATCGCCACTCTTCTCTGCCACCACCATGCGACGAGACAGCAGCAACTCCAGTTGGCTACCCAGCCCATACCGATCATGTCTCTCATCCTTTGGCGCAGAACCCAGCTCCTATCTCTCTGATGACGACCTTCTCTGCTCTGCCGATGAGTTGTCTCTTCCCGTCGAGACCATCCCCACCCCCACTCCCAAGAAGGAACTCACCACCGAAGAGCAAGTCGCCATGTTACGTGAGCTTCAAGAAAAGGAAGCCGCCTACCACCACCACCATCACTCGGCACATCAATCCGAGTCACGACGCAAGGTCGTTCGCTTTGCTGGCCCCACCGAGGGCTCATCCAGAAGGTCTAGCACCGTCAAACGACGACAGACTTCGGTCAGAAAGGGACTCAACCACCTCAATGGACCTCAGTAATTGTGCATGCACTACATTGCATTGCATTATCAGGTCGAGGCTGGCCCTCACCGGACATCATCCATCTGTTTGATCATTTGACTTGCTTTACCTTGTTTGCCTAGCGAGCGTGTGCAGCGAAATTTTTAATCCTCCTACGGGATTTTGGGCATTTCCAAGCGTGCATATTTGCATCATCCATCGACCCAAGGGCGATGTCGATATGGAAATGGAATGGGTTATGGACAACGAAGCTTATGAGCTTCCATTATTGCGATTCATGAATTGGTCGAGTACGCTCCCAATCAGTATTATTACTTAGTGACAATTATATGATTATACCACACCAACACTGTCAACTTTCCTTTCTCTCTATTCAATCTTTTGTGACCGTAAACAACACAACACATCGCCCTACCAAAGAGAAATCTTTACATGACTCACCGACCAGAGAAAGGCATCGCGGCAAGGCCTCCGAGTCACTGCCGACAGACCGACAATTGATGCTGCCGCTGCCGTTGTTGATGCACCGCATGGTCCAAATCCAAGCCTCGGTGAACCCTTCCTTGCCTTACCTCGAACCGAGTCGACTCGAAACCCATCAAACGGGCCCGTTAACGGTTCACGACTACTGAATGCAACCGCAAACCCATATTCCAGGGTCCTGGCTCCTCTCACACACACTCACACACACACTGTCTTTGCCTCTTCCGAACCAAACGAACTAATTACGGACCCCTGTCCTACCGGAAACCCACCCGGATCGAGACCCCTGTCCACTTGTTCTCTACCATTTTCGCACTGGAAAGCCTCCCATGTCTCCCACCTCCGTGCTTTGTTCTCCACAACTGGACCCGAGCCACCGTGCTGGTGGTGCTGTTACTGCCTATTTCCCCACTTTCGACCTTGGCTCAATGCCAAGGCCCCACAGCACGAAAACGAAAAGTGACCGGTTTTGGTCAATCACTGAGTCAGTCGGTGGTTTTATACCGAGCTCAGACCAAACTACTTGTACTGCTAAGGGACACTACAAAGAGGGACAGTAAGCAATAATTAGGTAGTTGTGGAGGGAAGGATACCTGCCTCGGAAAGGGCCTTTGCCTTGGGCTTCGTGGGTTTTGAAAATTCGGTGGTCCGTTCCATGTGCGCAACGCTGACAAGTCCGGGGAGCAAAAGGAAAGGAAAGGAGACTAGCCCTAAACAGATACAGCGATGCGATACGTTACTCGCACACACTGTCTCTCGCACACACTACTGACATCGACAATCAAAGGTCAGAAAATAGACACACCAATATTTTGTTTTGCCGAGGCCTCGGTCGGTAAATTCCTGGATATATGTCTCTACACACCGGGAAATCATCAATAGCCATGAGCCATAATTGACAATATCGATTCAACCTAGTTCGACTCGGTTCTGTTCAATTCAATAGTACATGTGAGTGTGTGTTTGTGTGTACCTCGGACTCGGACTGCGGTCTCTTCACCTCGTACCCTGGCCAGGTACCTGAGTCAGGAATAACCGAGTACATATTATTTATCTATGTACTACGACCGATGCATTCTTTCTGTATGTACATCCAAGCTGCAATGACAACTTGTGCATGACAAACAATGATGATTACCTATTCTTCACTTTCTTTGTTTGTATACACTAACACTCTCGGCCACGACAACAAAAATGATCATATGTATATCAAAATACCTACTGTAGAAAAGCGAAGCTGAGTAAGAATCACCGTGTGTCATCAAGTAGAGGTACTTAGGTGCCTACCTGTATCCTTTCAGTAAGTCCCTAGCCTCCCTGTGGTTGGTCGGTCATGGCACCGAGCACCAGACGGGCGAGTGAACGTGGGTTTTCACCGCGGCACTGAAAACTTTTCTTGGCGCATCTGAGCGATACTTGTTGAACGTTTGCTGCCCGTGCCACACCCATAAGGAATGCTCTCCAGGCGAGCTTTAGGCTTTCCCAGGGCTACTCGGGGGTGTGTCTCGAAGCACCCAAGCGCCCAAGGTCAATGTCTGGGCGTTTGTCCGACCACCGAACAAAGTCCATCTCCATGACACCTCCATTGCATCTCCGATCAAATATGCCATATGTCAGTTGAAGATTATTATTCTTCATCTTCGCTTCTCCTCGACACGAGTGCTTGAGGAACCGAATTACCTTTTACAAGATTGTTTGAAAACTTTTACTTCATAGTGATGATCTCGGATCAACGGCCCTGGTGTGAATAGTGCATGTGCGCAGTTGAGTGTATCCTGCCTCCTCCACCTCTGAATCATCGCCCGGGCGTCCGAACACGAACACGGGGATAAACCTTGAGTGAGCCAACCTTCCCCCGGAGCAATCCCATCAGCGGGTAAATGTAGGCAGGCAAGGAGGTAGGTCAGCAATAACGGATAATTTATTGGGCGCTTACGCCACCCAACCAGCCTTTTACCGCCCGCAAACTCAAACTCAAACTCGGGGTCAGTTATATTGCCCATGACCATAAGGTATTATTATTATCCCGGTCGGCCGTCGGTCGGCTTTACTCGTTTCACACAACCCTTTTTCAAGGTCTTGGCGTCATCACCACATCGCTTTGCCCAGATGCGGTTGCCCGTTTAACTCTGGTCGCTGTCGCTTGGGTCTCGTTCCCGATCGTCTTTGGTCTTCTTACTTTGGCTTTTATGACGATGTCAATGACATGGACTTGGACAATGACGCTGAAGGACATCACGAACCCTACAAGGTTGATTCCTGGTTTTCTTTCTTTAGCCTCTACACATTACTTCGGTATTGGTTCGCGGCTGAGAGGAAGTGCATCATTATTAGCTATAGCCTTTTAACCTCCATGCAGCCTTTGAGTAAGCCCTCGGCCTTTGGCCATTGCTTGTACTGTAGGAGTCATCCTCTGAACCTAAGCTTGTTCCGTCTAGGCGGCGGTAATTCGTTTCCGTGGAAAGCAGGTGCAATCGTCCACCCTCAGGACATGCCAAGTTCACGTGACTCTGTTCTCAGTTGCCAAATCCTGTGAGCACTAATTAATAACTTGGCCATTTTACAATTCCGGGACAGGTCTTCCAGAGTTTGCCGCGACAGTGACAGACCAATCTGGATCAATGCAACTGTGAATTGCTTGCGGTAGACATACTCGGCGTAGGGAGGGCGCTCTAGCTGGCGACGTTGTAAAATCACATGCCGCGATTAGAGGAACCTTTGGCGAGACATCCATATGCCACTCAATACAGTTTTCATGTGATGTGACCTTGGACGTTAGACACGGATATTATCGACAATCATGGCATCTACAACCAGCCCACTCCTGCCACTCCACGGATGCATGGCCACATTAGCCCCCAGACATGGGATAGGGGTGCAGCAGGCATTCAATTACCCCAAGTATGTACTGTAGTAAGCGGCACATTGTCGGTGTGTCGCTTCGAGATACTTGGTTTTGTTGGTTCGAGAGTGGGGTGAAAGGTTTTGCTGTGGTGATTGTACACTCCTATCTCATAATCGAGGCAACCCATGGCATGTGCTCATTATCGCTCAGCTCGACCCCTGTAGGTTTCAATTCGGCGGTCACCGAGAGACACAAGGCAGAGACAAGAAACATAGACAGAGACATGTCACCAAAAGAATCCCAAATATGGTGGGGTGTAGTGCAACAATGTGTTGTAAAAACCAAACACATGAACCCAATATCGACGCCTTGCTTTTTGGTTGGATGTAAAAGCGTGGGGCGATTTGGGGGTGTTTTCCGAGTAGTCGCGACATTCACACATGGCAACCCGCAACAACGCAGTAGCAGCATCGTAGAGGGGAGGGGGAGCAGGGTTCCAAGGGTCCCACGGGCCACACCTGCAGCCCGCCGCCGGAGTGGGCGTACCAAAGCCAGCTAGGCTGCCCGACGGGCTTCTAGCCCAAAGAGGCCTGAGAGTGGGGTGGTCGGGTAGGTGGACATTCTTTTGCAGCCCAATGCTAGTGGGGTGTGATCTCTGTGGCGAGGCCCTTGGGGCTTTCTGGCAGATTTGAGGGGAGGTTTGCCGAGAACATGTGAAGCAAACCATCTGCAGGAGGCGGTCGGCATATGAGAATTGGGAATCCGTGGGTGGTCCGTGGGCTGTGGGCTGGTCCGTGAAGCTTGCACAGGGCTTTTGCCTACCAAGCCACCCGCATTTACGCCGTCCCCAGGCTTGCTAGGTTAGGGTCAAGCAAAGGTTGTGGTGACTGGGGGCGAACTTCGGTACTGGGCACCTGACACTGGGCACCGTGGACACCAAAGCTGTCAGCACTCACAGTTAAAAGCCTTTAACCAAAGCAGACTCCCAGTGGACGCCCCTCGGCCGACGCACATGCCTATGGGTATACCTATGCTTATACAGCCACCTGGACCTGACCCACGCAACACCTTGTCGCCGGGTCTACGCGAAGGTACTCGGTCGGTACTACCACTACCACGGTATCACTCATAATTTTGCAAGGTACCATTCAAGATCCATCCATCTCGCCTCCCATCAGGATTTTACGGTCAGAATCCACCACCATCCTTCGAGAAGGTCCAAGGAACAAAGTTAGTATAAACAATTCCATCAGATGATGCTACTGTGGCAAATAGCTTTCTCACCTATAGACTGTATGTAGTATGTCCAATGTTTGTTTTCATCGCTAACATTTGCCATTGTTATGGGAGGCAAATATCAAGTCTCAGAATTCGATTCTCGACCGCGTCAGCAATTTCATATTCCCCCGCTCCGTCGGTGAAATGCTACATGAATCGAACAGTACACAGCCCCAATTGACAGAGCCCATCCCGCGTTATCATTCCATCGTAGACCGCGCTCAGCTCGGTCCATCTTTTGGCTGGTCCATATCAATGTCACGAGTAACCGCGTCTGCACGTGAGACCGTGAAGCCGGTACCCCCATCATGCCCATACATTCTCCCTTCTACCGCTCTTTACACATCCGAAGTCTGGCCACACATCGGATCCATCTTCCACATCTCATCAGCCATTCTGGGGTTTGATTGACACCTGCCATCGAGAATGTCACACTGACCGATCGCATTTCTGATTTGCTTCCTGTCAGTGCGAGATTGTTCTTGATGAGCTGCAATCGGATCACCGCCTTTGGTCCATGTAAATGTCAATGTCCCTTGTCCATGTCACTGCGGGCGGAACTTCCGCGACACATGCCAGATCCTAGGCGTTGCTTGGGCCTGAAGCCGGTCTGAACCATTTGACCTAGAGAGACATTCGCGACACTTCATTCGACAGCCACTGACGTCCTTGGCTGGTCCGACCCTGTGTGTTATCCAAGCTGACTCGAACTATCGATACATCGGAGGTTGGTAAGAAATGTTCGGAGCTGAATGCTCTTGGTCTATCCTCTACAATCTCAACATGGCACTCATGGCTCCCCTGGACAAGAACCTCCTCCCCAAATGCAAGGGGATCATCTTGTCACATCCTCCCTAGCAGAGGTAGGTACAGTGTATACTGGCTGGCGTACGTAACCCTGATGCTACAGGGCTATTGCACCAGCTGAACAGTCTATTCGCCCTTGTACATACATCCAGTACAATGAATGCCCCTTCCAAGCAGCATGCATGAATGACAAGCAATAATCGAAGGGCCGGCGATACAAACACCCTACCTTTACCACACAATCAGATACCATGGTAAGACTTGGACTGCCATTATAACCTTCCCTTTGATCTGAGGTTTGCGGAGCATTCATTGTGCTTCTCCCCACTCACATCAGAAGCCTTGAAAACAATCAATACAAGTCATCTTTGCTCAAGTCATTATATCGATGCCCCAACGGTGAGCTATATCTGAGTATCAAAGCTTACGTATTGAATACCTTTGATCTGTCGGACTTGAATTCATTCAAGTTCCTCGAAGAGGTCTCTAATGCCACCGGATGTCGAAAGGAAAGCAATCTGGATACCTTGGTCTTGACCTTGACCTCGACCTCGACGTCATTGCAGTATGACATCGTTCAGTGCTTTCACATTTCCGACGACTATGCTCACTGCTTCCAGATAAGTCCTCAGTATATATATACATATACATCAGTACCTTGTTATTTGGCTACTCTTTTTTCTGAGTTTCTTACGTACGAGGCAGTGGCAGGATAATTCAGCGCTGTCTTTGACTGGAAGACCGCCCAAGCCTATTCACATGACCTGAGGAGAAAATATCAGCCTGTTATAGCAAAACTTCCAACTTTCACTTCCACTTCAGGCAACTACACGTTAGGCTGCTGCGCTTCCCAACACTGTACCACGCTACGGAGTTGAGAAACTCTGATCGACTAGGCTGTCCGCACAATGACAAAACTTTTAAGGATGGGTTTCGAAAATTTACTAGGCAGACAGAGAAGGAACATACCGAGACTTTACAGCAACACGTTCACTGCATTCCCACCAGTCATTCAGTTACTTCACAGCTTGACCTGAATAACGATATAAGTGACAGGCGCGACGAACAGACAACAGGATGAAGTGACACAATGCCCAAGACGCCCTCATCCTCAAGCATGGCACCCAAGCATGATTCGCTCACCCTCACCAGGTTGTGAATAAAACAAAACATATGTTAAGCAACTGCGATTTGAGTAACAACCTCACCTCACCGTGAGTCATGTAACGTCGACATTAGGGCCAACCCGTCGCCGCCGAGATTATTCGTCTGAATTCCCACGATCTTCCTCACAACATCGATTGACCGAAAGCGAATTTTTTTCCTGATCTTGATCAAAGCACTTTCTCGTCCTTGCAAAGAGCTTTCGCTGTCAAAGATTGTGCAAGCATCATCATCAAGTTCATTCCTTGCCCCTCTGCCTGACCCTCTCTCTCGTCTTACGAGCTACCTGCCTGTTGTGAACAGCGTCGACCAGAACTCCTTCGTCACACCCCTTCAAGTGTCCCTCAACCGACCAACAGACTCAACGGCCCCAACATGTCTGCTATGGACAACCTCCTTGACGGCAACTGGTGGGATGATTCCACTGATAATGGCCAAGATGAAGACTTGGACTGGAGTCTCCAACAAGCATATCCAACGGAGTGGCCCTCTCAGCCATGGCGTGATGAGGAAGCCGCTAGAGACTTCCCAAATGCCATGGATCCGCACTCATGGTATCGCAACCCTCCGATGGACGAAGGTACACCCAGACCCTTCTCCCAGACACGTCTCGGTAGTCTTCCCAGTGAAGTCCTCCAAGTCATTTGGATCATGCTGGCCGGCAGTGATTATGGCCATGATTGCGAGATCACCCACGATTATGGTCAGTACGAGAGACCACGTTCAGGGCCAGAATATCTTCGGCTCCATGATTGTGGTTATCTCCTTGTAGGGATGTCAAGGGAACTGGGGGTGTGTCAAGAGATGAGAGGTGCTCTCATGGATGAAATAATGCGGTCGACCGTATACAGATGCTGGGACTATCATCGGCTTCCGGAAACCATGTCCGACCTCCGATCTTCTGGGCATCTGCACCTGATGCAAAATATGAGTCTCAACCTAAGCAAATTATCGAATTGGGGGTCAGCAAAGCGGTTCCCAGAGATCCTGGGACTGCTCTGTGGGGAGATGCCTGGCTTGGAGCACTTCGTTATTCACACCAAGCACGATGATTCGAAGCCTGCGTACCCGGAGGCCCAGTCAGGTGACCCAGAGTCCAGCTTGGTCACTCGAAGGCAACAAGAAACCCGTCTTCTTCTGCAGTTGGCCGCCTTTTTCGTCCTTCGCCACCCAAATCTCGACGTCATGACGACGGAACCTCCTGTGGAACCAGAGACCTGGGAGCAAACCCGCAACCGGGGGACGATGGTGCAATTGTTCTCCAGACGTTTGCATGAGAATGTCATTCGTGATGCTGCTCGGAGCAAGCCTTCGGACGCCACCAACGAGGCAGAACCAAAGGTGGGCACCCTCCCCATTCTAATAAGTCGCCGACATGTATTTCTAAAGCTAACATTCGAAAACAGACATACATCCTGAACGCCACCAAGATTCGGCGTCATCTCTGGACCGAGATCGCTCAAATGGATCTCAAGAAATTTGTCATCCCCAGCGCTGATGCATACACCGAACCTCCCGAAGAGGCCAAACGTTTCGAGAGGGTTGATCAGGAGGGATACATCGTTCCGAATAAAGAGAAACCATGGATACGTGGTCCTTCGGTTGACAGCTTGATCATTGAAGGACGTGAACGTGAGGCGTTGTCAGAACTAGTGACGAGCGCAGCTGGCGAGACCGTGCTTCAGATACGAAATCGATGATGACGTTCGATGGATAGAGCTGGATAGAGCGGAGGACGACAGGGAATGATTGATGGTGTTCGTTGGAGCGGAGGACGACAAGGAGTCATCAACGAATAATCCGAATCGAAAAAAAACCCGACCCTTGTCATGACCGGTGCTGGATTAGACACAATCTTGAGAACGGTTGGGTACAACAAAGCCCAGGACCGAAGAGTGTTATCAGTGCATCACATCACATCAGGATGCACAGCAAATCACGAATTGCTTTTACAGTTCGTAGATAGAAAATCACAAACATCCGACCTGTCAGTGCCAGCCTTGCATGACGTAAGCATTTCTACGTAGTGGGTCGATATCAATATGTATCAGATATTGATTGATATCGGCAAGGCTGAGCATTCTCCGTACTCGGCATAGAACCAAGGCTTTCAAAAACAACCTTGCAATTCTACAAACAATCCATTCACTAACAATAACCCATAGTCACAATGTGATATGTCAGACTCTACAACCCTGACTCCTTCTCCTCCAACGGATCAAAAGGCTCGTCCTCGTCGAGCCAAGATCTCATCTAAGCGGCAGGCAAATCCCCTGCGCAGAGGAATCATCGCATTTTGTGCCAAGAGCGGGTTCCGAGAAATAAATCCCATCAATCACGCCGCTGAGACTGAGACTAAGAACAAGACTGATGAGACCTTGGCCGCAAGTCTTTCAGTCGAAGATGTGCCCAAAAGATTCACGAGTTACCCTCCACTACTGCTCCTGCCGTTTAATTTCGCGCGACACAGCGAATCATGGGCAAGGTTCTACGACAAGTTGAACAATGACGAAAAGACGGAGTTATTTCGATCGATTGCAGGAGATGGATTTGTAGGATCAGGGATTACTCATGTCGCCATCAGTGCGCCGATCGCGCTTTCGACTGAACAAGGACATGACGACGATGGTGATGGATGTAATCTCGGCGAGGAAAAGAGGTCCCAACCTCTGACGCGGCAGAATGTCATGCGAAGTCCATCAGGATTGACTCCAGTGTATGGAGACTGGGGATCTAGAGACACTGATGGCGATGTCAATGCAAATGCAGATGCGTTTGAGAATGCATTCTGGGTCTCAACATCACAACATAAAGGAATCACGCAATGTTGGGCACCGCTTTACACCATGTTCAGTCGGGGGAATATTTCGGAAAAGGCCAGGATTCTAGGTATTGAGAGCGGAGCTCCTGCACCACAACAGCGCACACAGCAGAAGCCGTCTTTCTATGGTCTTTCAAACGACCAGCTCGGTCAACCTGTCAAAGATGTCGACGTCGTCGACTTTTACGTGGGTATTGGATATTTCGCTTTCTGCTATTTAATGCGAGGGGTCCGCAGAGTCTGGGGATGGGATATCAATCCTTGGAGTATCGAGGGTCTACGTCGAGGATGTAATGCCAATGGCTGGAATTGTCTTGTGGTCAGAGTGGATGAACATGGATCGCTTACTGACTCGACACCGAAAGATATCGCCATGCAGATTCTTCGACTTGATAGGAGTGACAGTGAACCGGCCCAACGAGTCCGATGTGTGGCTTTTTTGGGTGATAATCGGTGGGCGACCAAGGTTTTGAGTGAGATCGACAAAGCCATGTCGTCGATCGATGCAAGTGACGGGCAGGGTTCTGGGATTAATCTCAAGCACGCGAATTTGGGGTTATTGCCCTCGTCGAATGATAGTTGGGAGTCGGCTGTGGCGGTTTTGTCGAGGTTGAAGGATCGAGGAGTTCAGAGGTCCAGTTGGTTGCATGTCCATGAAAACGTGGACATGACCAAGGAGGATAGCATCAGGGAAGATATTGTCAACGATATCAGGAAAATCGTCGAGGCTGAGGCGGAGACAGTACGCTATGAGGATCAAGATCATAAGGTCAGCTGTGTCTGTTTGCATGTTCAACATGTCAAGACCTTTGCACCTGGCGTGATGCATTGTGTTTTTGATATTCAAATACAATCATGATGCCCATCTTATTCTCGTTCTCGTTCTCGTTCTCATTTGCATCTCGTAATAATACACTGGAGTCTTAGAATCTTGAAATCCCAATTACGACTGTCTCCTAAACTTAGCCGGAATATTCCTCTCCACGATATTACTCTGTTGTTCCATGAGGATACGATATTCTTCATCCTCGCGCAAGTCGTGTTTTCTAAAATGTTCAATATCCTCTGGATGGATCAAGTCCTCCTCTTTGGTGTTCTCGTCATGATATTTTTCGAAATGATGAATTTCATATTCATACTCGTCGTCTCCATGATGGCCAGGACCCATCTGAGAGTCCGGCAGTTTCTTCCCGTCACGAATGCCTTGCAGCCAGTCGTCGCGAGTAATCAACCCCGTGCCAGTTGCATCGAAGATCTTCAGGACATCGAGCACAACTTGATCTTTTTTGTCGGCTGGTTCTGACTGTAATGACTCGTCGTCGAGGCCGTAGGATTTTCGGATTTCGTCAGGGGTCCAGTAGCCGTCGTTGTTGAAATCGTGGAGGGAGAAGAATGAGGCGGGATCAAAGTTCGAGATGTCTGTGGAAGGTTAGGGGATGGGATCAACTCGTGGAAAACGAGTGAGGTGTTAATTGAGCAGGCCTTACGGTGTTCTTCTTGCATGTGGTAGAGAGCCCAATCTTCAGCAGGGTCTACTGATTCCTCATGGGAGTGTGAGCCATGTGCGCAGGCGAGGGACAGGAGGGTAGTGATGGTCACCACGTGCATCCGCATGATGATGCTGATGCAGAACGTGAAGTTTGTGTGCGACAATGACAATGACACTGCAACAGGTGGAGAATGGTGAGAATTGCAGGTGACGGCTCTTCTTGAATGATATGAATCTGTTCAAGACAACACCTCACAATCACGATTACTATCAAATGTACTGTCAAACATTTGATGGATGATATGACGTGGTTATAAGATGTGTTTCTGCAGGTACCAGGTACCGATCCTCCTACTGGGTCTAGCACGCCTAGGCAGGCCTATGAGCAGGAAGCTAGTGCCTGGCGTTGGGTTACTGGGCCGAGGGGGCCGAGGGGGACGAGGGGCTCCTCGGCCTCCCAGTGAGGTCTTTAGGCGTGCTTGGCCACTGTTAAGCCTTGGTGGTTTAACTAAATTTATGCAACCATACTACTTAAGTACATCACCTTCTGTGAAATGATGAATCCTGGCATCAGAATCCCATGCCCAATCTTCTCCTCCTTGGGACTCTCTTCACATCACCCAGTTCGTTACAAAACTGGTCCAGTCCCATGAGTCAACTCACCCAAGATGAGGTGAAGACAAGACTGGTTCTACTTCCAATTCTTGAGTAAAATCTTGAAACTCACACCCACACTGACACAACCCCTCTCTCGACAGTAAGTGCTGACATGGGACATTAAGCAGCAGAACAGTGAAGCAGCAAGTGACCTCTCTCACCAGAGTCACGCATGTTTGTCACCACGCACAATGTTTGTCTTACAAAAATCCCCCCTTCAGTCCCTCTTTCTTCAGGGCACCAATCGTTCAATTTCACTCATACTCATCCTCTGCGACTTGGAACGACGCCCATGACTTGAGCTCCCAGTCAGGTATCCCAATCGCGCTTCCTTGCACTTAGATACGTCCTTGTCCTCTATCTCGTGGAATGGCAGGCACGACCTTTGACGTTGACACAGCAGACCGTCCAAGGATGGGCGAAGAGACCTCCACCCCAATCCTGTCTCCATATCCTTCAGATGACGAGAGTGAGAGTGGTAGTGACGTGTCCATCACTCGCCCCAGCAGTGGGACAGCAACACCAACTCATGCCAATACTGCTGCCTTTGCAGAATTCATCACCACCAATTCCCAAGAGCTGCATCTAGCCGAGTCACAGGGTCCGTCTGCTCCACGGGGAGAGATTGTCGGAAGTGTCATTGACAAAGCACGAGACTATCAAGAAGAACTCTTTGAAAGGGCAAAGGATGAAAATGTCATTGCTGTCTTAGACACCGGCAGCGGCAAGACTCTCATCGCAGCCCTGTTGATCAGACATTATCTACAGCAAGAACTCCTCGATCGTGCCCAAGGTAGACCACGAAAGATCATCTTCTTTCTCGTCAACAGCGTCCATCTCGCCCGTCAGCAAGCCCGTTTCCTCAACCTCAACCTCCCCCAACCCGTCATCCCCCTATTCGGTGACTCCCATGATGATTTGTGGAGGCGAGCCCCCTGGGAGAAAATCTTCGCGGAGAGGACCGTCGTCGTTTGTACCGCTGCTGTCCTCGACCAGTGCTTGATGCACTCTTTCTTGACAATCGACCAGATCTCGCTTCTAGTCTTTGACGAAGCTCACCACTGCAAGAAAAACCATCCATACGCCCGCATTATCCGAGACTATTATCTCAAATGCAGCAATCCCCGTCCGAGAATCTTTGGCATGACCGCCTCTCCAGTCGACTCCAAGCGAGATGTTGCCAAAGTCGCGGATGACCTTGAGGATATGCTGCAAAGCAAGATAGTCACCACCAATGACTTGTCAATCTTCGATTTCGCCCCAAGAGCAAGAGATGCGTATTGGCTCTATCCTCGTCTCGGACCAGAGCTCGACACCGAATTGACGAGCAATCTTCGCTCTTCTGTGGGCTTCGTCGTTGATCTTCAAAAGTATTTCGACTATTCCAGGCAAGCCGCCAGAGAACTTGGGTGGTGGGCCGCAGACAAAATCTGGCACTACGTCCTTGCTCGAGGTCACCAGTCTGCCAAAGTGATGAAAAAGGTCGAAGTCCAACTTAGGGACGAAAGTTCAGATCTAGACTATCAACAAACAAGGCAGGATCTTGTAGCTGCTGCCATATCACTGGTAGAAAACCATCACCTCGGACCTGTCAACCCAGACGACATACATAACTTGTCCCCCAAGGTTCAATGTTTGTACCAAAAGCTCAAAGATCAGTATTCAGCGTTTCCTGACACCAGAGCTATCATTCTCACCGATCGACGGCTCGCAGCATCTCTTCTCTGTGACATATTCCATTCAATCGGTCTGCCCAACGTTCGGCTAGGCGTTCTTGTCGGAGTCTCCAAATCTAACTCGGAGACAGCCTCTTCCAGGAACCAAGAAGTAGTCATGGAACAGTTTCGAGACGGACGCATCAACCTGATTTTCGCAACTAGTGTGGCTGAAGAAGGCATTGATATCCCTCAGTGTAATCTGGTTGCACGATTCGACCTGTACAAGACTCCAATACAATATATGCAGTCACGCGGCCGTGCTCGCGTCAAGGACTCAATATTTGCGCATATGATGGAGGTTGGCGATGCGAAACAGTTAGCCCACGTCAATTATGCCATCGAAATGGACGAGTATATCCGTCTCTTCTGCCAACGCCTCCCTCCCGACCGGAAATTAGGCCGTGGAACTAAACTAAAACAGCTCATGACTCGTGATGCCAGCTGTGGGAGCTTTGTGACAAAGGAGAATGTCGTTGCAAATTTCAACAACTCTCTAGTTCTCCTCAACAGATATAGCGAGAGTCTGCGTGTCATCGGCGCTGAAGGATCCGAAGTCTACGTCGAAATGATCGATGCAGAACACGACATGTTCAAATACAAGGTTGTACTCCCTCCTGTCAATGAAGATTCGCAAGTCAAAGTGAGAGGTGCCACAGGCGAGGCACGTACCAACAAAATATTGGCTAAGCGTGCTGCAGCATTCAAATGCTGTCAAGAGCTTTATGCCGCTGGACTTCTGGATGAGAATTTGGACAGTATTTTTCGAAAGGTGAAGCCCGAGAACCTCAATCGTCGCACTGCCGTTCCTTCAACACTGGACCAGTACGAGAAGACGCTAAAACCCAACTTCTGGTTCGATAGTGGCGTTGGATCTTTAGATCTACCAACCCATTTATTTGTGACGCGAGTTACTTTCCTCTCGAGCACCGGGGCGAACAATAAGAGATCAGTACTCTTGTTCACACGCCTCCCTTTGCCTCTGATCCCAAATTTCCCAGTCTTTCTTGACGAAAATGTCGAACACGAGGTCCTCTTTTCATCCCTCCCTTCTTCCGTGTCTGTCACGACCGAACAGATCAGTCAGTTGACTTGTTACACTCTCAATGCAGTCTTTGCAGACATTTTCAACAAAGTTTACGAGGCCGAATCACACAATATGAGTTACTGGTTGGCGCCGGCCTCTGATCATACTGATGACGATTCATTCGATGCCTTAGTCGACTCCGAAGAGCTAGCTACTGCTGCATCGCCCGAAAGATTGCAATGGAAGACCATAAATCCTTTGTCAGAGTCGCACTGTCAGAGTGTTGACTCGGGAAAATGGCAAAATGCTTTTCTCGTTGACCCGGGGAGTGGAAAGTTCCACTACTCGACCAACAACACCGTGACCGGGGTGACTATCTGGGATAAACCACCAGCCAACGCGTTTCGTGGTGACAAGAAATACGACGATACCATTGTCGAGTTCACTGACAGCACATGGCGAAAGAAGGGAAAGGATCTGAAAACGCTTGCAGACAAATATGATCCTCGACAACCTGTCATCAATGCCACGCTCATCATATCAGGGCGAAATTTCCTTGAAAGTTGCCCTGGATACCAGCAGCGCTCCGGCTCATGCTACATTGCTCCTCAACCATTAGAAGTTGCACGCGTGTCAAAGTCTATGGCAGAGGTTCTCCTGGTCTGGCCTGCTGTTCTGCATAGGTTGGAATCGTATTTGATTGTGGGAGAGGCCTTTTCCAAACTGGATCTGCAAGAGGTTCCTCTGGGTCTCGCCCTCGAGGCCTATACTCAAGACAATGATGGAGTTGCAGATCTCGACATGGAAGAAGGCGATCAGCTTCCGGATCCGAAGGAGTCTTCCAAGACTGACAACGTGAAACAAGGAACTCGTCTCAACTACGAGAGACTCGAGTTCATTGGTGACTCACTACTCAAAATGATGACAACTATTACCGTGTTCAATCGGACAAATGCCGACGAAGAAGGCATGCACTGCAAACGCATGGCCCTGCTTTCCAACAGCCGTCTCTTTTCAGTGGCCTCGAAACCAGAATATGCCCTGTACCGTTACATCAGAGCAGGAACTGGTGATAATTGGAGAGACACTTGGTACCCGGAATTCCTCACGCAGAAAAAGGGGCGCAAGATCAAGTTGTCTGAGAAGCAACGCAGCCATGGTCTAGGACAAAAGACGATTGCGGATGTTTGCGAAGCCACTATTGGAGCCTGTATCATGACCAGTCAACATCTTCCCACAACCGACAAGTTCGATCTGGGCATCAAAGCCATTACAAAGCTCGTCGAAGACCCCGACCACGACATCGTTTCCTGGGCCCAAGTCGCTCCCATGTATAAACCGCCGCGTTGGAGCTTGGATACCCAAGACTTGGTGGCAATCAATCTTGCCGACACCATCTTCAAGACCACAGGCTATCGATTCAAAAGACCACGATTACTCCGTTCGGCATTCACACACTCATCAGATCAGAATTCACCGGTACAGGATCTTCAACGCCTGGAATTTCTGGGAGATGCATGTCTCGACTGGGTATGCATATGGTGGCTCTTCTCATCAAACCCTCATCGCGGCCCACAATGGCTCACCGAACACAAAATGGCCATGGTATCCAACAAATTCCTCGCAGCTCTTGCCGTGGACCTCCAATTCCACAAACACTTGATCGCATCCCATCCGTCATTGTCTTCCGATATTGCCAGATATGTTGAGGAAATCGACGACGTCCGACATGGACAGGACGACGTGAAAGCTGACTTCTGGACAAGACTGACGACATCTCCACCAAAAGCACTAGCCGATCTCGTCGAAAGCTATCTCGGGGCTATGTTAGTCGATTCGAACTTCGACTTTATCGAAATCGAAAAGTTTTTCGAGAAGCACGTCAAACCATTCTTCGAAGATATCGAAGCTTACGACACATTCGCCAATCGTCATCCGACTACCCACCTGTCACGTCTCCTACATGAATACTTCCACTGTCAGAGAACGACACCGGAGACTCTGGGGCAGGTGGAAACGTCGGTGCACACGAGTGATGTCTCGAGAGACGATGAAGCAGTGGCTGGTGTCACCGTTCATGTCGGCTGGGTCATCCATGGAAAGGTCATAAGTTCGAGCCGAGGGACCAGTAAAGGATATGCCAAGACACGTGCTTCTAAGATAGCTCTGACGAAGTTGGAAAACTTGTCGGTTGAGGAGTTTAGGGCGACTTATGGTTGTGATTGTACCACGAAGAAATCAAAGCGAGAGGAGGCGAAGAGAGCGGTGAGACAGCCTTCATAACACGCTTGGTGGAGAGGGAAGATAGGTAGTCAGTGGTGTGAGATAGACATATAGATGACTGCCCTCTACATTGTTGATACCCAGCTAGATCGACAAATGATAAAGCTGGGAAACACACCTATCCTGCTAGAAGTATTCAATCATGATTTAATTATCCATTCATTCTCATATTAAACACAGTTCAATCTCTTGTTTGACCTTGAGTTTTATTGAGACGGCTGACACATTCGGGTGTGGATTCATAATGTAGGTAGGTAGGTAGGTACCTAGTATCATGATGGATTTATTATTTATATTCCCCGCCATCTGAAGTCTCTCGACGTCAGATACCTTCAATATTCGATCGAATTAATCGCAAGAGACTATATATGATATCCTGTAGCACCGCTCCCGGCTGTTCAACTGCATATGCATTACGTTTACATACAGTGGCAGATCGGTTGGCGACTAATGGTTTTTGAACTTTGTATACTCGAATCGCCTGCAATGCGCAGGATCTTTACGTCTAACCTATTTAACCTTCTTTTGCCGCCGCCGCCGCCGCCGGGTCTTCAGAGGATGAAGGGCCCTGTTGTTCCGTAGGAGCAGGAGCCGAGGCAGCGACAGGGGGAGGGGGAGGTGGAGCTGGGAAAAGCTCCTCCATCAACCCAGGCAAAAACCTATCCAAACGCCTGTTGGTTTCGCTCCATATCTCAATGGTTGGCGTAGTGTCTTGCTCGTCTTCTGCCTCGTCGGTCTCTTTTCCTTCTTCTCCTTCTTCCTCTTCTTTAGCCGAGGTTTCGGGTTTGTCTTTGCGTGGTGTGACTGGTTTGGGAGGTGTGACTCCAGCGGCAAGTCCATTGCGTTCGAGGTAATCGGCGCCGTCCATGACCAGAAGCACATTCTTGACTCCTTCACGAACAGCCTCCGCTAGGGCATCGCCTTCGGTCCCAGAGTTCATTAGGCGGTCGAGAAGTTCCAACACTTTGACCCATACATCCGGCATCCGTCCGCATGTAACCAGGCGGTCGAGGTATCGGAGAAAGATCTTGCATAGAATGCTTGCGTTCTGGATGCGCGTTTCGTTCATACCTGTGGGATCCAATTGGTAGACCTCAGGTTTCAATAGTCGCAGAGTCAACGGGAATAGCACCTCGTCAAACACTGCTGTCCACTCGGCGTGCTCTTCATGATCTGCCACAGATCCTGAAAGAAGCACTCGCTGCAATGCTGAAAGGGCGCGGTGTCTGATCTCTCGGCAAGGATTGACACATTGCGCGCAAAGTGCTCGAAAGACGGGGCTCCAATAGGCTGCCCATGCCTCTTGACGCTCCAAATGCGATTGTTCAATGAGAGATGGTGCTAGGCTTGTGATCTGGTAGATGAGTGCGATGGCTTTGTTAGCGCGTTGGACAACAACGATGTCTTCGTTCCTTGCGGGTTTGGCCTGCTGGCCACGTCTCGCGGCAAATTCCCGTCGTTTTTCTTGTATTGAGCCGATCGACCCAGCGGCCGCGAAGTCGTTCGCCAGAGCGATTGTTGCTTCATAATTGTCAGCTGTAACAGCTGTTGGTGATGATGTTGACAATATCGACAAGATTGAGAAGACGTTCTCTGCCTCCGTCTTGTGCTGGTGTAGCCGTTGTAGAGTGGACCAGAAATCGGGAGAACTCGTGATATCATTACGAAGCGCATCTGGCTCAGCAATCAACAGAGAAAATCCCTGGACTACTGTGCTCGCCGTCCGGTCGAGCACGGTGTCGTCGAAGCTGGATATGGCATGTAAAACCACAGGCGCACGCATAAAGTCTTGATTCTGCTTGATGTCAGTGACAACTCGACCAATCCTGGTGAATGACTTACATGGCTGTACTTCAATAGCTCCAAGAAGTAATGTACAACCCGTGATGCAGCAAGAGGGTGCAGATTAGCAGCATCTCTCACTGCGCTTTGCAGAGAAGCCGTCAGATTCTCTCCCACCGTACCTATGGTTTCTTCATCCCTCAGTGTTAACATCGTCGCAAATTCCAGTAGGAATACTGTTCCAGGATCGTATTCTGGCCCAGCCTTGGGCATGCGGTGACCATTGACCCTGACTGTCACTGGCATGGGCCGTTCAGGCTTGACAGAAACTACAGGTGATGAGTCATCAAGCTGGGATAACAAGGCCTGGACAAGGGCCTTGATTTGGGGGGCGGGCAAGCTTGCAATATGTTTCATCACAACATCGACATTGCATGCTTTGACACAATCAATAGAACTTAGGGTATTTTCAAGTTCTTCTTCCGATGGTTCGGGAGGGTCATCGGCGGCGTAACTCGAGATGTAGGAGGTGAAGGTAGAAAAGAGACCGCCTTCACCAAGTTTACCATCTCGATCGATTACTTGGGAGGGTGGCTGCAACGGGATTGGTTCCAGACCTTTCAATCGGCTGCCTTCGATCTCAGGAGGATTGATGAGAGAATTGACAAACAAGTTTCTCAATATTCTCACCACATAGATCCACGTCTCGCCAACAGCAGCTTCATTCCCTGACAGAATTCGGAACAGGAGCACCGTTGATAATTGCATCCGGAAATCCCGGCCAAGTCGTACAGCCATCTCGCTGACCATGACCCTCTTGTTGCCAACTTGGACTTCGGTGTTCAACGAAGTGCTAGGAGGGATTTCCGCAGCGAGGCCGCTGATATAGCTGACGCTGTAGATGATGCGATCAAAGGCTTCGGTAATGCCGTATTTGGCGGCAATCTGTGCGCATTGATCGATTCCGACAACAACTCGAGAAAAGACAGCATCATCCGAAGCGGACATGAAAACATAATTAAGCGTGGCGATGATAGGCTTCCACGTTGCTTTGAACATTTCTGCATCAAAGGCGTTGGTTTCACACAGGTCCAAATCTCCAGCGTCGGTAGTTTTCATGAGAAGTTCCTTCCAGGCGTATTCAAAGGCATGTTTGTTATCATGTTCGTCCGGTAGGATGATCTCGTTGTCCCTGATTGCTTCGTATATATCCTGCAGGAATTCTATGGGGAAATCCTTCCCTGAGTTGACGCCGCGAAGGTTTCTGCCAAAATCTTCCGCAGTCATCTTCTTTTGGGTCTTGGAAGCATTGGGATTGTAGAGATCTGTGTTTAGCATGATGATGGCGTATGTCAGAACGAAAGCCGCATCTTTGTCTGCGATTTCCTCGGGAGCTGCTTCTGCGCAGTATTTTTCGGTAAAGGTTGTAATAATGCGCTCGATTAGGGCTGATTCACCAGGTAAGCGGAATGCGCCCAGCAGTTCTCGAAGCGCTTCGTCAATTCGTTTGTCTTCAAATTTGAAGAGACCAATGAATGCCGTCAGCAACTGGGTATTTGACTTTTTTGTCAAGAAGTCCCCCAGGACCTTTTTGGAAACATGTGAGGTGCTCTTCAAGAATCGTGCAATCTGTATTGGGTCATCTGGATTTGAGATGATGCCATTTCTCACCAGAAAAGCCACACCTGCTTTAGGGTCGTCGTTGAACTTGGTGGCACCGCTTTTGATGATCTTTTTCCTCAACCTTTGTTGTCGCATGTCCTCAGTGCGCCTTTCTGCCCATGAAGGCACCTCTTGATTCAGACGCTCGGCAATGAAGGAGATAAAATTGAGCAACGAGTCTAGGCAGAGCGGGGGAACATTGACGGTGCTCCAGGTCGCTGAGTCTGGGAAAGCATTGCGGGCGAGCAAGCCAATCATGTCCTCACACAGGTCTTGTCTGTCCACATCACAATCATAGTTGATGAATAGTTCGACCATGAATGTTGGCATTCGAACCAGAGTTCCAACATTTTCAACCATTGCCTCCCGTGCTTCGGGCCGCCTAGCACCGCCCTCTAGTCCTAGTTTTTGCCGATCCTTAATCGGAATAGGTGTTGAGCGTCCACTGCTGGGTTGTGATGGTGCTGGTCTGACGAGCTTCGGTGATTGCGGTACACCTTCGTACAAGGAAGGGTCGATCCCTGGCTCCTGTGGAATATCGACGCGGGGGTGGAGGCAAGCCACAAGATACGACAGGAACAGCTCCTGTTGAAGCTTAAGAAGCTTACGACAAGTGGCCAGCAAAGTTCCCGCCACCCGCAAAGAGCTGTTCAGTAAAACCATATTATCCGATCGAACGAGCTGGAATAGATGTCGACAAAGGTCGTCCTGAACAATGACGGCAAGGGTGGGTTGCTGTGCTATTGAAGGGCCAGCGACCTCCAGGGCAACATCGATGATCCTCAAAGCCATGATCCTCATGGGGTCTGAATGGGTCTTATCGTGGGGGTCCAGCAGTCCGATCAGCACTCTGAAAAGCTCTTTAATTGATGGTAATGAGTATGGTTCGACGTTCTCAAACTCGTCTTCCGCACTCTGGGGGACAGTTGTTTGAGGGAGAACAGAGGGATCTCTTGCTTCAGTGGTAGGTTCAATGCTAGCCCGCACATCGGTTTCGGAACTCGGTCGTGATAGGCCACCATTGCCCATGACGCTCCCGGTCATTGGTGGCTCAATTTTGAGATCTTCGGCAGGACTTAAAAGGGTGGTTCTTGTGTTAGAGCGGCTCCTCAATTTGGGAATTTCTTCGACTTTCAGTGACCTGAGTCGGCCAAAAACGACTTGACACATGGTGACCATGGCCATCTCGGCGGATCTTCGGAGTACTTCTGATAGCCGTGCCTGACAGCACATACTGAGACCAGTACTCATCATTTCACAAATGCTCTCATCGCCGAGTAATTGACCCTCAGGTCGTGAGATGATGCTCTCCATCAGTCTAAGTATCCTCAACAAAACCACCTCATCCGCAGAAGTGTCGCTTGCCTCGAAACGACAGTGTGTGATTGCGGCACTTAGCAAGTGCATGGCAAAGGCAATCCGTGGACTTTTCATAGAGATGATGTTGTAGGAGAAGAACTTGGTGATGGAAATAACGGCAAGACTGGTGATCGTGGCACTCGTCGACGAGCTTCGAATGACCTGTAGAAATGGGTGAAGAAGTTCAGGTGCGTCTACGGTCGAGACGTCTTTGCACCCAGCCAGATCTCTCCGCAGGCGGGCAAAGGCAGATAGGAGTGGATTGTCCTGGAGACTCTTGCCCTTCTTCCCTCGAAGGCCCCACCGACTGGCTAAGCTGGCGTTGTCGTCGTCCATAGCATGTGGAATATTAAGAGTCGCTTTGCTGGGGTCGGAAATGACGGCCATCTTGCTCCCGCGTCGACTTTGCGAGTCGGGTCGTTGTAGATCTCTTGTCTGTAGCCTGGAGGCACCTCCTCCGAGAATGGCAGAGACTGATGATTGGGCCCACCGAGCATGCTTGCGCATGGCCGAGGTGATTGTAATACATTCTGTAGTTATAAGCGCAATGGGATCGATTGCTATGGTAGGAAAGCGATCGAGTGACATCTCGGTCAGTAGGTAGGGCGATGTTGGTACATGGGAAGGCTCGATTGAGAGTCTAGAGAGATCTGGGAGAGGGGATCGGGGCTCCTGTGTCGCAGCATCAGGATTTATCAGGTTGGTCATTGTTTATGTGATCCCAGGGTGGTCGACGGACAAATGTTAAGAGAGGGTGTCGATCGCAGGTGAAGGTCAAGCTGTCATTGTGCCTTGGCCGTGGCACCGGAACTCTATCGTTTGGAATGGAATCATATCATGCTCTTGACCGGGAGAAGATGTGTCCTTTGAGTTCTATGGCCTGTATGGTCTACAGCCTTCATTTCATGGCATTGGAGCGAAGTTGCATCTGTGTCTTTGTCGGGGGAAGTTCATGGAACTGGGCAGGGAAGGTTTTCCGATGACAAAGGGGGTGAGGGGGGGACGCTCGTCACGTGAAAGTTGTTTGAGTCTATCTTATGCCCAATTTCTCGCTCATCTCGACGACTGATCATGAAACTTGTTCTACTATTACAGGCGCTGGAGTGAGCAGGCGAACAGGATGTACTGATCCTGCCCAGGTCTGCAAATTCCTTTTTCCGCCAGACAAACAGCTCCTCCGTCCTCCAAGATTTGCAGACGTTTACCTGTGTATCTCGTGCTTCGGTCGGTATACTCTATTGGTAGAGTACAACGCGTGCTTGGGCCGGGGAAGGAAGCAAGCGCTGGGGTCTGTTGACCTTCCATTCACGTAGCTGCGTGAATGGAACATGGCTCAGCATCAAGTTGCTCCGCTCAATCCTCCCAGCCCTGATTCGATCTGATGAATCGTTTCTGAGAGATATGGCAGGGACATCTTCTCAAAGGGAGAGGCGCTGTAGAACATAGGTGTCTTATCCGTGTAGTCTTCTCTTGTCCTCATAGATGCATGCCAGAATCATCATCTTGATCATCATCTCCAAGCCTGTCAAGCATCTGTTGACGAAGCTGCTCATCCGTGAGTCGACCTCCACTCCGCGATTCCACCGGTGCGTCGGCTTCTCCATTCACCTTCCCATTTGTGTCTTGACTTTCATGCCATCGACCACCTCGTCTCTCAACCTCTTGTTTCAAAAGATCGATTCTCTCTTGTTGCCGGGCAATTACGATACTGTTCTCTTCCACCGCTTCTAGACAGTCTTTGTCCCCTTCTTGTCTTGTTTCGTCTGGAAGGGATGTATCCGACTTTATGCTATCGCTGTACTCTTGTAGTTGTTTATTGGACCGTTCGAGGTGGGAGATTGAATTGCGGATCTCGTTGGCTTTGGAGTAGATGTTTTCGATAGGCAGGTCTTGGATGGCAATTTTGAACTGCTCTGCGGTAATGGCGCGGGATTCTGCAGACATGTCGGATAGTGTAGTATTGATTTATCGCCTCACAGTCCCACACTGGTGTAGTAGAATGGGTTGAGACAGAAATAGGAAGATGCGGACGGACATGATGGATCAATGTATGGATACATACAGTATCTGGAGAAGGAAGAAAGAATCACTGACGTATGCGGGGTAGCCTGACGTGCCTGACGAGGCTGAGATTACGGGGCACTGATATAAGATTGTAGCCTTGTTTCTTTGTTTATGTGTCCAAGCGTCGCGTCCAATTGATAACCCCTTGGACCTACTTCAAGCAACTTCATTTCCCAAGTTTGTCACCATGGGTGAGACTTGAACAATATCCTGTCATGGGGATTATGCTCGCCACCCTTGCACAAATTCGTGGACCTTGTCTATGATCACACCAAAGACAGCATTGACACTGTCAGCCAATACTTGATCCAACACCTTGACTGCCTCTTCTTCAGTGAGGTCCAAATGGAATCGCTCCTGGACTTTGGCAACAACTCCTCCACTAACTCCCATTTGCTCCTCCACTAATCTTACGTCTTGGATGGAGCTCTGCACCATGAGGCTGAAGAGATTCAACACCAACGAGCTCGACTTCCGTAGTGCTGCAAAGGCCGTGAAACAGTATTGCTTGAACTGCGCATACTGCGGAGATCCCGCTCCACCAAGCCCTTCCACCATTTCTTTGCACAATTTGATCAGAGGCGCAAATGGCTTGGGATCTCGACCAAGGATGAATCCAAAATCAATGTGGAAGAACTGGCCAGACGGTTGCAATAGGAGATTGTCCAGGTGACGGTCACCAACTCCTAGAATGTAGGTGATTACGCAGTAGCCTGCGCAAGATCTAATGTATGTGTCCATCGCTTCTTTCCGGACTCCAAGAGGTCCTGACGAATCAGGGTTGTTTGCTCGAAGATATGCCAAAACAGAGCCTTTGTACTTGGCCGAAATCACTGAGATGGCAGTCGATGGAATAAACTGCACTGCCCCAGCGAGAGGTGACGTGGCAAGGATTCTGTATGGTGTCAGCTTGAGATCGAGGTTTTCCTTGAGAAGCAAATCGTTCATCAGCGTGATGATTTGGACCACCAGCTGATCTTGTCTCAGATCATCTCCTGTCTTGAAAATGATCGAGTATTGACCCGCAGACTGTGAGCGAGATTGTATAGAAGTACTGGCACCATCTCCCACACTGGCGATTTTGAATTTCAGCAGCAATGGGGACAACGAAGATTTGAACACGTTGGCTTCCTCTGGAAAGATTCCGCTAACGTGGATCTCGGGGTCAAATGGAAGAGGCAACGGCGGATCGATCTTGATCAGCTCGTTTTTCGGATCTGCAAGGTATTTTTTGAGCCTTTCAATCTTGTACGGCCGGCTGTCTCGACTGGAACGAATCTCCTTGCCAACCCTAGTTAGGACGGCAATCAATTCGCCTTGTCGAAGCAGGACTTTGCGCTGTTCTGGGTCTTTCTTCTCCAGCTCGATCATGAAGTAATATTCCACCCTTGCAAATAGCTTTCGATTCGCCGCGTTCGTGTCTGGGCCTTGATCATCAATCTCCACCATAAGGAACCAATGCAAATAGTTTCCCAAAGTAAAGTTATTCGCAGCACGATCGATCAGGAACTTGGCTAGTGACGTTGGTGGTAATCCCTCTTCTTCATTACCATACTTCTCGAACTTTAGAGCTTGGACCAGTTGAAGGAGATAGAGGAGAAGTCCAGCGTCGTTGGCCTGCCGCAGTCTGTCGACAGCATAAGCTCGGACAAATGGACTGTCATAGGTAGGGCCCAGTAGCTCCAGTGCCGAGTCGACATCGATTCGAGCCCATTTTGGAATCAGTTCGGCCATTTGCCGCGCTTCGTTGGGTGCATTCCAGTCGGTAGCCTTGACCACCTTCGTCAGAGCGCGCTTATCGCGACTCAAGTGACGACGGAAAGTCCACAGCACATCCTTTTCCGGCGGTGTCAGCTCTTGCGTGGGGCCGTAATTGAGGATTTCATTCAGATGATCTCGCACTTTGGCGTTGGGTTTCTGGTCACTGTCTGAGTAAGCATTACGATTGCTTCGCACCAAGCGACGATGCTTGCTCTCGCAAGGGTTGTCTTTGTGAAATTGATCAGGATCAAATATCTGCATCACCGGATACTCCTCGTCATCAACGACGGTGCCAAATCCGGATATGCCAGGCCCGTAGCGAACTTCTGGCGCTGCTTTCCCTTGGGTCTCAGCTGCATGTTGGAATTCTTGCATCATTCGTGGAGGTTCGTAATCATGGTCTTCAAAGACGACCGGAAAATCCCATCGGGGAAAGTCAACATATATGGTGAATAATTCCTCATCCTCAAGCTCATCAATCAAATCATCGTCAGAGTCGTCATCAGCATTTAATGTTCCTGTTTTGAGTGTTTTGTGCTTCGAATTGATGGCTTCAAGTCTGGCAGCCTTAGCCAAGGCAGCCCTTTTCCTCGCAGCCTCATCCACCTCCCGAGCCTTCTTTCCCACCGCTTGGAAGACAAGTTGGTCCAGCCAATCGTTCTGTGGAATCTCATTCATTTCATGCTTTTTGAAGAGAAGCTCTAATCTTTCTAGCTCCTCTTCTTCTGGGATCGGAGGTGACGGTAGCTGATTACGCTTTCGTCTTTTTGGTCTCGGAACATGTGGGGTTGACGAGGGCATCTGACCATCAGCTGCCCTTTGGCGGTATACTTTGCACTTCTGCCGGCCCTTTCTGAGAGCGCCGTCTTTGTCGAACAATGCGATTGTGGTGCCACCGAACGGGACAGTGTGATTGATGCTACCGTCTTCGGGGCAAGGCGATATATCCCATATCGTGATGGCGATCTGTGATGACATCGGGCAGTCTTTGACGAGGACGGGAAGTTCCAACCACTTGTTCCAAACCCTGCCATTCTTGAAGAAAACGTGAGGCGTCTGCATCGACACCCCCAGCGGCTTGGATTCGGCCCATAGTTGAGCTGTCACGTACAGTTCTGAAGTCGGACTTTGTATAGACCCGATATGCCGGATCTCTGGATGCTTCAACAAGACTGAGCTTGGTACCGAGTTCTGTCTGCCCTCGAGGCTGTTACTGCTCCGGAGTTAGACTTGAAGGAAACGGGTGGCATTGAACCCCTAGGGAAGCGGTAAGTAGTGCTTACATTCTAACACATACGGGAAAGTTGATCTGACGTGAAGTGGCAAAGGTATAGGTGTCCATGGCGATGACAGCAAGAACATCATTCTGTATAATGCATAGTTTTTGGCCCTCGAATTACGATCGTGAGGTCTATTCAATTATTCAATGGAATGATGGATTAGCAAACAAGGCTGCCTTGAGATGACCAGATGTGACTTGGACTAATCAGGCTTAGTGCAATTACATGTGCCAAGGGAGTTCGCGTCAAATCAAGGCAGGCGCGTCGGTTGCACGCGCTTCAGAAGCGGTCGCAAATCTGTCTTATCCATGCACGGCTGACGGTGCAGACCATTCAGGAGCCCACGAAATAAAAGCCAGCAGTCGGCGCTTGAAGCAATCACAAAATCTCTAAGACAGTCAAGACGTATCATGCGAATTAACCGCTGACCAAACGGGGCCGGGGTCGTTCTCTGATTGTGCAAACTGGTTTCCCGCTTGATCAGTGGGGCATTCCTCTCCTACAACTATCGCCACAGTGACACCAGGAGCATGGCTCGAATCACCGCTCTTGTACAGTCCTCCGAAGCCCAATCTTCACGAAACCCTTCAACACCGACAGAAGACACCGCACCCCTCTCCACAGAGAGTTCGCCTGATCGCTCCCCCGATTCGGATAAGGAAAACCGGACCAACTCCAGAAGAAGCCCTGATAGACGAAAGGGCGGAGCGGGGGCCATGTCGGTGAGACCGGGCGCAGAGACAGGCAGCAGCAAGAAACGAAGAAGAGGTGAAGATGACGGCAACATCCAAACTCAAGCAGCTCATCGCAGAGAACTGAACAAGCTTGATCGGCGGCATTACGACCCCGACCAGAAACCGGAAGAACGACGACAAATCCGCAAAGATCTTCGTAGCCTTTACGATGACCTCAACGAATCTAAATCAGACTATGTACGACCGGAGAATAATGGTCTTCAGGAGATGCTGCGACGGCAGGACGAGATCTTCAAAGCTGTCAGACAACCGGCAGAAGCAACAATTGATTCAAGATTACTGGTGGATCTAGCCGATACGGCAGCGAAGAAGACAAACAATCTCACAGTTGGCAGTGCCTCTACTGGTGTGGACGTCGATGACTTTATCACCAAGTGTATCGGCTTTATGAAACGAGGTGATGAATTGGACGAGGCAACAGCACGAAATGCACCATCAAGTACAGCAACTCAGCGCCAGCGGAGACGGAACCGGGCCGAGGATGACGACGACGATGACGAGCCTATGAATTGGGCATATCTCGGGCAAAGTGCCTGTTTTTTGTACAATTCTCGGCCTTGTTTGACAGGGTTTCTACTTGGGCCTTTGTCTGTTCAGAAAAAACATCGTCAGCCCACACAGCGGAAAGCTAGAGAGGCGCGGACCGATGGCACGCAAGCAGCACGGCCGATAGAACTCACGCATGAGGACTTGGAGCAGCAAGAATCTGCCAGTCTGACAGTTGTGTGTACTGAGATTGCTCGACTACTGGCAAAAGCTCAGGAAAATGGGTCAAACAATGCTGATCGCGACTTTGAGTTGCTTGGTGACGAAGCAACACAAGAGAAGGCAGACGAGATCCTCAGACGGAACAACATAGCTGATAACGGATGTGTGCCGTTGTTCAAGTTCTGCGTCAACCCTCAATCGTTTGGTCAGACTGTTGAGAATATGTTTTATGTGTCTTTCTTGATCAAGGAAGGTAAGCTTGGGTTGGATTTCGATAGTCATGGTCTCCCCACTTTGGGAATTGCAGCTTCACGAACGGTGTCAGAAAGACAAGAAACGCAGCGAAATCAAGCGGTCTTCACTCTTGATTTCGACATATGGGAAGACATCGTTAAGAGCTATGGAATCCAGGATTGCATCATCCCTTATCGTAAAGAGGAGAACTATGATGACGGTATCGTTGATTATGGCCGGATGGAAGATGACGCCGACAGAGAGATTGAGGAGGACTCTGATGCTTATTCATGACCTGTCGAGAAAGCTGTATGGGATGCCTTTAGCGAGGTGTTGGAATCGTTGGATGACATAGCTAGACAGCGTGATAAAAAGCTAGTAAATGTCAACATCGTCAACAAATTACCGAAGGAAGGCACGTCCAAGGATGTGGAAGGCAGTCGTGCTGACAAGTGCTGTGACTCTGGGTATTGCATCATGTAAATTCACGGGCTACCGCGTATGCGTCATCACTGGTACCTCAGTCACAGGGGGAGTCTTGGCACTGGCCACACAGGAATCTTTTCTATAAGTATCTCTCTTGCACTCGATCTCTTCTTCCTCTCTTCATACTTGTAAGCACTCCTCCATCAACACCCTATATTTTATCATGCAACTAACAAATTCTCTAGACCTTGTGAGACTGGGTCAGCTCAAGCATTGGCCTCAGTATAGCGGTGTCCCTGCATTGCACAGCGCGGTGGAAATCGCTATTAAGTGTCCTTCGGGGCTCTTATTCGCGTATTTTTTGGCTCCTTCGCTTTCAAGAAAGCTTTTTCATCATCATCCTTTGCCTCGTGCAAGGTCTTGGAGAAGAGGTCTACGCTATGTCGAGTGGTAAAACGTACAGATGAGATCTGCGTGGCCCTCGGAGATTCGTGGTCTTGTTGGAAGATTATGTAGCGTTTGATTTGCTGTCTGTCAGGAGAGCTAGGAGAGAGCGACATGATGAAGATGAACAACATTATCGATGAATGGCCCGTATCAAGATCTGATGTATGAGCTTGGAGTCTCTTGATCACAGCTAGTCTGGTCAGAGTATCTTAATGATCTGTCCTATCGGTGCTGTTTGAGGTCATAATTGGGTTACCAACACCTTTCAAGCTGTCGCTCGAAATGACACGGATTTTGGCTGCAAAACGCGTCCACCGTAGAAAGAACATCTTAACAGCTTCCTGCCAATCAATGTGTTGTCAAAGGAAACCAGCTGTTACACGTCCGAAACCTCTGACATATCGCCATTCGTGCCTTGGTAAGCTTTGAAAGAGCTACCTACTACTGTACCCCTTCGGGCCCGGGCGCCATTCCTCGTCGGCTAAGTCGTCAAAGGAGACTTTGGGCCCCTCGGCATGCTGAGAGGAGGCACTGGAGGGAACACCCCCGCAGTCTGGAGTGGCTGCCCACTGCTTAAACACAGTCAGGCTTCTCCAACCTAACCTCAACGCAACCTCAGACCGCGGCCGAGCCAGCCTTTCGGTCTGGCTGAAATCTAACCGAGGTCAACACGACATCAAACCGACGCAATGCATACATTTATGACAGCAACTCCTCCAGACAAATGTTGTCCAGTGGTCTTGATCCAGACTTTGTGACCATCAGGTAGGGGTTCTTTCCTCCACTTACCAGAACATCCCAGACCGCTTTTGTTCTACTCATCCTTCCATCATGGCGCCCCAGGTGCCCCAGTCCTACACGTCCCTCCCATTGAGGCATATCAAAGTTTCTCACGTTCCCGAATCGTCTCCTTCCGCCACCGAAGTTGTCTTGATCACGTTGAATAGACCTACAAAGCAAAATGCCTTTACGGAAATCATGCGAGTGGAGATCGAGAAAGTATACGAGATCATAGATGCTGATGATCGGGTCAAGGTGGTCGTGATTACTGGGGCTGGGAGAAGCTTTTGCGCTGGTGCTGATCTTGAAATCGGTTTCCTGGGTGCTGATGACGGCAAAGGCGGCACCAAGAATGCAAAGACTGAGCGTGATGTCGACCACAGAGATGGGTAAGAGATTGACCCTACTTGTCCTCTCCTTTCTCATACTGACTTCGATACACAGTGGCGGACGAGCTTCTCTCGCTATTCACCGAAGCACTAAGCCTACCATTTGTGCCCTTCAAGGTGCCGCTGTCGGCGTGGGTATCACCATGTGTTTGCCAGCCGCAATTCGAATCGCATATGCCAAAGCAAAGGTCGGCTTTGTGTTCAGCAGACGTGGACTGATCATGGAGGCTTGTTCTTCGTTTTTCTTGCCTCGATTGATCGGCCACTCGAGAGCTCTACACCTGACCACGACCGGCTCAGTTTATACAGCAGACAACCCGCTCTTCGGTACCTTGTTCTCCGAGACTCTCCCTACCCCCGAGGCAGTTCTGCCCCGAGCCCTCGAACTTGCCGACGAGATTGCAAAGAATACCTCAACGGTGTCGACAAAGATGATGAGGGATCTGATGTACAGAGGCCCTGATAGTGCCGAGGGAGCGCATCTCTTGGACTCACGGATAATCCATGGATTGTTTGGCAGCAAAGACAACAGAGAGGGAGTGCAGAGCTTCTTGGAAAAGAGACCTGCTAAATTTACAGGGGTGGTCCCAGCGAATGCTCCGGACGGCTATCCCTGGTGGCAGCCTGTTGATATCGGTCCCAAGACGCTCGACCCAAGACATGCCAAGTTGTGAGCGAGGAGATGGCGAGCTAAGGGAGATAAGAGATATCTGTTCTGCTACGTTTACGGTCGGACACTGTGGATACATCAAGGTGATATACAAAACTGGCAACAGTGACATCACCATAATGTGTAGCGAGAATGCATGAGGCTAAATGCTGGATGCCACGATGCATACTTTTGAGTTAGTAGATCTGTCATGATGTGGCAGCGAATGAAATAGGTACTCGTTAAAATACTACTACTAGGATCCAATAAGTTGTAAATAGGACAAAAACAGCTTCAAGCAGCGTTAGTCATTACAGTTGGGCTCGAAGCGGCGTGAGATTCTCAGGATTAGATTGGGGCAGCCACGGCAAAATTATTAGCGAAGACGCTCGGTGCTTTCATAAGCAACAAGCCTGGATCGATCCAGGGTTTAGGCCAGCAAATAGCATTGCTTCGTCGCCCAGCACGCAAAACGCCCTGTCATCATCCCGGGATCTAGTCGATCACATCAGCATTGCACCGAGCCCACTCTCGTGCAGGACCTGAAAACATTTCGCGATAGATGAACCGACGGTACATTTTATATTAAAGACTACCCTGTCCTTGCGAATACGCTTTCTTCTTGTTGTTTTGAAGGACATGTCCTTCGGTGCTGGGCGATATCTCAAGCACATCTCTGCCCCGAGCCTGCGTCACACTTTGTCGAGTTCGTCGAACCTGGCATCCAAAGCAACCCTCAGCTCCGACCCCTCCCCCACGAGACTCGTCTCAAGCCCCGGGCCCGCACTGCGACTTGGTGGGTTATCGCGACACTTGTCCTCCTCATCCTCAAAGATGGCTCCTGTTACGAAGCAATATGACTACATTGTCATTGGTGGTGGATCCGGTGGCTCCGGCGCTGCTCGAAGAGCTAGCGGGTGGTATGGAGCAAAGACAGCGATTATCGATGCAGGCATCTCTGGGGGATGTTGTGTCAATGTCGGGTAGGTGTGACATGCACCGAATACAGAGAGCGTCGATGCTAACGAGCAACAGCTGCGTTCCCAAGAAAATGACATGGAATTTTGCATCCATCAATGAAGCCATCAAAGCCGGCAAACATTACGGCTACACCACCGGCGAGGTGTCATTTGATTTCAAATCATTCGTCGAGAAGAGAGACGCACGAATCAAGGTGTTGAACGGAGCATATGAGAGCAATTGGGCAAAAGAAGGAATTGAGCTGATCCATGCCACTGCAACATTTGTTTCTGCACACGAACTCGAGATCAAGCCCAAGGATGGCAGCGAGGCCTACAGAATCACCGCTCCTCACATCACCATTGCTACCGGTTCATTCCCGACCAAGCCAGAGAAAATTCCCGGATCGCAGTATGGCATCACTTCGGACGAATACTTCCTGATCAAGCACCTGCCCAAGAAGATGGTCTTTGTCGGGGCAGGGTATATCGCTGTGGAACTCGCAGGCGTGATGAACGCCATTGGAGTTGAGACGCACCTGTTTATCCGAGGAAACACCTTCTTGCGAAAGTTCGACCCGATGATCCAGGAAACACTGACCAAGCATTATGAAGAGGCCGGCGTGATTGTCCACCGCAATCACCCAGGTATCAAGGAGGTCATCCAATTGAATCCTGGGGCAGACGAGTCCGATCCTCGCGAGAAACAGCTGAAGATCATTTCCAACGACGGCTCAGAGATCGTGGCCAATGAGTTATTGTGGGCTATTGGTCGCAGTCCTGAGACCCGGGGCCTAGGCCTGGAGAACCTGGACATAAAACTCCAAAAAAATGGACATATTGCTGTTGACAAATATCAGAACTCATCCGTCGAGGGTGTTTATGCTCTCGGGGATGTGACTGGCCAGGTATGAAGCATGAATTGCGAGGCTGCCGACGATACTGACAAGTCTTTCAGGCCGAACTTACCCCTGTAGCCATCGCCGCCGGACGACAACTCGGAAACCGACTATTTGGTCCGCCAGAGTTGAAAGAGTCGTTCCTGAACTACGATCTGATTCCATCGGTGGTGTTCTCGCACCCAGAAGTCGGTACCACGGGGTTGACAGAGCCACAAGCCATTGAGAAATATGGCAAGGACAAAGTCAAGGTCTACAACACAAAGTTTTCGGCCATGTATTACGATGTGTAAGTGACCTGTTATGTGTGGTGGTTGTGAACGCTCCTCGTCTGACAAAAGAATAGTTTCCCTCCTGAGGAGAAGAAAAAGAACCCAACCCAATTCAAATTGGTGACTATCCTGCCGGACGAGAAGATCGTAGGCTTGCATATCCTCGGTGATGGTGTCGGGGAGATGACTCAAGGATTTGGCGTTGCGGTCAAAATGGGCGCAACCAAGAAGGACTTTGACAGCACTGTTGCCATCCACCCGGTGAGTCCACTTTGCTACATACTTGTGGGGCCTTTACTAACAATGAAATGTAGACGAGTGCTGAAGAACTAGTCACCTTGAGGTAATCAAAGATGGTGTTCATAGAGTTCAAAGAAATGTCTCTGTGCATGTGTGAGGCTCAGAACTAGAATACGGCTAATATACAGAGGTTCTGATGTAAATTACCACCACCTCTAACGATTCCTACACAAACATATATGTAGATGGGATGATAACTGCCTCCCAAGGTCCATATCAATGCTTCATCGCAAATCTCCGTCACATGATCTACAGCAGGTGCCAAGAACAAAATGACACTGAGTGGCGCCTGCGCCTCAACTGTGGCTGGAGGTCGCCTTAACCCAACGTCTTTGTCCCTGCCTTGTTTGCTGGCATGTCAAGTGGGTGGCAACTTCCTTGTGCAGGGCAGGATGAGTAACGCCTGCCATGTTTGCATTGGGTAACATATGACAACGTGTAACAAAGACGCCTCAACGTCTTGACCATTCATCATTTCTTCTTACCCAGGTACTCATCTCTCATGCGATGCTCTTCTAGAACAAGAATGTTGTTCTGTCGTGCATCTTTGATCCAACTTACATCTTGACTGGGAAGCCAGTAAATTGCATTCATTGCACAACTCCTAGACTTCAGCCTGTTGTCTCCTTAATTTGCCTACGCATCACCTCATGGCACCTGGCTCCCGGTCTCAGCTAGGTGAGTCCTGGGTCATAGACGACGGTGACCAGGATCCAGACTCTGGAAATACCTCATCCCCGTCAGATCAGCATGAAGTGTCATCTCGACATTCACCCAGAGGATATGCTTCACGACGCAGTGACAAGATGAAACCCTCAAAGCCAACGCCACATTCTTCTACGTTTTCCGAACCTAATCTCATCATGCCAACCCTCGATCACCAGTCTTATACTTCTCTACCGTCGCCTAAGCTACCTCGCAATCGCAAGGCCCCTTCTTCGACCAGAACAGTATCCTCTCGACCTGTTCGCCCAAACCGTCCACCTCTCCAAGAAGCAGACCAATCGGCACCAGACTCGCTCCTGATGCAGACAGTCCATCTGCTCTATCCAGTGGCGACATGGGTATATGATATTCTGAGCAGCTCGCTTTATGTTCTCAAGAAGCCTCTTTCCTTAGTCCTTGCATTGTACCTCTTTGGTGCCCTTGTGGTAATGACGCAGAACCTTTTGACGTCATCAATATATGTCGCCCTTTCTCCCATCTGTCGCATTCCTGGCGTGTTCCTACTACATCTTCCTATCTGCGAGTACACCTCGTCTAGCACCGATGCTCCTCGAATCACTTCTGGGTCGTCCTCGGCACCGGTCGAGTTTGACGAACTCATGAAAACGCAGGCTCATTTTGAGGAAATTCTCGCCGACTCTGCCGCAGGCGTTTCATTGCCCATGGACATGAAGCGGTCAGAGACTTCGATTCGAGACCTCCGCCAAATAGTTCGATTTTCACAACTCCAATCACGAAATGAGCTGGGTCTCGAGTTCGATGGGTTCATTGAAACCGCCAGGCTTGCATCCTATGACCTACAAAAGTTCAATTCCCATGTGGGTCGTGGCGTGGATATTGTGCTGAGTACTGCACGCTGGACAGAGAAAGTCCTCGATGATCTTAGCGTCAAGCAAGCCTCACGTGGAATTGTTCCCACTTTCTTCCTAGACACGTTACTCGCCCCATTCAAGCCGGTACAATTCACCGAGTCACGTCTTCTTGATCAGTATATACAGCACACGCGCATTGTCGCCGAAGAGATTGAACGCCTTATCGATGAAGCACAAGCACTGCTTCTGCTTCTCCAAAATCTCGAAGATCGCCTCGACGTGATGCATGGTATTGCTATGCACGATAACATCGCAGCACAAGCGACCAAAGATGAGATCCTCGCTCAACTCTGGACTGCCCTAGGCGGAAACCGTGGCCAGTTAGGAAAGGTCAACAAACAACTTTCGCTGTTGAAACAGGTAGGCACGTACCGAAAGGTTGCATGGGCTCATGTCTCGGCCACAATCCTCAAATTGCAAGCTATGGGTGCAGAATTGGAGGAGCTACGCACGCGCGTGGGAAGCGCTGAACTGCTCAAGAACCACAAGGAAATCCCGCTGAGTGTCCATATTGAGAGCATTCGGCTTGGAGTGGAGCGATTGGAGGCGGGCAGGGACAAGGCGAGAAAATTGGAGCAAAGTCACATCAGACGTGTGGTCGACGGTGTTGATGATCACATTAAGGCGCTCGGCTCGGAATGATGCGGTGACTTTTTGATCCTGGATGCATATACGACTGACGCCATCAGAGGGTTCCCACCAATAACTTGTGTCGGGGCATGTTTATTCTTAAACCAAGGATTTGATCTCTTGGATACTTCCACACGATTATTGATAGCGGCCTTCTCCAGGTTCGCTCTCTCTGGCAATGCTATGTCAACCAGACAACGGACCCGTCTGGCAGCGAGCAATGAGACCTACAAAGAAGTCCAAAGGGCGGTGTAGGTTTTGGAAAAGTCTCGACTCGCGTCATATCAATATTGGAATTCCACTCGAGGATTTGTTTCGCTTGAGTCTTGGCAAACTTCACCTCACTTTGACTTTATCAATGCGGTCTGCAACCAGAGTCGACCTCAAGGAACCTCAGTAACCTTTGGAATCCTCCTAACTGTCTGTCGAACATCACCAAACCATCGCAATGGCGTACGACAACTGCCGAGACCCCGATATCTTGGTGGGATGAGGGCATATTCAATAGTGGCCATCTCGTCACAGCTGTACAATGGCGGGTAAATCATTGCAAGCTCCAGATGGTTGTCTCGACATTGAGAACGTGGCGGGCCCTACATACTCAATTACTGCCACACGAGAGCTCGACACAGACAATAGCAACCATTCACATCACCATCAATATCGTGCTCCTGCACGCTGGGCCCCCCAGGTGCGGGCATGGCTTCCTCAACCCTCCTTCATCAATCTGCATTATCTCTACTTTATCTTCATGTCTCTGCTCACAAGTCTCATCTTCTGGGCATCCTCGACTCCTCCAAGAAGTGTGTCATATGTGGATAGCCTTTTCTTGTGTGTGTCGGGCATCACAGAAGCGGGTCTCAATACGGTCAACCTTTCCGAGTTAAACACTTGGCAGCAGATCATGCTGTTCCTCCTCATCTTCATCGGATCGGCCGTCTTTGTTTCCAGCAACATCTTGCTCATCCGGAAGCGTGCCTTTGAGAGAACATTTGCGCAACTGGCGCATCGTCGCCGACATGGACCTCATATGCGCTCTTCGGCACACCGTCGTTCAGCAAGTGTAACCCGGCCTGCTACTTCTTGGAATGGAAACAATCCTCAGGCTGCTGGTCTTCCACCCGTTGCGGCGTCAGTTGCACCTGAAAATTGTCCTCCACATTCCAAAAATAACCTAACCTCCGAGAGACATGTCGATGTTGACATGCATGTCCGATCTGGAGACCAGATTGAGCCCATTCAAACACGACAGCGAGCTGCTAGGGAATACCATAAAACCTTTTTTGAAGGGCATGGTGTTGGAGCTCACGGACTGAAGTATCATCCCCGAAACACACATCCGGTGGATTATTCGCCTGACGACTTGATAATTGGCGACAAGCACTATCAGCCTCCATCCAGATTGGAGAAGTACGTCCACACTGTCAATGGATATCTTGGCAGAAATTCCCAGGTCTATCATTTAACCGCCAAAGAGAGACGAAAACTGGGCGGCATTGAATATGATGCCATCTGCTTGCTCTCGTGGTTGGTACCTGTATACCTGGTGTTATTCCAATTACTGGGCGCTCTTAGTATCGGTGCCTGGATCTGGACCAATCGCCCGGACATGACAAGAAAGAACGGTATGCTCTCGTAGGTCGCTTTAAGCTCATGGCCAACTGATATTCTTTAGGGTTGGATCCATTTTGGACAGGAGCTTTCTTCGCCATAAGCGCCTTCAACAACTCTGGTCTGGCCTTGCTGGATGCCAACGCCACTGCCCTACAGACAAGCTACTTTGTTCTCCTAACCATGTCTCTGTTGATTCTGGCAGGTAATACCTGCTTCCCGCCTTTCCTGAGACTGATTCTCTGGACAATGAGCAAAGCTATTCCCGCTGATTCGCCGTCAATTGACTGGCAGCGGCGGAGGAGGACCATACAATTCTGCCTCGACCATCCGCGTCGGGTTTATACGAATCTGTTTAACCGTCAGGCTACCTGGTGGCTTGTTTTCTCATTGGTGATTCTTAACGGCATTGATTGGATGGCTTTTGAACTGCTCAACCTGGACAACCCTGTCACTAATGCCATTCCAACGCGCTTTCGGGTCTTGGATGGTTTATTTCAAGCTTTTGCTGTACGGAGTGGCGGCTTCTACGTAGTCCCAATTCCCAGCTTAGGGCAGGGGCTTCTAGTCTTGTATGTCATCATGATGTACGTATCAGCATTTCCTGTCACTATGACTATTAGGAATTCCAACGTTTACGAGGAGCGATCCTTGGGAATCTATGCCGAAGATCTGGCTCATGCAGATGAAGACCAGGGGAGTCATCATGTCCGCACACCTCACGCCAATCGCATCATGTCTGGACTTAGATGGACAATTTCAAGAGCACGTGGCTCTTCAGGAGACTCTTTGAAGATGCCTACATGGACTCGGCAGGACTACATACGATATCAGCTCCGAAGTCAACTCGGTCATGACCTGTGGTTGATAGCCTTGGCTGTCTTCATTATTCAAGCCATTGAACAAGGGCAATTTAACCGCGATCCGGTCACATTTGCGACATTTAACATCATCTTCGAGACCATATCAGCATATGGGACCGTTGGGATCAGTACTGGCGTGCCGTGGAGTGCGCATAGTTTCTCTGGTTCATGGCACACGACTAGTAAATTGGTCTTGTGTGTCGTCATGCTCCGAGGTCGCCATCGAGGTCTACCAGTTGCCATTGACCGTGCAGTGCTCATGCCAGACGAAAGTCTCGCTTGGGCGGAAGAGGAGGACGGACATATGCGTTCAGCACACCCAGCAGCAGGGACCAGGAGGTCAGGTCATGGCGTTGACAAGGAAGGGCTCTCTAAGCACGAGGCGGCGCACTGGGTGTAGAGGGAAGTTCTTCACGCCTCTTTGCAACCTCGACTACCTGCAGCCTCATCGATGTCGCTCCTTAATATATGTCTCCTTTGTTCATTGGCGTTAAGACGAGGATGGATCCATGTTGGGTACTTTGTCATCGATTGGTTAAGGACCACCAGCACTCATGGCCTATTCACGAGGCTTTGACTATACACACGGCCGCCTTACTACGACGTTCCTTCCCCATTTCTTTTGTCACCAAGGCGCCTGACACCCGTTGTCAAAGATATTTATATGACCAGTCAGCAACGAGGCGGTATGGCTCCTGTACAGACCTAGATATATTCGTTAAGATTCAAAAGCGTAACCTCTAATTAGAGACCATACCGTTAGACTGTCAAAGTTTCCAATTTTGTGTAAAAGTCTTACATGTAGAGGAGACAGACATCGCATAGTAGCCCTCAATATGTGCAAGTATGACAATTTGGATGAGGCTTGTCACCTTTTCGCCCTCGTCGCCGGCATGTCTTGAGGCTTGGGCAGCACGGCTGAGAGGGAAAAGGAGGTGGTGCCATTAGCTATAGAAACGCCCAAGATCACCCGCAGAACGCGCAAAATATCAGCATATCAACTTGCAAATTCGGGACCTTCCAGCGTGACCGATGTATCTCTCTAGTACACACATCATGGATGTTTCTTTGTTCCCTAGCGTTAGGACGAGAATTGATCGATCTGATTGGGCCTTTTGTCATCAATTAGTTAAGGGCTAGGAATGTTCTTTGTCTATTTAGTTGTCTCTTTCACCATATATTCTACTCGTTTACTGTGAATTTCTCTACTCACGCCATTTCATTTGTTACTAAGGTGTCTGGGACCTGTTGTTACTGAAACGACTTTCATGTCTCCTTGTTCAGGAGGCGACGTGACGCCCTGGAATATTTATATTTATATTTATATTTATATTTATATTTATATTTATATTTATATCTATATTTATATCTATATATGTATTTATATCATTTTGCTCTCTCTGAGATCTTCTTTTCCATTCTCTCCATCAACACCAACTGAACTGCTCAAATCTAGAGCTACTTTGAACTCTAAGCAAACATCAAGCAGAACAGACCAAAAAACCCCTCTATTGACCAGCAAACTTCCAGCAACAATGTCATCCAACCAGCAAATTCAAGGTGAGGCCTCGAACTCCAATGCTGCACAGCCAAGCAGCGCATCCGGAGTTGCGTCCTCCTCCACAGCGGCCTATACGGTCTATGAAGCGAGAACCATGGATCAGTTATACAATGAGGTTCGAAATGACGATGAAACCACTCGTATCATGGATGTAATGTCTTACCACTACCTCAATATGCACAAACAGGAAGGTTACGACGAGATCTGTTGGATCAACCTGGAAGGCAACCCTGAGGACGAGATCGCAAATGAGCCATGCTTCGAAATCGGCGACATTGTGCGCCTTAAGTGTCATGGGAGCCCAGATGATGATGATGATGCTGATGATGAAGACGACGACAATGGAAGCATTTGGGATGATGTTTCAAAGCTGTCATCCACTTGTTACAAGGTCATCGATTTGTCATATGAAGCGGACGAATCAGGAGTTGAGATCAAGGATTCTTCCCCGGAGACGCCATTGGCTTCTTCGTTCACTGCTAAGATGTCTTCTTCACCCGTTGCGAAACCTGAGAACGACGACGACGACTGTAAGAAGTCAGAGGTGAAGGAGGAGAAGACTGAGAAGGGCAAGGAGGATTTGATGGACTCCGACGCCGACGCTAAAGAGGCAGAGAACGACAACGGACCTGACTCCAAGTCTCCTTTGGACACGGATGAGAAGGAAAAGTGTTCCAAAGTGTGGTTGTATTGTCTCGAGCCGTTCGGAGCTCATCAAGAGTTCCTCACGGCAGACTTCTTCTGGGTTAGAGAGTATCGGCTGGTTCTTGACGCCGAAGCGATGGACGTCTGTGCTGACGACAACGAGGCCGTGGAGGACAACGGCGACTCTATGGAGGGCGTTGTTGAGACCAACGACAAGGCTAAGGGACCCTGGTTCGGACTCTGGAAGTAGAGAGACGATTCTATCTACCATCTCATGGCGTTCTCTTGACAACGAGACAGATAGATAGTCAGACTGTCCACACAGCTATGAGAGAATCGAATCTAAGTCAAAAACGAATACCATGATCCCATTGTTCTTCTACTTAGACCACTAACTGTATCATCAAACCCATGATTGATGCGTTTGCCTTGTCGAATGTGAGTGTTTCCATTATCTAAGGCAAACACAAGGCAGACTGTCTCTCTCTCTCTCTCTCTCTCTGTCTCACACACACACACACACACACACACACACACACACACACACACACACACACACACACACACACACACAGGATGACCGTGATCCTATCGAAAGAATATCCTTGTTCGTCCATTCCTACATCAACCTACTCCTTGCTGTCGTTCCGCATAACATCTCTCTCTTACTCACCCTTGATACCTCACGCAAACCTTTGTGTTCATGCCCTTCCGCGATCTAATTAGTGACACACGGTGAAAAATTACACTCCAACCAGGAAGCCTTGCGGTCCTTCATCGCCATGGCGATAGAGCTCATCTGTACAGTCGTCGTCTGGTCAACATGAAAGGCTTGGCCTGTAAGTTTCTCTGATGATGAAAGTGATCATCTTCTGCGACTCATTTGTTCCTTCCTCTTCAACAATCATCTTTGCCTTCCTGCCACTTGTATTCCCTACCACATCTTCATTGGTGGATCTTGATATCTAGAGCTTGTATGGGGAATCAAACTCAGCTCACCATCAATCGCATCAGCTAGTAGAACTCGGCAAGATGTCTCCGCGGACTCGTCAAGAGACTGGCCCATCTTCCTCTCCCCAGCCTTCTTCCTTATTGACAGAAGAGATCAAATATCCAATGATTCTTCACCAGCTGGTCTCATCTTCAAACGAGCCAGACTCGCTCTCAAGGCATATCCCTCGTGCGTTGTTGCAAACCGAGCTTGCAGGTCCAACCACTCTGTCGCCTGCGCTGCGGCAGTATAGTGCAGACACTTCATCTCAGCCGTCAGGAGAGACCTCTATCTCGACATCGACAATCTGGAGATCTCGTTTACGACAACGAAACCAATTTGTCTCCACAGCATCGACTCCATCGACTCCATCGAGGCCCGCTCCTTGTGACGTTAGAACTTCTTACTATGTGGATGGGCCAGAGGCAGTCAAAATCATCTCCGAATACACACTAGAAACAAACCTTAACGAATCAGAACATGGAGAGACGAATGAAGGTGATGGCTTAGGGTATGATGAGAGGGATGAGCCGTGTTTCTCACTCGGTGATTACGTTCGCATTAAGCGTCTCCCTGCTGACCATCACGCTCTGGAGTCCGGATACGCCAGAGATTCAGCAACCTCGATCAATGCCACGGAACAGTCATTGGCAACTCAAGCCGATCGTTATCTAAATCCAAGTGTTGAGCAGAAGGACGATATCGCCAGTGACACTGACATTGACGTTGATATGACGAAACTCTCTCCTCTGGCATATCGTATTATCCGCATCTATCGTGCAGAGGAAGTGTTTGCGTCGTATAGAGCCAAGATTGAGGACGAAATGCTTGAAGCAGCACTGATGGAAGACACTGATGTTTCTGATGATGGTGGTGATGATACAAGCAGCGATAACATGGACAAAGCCAGTCTGGTAGAACAATTTGCATATCAAGGATGGGTGTATCAACTGGATAGGCATACCTCTCGTTACGTGGCCGATTTTGAATGGTTCCGCGAGGATATGCTGGTATTTGACCCTGTGGCCACACAAGAAGGCACAGGAGATGTGTCTGACGAGGACGAGGACGAGGATGAAGAAACAGCAGAAGAAATATACCGCTCTTCTGTGTCTTCATCAGACGAAATGAGCGTCAGCGACGAGAGTTACAACCAGAGTCAAGACAACGACGACAGCGATGACGATGGCGACGAAATGGACCTCGATAGCCAGAGTGCCCGACAAAGAGACTCGAAAAATTCACCACCGCCGCCACAGTCACAAGTAACACCAGCAGTATCAAGAACATTCTCATCCGTCATGCCCCTTCATCGTCTTCGTACGGTGTCACTCTCCGACATGAAGAATATATGGAAGGATCTGTGGTGATTGATCAACCTCACTACAAGGTATCAGGCTAGGCTGGGTAGCGTAGCTAATCACCTAGCTTTATTACTGCTTGTTCGCCCCTGTTGCCCTATGATGATTCTCCCTGACGGGTCTCATCAATCAACAAGGCCGCGATGATGTATGTATGTGTGTATGGAATTGGGAATAATTGAGTGTCTGAATAGCATAGCACTCAGCGTGACCTCTTCAAAGTGCATATCCGTTTTCAGACCTCCTGGGTGTCTCGCTATCTCGCAATTTAAGCAATATTTAGCTTGCGAAGAGTCCAACCCATCACCTAATAAGATACAAAGAACTGGTATTCCATCGTATGTTTCACTAGGGTACAGCGAAACATACGTCCGAGCCGTATTGATGAAAGGACAGGGGTATTTTTTTTTGGATCTCTGGGGATACGTGGATTCTTTTATCAGCCGCGTGGCTGAAGGAGTTGTTAAGTGACGCAACGTCATGAGGGCAACCGACTTTGTCGACAGCTCCAATGCATGGGATCGTCAGCAATAGCAAGACGGAGATGAAACAAACACGTGTGCAGGCAAAGCATGTCGGATGGCAATGCTCCCGTTGTACATTACAAATTTTATTGCTTGTCTTTGCAGAACACTCTTTCCTGAGGTCAATGTGTATAGCCCTATTCCTGTGATAGAGAAGAATAATGACACACAAAGGCTGATTTTGATTCTGCAACCGTACAATGCAAATAAGTTATTGAAAAAAAACAGATCTCGTCGTCAATAGGTAAGATGGAAAAATGTCAAGTTTACATGACAAGACATCTACTCCCCTTTTTTGCGGGAGGAGGAGCAGTTGCAGCAGGAGGAGGCTGGTTCGAGCTGCTCATCATAGGCATGGGAGTCTGACTTCGACCAGGTTCTGCAATGGGTTCCCCTTTCTTTCTTCGTCCTCTCTTTTTCTTCCCTGGTGTCTCCAGTGCGCTTGGGTCGGATGATACCCGTCTTCCTGATGGATCTGGAAAAGGGAGTTGTTGTTGGTTCGGCATCCATCCGCCTGGCATCTGGACATTTGCGGCTGATGGCTGTCCGTATGACATGTAGGGTTGTTGTTGGTGGTAGCCTTGATTGGGATGCATTGGAGGTCCACCAGGCGCCAATTGATTGTATCCCATGCCCTGATGTCGTCCATATGCTCCTGGAATACTTTCGATCCTGGTCAATTGATCACCGGTCTGTTGAGCATGCATTGCCGTCATGGCATGAAGATTGGGCGTCGACGAAGAGCTCGATCCGACGGGACCGTTAGCCAGACCATTGGCTAAACCTGGTGGTCGGTAAGGTACAGGCGATGCAGACGATCCGTGCGCAATTTGTACAGGGTGAGGCTGATGTGGCTGGCCGTTGAGTAGGTTATTCGCAGAATTGGGATCATGAATTGGTGCGTATGCTCCTAGGCTCAGATGTGACTGAGGCGAAATCTGCTTTAAATTGCCAGCTTGGTCAGAATGTGGAATGACTACGTTTGTCTCATGGGAGCTTGAGGGTAAATTCGTTGACGGAATTCCCGCTGTGGCATTCTCCGAAAGAATTGAATTACCAACGGTTGGAGGAGGTGGAACAGGGTGATTCAAACGAGCTTGGAGATTGGCGCCCGTCAAAGTCACCGAAGATGTTGACAGTCGATTCTGCGCTTGGTTTATGCTTGAAGGCTCCATCAAATCCCCGGCATTTCCAGTCGGCCGGTCGTTCAGTGGTGAAGGTATTCGGTGGTCTGGCACATGATCTCTTTGCGAGATGGGAGTGCGCAAGGGCGACGGTCTCTCGTCGTGGGAAACAGGTCGTGATGATGGCTGAGGGTGTTGGTGGGGATATGGAGTAAAATGATGATCAGGCATTGATCCTTGTATCACAGGTCCCGCTTGGGATGCTTCACGAAATGGCTCACTGGGTTGGAACATTTGACCCGGCAGGGGGGGAATGTTCCCTCCAGCTGGACCGTAGTGACCCGGTGTAATCCCTGCAGGAGCTTCAGGAGATAATGGAGTAGTAATCTGAGGAAGACCCGTGCCAGCCTGGGGTTGAAATTGTCTCTCCACGTTCGAAGTCATGTGTGACTGAGGCATTGAGCCAGGGGCAGCCGGCATCCTCGAAGCTTCGGGTGTGAAGTGGTGGTTGCCCGCATGTCGAGAGGGAATTCCGTTTTCTGGGATGCCCGTCAACGGCATTGGCCCAGCACCCTGCCCAGATGGTTGACGAGGTTGAATGAGTGGGGATCCGAGCATGCCGGCAGGCTGGATATGTACATTACCTCCCGTCGTGTATGGTGGAGGGGGTGACTCCCAACCGTCTCCAGGAGAATATACTCGAACCGGATTGCGAGATTGGTCCATCTGAGCTGAGAGTGGAGGTCGAGGTGGATATCGAGCCGTTGTATAACCTGCAGCTGTTGTGGCGGCTCGATGTAAATTTGTTGATGGTGACTTAGGAGACCTGGTACCAGCAGCAGCGGCCGCAGCAGTTCGTTCCATTTGAGCGTCAACGTCAAGAGGAGACGAGGGCCCTGACGAGTCGGGACGGCGTTGAGCCCAGAGCCCTTGCGAAGGCATGGCATTGGTCGCAGAACGTCCTAGAGGCATGCTTCTGGCGCCGCGTGTCCGGTCACGCACAGTCCGTCTCCGCTCCATGGCAACTTCGATCTCCATATCACCAATCTGCTCGGTCAAGAGTTCTGGTTCCATTTCGCCCACTTCGATCGTAATTTCGCTGTTGTCCAGGGTCGATGGCGCGTAGTCAAAATCGAGAACAGAGAGGCGAGACCCATCCACAGGCATGGTTTCATCGCCGAGCTCCTCCACAAAGTGGTCCACCCCACCAGGAGCCACCACGATCAGTCTCTTCCCTTTGAAACCACATTCTCTTTCTTCACTCCGCTCTACCCACTTCGCTGCAGTGACCCCGTCTATGGTTCGGAGATGTTCACACTTGACGAACAAACTCTCTCGCCAGTCCACTTTGGCAGCTATTGAATCATCCTCGAATTCCTCACTGCTCCCGGAAATGGAAGGGGAATAGGCCATCAAGGGCTCCAACCGACCTGTTGCAGTTGTGAGAGCGACTCCCATTCGATTTTGCAAACTTTGTTCGTGTCTTTCGACCACGGATCCCATATCTGGACTCACGTCCAGCTTTTCGGGGACGCCGTACATCCAAAGGCCGGTTCCACTGAATCCTGCAACCACGAGAGTTCCATCCATAGTGGCGGTCGGGGCAGTGGTCGGAGCAGGCAAGCTGAAGCGTCTTGTACTTGCGGGGTTTAAAAAGTAAGCCACGCCTGTGCGTGTGTCGTCTGTTCGTACGGCGCGATACGACATCAGGGTGTGATCATAGGCGAACAGCCAATTGGCATCACCTTCTGTGTGTCCCTGTAGTAAGTCTGCGTGGCTGCAAATACTGCTGATCTGAGGGAAGAGAATTTGGGTGGTCCACATGCGACTATGAACTTCTTTGGGAGGCAAATCGTTTTCAGTGTAAAAGGGAGCTGTGATGACAACGGAGGAAGGTTCTTCAAGACTCTGAGTGCTCCCGACCAACATGGACCCGTCGCCTGAGAAGCTTAAAGCATCGACGGCCTCACTCCGTACAGCTCTACGGTCCGTAGAAAGAGCACTTTGAGCGAGGGAGAAAACCTCGACACCGCCTTCGTATGCAGCTGCGAGGACAGTCCCTTCAGGTGCCAGAGCGATTGTCCTAGGGGGATTGTCCATCACAAGCACTTGAACGTGTCTCACCCCAGTTGGTGTCAAATTGTAGATGTTGGCCTGGTATTTCGAAGACAAGACCGCCAGGGTAGTGCCATCGTCGGTGACTGACGCAGCAAGAGGCCTTCTGAGGGTTTTCAACTCTTTGCGAACAAGAATAGGATCTGTGGTGGCATCAATGACGTAAATTCGTGAAGAGCTCAGAGCGAGCATAGTCTGGCCATTAGGCGAGAAAGAAAAACGAAAGGCCTCTGCGCCCGGAAGGGCAGCAGAGGAACTGGCATTGACAGAGATGAGATTGATCAAAGTCTGTCGGGGTTTGAGGTATGCACGGAACAAATTTCGACGGACTTCGGCGGCGAATTTTGTCTTGAGACGAAAGAGGTCATTCTTTCGAAAAGGGCCAGTGATGACGGTGTTGGAGAGTGCATAAGACGGGCATCGTGAGAGGTGATGAGCATACAAATCTCTATCCTGTGCAACATTGTACCAGGCTTTGTTGAGGATGGCCAAGGAGGCAAATTCATTTGCATCAACATGCCACAGAATCCTGCGGTAGCGTTAGAAGGGGGAACATGGGCTTGTTTCAACGGACAGGAAGCATACTTTGAGATGGCAATCCTGGGTAATCTATGAAAAGCAGGAGGACTGGAATCATTGCGAGGCTCAGTAAGCGTTACTGGCGATGACGATGACGGCAGGTCTGGGGCGTTGGGGGAGGCCTGATCATGTGACTGTGATTGAGGCTCGTTCAGGTCGAGTGGCTGAGGAGAAAGCTCATTGTAAGAAATGACTGAACTTCCCTTGGACGCAGGACGGACGACCAGGTGAGGTGTCATAATGGACGGCGCGGATGACTCTCCTTATCCAAGGCTAATTGATGTGGACACCATGGGCAGGGAAGACATGGTCGATGGTGTTGTTACTGGAACATTGTCCATCGAACGCGTCGCGATGTGATGCCGGGGGCTGCACCAATAGTTGGACAAGGTGCGAGCGAGGCAGATAGCAACTTGATGGAAGGGACGAGTCAATTGCGGACCATGGTGTTGAAGATGTCGGTATAAGGCTGGAATCTAGGGTAGTTGTTGATAAAAAGGACGTGCCACGAGATATTGAAGATATGTGTGACTAGACAGGCACGACAGGTCAGGAATTTGGGACGAACAAAGGGAAGTGTTAGCGGGTGTTTCGAGTTGGTAGAGTGAGGTAGGCCACCCAACTCAATCTAGTTGGCAGGTTAGGTAGGGTGGCGTGGGTGGTAGGGACTGTTGTACTCGGTAGTAATTCATAATTCATAACTGGGAGTGAGATGCCACCACTGAGGCACGCTTAGGCTGTAAGCTCTACGGAGTAGCTTAGTGAAAGGCTCTAGGCTCAGAGGCACCACGACGATCCAGCTTGCTCGGCACCTGCAGGGTTCACAGCCCACAGTTGAAGGAAGGGAGGCGTGGGAGGTCACCCTTTAGCGACGCCCCTCGGCCTTGTACAAGAGGTTGCAGTAGCCTAAGCGAGAAAATTCACCAATCGCATAGGCAGTCGACTTAAAAGCCACTTTGGGTATCGCTGATCGATTCGTGCCACTACGATGGAGCCTGAGATGGATGTTACAAACAGTAACTCAAGGACTGGCTTATTTGATTCCCACCCAGAACTCTCGCGGGGATGCTTGGTTAGGCCGTGGCGACGCAGAAGATCGACAGGCAAAGGAAAAGGAGAGAGAAGGCGGACGAACTGCCCACAAAGCAAACACGAACTTCCAAGGCATAACCTCCCTAGGCCTGACTAATAAGTAGAGGAGGCTCCTTTCATTGTCCTGCTGACCCATCCTTCAAGCTGGCCACCAATCAAACATCCAATTCCTCCACAGATACCCAAGTATAAATGTAAAAAAAAGATGCAAGCAATCGGACGAGCACTGAAGTTCGGGCATAATTATCCCAGTTGATTCAGTGTTGGCTGGTAGATCGACAATTTCTAAGGCTTGTTCCAGTTCTTTGCCATTCCAATCAGGCCTGACAAGCCACTCGATTAAAAGTCCCTGGGGACCCTAATGCCCCCTGTACCGAGGACACTGCCATATCTTTTCTTAGAACACTCTATGCTCCCAATATGGGATAGGCTCCAACAGCGCCTTAACTTGCAGGCCGAGGTGCCTTAGGCTCCCCCAGTCTTATCCAGTCTTACCTAGAATGGCTGCCAAAGGCTCAGCTCAGTGACATGTCGTCACACTCCAATTCTACAATCACCATCACCAGCGTCGTTCTGTTCCATCACATTTCAAGTCCAATGACGGAGGTACATGATGGGAGATTAATATGTGCTCTCCAGAGTATTCGCAACATCCAACCAACTACATATCCTTTTGTACACTTTCCGGACCCGCCGCAACAACTACGACTTCTTTTCTTCGCCTGCCTGGTCAGATTTCCCAAGGAACCCAAACCAACCTCCCATGGCACTCTTCATTTGTTCCTCTTGAAACCGCTTTTCTTCGGCCTCACGCTCCTCCAGCCACTGTTTTCCCTCTTCTCTGATCCGACGATCAAACTCGGCATATTGCTTTTGTCCTCGTTCTCGGATCTGGTCCCAGATCATCATTCCATCTCCCATAGCGCCCGTGTTGAGCGCATCCGGATGTTGTTGTTGGCTACTAAGCCCTAGGTATGACGCGAGGCCCCCCAAGCTCTTCTTAGACCCTGTTTTCCTCTTCTCGCGTTGTTGTGCCTCAAACTTTTCCCGCATGAGTTTCTCCCGTCGGGCAAATTCAGCAGGGATATAGGTGCCTTCGAATGACTTGAGCACCTCTCGCACATCTTCAAAGCCCATAGTTGCCAAGTATTCCAAGAAAGGGATGAATTGAACCAATGTCTGGTCTGATGGGTCACCCTTCCACTTTGGAAGAATAATGGCATTTTCTGGTTGATGCTTCACATGGTGTGGATCCGTGTCGATGATGAGCACCTTCTTGAGGTCACGGTTCAGGTATGAGAGATCCTGAGAGTGGTCAGTCATGTCATCATTTTGATAAATCATGTCTCAAACAAACCTTGATATAGCCCCCGTCTTTGTAAAGCGTGGCTTCTCGGAATAGAGGCCACCGGATCACTCCATATGGATCAAGTTTTCGCAGGATCTGCTCCGTCATTGCCATTGGCTGGCTAGTGAAGAGAGCAATCTCATAGTAAGCACTGAGGTACCGCAAGAAATAGTCCAGCCCAGGTCTTTTGGCTACCCTCCAACCTTTGTCTCTGGTCCATTCCGAATGTACCAGCATGTCCTCGAGGCTGAGCACCAGGACAAATGGGAAGCGCAAGTTCGGATCCGCGTCCTCATCAGGAAGGAGTTTGGTGGTGACAGGATCCCGGTAATAACTCATGGTAGATCCGAGTCTGGCCTTGATCCGGTTATAAAATAATCCAAAGCCCCAACCGGAAGGTACATCAGGATGCGCCTGCTCCTCCTCTTCGCTGTCCCAATTGCGGCCCAGGTAGACCGAGTAGAGGATACCACCGATTCCGAGGAAAGCATACATGTATTTGAATGTTGCATCCTTCTTGCGATCACTGCTGGAGACGTATTCGGTTCGGGGAATATCGCTGCCGCCGCGACCGGAACTCGAGGCGCCAGTCGGTTCCTCCGATGGGTCTTCGGTGATGTTCAAACCCGAGCTTGATGAAGGGGTCTGCTTCGCTCTTGCTTGTCTGAGCTCCGCATCCAATGTAGAGGGGATGCCCCGGGTGAGATCTGGTAGAGGTGTCTGCGGCTCCTGGGGCTCTTGAGGGGCTTGGTCTGGTTGAGCGGTCTCGCGCTGCTGATGAGCCTCGTTGCTGGAGTCATCGCTGTTGACCCTCCGTTGCTCGGTTGCGGGACGATTGCTCGCCTGGTTCACTGTCTTTAGAACATTCTCGATGTCCTTATCGGCATTCACTCCAAATGCTGGATCAGCCTCAGGTGGAGATTCCGACTTGGGAGGTGGTGTTATGGGGGAGAAAGGAACTTTGCGCAAAGGCTTCTTCTCCGATGAATGAGAGGTTTCGCCTTCGGATTTGGGTACCCGAAAGGGCTTGTCTGGGGGAGGTTGTTTCGAATAAGTGCGGAAAGGTGGCAGCGTCCGCAGAACTGTTGGTCGAAAGTGCTGCGGCTTCACCAGAGGAAAAGCAGCTCTTCTCAGCATGATGAAGTCAGCATGTCCTGATGGGCAAGGTGTGATCTATCCTAGCCCATTCGCTGATGCAGAGGAGAGGGAAGTGTATGCGAACTTGGAGATGTGAATCAAGGCTGTTTGTCTCTGAGATGCTGGATGATGAAATGTAAAAGTTCGGGAATTGGAGATCATGCGGTCGTACTTTCCTCTCCTCACATATTGGGTTAGCACCTTTGGCACCTTTTAGCAGAAGGCAGGAGCGGCCGGCCTGCACGAGTCGCTCTTGCCCCGGCACTGTTTTTCACTCGCAGCCGTCTTGGCGGGAAGGTGCAAAGCGGAGTAAGGCCATAGCACATGACCGCGCCTCCGCTCATAACTCTTCTGCTCCCCTCTTCTTTCTCGCCTTCTTCTCTTTTCTCTTCTCTCAAACAGAAAGTTGAATCCCCCAGAATAATTTGACTCACCGTCCACAGACACTTATGTTCGAGGAGTTGTATTAGCTGGGCATACCAATTACTGCCGTTCTCCTCAAGAGCGCAAGAGAGGCCAGCCTATGATCTACCAGTCGCCCCGTAAGAACGAGACATTCTTCCCACCACCACTACTTTCGCAATGAGTGCATGAGTCGATCCTAGACGATCCGTCTCCCACAATCCCTCTACTCCTCCCTTGATATTTGTTCTCGGGAGCGTCCATGCCACCGTCATGGCGAGACGGACTCGTCAACGCTTTCCCAGTTCCAAAGGATCGCATGAAGTTCACCAAGAAGAGCACGCAAGCAACACCCACACAGAATGTTGAGGTGGAGACCAATGATGAAATTGAGCTCTCGAGCCCCATTGTTCCGTTCCGATTCTTCGACCTTCCTGCGGAAGTGCGCAATGAGATTTATGCACTAGTTTTGTTCAGTAGCGCAGGCTACCGAAGATCAGATGGTACCAAAAAATCCCGTACCTCGATTCTCACTGTGAGCAAACGAGCGCACTTGGAGGCTTCCTACGTACTCTACTCTGCTTCCACGTTCAAGATCTTCCCAATTCAAGATTTTGTACAAGAGCCACTCGTCCAGGAATTACGACCCATATATCGCTCGATGGTGGTCAATGTCGAGATTTTGGTTGGGTCTAGCTGGACGTGTCCGCCGAAAAGCTGGCGAGTCAGCAAGCTTCTGGCCAAGCGATTGAGCAGATTGACTTCTCTACAGACACTGAAGGTGTTTGTGGAAGTTGACCCTAGTGAGCCTGATTTTGAAAAATATCGCATCTCACTGGACTTCTACACAGACTTTTGTGGGGATTTGTTCCGGGATCTCCTGGTGGCATTGCCAATGGTCAAGTTTGTTGAAATGAACGGGAATCCTGGGGTCAATACGCGTGGTCCCTTGGTCACGAGACTGGTCAAGGAGACTGAAGCAAAAGGCAAGATACTGACCTTGGGCCCCACGAAGCCAATGCTTGCACCTGGCGGTGTGCAAATTGCATTCTGGAGCTAATCCTCCTTGACGGCGTTATGTAGTCACGATAATGAATGTAATGGAATACGGTTTAATGACTCTCTTCAACTACACTCAGGTTCTTCCATCTATATCACTCAATTTTCAATTCAAGTAGCGACTCAAAATAGCCCAAAAAGTTCTACATTCTTGCCGCGACAATGAAGCTCTTCGATGATTTGGATTTTTGGATTTTGGTGAGACTACCGTCCTGCCTGATGAATTGGTTGCGCATCGAATTCGAACGCCATGCATGCATACAACAAGCTGGGAAAGAAGATTCCCATGGCTCGACCCGGCCGTGGATACAAAATTACATTGGTGAATCTCGTCTAGAATTGTTTGTTCCTCTTGTAGTGCTCCTCCTCGGCTCACAGTCCGTCGTCCACGTCCATGTCACCATTCTCGTAAGCATGGCTTCCATTGCCGTTGGTCTGTTGGGCCTTCTTCGCCACACTGGCTTCTTTGTCAATCATTTGCCTTGATACCGCCACGATATTGTCCTCGATCAATCGCTGTCCGACATCTTCAATATGCTTCTTTGGGTCAACCTTGCCGACGTATCGGGTTTTGAGTTGCTCCGGTGTCAATTCGTTCTCCTCTCTCACTCGCCGCTCGTAACCTTCTGCTAATGAAACCAGCTGCTTCAGGCCTTCTTCATTCCGCTTGCGCTCGTCGCCGAAACTGTGTGGGAGCTCTAGGCCTTCTGTCCAGACTTCTTTGTGCAGATTCATCAACATATTCTCTTCCAAGCCTGTCTTGCGGTATTGAATGCCGATGCTGTAGTAATGACGATTTAGACCGTGGATGAGAGCTTGAATGGAGGGCTTGTTCAAATGACCAAGATTGGACGTGGTCTGGCGAGGCTCTTGTCCCATCATCATCGTCTGGGGGTTGATTAACCGGAAGGCATCGATGACGACTTTTCCCTTGACGGATTGGATGGGGTCGACTACTACTGCGACGGCGCGGGGAGTGAGCTGTTCAAAAGATTGCTGAGTGTTGATATCCACCGAGGATAGCCAGCAGCCAAAACCAGGATGTGAGTGATACCAGCCCACGACAGTCTCAGGCCGACCAGTTTGACGGAGCATGTCCATCATTTTTGTTTGGAAGACGGGATCGACAGATTCGACACTGACAGATGTTCCTGACTGGGGCATAGCAAAGACATCCACGACGCGGACTGTGAAGTCGTCGACAAACTCTCCCAACATCAGGCCCATGACTTCCATGGGAACACCGGCTCGGCCATGCCGAAGCATCTTGAGCAGTGCAAGTGAGGAAATGTAGACGGTTTCTGAATTGTCAACGAGGCTGGTATCACCGCTCTGGCCTTGCATGCCCATGCCTTGGGCGGCGGCAAGCATACGATTAAGTCGGTCCATGCTGAATATTGGTGTGTGGGAGGAACCAAGAGAGAGGGAAGAAGGGGTCTGAGTATCGCCGAGTCGGTCAAGTGTAAGTGATGTTCTCTGTTATGGAGGTGGCGCTGTTTGATAATCCACTGGATCGACCGGATGGAGTAGTAAACAGGAGAGGGGACACGGCCGGTGATTGAAAGGACGGCGATGATGGGACGCGAGAGTAGGGAGGGAGGCAGGCGATGGCAAAGTTGGCCTAGAGATCAAGGGGGAGAATGGCGTTTTGTGAAGATAGATGTATGGTGTCAAGTCGTTGATATAATGAAGGCCGCTTGTAGAGAAGGTACGAGTAAGAGGCACGCACGCCTTGGGGATCTTGGTGCTGTACTTTCCAGAGGTTGACTTTTAGGTGCAGCGCAGGCAAGGCAGGCACTATGGCGAAAGCTTTCTAGGCAAGTGCAGGCTGCGTACTGCTCTCCACTCCCTGGCAGGAGCGAGTCGCGAGGGACCTTCGCGCCTTCCTGGTTGTCCCTGACTTAAGCAAATCCGCCTTTCCTAATCAGTGCTAGAGCCATTCTCTCCCCGCCAGCCAAAGTTGGAGAATCACTCTTCACTCGAGTTATTACTCTCGACCAGTAACTTCTTGTTCCTTTGACAGAAATATATCTTTCTCTGCTCGACCAACTTCGTCATTTCTTCCCTGCATTAATATCTCGACAATCCATAGAGGCCAAAGCCGATCATGCGGTGCGCAAATTGATGTTTAACACTCTCAAAGCGGCATCGTCGCAGTTTTGTCGCGGACAGTTCCACCTTGTTTCTTAGCCCAAGACTACCAACCTCAACCTCAACGGTACGTGTCCAGTCCAGTGGCGCTCCTCGCTCACGACTGTCATCCATACGACACCGACTACTCTCCTTCTCGTTACATCCACTAATGACTCATGACTTACAGCTGTTCCAAAGACAACTCTCTAAATCAAAATGACCTCCTTCGCCCCAGTGGATTCGGTCCGACTCAACGGCGATGGGTCAAAGAAACGAGTCGCATATTTCTACGATTCAGATGTCGGCAACTATGCATACGTCTCGGGTCACCCCATGAAACCTCATCGAATACGACTTGCCCATTCCTTGGTCATGAACTATGGCTTGTACAAAAAGATGGAAATTTATAGGGCAAAACCAGCTTCAAAATATGAGATGACCCAATTTCACACTGATGAGTACATCGACTTCCTTGCCAAAGTCACTCCAGACAATATGGAGTCGTACCAGAAAGAGCAGCAGAAGTACAACGTTGGAGACGACTGTCCAGTTTTCGATGGTTTATTTGAATTTTGCGGTATCAGTGCTGGAGGATCCATGGAGGGCGCAGCACGCTTGAACAGACAAAAGGCTGATATTGCGATTAATTGGGCTGGTGGTCTGCATCACGCGAAAAAGAGCGAGGCTTCGGGTTTCTGTTATGTCAACGACATTGTTTTGGGCATCATTGAGCTTCTCCGTTTCCACAAGAGAGTCCTCTACATCGACATTGATGTCCACCACGGTGATGGCGTCGAAGAGGCTTTCTATACCACCGATCGCGTCATGACCGTCTCGTTCCACAAGTACGGAGAATACTTCCCTGGTACCGGCGAACTTAGGGATATCGGAGTTGGCTTGGGCAAACACTATGCGGTCAACTTCCCTCTCCGAGACGGAATTGACGATTCATCCTACAAAGGCATCTTCGAACCCGTCATTCGAGCCACTATGGAATACTATCAACCCGAGGCGGTCGTCCTCCAGTGTGGCGGTGACTCGCTATCAGGTGACCGGCTAGGCTGCTTCAATCTCAGTATGAAAGGCCACGCCAACTGTGTCGAGTTTGTCAAATCTTTCCACCTTCCTACTCTTATTTTGGGAGGGGGTGGCTATACCATGAGAAATGTGGCAAGAACATGGGCCTTCGAAACCGGTTGTCTTGTCGGTGAGAACATGCCGCCAAATCTTCCTTTCAATGACTACTACGAGGTGAGCGGTTTTCACATCTGCTATCATGACACGTCTGACCATACATAGTACTACGCTCCTGATTATGAACTCGATGTCCGTCCATCTAACATGGACAATGCCAACTCGAGGGAATACCTGGAGAAAATTTTGTCTCAAGTCCTCGAAAACATGAAGCAAACAGCCCACGCACCATCAGTCCAGATGACAGACATTCCCCGGGACTCGTTGGGCTTGAACGATGACGACGAAGCTGCTCTCGATGATCTCGATGAGGACGAAAACCCCGACAAGCGGACAACACAGCGTCGACGCGACAAATACGTCCAGAAAAATGGAGAATTGTCAGACAGTGAGGATGAAGATCCAGAAGAACTTCAAGCCTCTCGACGGCGACGAGCCCAAGTCAACTATCGTAATATTATGGATGTTGGGCAAAACGACTCCGGAGTTGAGACTGGAAGTGCCATGGGAACTCCAATGCAAGGTTCAAGCCTTCCCGACGACGCCGATGAGATGAATATCGACTCTGTGGGCAACACCAATCAACCACCCAGCCCCGCCAACGAACCCGTCGTGGCATCAGTCGCTCCCTCCGAACCTCCTACCGCAGCCCCCGCAGCACCCGCAGCACCAGCCACAGATGAGGACGTCGAGATGCAAGACGCCGACGTCAATGGAACTGCCCCCGCGCCCGAAGCTCCCCCAGCGGAAGAAGAGTCGACTATTACAGTACAACAACAACGGACGCCTCCTGATTCCCCGGCACCCCCAGCGGAGTCAATCGTGGAAAGTGAAGCCGGACCAGCGACAACTACCTCCGTCACTGCGGCACCAGCTGCGGAAAGCGCGCCATCTCCAGCCGCAGAACCCACGACAGAAGCTGCTCCTGCTAAAACACCATCGGTGGAACCCACTGCCGACACCAAGACACCAGAGGCTGCGGAGACCACCGAGACCACCGAGGCCGCTGAAGCCGCCGAGACCACCGAAACAGCCGTCAAAGCTGAGCCCGGGACCAAGGAAGCCGAGCCAGAGGACGATCTAGCGAAAGCACAAGCAGCGGAAGAAGGGTTGATTGAGCGAGAAACAGCGAATGCTGAAGGCGAAGCGCGAACGGAGCAGGCTGCCAAGGCCGAAGAAGATGAGCCTAAGGTGGACGAAGTGAGCACTGCCAAAGACTAGGTGGCCAGATGCAAGCGGCTCAAGACCTTGACTTTTGTTTTTGTGGTCACAATGGTAGTCTGGTACGTTGGCGTTTTCCCTGAGGCGTGGTGCAGCTGGAGGCTTGGGGTGTTTTGAGACGCAGGTTATGAGTACAAGACTGGTTGTATATGATATTTTGAGGTACAAGGGAGGATTCAGTGATCTACAAGCAGACCTGGTTGCCAGGCTGCGAGACGTGATTCTTTGCAGGCGATATTGCCCAAGAAGACATGGAATGAAAGATCTGAGGAGTACTTGGCGAGTTCAATCCTTGAAAACTAGATGTTGATTCTTGGTATCCGTTGCGTCCTCGAAGCGGGTTCACTCAATCATATCTTTAGACAGATAAAATCTCTCCATGATCAAACGCTCGAGGTCCAACTCTGGACAGTTGTGCACACTTGAGCAATTTCCTGCAGAGCGAATGGATCGGCTACGTAGAAAGCCGTAGAAACCCTCGTCCATCACTCCTCCGCAACTCTGATCACGACCTTGCCTGCATTCCTCCTCCCACGACTCTCTACCAACTCCATCGCCTCACGACCTTGTTCCAACTCAAAGACCTTGTCTGTATGCATCTGTAGTCGATCCTGAGCAATAAGCTTGCCCAAAATATCTAAATCCGATCCAGACGGGCGAACAATGAAGAACTTTGTTGGAATATCCGGGACGTGCGGGGTTTGAGGTGCCGATGCGGCTTTAACCATATCCTCGACAGGAGCAACGATCGTGACGACCCTACCTTTTTCACGAATGACTGGCTTCGGGTGAGACAAAATGGGAAGCAGAAGTGTGGCGCCTGTACAATCAAGCACTAAATCCACAGGCTCGAGGGAGAGTTTGGTGAAGATGTCAGGGATGGATGTAAAATCCGGAGATGGGTATTGGATGACATTTTCTGCATGAAGAGTTTCAGATACGAATGACAGCATGGGTGAGCTGCACACTGCCGTGACGTGGAAGCCTGCAGAATGTGCGAGTGATAGAGCTGGGACGCCGACTGAGCCTGCGGCGCCTAGGACGAGGATACGGTAGGATTTGTCCGACGAGGGAGAGTGCGATGGAGATGGCGTAACGTTGAGGGATGATCGTGGGAGGCCTCCGTGGATGAACATGGCTTGATAGGCTGTCAGGCCTGAGAGTGGGACGGTGGCTAGAAGTTCGTCCCATCGTGACACAAGGACAGTAGATGTTGAGGGTCGGTCGGGGATGAGGCTCAGTTCGCTCTCATGCGCCACGGTCAACGTCGCTGCCGCTCCGTCGCGGTCAAAGTCGATGAGTGCCCAGACTTTGTCTCCTACATTGAATTTGGGTGATTGGCTAGTAGACGGAGATGGGTACACCTTCTGGATGATGCCAACGACGTCGTGACCCGGTATGGCAGAGCCATACGGGTGAAAGCGGGAGGGTTCAAGAGTCTCAGGCCACGTTAATTCCCCGCGTGTGAGTGCGGTTGTCAAAACGCGAATAAGGTAAGCTGGTGTCGATTGGGAGGGCGGGTCTGATTCTGAGCCTGTGGATCGGGGTTGAGGCTCTGGAGGCTCTGGAAAGTTGGCAGAAGAAAACACCAAAACTGATGGCGGAGGTTTCTTGTGTGGATAGGTGAAAGCGGGTGTTTCCTGTAGTGGCACACCAGGAAGATGAAGCGCTTGCATGATTTGACGTATTTCTTATCCTTCTGCTCGTATGGATCCTGATATTGGGACCATATCACCACCAGAACACAGCGATCTGCTCCTGTTTTCCACTGTTTTCCAGATACATCTCTAGGAGTTTTATTGAGCATTCAAACCACCGAATCAGAACGAGATCAAACCCCGAGTATCCTAGTCGTGTACTCATTTCACCGTGTGTTAGTCAGCAGTAGAGGAGTGCGAGGTTAGTCCAAGACGTCGTATTGGTGGCCCGAGGGCCCCCGGATATTCATCTCCAGCCCCAGCAAGCCTACCTATCCGATTGGGTTTTGTTTGACACAAAGCATATCCGTAAATTGATTCGAGGAATTGCAGCTGAATAGGTGGAATGTGAAGAAGATAGAGAAGGTTGCTTTTTCGTTCAGTCGCAAAACATATCAGTAATAACGTAAAACCAGTTGACGACCAAAAGGTCTTATCGTTCTGGACTGGACTACCATCTGCAATGACAGTGGCCAATGCGTCGTACCATCGTGGTCGCTTATCGCAAAATGAGAACAGAAGCAAAGCAAAAGCCATTTATCAGTCAATCTATGAACACGGAGGCAAATCAAGGCGAGCTTTGAGTTGTGGGGCGAGTCAGTAGCGTGTGCACTTAGGGAGGCCGCGCCGGTAATTCGGGCTGCAACTCGTGCCTGCGAATCGTCTGTCGGCGTGCCCACGAGGGTTGCTTGGACGCCTAGGAAGCATATTGAGAAATGAATTAACCCTCCGACCATACAGGCTCAGCCAACTGGCAAGATACGGGGTGCCTTGGTGACCAGCCCGTGCAAATACCCTCTGTGCCTCTCATACCTCTCGTGCTCTGCCAATCTGCAATAATTTCCCTTTACTGGGGGGCATGCAGGTCCACATGAACTCCGTACTCCGAACAGCAGGCGCCCCCTCGCCCCCCTCCCTTGTAGCCCGTAGCCAGTAAGCTGTAGGCAAGGCTGTACTCGGGAGGCGAGCAACACGCCACAGGCATGTCGCCATCCTCTAATATTGCTTCTGCCTCACCTGCTGAAAGATTCGAGTACCTCCTCTCCTACTAAAACTCTCGCCGTTGTCTCTTTCTTCTCGCTTCTGGCCGTCGCCAGCTTGCTCTTGCTGCTTGTACACCTTTGACGTTCTCATCTCTTTTCACGTTTACTTCCATTCGATAATCCCTCCAAGTTCACTCGCCACAAACGCCTCCGATCTCTTTTTCCTCCCCAGTGACGCAGCCATGAAACTCTCCATACATCACCTCCTTGAGTGATCGGCAGATCCATCCTGACTGGCTCCCTTTCGTTCTCACGTCACGCATTCACGCATCCCCGTCCTCACTCGGCCTGCTGCGCCTCCAGGCCTTTGGGCCTCGACACCTTTACGCCTCCCATCCCAGACGCGACCTTTTTTCTCCAGGGTGCGGTCTCCCTCTTGACAAGAAACCTCACACTTTTCCTTGTCTTGGAGGATCGAATTCCAACAACATTATGCCATTCTCCGACCTGTTCTCCGTCCCCTTCGCCGAATACTTTACAAGTCCAGTGTCATATGCAAGTCGACAAGTCCACGCCACATTGGCCCACCGAGACCAGTACTCCTTTGTCAGTCATGCCTCCAACGAAATAGCGATAAATCGTGCCCATACGGGCCACCCCGATTTCGGCCACCTCATCCTCCTGGTCTTTGAAGCAGTCCTTGAAGTCGTATGTGTCAGTCTTCCAGGCTACATTGTTGCCAGACAGGGTTCCTTCGATGCAGAGTCACAAAAGTTTCTCGCCAACCTCAATGTCATTCTGTTCACGCCATGCCTTATCTTTACCAAGCTGGCTTCTCAGTTAACTGCGGAGAAACTTGCCGAACTCGCCATCATTCCAGTCATCTTTGTCGTTCAGACAATCGTCTCCTATCTCTCCGCCTGGCTCATGTCCAAATTCATGGGCTTCAGGAAACGACAAACAAACTTTGTCATTGCTATGGGTGTCTTTGGCAACTCCAACTCCCTCCCCATTTCGCTGGTTCTCTCATTGTCGAAAACCTTGAAAGGTCTTCACTGGCAGAAGGTTATTGGGGACAATGACGACGAGGTGGCAGCTCGTGGTATTCTATACCTCCTTGTATTCCAGCAGCTCGGTATGTCTTGACCATTCCCTTTTACACCTCGTTTTCATAGCCATTCCCTAATCTTATCTCTCCTCTAGGTCAACTTCTCCGATGGAGTTGGGGATACAACGTCCTTCTTGCACCACCCGAGACCTACACAATAGAAGAAGGTGGCACCAAGCAGCCAGATGCTGTGGAGCGGGGTCGGGGGAGCTTTCGCGATAGTGTCGACTCGGACAATGAGCAACGGAGGCTTTTGAGCCCGAGCTACGATGCACAGTACAGCAGTGACGATTTCGAGGAAGATGCTGAGACGAGGGTTGGCACAGAGTCCCCGACTATGTCCAAGTCAGATGGCTTCAAGACACCTCGTACACCAAATGATACTTCGGCGGGAACATCCAGGAATTCGTCCAGTCGAGACCTGACTACCACGGGTGCTCCAGATTTGATGGCCACTCCCACCAATGGAATGATTGCTCCACATGGCTCCATTGATATCCCTACGTGGCTTAAGCATCCTGATAATAGGAAATATGACGAGGAATGCGGTGGCATCAAGGGCTATTTGAACAAGGGAAAGAACGAGGTCAGATTTGCCTCGCTCAAGGTCGGCCACTCGGTCAAATCGTCGGTACAGTCGCTTTTTGCTTCGTTACCTCGAGGATTGCAAAAGGTCCTGTCGGCAATCTCGGCCAGAACCAAGAGATTTCTTGCCGGCTTGGCCGAGTTCATGAATCCTCCGCTATGGGCCATGCTGGTTGCCATTCTGGTCGCAAGCGTCCCTAAACTGCAGCATCTTTTCTTCCACCAGGGAACCTTTCTCCGGAACTCAGTGACCCGAGCTGTCGAACAGAGTGGTGGTGTCGCTGTGCCACTCATTTTGGTCGTCCTCGGGGGCAATCTTGCTCGAAATACCATCCCACGAGATCCTGCAGCGGCGACGACGGACCCGAAAGAAGAGAAGAAACTCTTGATTGCATCCTTGGTATCGCGCATGGTACTTCCGACTATTATCATGGCGCCTTTCCTTGCTCTCCTGGCCAAATACCTCTCCATCTCGATCCTCGAGGACAAGATCTTTATCATTGTTTGTTTCTTGCTCTCGGGTGCACCATCAGCTCTGCAACTGACTCAGATCTCAGCCCAGAACAATGTGTTCCCAGGCTTGATGAGTCAAATTCTATTCCAAAGCTACGTGATATGGATCTTGCCATCGACCTTGGTTTTGGTCATGTTGGCGCTGGAAACGGTGGAGTGGACCAAGCAGTAAAGGAGTCAAGCATCTCGAGCTGAGCCCCGACCGACAGTTTCACTGGTGGGAACCCCGTCTGGAAAGATTGATATGGTCATTGGTCGCGAGGAGGTAGTGACACTGACGAGCACCCCAACTTGAACGTTGCGGCGTCATCTCGCGCAGGTTGCATGGGAGTGAATTGATCCTAAACGAGGAGAAATTGTTGGAATGATAGATAGCCAGCAAAGGCGTTGTGGGAGTTCCGTGCTTTGACACGATGAAACAAAAACTTGGCTTGGGTCACTGTTGGTACATTGTACAGATACCTTATTGTTATGTCAAATCCCAGTGTGGTGTTATATTGCTACGTTTCTCGTTCCCTGCCAGGACGCAGAATACATATGATTGATGTGGTCAAAGTGCGACTTGTCCGAGGACAACAGCCGATGCTCCGTTATGTCCCTGACAGCCGCAAAGAACCAACTCTGATGAGCCCCCAACCAAGAGCATGGTCACATGTGGCACTTGCTCGGTCCTTACACCTGTCCACGAACGTAGCCATGTGTTGAACTCGCAGACGATGCGTTCTTGCTGGCTGCTTGTACCCACTCATGATGTGGAGTTGAAGCTGCCATGACGAAAGGTGCCTGGGCCTCTTACGTCGCCATGCATGATTCATGAAGTGGGCAGAAGTGGCAGTGTGGTACTGTGAGTGGGCATGGAGTGGCTCTGACAGGCGACGGTTGGTTCTCTGTGTGGTTGTTATGACGTTGCAGGGCCCAGGTTCTTCATCGCTAGTGAGCCTCTAGGGCTTGAAAGTCGATTGTGGGGAGGATTATTGGGGGAATCAGCACCTGGACTGAAGTGCCCATCGGCTCTAAGGAGAGCCTAATGAGTGCTTGTCTGGCAAGTCGTTGGCTTCTAAAGCAGCTAACTATGGTAGTTCACAGAGACCTATATCAATCAAGTTAGCATTATGCCATTTGTCCTAATAATAACTATGAGAATGCACAGTAGTCATGATTCCCACCAGTTACAGCGTCTTCGGCGAAAAACATACGCAAATACTCTCCACATAGTACAATGAGCCATCTCAATGCATCTTTGAACCAGACTTTTTCTACTCCGTACTCTTTTTCCAAAAATAATCTACTTCCAATTTCTACCGACACGAGAGAGGGGCTAAGTGGGAGACAGTAAATTGTACGAGGATGATCCTATCTATGTCGATCAACTCAACATGTCATGTTCCAGGTTGGCGGTTTGGATGAGGTTGGGAGGGCCGCATGGTGGCTTGATACATGTGACTTTCCGCAAACCAGTCGTTGATGATGCCTCAAGCATGGTCACTGTAGATGTATTTGTTTCCCAGTTCTTACAACTTCTCCGATTGCAGGGTGTAGGATTCAAGGACGTCGACCTCGTGAGTCAGGAATTAAGACGACCTGCAGCTGCCCAGAGTCGGAGCTTACGTACCTGCTTTGACCATATTTAGTCAGGAACCTGTTGAGGAAGGCAGGTACCGAAAAAAAGAGGACACGAGGAAGGAAGGGCTTTGTCCCACAATGTGCGAGTAGTGATCCTCTTTGCGACTAAGATACTCTCGACCTACTCTTAGCTTACTGCACACTCACACGCAAACACACACGCAACACAGGATCTTCAGGTGACAGCAGTAGCAGGTTTAGCAGTAGCCACGTAGGACATTTTAGCGTACATGTAGACACTGTGACTAGTAAGTCGTAAACAAGGTATCAAGACCTGGAGTTCCTTGACACAATGACACGGAGGCGCTTGAGGATACGTGGATGCTTTTCTAGCAGCTAACGTGCATTGCGTGCTAACTTATAGTCACTCCCAGGCAATCGAATCATCGATCCCACCAGCCAAAGGCCCAGGGCCGTGCCATGGACACGGGGGGATCGACATGAAAACTCTCCTCTTCTGGCATATTCCATCTTGCGCAAATCGCCTTTCCACGAATCGTCGTTTCGGCCCTGCATGCCACTGCCACTGCCACCATCTCTGTCATTGACGCCCCTCACAGGCTCACACCAAAGATCATTGTCGACTCATAGACTATGTTCTCTTCAATACCTGAGCTTCGCAGATAACCACATCAAACCTGCAGAGTCATCGCCCAGTTCGCCCAGTTCAGCCAGACCAAGTCACAAATCCTGCCTGCGCACTCGGCCTTATTCCAAACCTCGCCTTCCACAATCTCTTCCCTCTTTCGGGCCCGTAGGTTCCGGGTCGAATCTCCATCCAACTGAACATCACTGCCTCTCCCAGTACCACTGCTTGCTCAGCAACCGCCGTAGTCTCCAGCTCACTCCATCGCATGGGACCACTCCTACTACTACCACCTCTTTCTTTCATCTTCCCTGACCTCTACTTGTCCCTATTACACTCCAGACCTACCACACCACACCGCCCCGGGACAGCTCCGTTCCATTCGAACTAAGGGCATCTCACCTGATTGCATGTCGAATTGTTGAACAACCACCAGCTTCCAGCGCTTCTGCGCACCCACCGTTCACATCCTCCTTCAACATGACCGAATCACAACAACCCCTCTCTCCCAACATCCCCAGAAGCCCAGAAGACATCGCTCATGCAAACCCCGCCCACACCTCGCCGCCTCCAATCCTCAACTCTCCCCCTCGTCTTCCATCCTTGACTTCTCAGCGACCTGCCATGTCATCAGCGATCAGCCCATCTTCTGCTCCGCTGGGCCCTACCAATGCCGCTCGACGTCCAGGCCCTCCCCCCAGTCGAGCCAGTGGCTTGAATTCCGATATCCAGGCTAAGATGAAGGCATTCTCGCTGTCCAGACAAGGCGCTCCCTCCACACAAGCTGGACGTCCGGGTGTTCCGGGTCAGCCAACCCCCCCTGCCGGCGGATTCCCAGCTGGTTCTCTTGCTGGACCTTCCCCTACCTCTCCCAATATTCCTTCATCGAATCTGCGAATGTCTCCTCAGCAGAATGCGCCCAATTTCGCCCCAGGGCGTGTACCCAGCAGCCCACAACCCATGAACCCACGGTTACCCACTGGTGGCCTGGCGGCCAAGCGGGGTATGAAAGGGGCACTCAAACTTTCAGACGCTCAGAAGCCCGCTCCTACCGGTCAGCAACCCGTCAACCAAGATACTGGCTCACAATTCAGCAAGTTCTCGAGCATTATCGATACCCAAAAGGGTACCTTGAACTTCCAGAACAAGGCCGTCATCCATGGCAGCGGCATCGACTTTGCTGGGGGCAGTACATTCTCAATATCGCTAGACGAAGTTGACACCATTGCCGAGCTCGGCAAAGGCAACTATGGCACTGTGTTCCAAGTCCGCCATGCCCGTCCGAAGATGCGTCGACCTGGTCAAGGTCTTCGAGGAAACATGCTCCGTCAGGCATCAACCTCGAGCGCCCAGAGTGATGACAGCGAGCCTCCAACGCCGACCCCAGGGACTAGTGGTCTCGTCATGGCCATGAAAGAAATTCGCCTCGAGCTTGACGATACCAAGTTTGCCCAGATCATCATGGAACTCGACATCTTACATCGTTGTATCTCGCCTTTCATCATCGACTTCTACGGTGCCTTCTTCCAAGAGGGATCGGTCTATATATGTATCGAGTACATGGATGGTGGATCGATCGACAAACTCTACGGTGACGGCGTTCCCGAAGGCGTCCTCAAGAAGATTACTCTGTCGACCGTCATGGGTCTCAAAAGCTTGAAGGATGACCACAATATCATCCATCGAGATGTCAAACCCACCAATATCTTGGTGAATACTCGTGGCCAAGTCAAAATTTGCGATTTTGGTGTTAGCGGGAATCTTGTTGCCTCAATCGCCAAAACCAACATTGGTTGCCAGAGCTACATGGCTCCGGAGCGGATTTCAGGTGGTGGCATGGCTCAGGCTGGTGCTGGAGGTGGTTCTTACAGCGTCCAGTCTGACATTTGGTCACTGGGTCTCACCATCATTGAATGCGCACTCGGCAGATACCCGTACCCTCCAGAAACGTACGACAATATTTTCAGCCAACTGAGCGTGAGTTTTCACTTGATCCCTTCTCCCAGCACCACCACAACTAACACTGACGCTAGGCTATCGTTGATGGTTCCCCGCCTGACCTACCCGCCGACCGCTTTTCCGAGGCCGCGATCGACTTCGTACGGGGTTGTCTGAATAAAATCCCTCGACTCCGCCCAACCTATGCCATGCTTCTCCGACATGCTTGGCTGGCACCCCTGATGAAGCCTCCCACCATCTCCGAAGACGAAGAGGCCGAAGCTGCTGCCGAAGCAGGGCTCGATCCAACTCTATCCAGTACGGGAGCTCCTTCCACGGCAGACAAAGAAGTGGCCGATTGGGTCAAAAACGCAATCGAGAGAAAGAAGGCCGGCAAGATGGCAGTCAGCAAGAAGCCTGCATTGCACGAGGCGCCGCTGGATGCCGTTCCTGGTAGTCCTCTATTGACGGACGGAGATGTGCCTACGCCGGCTAAAGGCAACGACGTGACAGATTTGAAGCCCAATCCTGGTGTGACGGTGGATTCGCCAGACCTGAAAGCAGCACGAGTACACAGTCTAGACTTTGCGCCCACACAATAGACTGTGGGATGACGATCAGATGGGATTATGTTGGATGGGATCACGACATATCACGAGCAAAGCTAACTTGAAGCACCTGAAGAAAAGGTCATGATGATGAGAAACAAGTGTCATCTTTGGTAGACAGAAACAAACTTAAAGAGCACGATGATCGATGTATTGATAACTCAAGATCCAAGTCTTTCTCCTGTATATTGTATATTGTGGTTCATGACTCGTTGTGATATGATAAAGTGAGCAGGAACACTTGTGGTAGTTGTAACTTGTTCCCCTACACGCCGTGTCAATGCGCGACGTTTGAAGACCGCGAAGTAAAAAATGCCTCTGCTTGTTATGATGTCAGACTCTGACGCTCAGCCAAGATCTGATTGATCCATCTCCGACGTCCGGCCTGTCCATGAACTCACGGTCGACAACATCAATTCAAGCATACCACTCAAGTACACGTATAGAGTGTGTGCTGACGAATCTCCAACCTTGCATTCATTCTCTCCAATGTATGGTCGCGTTAGAAATCTTCCTGACAGCCACCGGTCACAATGCCTGCTTTGATTCGGAGGTTGTTGGTCTGGGCTGCTGCCGATGGACTTGTTCTGCAAGCTCATGGTCAAAATAATGAACAGCACAGGTCGATCCAGATTGATTACAAAAGCCGCCAAATCAAAGAGGCTCCAGGTCTTGAATACGAGTGGAAGAAAAACACACCCTTGGAGTCGCATGGTGTAATAGGTAAGGGCGCAATCCGACCACCATGTGTTATTAATTAGCTACTAACGTACCCAGGTCTACTGTCCCTGGCCTCGTCACATTTCTTAATCGCCATTACGCAACGAGAGCAGGTGGCACAAGTCTTTGGAAAACCCATCTATGTCGTGACTGACGTTGCAATCGTACCCATCACGTCCCAGGCCGACGCCCGCCGAGCTATCATCGCCGCTCGGACTTCTCGTGGCTCTAACAACTCAAGCAATGCTTCGAGCTCCGACCTGAGCGATGCTGATGATCACAGCGATAATGAAAATTCCGACGACGGTGAAGCTGCTCGACAGGAGAGCTACGATGAGCCTGAAACTCCGCACGACTCCAGACCCTCCCAACCCAGAAACCCGAGCTCGACCAGCATCGCCAAAGACGTCATTGCAAATCGAGGGCAGTATGGTAGATTTGCATCCCAGTGGTTTTCGAGACCGGGCTGGGGTGCTGGACGGAATGTTAATAATGCTCTGCCCGCCAAATCGAACCCGGAACCACAAACAGCGGCAGCATCCTCGTCCGGAGATACATCTTCAGAAAAGTCTCAGGCAGAGGAGGGTGTCAATGCGGGCAAACCGGCGGAAGTTGCGGCCAAAGACACCAAGCCTTTGCAGACCGATCAGGTCTCGCAGGAGAACTCCATCGCCGATGCTATCCCAAAGATTCTTCGCACCACCAAGATGATTCTGACATCGGGGAGTTTCTTCTTTTCCTACGACTTTGACCTTACTAGGAGACTAGAGTCTCTTGGTGAATCTGCCAGACCCCCGTCGAGAGAGTCGGTGGACCCGCTTTATTTCTGGAACCGGAAACTGGGAATGCCCTTCTTTGACTCGAGGCACGATGCGTTCGTTATGCCAATATTACAAGGGTTTGTGGGCCAGAGGTCGTTCGTGGTGAAGAAGACAGCGCCTCAAGAATCCCAGGCAGCCAGCGTGGTGGCCGCAGAGGAGACGGAACCATCTAGTGGAGTAGAGGAGGTGCTCAACAAGGCTAAACAAGAGATTGCTAATCTTGGAGGCGACACACAAGCATATTTGCTCACACTTATCTCAAGACGATCTGTCAAAAGATCAGGGCTGAGATACCTGCGACGAGGTATCGACGATCAAGGTAATTGCGCCAACGGTGTGGAGACGGAGCAGATTCTGTCTGCACCGGACTGGTCGCCTTCGAGATCCATTCGATCTTTCGTCCAGGTACGAGGTTCCATCCCACTTTATTTTTCTCAGTCGCCTTATTCATTGAAACCGGTGCCTGCTCTACACCACTCGACGCCAGTAAACGAAGCCGCGACGAAGAAGCACTTTGCCGACCTTAAACGCCGGTACGGTGCTGTGCAGATTGCCGCCCTGGTAGACAAGCATGGCACGGAAAGAATCATTGGCGAGGCATACGAGAAAACCATCAAGTCCATGTCCGAAGATCGACAGTTGGAGAATGTCGAATTTGAGTGGTTTGATTTCCACGCCGAGTGTCGAGGGATGAAATTTGAGAACGTGTCCAAGTTGGTCAACACTCTCGAGGAGCATGTCAAGACCCATGGTGAGACGCTCATCACCGACTCCGGCACAGAAACCAAGCAGACGGGAATCATCCGTACCAATTGCATGGACTGCCTGGATAGAACCAATGTGGCACAAAGCGCCTTCGGACAATATACCTTACAACGCGATCTAGACAGTGAAGGCTTCACCATCGATCTTCTCCATGATGAGACCACCACGTGGTTCAACACTCTTTGGGCAGACAACGGAGATGCGATTTCCCGACAGTATGCTTCGACGGCGGCCCTGAAAGGCGATTTTACTAGGACTCGACGGCGAAATTATCGTGGTGCCCTGAACGACTTCAGCTTGACCTTGACCCGATACTACAATAACATGGTCAATGATTATTTCTCACAGGCTGTGATTGATGTTCTACTGGGCAACTTGTCATGGAAGGTGTTTGAAGACTTTGAAAGTACCATGATGAGTGCCGATCCAGGCATCTCCATCGAGAAGATCCGCGAAGGGGCGATTGAGAACTGTGTCAAGCAAGTCATCCAGGAGGACAGTGAAGATTTGATCCATGGATGGACCATGTTAACCCCAGCTCACGAGAATACATTACGGACGCTCCCGTTCGAAGAGGCTGTCGTGTTACTGACTGATGCAGCACTCTACTGCTGCAAGTTTGACTGGACGACAGAAAAATTGGCATCATTTGAAAAAGCGGATCTCAGATCGATATCCAAAATTCGATACGGCACATACATCACATCCACTTTCTCCGAGCGGGAGATGAAGGAGGATTTAAATGCAGGCGTGGTTATTGTTTACAAACCAGGCAAAGAAAGCATGATTCGCACCAACACTAGATCTCTACAGAACTATGTGGCGCCGTCATTGGAGGGCACAGAGAACAGGCTCGATGGAGGTACGGGGATACTTTCATGGCTGAGTCCCAACTCACCACCATCATCACGGACTCTTGCATTGAAGGTCATTGCAGCAAGCACCAACGAGTCGGAAGAGACAGGTTCGAGCAGGTCTGAGAAGCCTATCAGTCTGGCGCAGAATATCGCAGATGAAATCCGGAGAGCCATCGTGGACCCATCGTCACGAGAGGCTCGAGAGGGTGCGGAGAAGAATGATGGGCTGGTAGAGAACAACGCAATTATTTCACTAGCGGAAGCAAGAAAGAGGACGGGATATTTTGAACAGTTGGGCCATTCAATTCGGAGACTGGTCTGGGCATGAAGGATGTCAGATGCACCCATGAAGCCTTGGACTTGGATGATAGATACCTAAATACTTGACCGTATCAGTTCTGACACGATGATGATGATCATAAAGAGGTATGAAGGATGAACAGAGAAATAAATGAATGAGGAGGAGGAATTCAAGGCGGGACAGTTTTGGGAGTTGTATAGGGAAGGAGGTGCAGCCAGTTCATGACCACCTTCCTTGTAAGTGTGGATGGATGACTTGGATCTTGTGGCAGGCACCACCATAAGATACCTAAGTACCTAGTAATTATTATTAACAACAGAAGTCCCTAAAGCCCTAGCCCCCACCTCTCTTTGGTACACCCATTCAACGTCTTGTGTGGCCCCTCGGCCTCACTGACAGATGCACGTCCAGCAGGGAGGCTTCTTTGCTCCAATTGTCTGGCAGTGTGACCGAGGTCCAAAATGACAGGTCCATTGCGAATTCATGCATGTCCAACAGGAGTTGCCGTTGCAGAACCTGAACTTGTCCCCTCGACACCCACGGCCACGCGGCGCCTGCCCAACCTTGGGATGGTGTTAATTGCCATGAACGTCCAATCATCAACCTACATGTAGACCCACTATAGACGCTAAGTACACCGTAGTACACATGCTAATGCGACTGCCAGAATTCTCACCACCACATTTGTGCCATCCTGAACTCCCACCACCACAACCACCACCACAATCACGAGAGGATCGCTCACCTCTCAGTCCAAAGTCTCCCCTCAACGATGCATGGTCGACATATGCATCCAGATTTCCAGTCGTCCACCCATTCTTGAGTCCTCTCAACCTTTCTACAGCCATTCCCAAGTTCGCATGTTTACCCGACTTCGCACCCGCCCACTCCCCTCCAACCCAAGAAATTTGCCCACTTTTCTCTGTCCTGTACTAGACTCTTTGCTCACACCATCAAACCTCTTCCCAAACGGTCCCGCGAGCATACATAAGAACCGATCGATCAAAATCTTTTACTAGATCCTTGTCGCCTAGTCCTTGAACCCCGGGGCAGTCAGCGACAACCTGCACTCCGACAGTCCTCCCCCGCCAACACATCCTCTTCGTTGAGCCTTGAGGGCGACGGTGCCCATCATGGAGTGGCGCCCGGAGGAGGAGGGGTTGAAACAATTGTCCCAGTTCTTGAGGAACTCTCTCAGTGGCCATGATAGAAATAAACAAAAGGAAGCAGAGCTGGTGAGTTGAAGCCTTTGCGCTTGTCAAGCATGAGACCAGAATACCAATCCCACAACGGCACCATCCCCTCACTTGCCCATGAATCTGGCCGCAAACTGACACTTTCTGTTCTCCCGTAACTATAGATGCTCATGAACGCTCGCAACAATTCCGACTATGTCAATTATCTCACCTACATTCTCAATGCCCCGCAGATCGGCCAACTCGCTGGTCTTACTGCGCCCAGCACATTTCTCGTTCGCTATGCTGCCGCGATCAACCTCAAGAATCACATCAAGCTCTTCTACAAGCAAATTCCCAAAGACCAACTCGCCTACATCAAGAGCGCTACCTTACAGGTGCTCCAGGACCCTAATCCTCAACTCCGCAGCTTTGCCGGAACAATCATCACCGAAACCGTCCAACAGGGAGGCTTGCTGCAATGGCCTGAAATATTGCAAGACCTTCTATCACTTGTCTCGAATGCCTCAGGGACCGCCACTCCCGAAACTCAGGAAGGCGCCATGTCTGCCCTGGCTAAAGTCTGTGAGGACAACAAAAAGCTACTCGACAAGGACTTTCAAGGCCAACGACCAATGACCGTCATCATCCCTAAGCTCCTGGAGTTTGCCGGTCATCAGGATCCCAAGATCAAAGTCCATGCTCTGACCACGTTGAAGCATTTCATTCCCCTCAAGTCCCAGGTCCTCTTCTCCGCCCTCGATCTTTACCTTCAAACTATCTTCCAGTCCGCCACAGATGAAGACATCCATGTCCGGAGGATCGTATGCCAATCACTGGTCACTCTCGTCGACACAAGACCTGACATGTTGGCACCTCATCTGCCTGGCTTGGTCAATTATATTCTCATTCAGCAACAGACTGTCGGCTGTCCCGAGTTGGCTCTCGATGCGGCCGAGTTCTGGCTGAGCGTCGGCGATCAAGATCAGCTGAAGGACTTGATGGGTCCTCATCTGCAACAGATTGTCCCTGTCTTACTTGCGAGCATGGTCTATGGCGAAGATGAAATCTTCAGGCTGGGCGGCGACGAGAATGATGCCGATCTCGAAGACCGTGCCGAAGACATTAAACCCCAGTTTGCCCAGTCGAAAGCTGTCAAGGGCCTGACTTCCAACAAAGATGATGAAGACGGGTCTCAACCAAATGGGACCGAATCAAAGAAAGCCGATCTGAGTGACGGCGAGATTGAGGAGTCAGAAGGCGACGACGATGAAGATGAATGGGACGATGACGACCCAGAGAATGCTTGGAGTCTCCGAAAGTGCTCCGCCGCCGCTCTCGATGTGTTCGCAGTCACATATCATGGTGCGGTCTTCGAAATCATCCTTCCATATCTCATGGAAAACCTCAATCACTCGCTTTGGCCTAAGAGGGAAGCTGCAGTGCTTGCTCTGGGTGCGATTGCCGAAGGCTGTATGGAAGCCGTCTCTCCCCACCTCCCTGAACTTGTTCCCTTCCTCATCTCCCGTCTTTCGGATGAAGAGCCCGTCGTACGGCAGATTACTTGTTGGTGCCTCGCTCGATACTCAGAATGGGCTGCATCACTTGAGGCTCCTGCCGACCGACAACGATTTTTCGAGCCTATGATGGAAGGCCTTCTTCAGCGAATGCTCGACCAAAACAAAAAGGTCCAAGAAGCCGGTGCTTCGTCATTTGCTTCCCTCGAGGAAAAGTCCGGTGATAAACTCAAGCCGTACGTCGAGCCAATCCTCCGCCAGTTTATGGAATGTTTCAAACGATACAAAGACAAGAACATGTATGTCTTATATGATTGCCTACAAACCCTGGCCGATAGTGTCGGTTCGGACCTGGCTCAACCACAGTTTATTGACCTTCTTATGCCTACCTTGATTCAGCGGTGGAATAAGATTCAGGACGACTCTCGAGAGATGTTCCCTCTCCTCGGCTGTCTAGGCTATATCGCAATGGCCTACGGAGACGCCTTTGCGCAATTTGCCCCACCGATTTTCGATCGTTGCATCAAGGTCATTTACTCAAACCTTCAACAACAAATGGCCTTTGTCACTCGAGAAAGCGTCGATGCTCCAGACAAGGACTTTATCGTCACGGCTCTGGATCTTCTCAGTGCGATTATCCAAGCCATCCCACCCGAAAAATCAGGAGAATTGGTTCAAAACACTCAACCACAGTTTTTCGACCTCTTGTCGTTCTGTATGGAGGACACAACCACCGATGTCCGACAGTCTGCATATGCTGTGCTCGGCGATTGTGCTATTGCAATTTATCCAAGTCTCGATCCATATTTGCCCAAACTTCTCCCCGTCTTGATTCGCCAACTGGATCTGGACGCTATGCCTGACGATGACTCGGAGAACCACTTCAACGTGCTCGCAAATGTTTGCTGGTCCATTGGCGAGATATCCGGCAAGGCTCCCACATCACGCCTAGCTCCATTTGCCGAAACCCTCGTCAAGGCGCTCCTCACAATCTTGAACAACGAAGAAGTTCCGGAGCCAACCTCGGAAAATGCAGCCACTGCACTCGGTCGTCTAGGCTTGAGTATTCCTACCAATATTGCGCCTTTCCTTCCCGAGATTGCCGAGCCCTTCTTATCAGCCATGTCCAAAATCAGCAGTTCTTCCGAGAAGGCATCTGCATTTGTTGGCCTCAACGCTGTGATTGAGCGCAATCCTCAGGCCATGGAGCGAAGTCTTCCCGCGTACTTCGCCGCGATTGCGCAGTTCCCCATCAAGCCCAAGGCTGCCACCGACTACACCGAAGTCCGGAACAGCTTTGCAAAGATCATTGGCGGATATCGCGAGTTGATCGGAACCGACGGATTCAACGCTTTTGTGAATGGATTGACGGGGCCAGTCAAGATGAAGCTGAGAGATGGATTCGGCGTGGATATTGGTTCCTGAGCATGAGCACGAACTACTGATTCTCTTTTCTACGTCACAAAATGAGCATCATCCATCTTCACCTTTGATCAATCATCTTTGGTCATCGAAGTAACGGAGCGAAGTGGAGGATATGATGTCATCTTCTGAGAAATGATACCGAAATGATACGGGGGCTGGTTGGGTGGTGGCCAGTGCTTGATTCTGATGAATGAGAACAAACAAGGACGAGGACGATGCATGAGAACGGACACGGCACGAGAATAGGTGCAAGAATAGCTGAGCGGTCGGTCAAGACAGCGAGCGGATTTGGTGGACCACGCATTAGTCACTACCCTCATGGACAGACATCTCAGATAGTTAGGAAGGAACGAGGCAAGACAGATGCGAATACGCGTTAGAGACCCCGTCTCTCGCCTCTTGGGGACAAGGATACTACTTACAGAATACATAGCAGGCGGGCTAGGGAGACGCCAGCCCTAACCAAGTAACAGGAGACCGAAACCGAATGTTCCCTCGGGGCAAGTTGTTCCCGATTCAAAAGAGGAACTCGGCGGACTTTTTGCCAGTTTCTCTATTTTGAAACAAAGCCGAATAGACATACCATAGTGAAAGCCCATCCATCTCCGCATAAAGACACTTACCCACGACGAGACCAGCCAGGAGGTGGAAGAATGTATGCTCATGTTCGGAAGGAGGAAGATCCAACTCGTCAACCTTTCCTAGTGATCATCGGTATGCAGCCCTGACTGGACGCCCGACGAGCCCCCAAGACTCCATTTCGTTGAGGCACGTTGACCATGTAGCCGGTTCCTCCGGCCTTGACTCACCAAAGGAAAACAAATCCACCGTGTTCCATTAAAATATCTCAAACTGTCCAAGCCCGATCATGTGATTCAATGAACTCATAATTATGATTTCTTGTCAGTCGACTCGCCATGATTTTGAAGACTTAGCTAACACCCCAATTCCCTTCTGAGCATGAAATTTGATGCAAGTGATGTGCAACATGAGATTCAAACCCTGGTCCATGCGGCGTGACCAGGGGACGATCAACTCCGGCGGTTCAAAGGATAGATTGCCTATACTGCGACGGCCCTGGGAGCAGATATAAATGCATATTTGGGCAAAAGTGCCATCTTCTCTTCAGGGCTGATTTCGTTGTCAGAATAGACCAACCTGGTTGACTTTGGCTTTTCCTTGTCCTTCTTGGCCGCCTTTTCTTCGTTGGCGTCTTCCTTGGGAGGGTTTGAGGCGGCGGCCGGTGCGGCTGGGGACGCCGTGGCAGCGACAGATGTGAGGTCGGCCTGCTTCGAAGCCGACGAGATCAAGTCATCGAGGGATGAGGCATTGTTGTCAAGTTTTGCAGGAATAGAGGACAACACCTGTGATTGTGGAGCAGGACTCACAGAAGCTTCTTGTGGGCGATACTGGGTCACAGGAGGATGGTTTGGAGGAGCAGGGAGCTGACCTTGATGCATTTGCTGGAATTGAAAAGCATTGACTGGTGGAGCACCAAAAGCGGGTCTCTGTGGCAAACCGGTTGCGTTAGGTAGACTTACACTGCCTGTACGAACAGGTGCAGGGAAATTCCCGTTTGTTGCAGGGGAGTGAGTCCGTTGTGGTAGGTGAGCTTGGGCTTGTGGCGGATGAGGAAATCCAAGTGGAGATCCTGCAGGCCCATATGCCTGGGCAGGGCTAGTGGCGTTGGGATACGATTGTCCCGGGTAGGGGGCTTGGCCCTGGAATGGCGGAGGCGAAAAGTTTGGCTGAGGGGGAAATCCAACCGGAGGTGGTGCCTGTTGGAATGATGGTTGAGGTGGTTGAGCATATGGTTGGTGTGGATAAGCGTTAGGTACAGGTGGGTACCCAGGTTGACCGTGAGGAACGGGGGGTTGACCATACGGCGCTGCTTGTACGGGCGAGCCGGCGGGGGGAAAGCCAGGAGCCGCTTGATAGGGAGCGGGAACAGCTGGCGGTTGAGAAAAGGATGGTGGTTGACTGTATGAGCCATTGGATGGGGGCGGAGCGTATTGTTGCTGAAAACCAGGATAGGAAGGTGATGCAGCCTATCGCGAATCAGCACATGGAAATAGAAGACGGATGGATGAGTTGACTTACTGCAGGAGTCTGGGCTTGAGGCTGAGCAGCTGGGTTTGGCGTTACATTGCCACTGCTTGTAGCACCGTCCTGCTCGGCGGCCAATTTGGCAGCCTTGTGTTCAGCGAGACGCTTCTTGAGGTCCGACAATTGTTCCAACTTTGGCTTCTTGGACACGTTGGCATTATTACCACCACCGGCACCGGCACCGGCATTGCCAGTGGCAGCCTGTCGGTCGGCTTGAGCCTGATGAAATTGTGTGAGAACCCGCTGTTGGTGTTGCTGAACGATGTCTTCTGGAATACCCTCCATGCCAAAGATCTCGATGTCGAGTCCGGCTCTATTAGGAAGGGCATTGTCAACTGCAGTGAGGTTCTCCTTGTGTACTTGACTCATATGCACACTCAAACCTGTGGCGCTTCAGTTAGCTCATACAACAACTGTAATTGGACAAGAATAAGAAAGGACTCACCTCCTGCAGTATTGAGACGACGTCCGCATCTTTCACATTTGAAGTGTTTGGCCTTTTGATGATTGATCAAGATCTTGAGATCATCAAAGTCTCTTTCACAATAATAGCACCATGGCCGAGCGAGGATCTCCTCGGCATCAGGGTGTCCGCGCTTCTTCTTGGTCATGATCTAGGGATGACACTCGGGGACTAGAGAGGAACTCAGGCCTGAGTGCGGCTTATCGTGACCGCGGTCGCTGACGGATCGAAGATGCTGTCTTATTGCAGCTCTGGGGAAAGGTAGAACGAGAGTCGCGATCGGAGGTTGTGATGATATGACGCGTTAAGGATTAAAATAATGACCAGGACAATGATCTGAATAAGTGTGAGAGAGGCAGAAGAAGTGAAGTCAAGTGAAGAGAAGGGAACGAAAGAAAGAGTTGTATGCCAAGATGCAATTTGGATTTGGGGCAAGGGCGACTGGGGTAGCTTTACTAGGCCTAAATAGTATTAGCCTATTTCTCCGTATAGGAACTCCGTGTCACTACGGAGTACGGACTACCACGGAAATGTATGGTGAAATGCCAATGATATTGCGATATTGCGATATTGCGAAGCAAGAGTAGAAACATTTAATGTGACGCGGTATTATTGGGATGCTGATTATGAATAGGACGGAGCTAATATCCTCCATTCCACACAGCATCTTTTATGGAACGATGTGAAAATGACTGAACAATACCAAGCGGCTTGGGCTTTCCAGAGCCTGTACAATGGCCCCTCGGCCCCATCAGTGCCCATCCTGGCGTGATGAATGTACTTATGCAACCCTATGCAAACCTGTGCCTGTGCGCCGGGCTCATAGGAGAAATGCCTAACTCTGCAATGCCTGATTTGCTGGACATGCGACCAATTACCCCCAAATTACCAGGAATGCAAGTGAACGTGAATCAATGTCAATGTCAATGTCGTTCTCCCGTTCTCCCGTTCTCCCAAGATCTAATATGGATATCAAGAAGTAGGAGGGAGGCTAATAACGGCGTTGCTAGCCGCTGGATCGCCGAGAACTGCGCATCGATCGTCTAAGGGGTGGACTTCCATTGATGACGATTAGCGAATCGCTGACTTCTGTGCTGAGACTCGGTCTCGATGACATGTCATTGGTGCGACCGTGGTCCATATCGTCTCGGGAATCACCGTTCATGGGAGCATCTGGTCCAGGAGACGGTACTGAAAATGCGGGGGCAGCGCGAATATCGTCATTAGACTCGTCGTCGTTGTGGTTGATGAACATCGAGATGCTCATTGCTGATCGTCGGGCCGTGCCTTGCGGAGCCTCATCCAAAATGCGACTATTTTGATCCTCTTGTGCGGGAGTTGTGGATGGTGTCACCTGCAAGCTGTCCGTCTTCGCCTTTGGTTTGGGCTTGACTGGTTTTTGAGGCTTGCTAGGCGTCTTTGTAGCTCCGCTGGCGGCGTTGGCTTGATCCTTTTTGCCTCGAGGTCGTTTGTCAAGATCGCGATCCTTCCAATAGGACCACTTCTTGAACATGCTGAAGCTTCGGACAGGATTGATACCATTGATGATCTTTTCCTTCCATTCGGCTTGCTTGGCGGGGTCGTCATGTAGCCATGTATGATGATGCTTGACTGCATCAACCAGTTCTGCGTCGGTCCACTTTCGATCCCGCAATTCTTGGTTGGTGAATTGTGTCCAGCTGAAGCCGCTGGGCTGTCCTGCCATCGGGGCTTGAGCAGCAGGAGTCATGGCCGCTGAACGTGGCTTCTGTACCGCCAATTCCCGCGCCTCTCTCTCGCGGGCCTCCCGTGCTTTCGTGTACTGGTTGGGATGCTTGGGTTTGGCGGCTTTAAGTGCATTTTGAGCTTCCTTAGCTTCCTGTGCCTCTCTCAACTCTCTCGCCTTGGTGTACTGGTTAGGATGCTTGGGTCGAGGTGCTGGCGTGCCTGGTGTAACTGCTCCTGACGCTGCTGCCGCACGTGCCTCTCGTTCTCTAGCTTCGCGAGCTTTAGTGTATTGATTAGGATGTTTTGGTCGGTTCACGTCGTCCTGTCTACGTCGTTTGGAGTTTGGAGTCTCGACCCCACCATCGTTGATTGGAGTATCAGCTCTCCGCTTGCTAGAGCTTACTGAGGGTGCTTCGGAGACATCTCGGGTGGTTGGAACTTTCTTGCCATCGAATCGTGTCCTGGTAAGACGGGTGACAATGGTCTTGTGAGGGGTGAGGGAGCCATTCTTATCCTCGGTGGTTTGCACAGGAGGTCCCTCGACGCTGTCATCCGCGGTAGATCGGACGTACTTGATGTTGTATTCATTGTGGTGGATCTGCTGTCGCGGGAGGTAGTATTTGCCGTTCTTGATGACTGGCGTCCAGCCATCGAGATTGGGCCGAGCCTTGATCTTTGCCTCAAGATCTTTCTTCTGTTTGTCGGTAGGAACGAACCCGCCTTGTTCGAATGGTTCCTGTTGCAGACGAACATCGTGCTTCTCACGATCGGTGACATCGTCGCCAGTTCGATTTCCAATGACGGCAGCACCAAGCAAAGCGGGTCGATTGGGAGAATACTTGTATCCATAAAGAACAGCTTCCTTTTGTTCTTCATAGACATCAGTAGGTGGTAGAGCTTGAGGATCCTTGTATTTGGTAGTGCCTTTGATCAAAATAATCTGGCGCTCCAACTCCAAGTACTCTGCCTGTGCGAGCTTCAGAGCCGCCTGATTGTTGAGGCCAGTGACGTAGAGCTGCTCACGAGTCATGCCAGGAGGCTTGACAAGAAATGATGATGGGTCAGTAAGCGGGTAGAAACCATCATCATTGAGCTCCTGTGTTGAGTACAGCATGGGCCGAGGAGTGTCGCCAAATGTGGACTTCCACTGCGAGTCCAGGTCAACACTCGCCATGCTGGGCACGACACGTAGCTAGTTAAAGATCGGCTGATAAATTCTCTGAAGATTGGTCTCAGAAGATCCTGTTGGAGTGAGGAAGAAGCTGAGTAGAAAAAGAAGGCGATGGCCTGACAAAGGGAGAGAGAGGGTAGAAGGAAGTACAGGGGAAAAGCAAGAGGGTGAAAGTTTAAGAAATGTCAGGACATGATGGCAGCAGTCTGAAAAGCGTGAGCTGAGTCTGAAACCGTCCTCTGATGAATGACTGTGCTGTGAATAACAAGCATTTGGTGAATTGGTGAATGGTGAAATAGTGAACTGTTCGATGGCTGATGAGGCAGTATTCCTCACCTCGGAAACTGACCAATCAGGGGCTGCCGGACACGGGTGGAAGGTGGCGTCGGACTAACCCGATTTAGTCGAATCTTGGCTCCAGAAATTTTCTTGGAACGGAGTCCTTGAAGTCCCTTTTTCGTGAATGGAACGGAATATGCGAGGTTGGTTACATGAATGGACTGGATGTTGCCGAGATGTTATTACATTGTACATGTTTGGCAGCTAGTGGACAATACTATCATCTAAAATGTCGGCTTTTGGAGTACAGTCTACTACTGCCATCTCATCTTGACAGTTCACAACTCCGCCTGGTGGTTGTCCTGACTATCACCAGTAGTACCCTATGACACTATCGTCCGTTTGTTTTGTCTCTCCTCAGACTGTCCGTTTGTTTTGTCTCTCCTCAGACTGTCCCTTTGTTTTGTCTCTCCTCAGACTGTCACTTTGGACGTGAATAGCCTGGTCGGCCTCGTCGCAATGTTATTGTAGCAAGCTGTCATAATACACAATGACTCCTATTGAGTTACAGCATGGACACATCTTAACTTGATGGCCATGGTCAATTTCCGTCATGAAAGGGAAAGGCTCGAGTGGTGTGTCACGAGTGAACCAACCCCGCCCTTCTCAACCAGCAGCTTCCTGACCCCTGGCTGCTCGTTCGCTCAGTCTTTTCTCGGTGGTCTTCTTCGCCTCTTCGACCCAAGAATCATAAGTACCGTCCTTGAGCTTCTTGCCAACCACTCCTTTCAAGATCTCACCGGTGAATCCGACAAAGTTATGCCGTCTCAGAGCATTCTCCCAGTCCCATTGTGCTCGCTTTCGCTTCTCTCGTGCTAAGCTCTCATAGTCCTGGAAGTCCTGGGCCTTGACTCGAAGGTCTTGACACGCAGCCATCAAATTGAACCTCACTTCGCCGGGAGGATATCTCTCGATACGTCTCTGTAGAACGGGGATGATCTTTTCGGGAAACTCGTCCGGCGTACAGTCGCCATGGGATATGGGATATGGTTGTAATCCATCAAGTTCGTACAGTTTGCCATGGTGAACGGTATAACCAATGAAATGGAATGCATCTTCTGTCCCCGCATTGGGGTCTCGCTGGGTTTCGTCTGCAAAGGGACTTGACTTGGCGAAGCTGTTGTGTGTTTCCCTGATCAAATCTGAGTTTGACAACGACTCTCCGCGGAGAGCGGCATCGAATCCTGTTGTGAAGTCTTTGAACTCTTGTAGCGAAGGCCCAATGTCTATCCTCGGCGGTGGCGCCTCCCCGCTGGCGGTCGTCTGTTCGGAAGATTGGTCGTTATTTAGGATGACGGAGAGGATGGCCTGGGTACCACAAGCATTTTGGATAGTCTGTGCAGCGAAGAAGAGGTCGTGGTCCTCGACGGCCGCAGGGTCATACGACCCATCTGCAGGTGCGCTTTTGTCTCCGGTTGAGGATCCAATCCATTTGAAGAGGAATATCACGCCGTAGACTGGACTGTTGGAGAGGTGGAAAGTCAGTCATGCCACAAGAATCGCAGCAGCAGAATTCAGGATCCAGGCAGGGGCTACGCACGACTTTCACATTACCTCAGTGCACGTATTGAATCTGCGTCGAGAGACACCAGTTCTTCGAATTGGACGCCCTTGACCCCAAGCTGCTCAATCAAAGATGTGAAGACACCCTACAGCGTAAAGTCAGTTGGCCAGTCCTGTCATGGCTAGATGCCTCAAAGTGAAAGGTTCACTAACCTCGTCGGACTCAATAGTACTCCAGCCCCCGCTGGATGACTCCTCGGCCATTTGGGGGTTGTATGTGGAAGGCAACAAACGAGGCAATGGGCTGTGAGCTTATGGAGCTTGGACAGGTTCAAACGATGGGATGGCAGCGGTTCGATTGGAGGACTTTTCGGCTTAGGAAGGCAGTGCAAGATTCGTGGATTGTTGGACAGGCACAGCAGGGCAGGTTGCAATGAGTGTTGGGTTCAAAGGCTCATTGGAACATCGAGATAATGGAGTACAGGAATTAATGCGATAGTTCGCCTATTATTTTATTGGTACCTGTCACCTCCAGCACAGGCTAGGTCCCTACTTATTAGGCCGAGGGGCGACCAAAATATACGACCTAGGTACCCTATCCACACCCGCGGCTGCTAAAGTACACCGCTTTTACTTAAAATCCGTCGCCCACGACTCATCCTACCATCTGTCCCCAGTCACGGGATAATAAGCACGTGACTACATCAAAGCATATAGCATGTATAGCAACTATCAGTCTTCTAGTGTGGAGCTTTGAGACCAGGGGCGCAGTCCCCCCTTAAATAGATAGTAAAGCCCTCCATCTCGGTGTATCCTCCAACCCATGTCTATTTGGGTCTTGGACACCATTCGATCTCGGAGAGGCTCTCCGACGTATCGCCGACGGCGCCACTATGATTCACACAAAGGGCGAAGCCAGTACGGGAGATGTGGTCGAGGTGGCTATCGACAGGAGAAAGTTTCGTGCTGACGACTGATCTGAGGCTCGTGGGATCAAGGAGCTCTGGAATCGAACCTGCGAGATTTTGTTGCTGCCGGCCCAGAAGGGTCATGGCACTTGATATCAAATTCGAATATATACAGCACCAAAGGATGGAATCCATTGGAGACTGGAAATAATCCAGAAAGGCGCCAGGTTTGATCCGATCATCCTGATTTCTCGAGCCTCTCGACCTCTCGTGGGCGATAAATCACTTAGTGTCGGATTGAGAGGTGAAAAAGTTGATTATCCCCTCCTCGTTGACAACGGGGAGGGTGCACTATCTATAGACTATCAGCGCAGCTCCTGGTCTCTCCAACCTGCACTAGAGGGATAGGAGGTGCCATATACAGTATCCTCTATGCCTTGATTTAGTCACGTGATCATTGTTTCACACGAATGGCGAGACCTAGTTAATTTCGCGCCCAGGTTCCCGCGAGCTGGGGGTGCCCTCAGGGCCGAGGAGTGGTGTCACCATGGCCGAGGGCGCCAGAGGCTGCAGATTGCTCTGATATTACCTGAAGAGAGAAGGACAAGGCGGAATGGTAGCCAGGCTGCCTGGACTGGTGGGCCAAGGGGGACTCGGGCAACTCGTTGGGCACCTTGGTAACTAAAAGCCACCTTTGACGCCAAGCACTCCAGAGGACATTGGGTGCCTACGGAGTACATAGGTACAGGTACTTAGAACGAAGCAGTCTGGGCCCCTCAGCCCCCAGCTTCTCTTGGTTGCGTCCTTCAGGAATGACCCCGGGGCCGAGGCCCGAGGGCCTAACAGGTGCCCCGTCGCCCCCGAAGCCTTCGTGGCGCCTTAACCAGACTTTAAGGGCACAATTTGAAGGCGTCGCCCTAAGCGAATGGAATCTTGCCATCTAGGCACAGGCTAGGCTGTAGTTGAGAATGCCGCTCATCCAAAACGGAGCCTGCAGGCTCCAGGTACCTTGGGCCCATCCATGCTAGTAATAAGTATCCCTATCACGACTTACAAACTCATAGCGCAACTATACTTATCCTCCAAGCATCACGACTCCTAGACAGTACGAAATACGATTCAAAAGGCGGTCGTTTTTCGCCCGCACCCATCCGATGTACTCGTACCTAATCTTCTAACTTTCGGTCGGGGACAAACACGCGCAAAGCTAACTCTTTCTTCCTGTGGCAGTGTCCACATTCAAATACCTAAATACAGAGTCAATGTTGAGTTCCAACCTTACAAAAGCCACATTTTTTTTACGTATCTACCTACCTACTACTACGATAGGGTACGAGTGGCACGTTTGGTAGCATCCCGGGTGATACAGACTTTGGTCCCAGTCTCGAGCAGCAACGTTGAAGTGATAAGGTAGGCTCTGTCATGCGGTGCCATATTCCCAGGCCACGTGGCTGTACGCTTAGCTTAGTAACAGATCACATCGTCTACGTACATTAAGTAAGGTTGGGTTGCTATTTTCGAGGCCTAGAAACGGGCGCATTATGCCACCTATAGCACTAGTCGGCGGTCCGTATCTGAATTGCTGTTATTCTACATGCGTGCCATTTTCTGCACAATCGCAAAGGATAGCAGGCTGCTTTCACCGCGTTCTTTACTTGGTTGTGAATCGGTGAGATACTACGATGGTTGCTTGGAAAACCCATGTGCAGGACTTTCTGCGGAACGACTCTCTTCAGTGCTTGCAGCCTCACTTGTGTTCAATCACACTAGGACGCATGCTTGGAACTTGTAGGTACACCTGATTACACGGGTGAGTTGTCGATACTTGACACACACCTCTGCAAAAATGGTACTCTGGATGGCCTCAAGTCCAATCAGAGCGTCAAGGGATGACCTCAGCTTTGGCAGGAATAGCCGCCATTCCCACCGCTGTGTCTCTGACAAGCAGAAAAATGACCTCAACATCAAACTTCAGTAACTCCTCAGGCGGTCCTTCAGGATGACAGAAGCCGTTTTTCAGCCTTTCATTCTCCCTCGATCAGTCCAACCATACTGAATCGCTAGTCGACGCTGTTCCTATCTCTCCCTTCTGGTTTTCCTCGCGATAAAAAGTGCTCGAGGTCTCGAATCTCTCGTTTGTCGGCTGACTGTTGGTAATTTGGAGTCTCTGCTCAAGCAAGTCGTAATCAAGTCCAAGGATATAGCTTCCATCCAGCTCCTGCGACGCGTTTCCCTTTTGTCCTTCGTGCGTCGAAATCATTGGTTCCTTGGCTTTTCAATGCCTCTAACATATGCATCATCTCACGTCATCGTTGGGGGAGAATCTGGCCCCACTGGTGGACCAGCCACGCCAGTCCGTGCCATGCCATGCCATTCCATCCAGGTCCTTCATCCGTGACTGTCATGGTTGCGGTAATCATGCTGCAAGCTGGAAGATGCCATTGTACTAGGAGGTGCTCCTGTATTCGTCCTGTATGATATGAATACTCAGCTCGCCCGATCTCTCATGATGACGTTCCAGCTCATGTCCAAAGCTGTGAAGGAGTGACGAACCGAGTATTCATATTCATGCTGCCGTATGGGTTGTACGGAGGCTGAACCTGTCCAAAATAATCCACACGTGATGCTTGCATTTCGTGACTGCTTCGCGGTTGTGGCGGTTGCTGATGAGTAGGCGACCCATATACCATGCTCATTGCATGACCCGAGCTGTTCGAGCTCATCCCTCGCTCTCCCAACGAGTGTGTGCGTGACAGACTGCCGATTGATGACATGGATGACTCCCGGCGCACATCTCCTCCTGAAGACCCACCGCTGAAATAGGATCCAATCGGTAGAGGAAGGCTGCTTGGGGCATGTAGAGGTGAATTCGAGTAAATTGACTGCGATGAGATGTCTGTCGCTGGCGATCCTACTGGTATATGAGGACCCACGTAAGGACTGCCGTGCGGTGAGTGATGGTAGTCCATATTATTGTGACTGCTCTGGCTGTTGTGCCTGTGCCGTAATCGGTATGCTGTCATGATTTGCATAGGGACATCCATTAATGACAATGCCACCTGAATACTCGCATCTTGCGGCTGCGTTGCCCGTCTTGTCCGCAAAACATCATGAATTCTCTCCAACGGTTGGACAGACATGCTACCAAGGTAAGCTCCGCCGATTTCGGGGAATAATGGTTCAATAGCCAGAGCACTCGCGTACAGGTGTGAGAGCAGAGTCAATGCTGGTAGATCGGAATCCCCACCCTGTAAGATCAAGGGAGGCAGCCAGAAAATCAAATCTCGAAGCGGTTGGAGTCGTGGGAAGGTTTGCTCCGGTGGCTGGGGATGAAGATCTCTCTGCAACTCCTGGATGTATTCTATTAATTGTGCAGCGTGGTCTGCCAACTCTTCTTTGTGCGACAGCCGTATTTGGAGATTGTGCAGGGCTGTAGATATCTGTTCAAGGCGACGTAGGTCTTCATGGGGTACGGGTAACTGCGCATGCGGCATCGTAGGTGTTGCGGGCGTCCTCGCTCTGGCCACTGACCGTTGATGATCCAAATATCTTGCCAATTCGGATTCGTGTATCCAGGGTCTCATGGCATTCATGACCTAAAGACCAATTAGCAATGCTCTTTACGCAGGGATCGGTGTGCCTTTACGGTAGAAACACCTTGCTGAAGGGATGCCCAGCTTCGCCTATAGTTGTGTCAGTGGCTGTAAATGTGTGACAAAATAATTGTATATCGTACCACTCTGTTGCTTGCCATGACAATAGCATTGATGCTGCGAGGATTGCTTCCGAGTTGTCTCGAGAAAAGGCACCAATCGCTTCATGAAGCCCTTTCAAAGCAACACCTCGATGATGATATGCAAGATTGTCGGTATCGCCGTTTTTTGTCTGCCAGGCCAGATGCGACGCCGATAGGGCCAATAGAGCACTCATGACAAAATCGTGCTGGAGCGCCGTATTGATGAGCCTGTGCAACCATATGAGTACTGCGACCCAACCACAAAGGAGTCAAGCCCTTACGTTGCCATTTTGGAACCCCATGCTGTACAAGATCCATAATTTTTTGCGTGCATGTCGGTTGACAGTGTGACCATGTGGTGGATTAACCGCAGATCGATGGTTGAAAACCGCGTCCAGTATTTTGGATCATGCATCTGTAACTCTGGAAGTGGGGACTCTCCAGTAATGCGCCAATTGTCCAAACGATGTTGAAGCTCAGGCGACATGAGGAGATCTGGAGGCCTCGAACCTTTCAAGGGCTCCTCTCCCGCGGCGGGCATGTCCATATAATCGCACCTACAATTATGTTTGGTGCAATTTCGACATTGTGGGAAGCTCTCGTCGCACCGAATGTGGCGCTTTTTGCATGTTCGGCAGCCTTTGCGAGACTTGGTATGGCTCTTTCGAGGAGGGCCTCCACCTGGCCCGGCCATCCTTCTCTATACTGCCAGGCCCTGGTATGCTTGAGAAGGACAAGAAGTGTCGGTTGATGAATGGCTGGCACCAGCAATGCGACAAGCCAAGGAGAAACTCGAGCGATGAGTTACAGTTAAACAGAATAGGAAGATTGAAACAGGTCAGGTTAGTAATCTTATCAAAATCTGGATTGGACTGAAGACTAGAATAGGTTCTTGGTAGCGAGTCGCCACAACAACAGTAGGTGACGGTCAGATAATGCCTCGTGTTGGGTAAGGCTGGAGAAGGGACCACGTCTCCACAACTGGGGAGAGGACGTGTCGAGCAAGGTGAAGGAGGCCAGGCCAGTGAGCAAATCTGACAGTGGAGTGGAGGGACTTGGGAATGGCGTACTGAGGGCGCCGTGAATCACGACAAAACCCATGCGTGGATGTGTGGTACTATGTCATAGCCGGTCAGCTTTGGCGCCGGGAAACAGCAAAGGTTAGGAGAGACGGAAAGAGGATTGCCACGAGGGTTTCATCGCGTCAAGTACGAATATGTGGCCTTGAAATAGATTGACCGTGATCACGGTGCGGATGCGGCTGGAAGCAAATCACAATCGAAGCTACTGCACCGGCCAGACGGGGCTTCGACAAGCCAACGTTCAATAAGAGGATGAAGGCTCAGCCTCGAATTTCAACGGGATCTTCCAGCAGCTGTACACCTGATCACCTTTTCAGATCCAAGGCTACCAATTTAGCTGGCAGAAAACTCTGACGCCAGGGTAGCCGAAAGAAGTATATGTGCAAAGGTTCACCTCATCTGGAGCCAGTGTAGAGATGGACACAGACCAGAGAGCTTCAACTAGACCGTTGTGCCCTTCGCCATGGAGGGTCTAGTCAAAGGTGACTAGATCCATGGTGGATGGTCTCTCACTCCTTGGGTCCGACTCAAATAGCTTGAGCATGCAGCTTTGTTGGGTCCTGCAGGGTTATGACAAGATCGAATCAATTTTTGGCGAACCCGACTTGAGGACGGTGGCCCTGGCCAATTGCGGATTTACACAGGCCGGGACTTGCCAGGATTCCATGGGCTGCAGCGCCAAAATTTTGGGAATCGGTAGCGGAGGCCGGAAAGCTCAAGGCGTGTGGGAGCCGCTACTGAGAGAATCGCTGAACATTTGGTCGGTCTGCCAATCATCAGGCACCAGTCCAGTGGCTTGGTCCATGTTCGATCGCGGGGTTTCGGAGTCTATGGATACTGTTCAATCGATCGAGCCAGCCGGGATGTGAGTCTTTAGGATTTCCGTAGGCTTGACCTTGTAAACAGAAACCCGCCTCATGGACTGGCGGGCTGTCTGTCGTCGAGGATTGCCCACTTCCCATTACAGTGAGGTCGCAAGCTTAGAGCCATCGCTTCAGGGTTGGACGGAATAGGGAGGGGTTAGGCTTTGAAAGTGCATGGACCCTCTGCAGCCCTGTCAAAGATGACAAGTGACGGTGGGTGTTGCAAGGGCCGAGGGGCTATGGCAGGACAAGGTGAGGGGGAAAACAACGTGTGGAATGAGAGGCACGAGGCCACTGAGGCACTGAGGCTTGCTTGATCCGTTGGTCTTGCCAAGGCAGCTGAAGGAGTTGTGGCGCCCAAATCACTGGGATTACACATTAGTTGGTCGGTACGCAAAGGGATGCTGCTCAGCATCTGTGTGCCTCTTACCAGTTGGCAGTTGGATGATGGATCCAAGCTACTCCAGAGAACTATTTGGTGCATGGATGGCGTCTCGAAGTAGGTTTAGAGGCCGAAGGGGCCCTGCAGCAGCCGATTAGCGTTGGTGGACCGTGACTTTTGTCCCAGCAAAAGCAATTGACCTCTCTTGTTTGCCCCCAGACCCGTCCAAGGGTCTGCAGGCGCCCAAAGGTCCATGCCTGCACCATCAGACCTGGCACGCCTGGGTACAACATGACGCGAGGGAGACAGAGAAGACGAAGACGTAGACATGCGCAGCTTTAGGAGATGCCTGGATAGTGTTGCCTGAAGTTTGAAGGGGGACTTCATCTGCTCTTGCCTTCTGAAAACTTGACAATACCCCGCCCCGCTTGCCTAAAGACGTGGCCACTGATCAGGTGGCAGGCACTGGTCTTGCTACGCGTAGTGGCATACTAATGGGCATGCCACGCGGTTTGATTGACTGCCGAAAGTTTCCAACGCTCCTCCCAAGCTTCAGAGTGGGTCGACATGAGCAAAAGCAATCGAACCAAAGACAAACATTGATGTCAAGAATCTCTCAAGTCTTTTATTATGACTTGTTGAGCTGTCGCAGAGGAGATTGGTGCTTCAAGTGCTATTATTCAAGAAAGTCTCTGGGGGCACGGTGTCGTTTTTAGGTACATAGACAAGGTCGAGGCTAACTAGAAGTTCTTGCTTCTCTGTTTCTTGGGGAAGCGAGAAGGTGCATAAGCACGATCTGGGGGCCGAAGGGGACTCCTCGGGCCAGTGGCCTTCTCGAGCCTGACATCACACCATGGCCCCCTTACCTAGCACAGTGCCGGTACTTAAGTAGTGACACTGACAATTCCACATCTCATGGTGAGTGAGGTGCTGTGCAGTCTGGATAGACTTGCTCCCAGCACACTCCATCGGTGGGGATGGTCCACCGCTGATCATCGAGACTGGGGCTGTTGGGCCCCTCGGGTTTGCCTTATAGCCTGTTGGGCCTAGCTTTGTCATTGGGGACTGCTTGTCCGTTGGTCCACTATCCTGACTATACCCTTGACTTTCGCTTAGAGCAGGATCTGGACACTTCCAAGACCGTGACCATCTTGGGACGCATACTGTGACTAATTTTTAGTGGCGATTTCATAGGGCACTGGTGGCCTTTCTGGCAGCCTTCCGGGCCCACGGGGAGGGATTACGCTGTTGCCGTCCGTGGTACCTGACTGCGCAAGAGGTCTGTGTGTTAGACCTCGCTTAGCAAACTAAAGGCGATCAGATGCACATCAACATCAGGGAATTCGGCTGTAAACAATGTATAGTTGACGACGGAGCAATGGTGAGATGCAACGAACGACTTGAGTTGACCTGTTCCCAATCAGAGTACGTGTGGTCTTCTAAGGGCATTGATGGTCAGGAAATCGATTTTGGATCTGCTTGACATTGCAGAGATGTCATTTCTGGATGGTTGAATCAGCGGTTTTCGTCATTACTTGTGTGGACCTTGTGTGCGCGGTTGCAGGTGATTGCTTCAAGAGGCAGTCGCATCCCTGTAGAACCCACACAATATAAACCTTGCCTTAGCAATCCCGCCCACAACTGTCATTCGGCTTCCGCTTCCAAGCTTCCTATCATCCATAAGGACGTGGCCCGTTGGAGTTGACCAGTTGGAACTTTTGCACTTGCCAAACCAAGCATCGCTCGAACCTTCGCTTCTCTTAACAGAATGGCACTCCCTTGTTTTCTTGTGACGAAGCTATAGTGTCGATTCATCTGTACCGAGGAAGATTGAATTGAAGTGGACAGGGAGTTACGACCCACCACAAGCCTCTTCCGCGTTCATCCTTCGAAATTCTACTTTAGTGGCTGTACGCGCAATCGAAGATCAATTACACCCGGCTTTGACTATTCCCATCAGACCTTAACCGAGCAAAGGCGCAAACTGCCCAAATCGGACTATGGCTTGTAGTTGTAAGACTCATGATTGGCATGTACATCCTCGCAAGAAGATGCCTGGCTGGCTCGATCGACATGAGGAATGTATGTCCGATCATGATTGTCAGCCGCAACCCGTAAGGCGCTCCAATCATATGCTCAACGATGACAGATCTACGTCTCCCATACTAGGACAGTACTGATCTGTAAGTATACAGACACCAATCGGGACGATCTAGAATAGGGACATCTTGCATAGGGACATCTTGAATAGGGACATCTTGAATAGGGACATCTTCAACAACGGGTCAAGTCTTGAGGAACCACCTCATGGGCAAGTCACGGACGATCAGGTTGTTGTTGAAATCGACGTAAGGCAGTATTTATTTCCAGTTCACACTTGGCTTCTTCGACGACGTCGCTTCAAATCATGTTTCGAATGCATTGTATCTCGAACTCATCATATTCTTTCGGTGTGAGCGGCTGGTCACGCTTAACGCGGTCCTGCCAGTCCCATTCGAAGAATTTCTCATGCGTACTCTCGAGTTTTTCGGCACAGCTTTGTGTTCCACCCATTGACAAACTCCATTGCATGCCACTGCTTTACATCACCACACCGCTGTTGCTTGCTATTCTGGGCCACAGTTCCGCGGCTTCTTTTCCAACAGGTCCAGTGATGGCGCTGCCCTTCATTTCACCCTTGGGGTTCACAATCACACCGGCATTGTCCTCGAAATAGAGATAGATGCCATCTGCTCTTCGCCAAGGTTTCGACTGTCTAACAACAACAGCGGGCATAACTAGGACAACCGGTGAGAAGAATATTCGACAAATAATGTGGTAACGACAAACCTTTCTTCCTCAATTCAGGCTTTCCCTTCTTGACAGTGGCCATAACCATGTCACCCACACCAGCTGCGGGCAGTCTGTTCAGGCGCGCACCGATTCCTTTGACTGAGATGATGTAGAGATTTCGTGCACCCGAGTTGTCGGCGCAGGACATCACGGCTCCGCTGTAGACGACATGTTAGCCTGGTTCATGTATGTCCTGTCATTTCTGCCCATCCCCAATTTCGTTCCAAATCTTCCCATTTCATATTGCCTGGTTCGTGCGCAAACAATACTTGGACATTTCTGTGGGGATTGGAGGAAAGTTTTCGAGGTTTTCGAGGTTTTCGAGGTTCGGGCTCATCGAGAGGGAAAACGTACACTGGGAGACCGAGAGTCATCTTCAGTTTGTTGCCAGAGGCACCACCACGACTACAGAGATGAGTTAGCGGTTGATCTGTGTATCATACATCGTGCGCACAGCCGAAACCTGGTGCGAACTTGAGGAATGAGCTTACCCTCGCTTCGACATCTTGACGTTGTTTGGACCTGGAAAGTGTTTGTTTGACGAGTTCTTGATTGAAGATGTGACAAAAGTGGCCTGCGGTCGAAGATTGGCGTCAAGGAAAAATCCATGTGTGGAGGACTAAAGTCGAAATCTTGGCATCACGTGATAGATCTTGGCGCACAGCCTTACGCTTCCCATGGCCTTGACCAATCGCCGCTAGTGCCGTTCTCAATGATAGATCTCAGAGCGACGATGTCTTCTTGTATCTCGTTTTAAATGACACCAAAGCAATGCTCATAAGACGTAGACACGATGAGGAACCCAGGCTACAACATTGCAGCCTCAGACATCCTGGATTTTCACCCAATATTGGCTTCCCCCGCTCTCGATTCAGAATTGGCCTGACACTTTACATGACCAGGGTGGTCGATACTACAGGAGGCTGAAGTGTTGATCTTGGGATTCTCACATGGATACTTGGGCGCACGAAGAGAGCGTACCGCCTGAACGCAGGGATTGCTCGAGGCAATACGATGAGACAGCAGCATTGGGACACCACCATCGATTCTGATGTGATGAAAGCCCGTGTTGCATTTGTGTGACCACAGGAATTGAGACATGCACATGAGTGGTGCGGCGCAAATAACAGTTGCTGACACCTCAAGACGTGTGCGCCATCGCCATCGCCGTCCATCGTAGCCATTCTTTCACATGTGACATATTGATCAATGCGAGTGCACGAGACCACCTTGCCTAGGCAGCGAGATTGTTGAGGCTGACAAGAGATGTGGATGCCTTGAAAAGTATGCGAGGGCTACAGAAGTCCCCGGTACGAAAGGACCTTGAATTGGGGGGGTGATGCCTACCCTACCACCCCCAAAGAAACATTGTCGTAGGGAGTAAATGCCTATTTGCCTATAGGTAATCAACGACAGGCAGCACCTAGAATGCACTTCTAGCAGCCAAGTCCTCCTTATCACTGACCCCAACTGATCCTTTCTGCTCCAACGTTATTCACACATCCTGCGTATCTCATCCAACGACTTTGTCCCGTGCTGACGAAAAAGATGGGTACATTCCTTTGGACCCCCCCATGTTCTAACAACTCTCCATCACGCACGGCGTCATCATGAAAATGTCTGACACTATTGAAAACTATGGAGAGCTGCTGAGCGAACATCGATTGGGGCGTCCGTCATTGGCTCTTACCCTGGTCGCGATACAGCCCTGGACATTCTTCGTCAACCGCCCCTTACCAATCACAGACTCAAACTTGTCAACACCTTCCTTCTGGCCCCATCGCGTTCCCCGGTCATCTGTAAGGCGCCTCGGTCCCTCGCTCCGCCCTCTCAGCCTCGACATGCCTTTGACCGGGGCCGATGTCACGTCTGTTGCGTCGTCTTACCCATCGTCTCGCCCCGGATATGGTCGTTGCCGGTGGTATCTGCGTGTTATCCCTCCACATCCTTTAATAGCCTCAGACTGGGTCTGACCAACCTCTTTCTACTTCAATGCTGGCATCCCCGTTCTTGCTCGACCTTCCTTTCCTCTGGTCGATAAGTTACACCAAAGACAAAATAGTTCCCACCTTGCCATAATCATGGCACGGACGCAGGACTCTAGTCCAGGCAATGATGGAGGAGCAGTTCCAGCTATTACTAGTACCATCAGGTCATTCTTCGAAAGTATTGCCGGCAGTACCCCTGATCCCACGAATCCCGTTGTCAATGGCACTACAGCAAAATCCGCCCCGTTCCTCGCTAGACTATTGGCCGATATAGCCAGTCAGGCTCCTCGTCTCGGCGAGAATGTTGCTCTCATCCATTCCCTGGTCGACACCAAACTCTTCGATGGCGGCATCGTTGACGATCGCCAATATCAGGTAAGCCAGATCAAGTGCTTCAACAGAGTCAGCGCTGACAATTGCCCTATAGTTGGAGAAGATCCTTCAGCTAGCTGCTTCACTTCCGGCGCAATCTAAAGCGCTTGGAGATCTCACAGGCCAGTTCATCAAGATCCTTTGGGAGAACCTAGAACACCCTCCTCTCTCCTACGAAGGTGATGAATACAAGTACCGTACTGCCGATGGGTCCAACAACAATATCATGTACCCTCACCTTGGCAAGGCGGGTTCTGACTATGCGAGAACTGTGGTTCCACAAACCCTTAAACCAGGTATTCTTCCTGACCCAGACGTCATCTTTGATGCCATCTTCGCCAGGGGTGAGAAGCGCCGAGAACACCCCAACAAAATCTCCAGCATGCTGTTCTATCTTGCCACCATTATCATTCATGACTGTTTCCACACAGACTCGAGAAATTATGGCAAAGTCAAGACGTCATCCTATCTCGACCTCGCGCCACTCTATGGTAGCAGTCAGCCCGAGCAGGACAAGATCAGGACGTTTCGAGATGGTCTGTTGAAGCCAGATACATTCTGCGAGAACAGAATTCTGGGATTTCCTCCCGGAGTTACGGCACTGGTTGTCTGCTTCAACCGCTTCCACAATTATGTTGCAATGCAGCTCAAGGAGATCAACGAAGGCGGGCGTTTCATTATCCCAAAGGATGTCTCAGACTACAGGGCAAAGGAAGCCTTGAAGAAGCTGGACAATGACCTTTTTCAAACTGCTCGTTTAGTAACATGCGGCCTCTATGTCAATATCATTCTCAATGACTATGTCAAAACCATCCTCAACCTCAACCGCACCAATTCAACTTGGACCTTGGATCCTCGCAAAGACTTCAATGAGGTTTTTGACGCTCAAGGGCTTCCATCTGGCGTGGGAAACCAAGTCAGCGTTGAGTTCAATCTCGTCTACAGGTGGCATTCAGCGATCAGTGTCAAAGATGAGGAGTGGACCAATGATCTGTACCAGGCCCTGTTCCCTGGCAAGGACATTTCTACTCTGACTCAGCAAGATCTCATCGCTGGCTTGCAGACATGGTTGCAGAAGATTGGGGATGACCCTTCGACATGGCAGCTTGACAATGGAAAGTATAAGAGGACGGAACGGGGCACGTTCAGGGATGAAGACCTTATCAACATCCTGAGCGATGCAACCGAAGATGTTGCGTGCGCTTTTGGTCCCAGGAATGTTCCCCTCGCTATGAAGTTGGTGGAAACTCTAGGGATTCGACAAGCCCGAGCTTGGAATGTTGCCACCTTGAACGAATTTCGAAAGTTCTTCAAGTTACAGCCGTACAAAGAATTTTCCGACATTACCACGGATCAGGAGGTGGCTCGCTCGCTCAAGGCCCTGTACCAACATCCTGACTACGTGGAGCTGTATCCAGGGCTGGTCGCTGAAGATGCAAAGAAGCCGCTTGCGCCAGGATCTGGTCTCTGCCCTGGCTATACCGTCTCACGAGCCATCCTCGCCGATGCGGTGGCTCTCACGCGTGGTGATCGCTTCTATACCGTTGACTACACTCCGGCCAACTTGACCAACTGGGGTTGGAACACGGTTAACTCTGACCCAGAGGTGGCACAAGGAGGTTGCTTCTACAACCTGGTCATGAGAGCCTTACCATCATGGTATCGTGGGAACTCGATATATGCCATGTATCCTTTCACCGTTCCTGAGGAGAACAGAAACATCATGAAGAAGCTTGGAAAAGAGCAGGAGTACAACTTTGATCGACCGGCTCAGATTGGTCCTCCTACCTCAATCAGATCTTGGGCGGCGATCACGCGTATTTTGCAGGACCAGGCGTCTTTCGGAGTTCCCTGGGGCCCACACACCTACTATCTGACAGGGCATGACTATATGCTCAGTGGGGACACCGCCGCGAATGCGACGCAACGCAAGGACGTGCAAAATGCCATGTACTGTCCCGTCAACGGGTTGGAACAGATTCGGGCTTTCTACGAAGATCTGACCACTCAGCTGGTTGTGGCGCGTTCTGAGCGCCTGCGAGGCGAATGGTATCAGCTTGACGCTTGTCGCGATGTTGCAAATCCCTCGCATGCAATCTTTGTGGCCAAAATGTTCCATCTTCCTTTGAAACAGCGCGGAGACATGAAACTCATAGCCGTCGAGGTTGATCAGCTCTACCTGGCATTGTCGGTCTTGTTTGCCTATGTTTTTCTGGACTTAGACACGGCACGGTCGTTCAAGTTACGGGCCGGGGCAAAGACGGCGACTGACAAGATTTCAAAACTAGTCAGGGCTGTGTGTGAGGCCGTCAGAATTGGGAGCGTTGTGCGTCTTGGGGAAATCTTTCCCACGGGCACTGCCGGACAGTTGCTTGAGGACTACGGGGTTCAGCTCATTAAGCGGCTGTTTGAAGGGGGTAAATCAGTTGACGAAGTAGTGTGGACCATCATCCCTACTGCGGCGGCTGCTGTGGCGACCCAGGCCCAGCACTTTACGCAGATGCTCGACGTCTTTCTCCAGGAGGAATACCACGAGAAGCACTGGCCGGAGATTCAACGATGTGCGTGGTCCAATGACCCTCAAGACTTTGAGAAACTGAAAGGGTACGCGCTCGAGGCGAATCGACTGGCACCTGCAGCATTTGGCCTGCTCCGGGTTTCCAAGGTTGACACTGTCATCGACGATAATGGTACCAAGATTGAAGTGAAGCGCGGGGATGCTCTCTACACCGACTTTGTCACGGGGGGTTTGGATCCCAAAGTGTTCCCAGACCCTCTCAAAATCGACCCAAGCCGTGATCGGTCGCTGTACATCCATCAAGGCTGGGGACCTCATTCCTGTCTGGGACGCCCCATGGTGGAGGTGGCTATGGCATCACAGCTCAAGGTGTTTGCCAAATTGAAGAACCTTCGGCGTGCCCCTGGGGAACAAGGGATCCTCAAGAAGACAATCCCTCTGCCCAACCCAACCAGCAGTGATCCACACCCGAACCCCGGCAGTATCTCAGTGTATCTCCTAGAAGATTATTCTTCTTGGTTCCCCTTCCCGACGAGTAAGTCAAGGCCACTCAGGTTAATGAAATGTGCTGACACGATATTTAGATCTGAAAGTCCATCACGACGGCCTCGTGGAACAGCAACCCGTTCAACTGGCTGCAGACACTGGTGTTCCAGGCATCCAAAAGCAGATCCAGAATAGTGACATGGCTCAGACGAATGGGTTCAAAACCAATGGCTACGATGAGCAGAGAGACACGGCGTAGGGCCGCCATGGGCCAAGAATCAGGAAGATTCGGCGTGGACGGGCTTAGCGGAGTCCACCAAAGACAGGAAGAGATTCGACAGAGGAAGAAGGCATTGTATCTGGATCCCCTCTTTCTGAACCCTTGCCTAAGTACTGTATTGTTTGAGACGACGTATTCGTAGTGTATCATTGGAAACTCATTACTATGATATTTACATGTGCGCCATACTGTATGACGGATGAGTCCTCATTGCTGATCGCGTTTCCGCTGCCGATGTCGGAATCTTAATTGGTTGGATGGGGAGCGGAGATGACCTGAGGGGTCTTGGACGATCCAGATCGCCTCCCCTGTCAGTCTCCCGTCTGTCCTTATGATGGTTCATTAGACTGCCGCGGACAACATGATCTGTCATGGAATTCAAAGGCAAAGGAATTACTATCGAGTCCTCTGGCTGTCCACGGCGAAACAAGGTGGCCAAGTCGTGCTTGAGCAAGCATGTCAACTGAAGGGCATGAAGAGGTGATGACCGTCGATTCAAATCATGGATCGAGCCTTCTCGCCCTGCCGCCAGAGATCCGAGTCGAGATCTTTCGCTATTTATTTGACGATTCCCAAATACTTGCAGACGGGCTATGTTTCATGAACGGGCCTCGTTGCGGGACAAAGATCTGCCTATGTTCCTTTCCTTACCCAGTTCTAGCCTCTTGTCGACAGCTTCAACGGGAGGCAACATCATATCTACTGGTGGCAACAACGCTACAGATCTCAGGTACGATGAATGAGATGGCCTCTAATATACCTCGAGCCCTACTCTCTACAATTCCACGAGTCGTTATCTCGAACGCACCACGATCATGGTCCAAATCGCCATTGCAGCTCGACATGTTCGACTCACTCAAGATCCTGGAGTTGCGCAACATCACGATCTGGTGCCAATACCATGATGACGAGTACCTGAAAAGTCTCGAGGGTGATGAATGCATGATGGGCCTGGCCTTGTTTAATCTGAACCGTATCAGCCCGCAGCTCACCCAACTGTGCGCCGATGGACAGCGGAAATTTCATATACTCCTCAGCTGTCAGTTTGTGGCCTCGTCCATGACAGGAGAGACAATTGTAAGTTTGAATGATGGTGGTCCGAGTCATGGCATCTGTCTCTCCTACTGACGTGATGGTATTAGCAAGCCGTCATCGACATCGACCAGAGAAAGGTATTGCATAAATCCAGCGGGCCTGCAATCCGCGATAGACATGCATGGGCAGGCTTCTATTGACACAGGGAACTATTTGCACTCATATCGTTGTAGACATATACGACGACTGTTGCGACTGGATACCCTTGGGCGGCGGTACTTTTGGGCGGCGATTTAGGAGCCAATTCTTTCAATTATATTATAAAGCTACGAGAATCATCTTCGCAATCGACCATTGGATATAGAAAACAGGACTTCCCGTTCGCTCAGTCGTACTTAAGCTATATGCCGGCTTGTTAGTAGTAAAGTGGGTGACCATTTGCGAATCCGGGCTGTTGATTGTTTTTGCATTTTCAATATTTTTGCTGGAATTGTATATTCTGTCTTCATACTCTACAGTAGATGTGAAGAGTATAGGGCGGCATCAGCCTCGTCCTAAAGAATTTGGCTTCACTTGTGAATACATTCACACTTCACTCAATCACACGTGACATGACGCTTGGCGTCTTGGGGGCGATTGTGACGCGACGCGACTTGTCACATCACATGATCATCCTGCGTTCAACGTCGACCGCGAATTGTTGGAATCGTGGGAATCTTTCATCCACTCACCACAACACCGCAACCTTTGACTTCCATCATAGCTCTTTCGGGTATTTGCTCACTGGCGGGCGTTTTGTTCTTCTACACTCTTGCATCCGGGTCTTCACCCCTGCTTTTGTTTTATTTCGAGGCGTCTTCAAAGGAAACGCCCGTGCTCCCGGAACTTACCCCAGTTCCCTCCCCACCCCTGATCCTCGGCCTCGTGCCACCATGGAAGAACAAGTGCTTCAATTGCTTCAGGCCACCACTCGCCCGGACACGGCCGTCATCAAGGCAGCAGAGCAAGAGTTGTTACGTCTGTACCAGCAACCAGATCTCCCTTTTGCATTGCTCACCATTGCCACACACCAGGACATCGACTCCAGCTCGAGAAAGGCTGCTCTTACGGCGCTCAAGAACTATGTCTCCCAAACCTGGTCTCCTCAATTCGACGAAACCTTCACCGGCAATGTCTATCTCGACGAGCAAGCCAAGTCCAAGGTCCGGGATCATGTCTTTGCCATCTGCGTAATTAACAACGACCAAGCCTCCAAGGATGCTACACTGCAAGCTCTAGCTGCTGGCGTTGTCAGCAAAATCGCCAGCGCCGACTTTCCCGAATCCTGGCCTTCATTGCTACCATCTCTTCTCAGCATTCTCAATGCTTCCACCACGGACGCCTCTGTTCACGGTGCTTTACGAGTTCTGTTCGAGTTGATCGATTCTGGTCTCACAGAGGACCAGTTCTTCGCCGTCGCACGTGATCTCGTGGCTGCTTTACAACATGTCGCCCTAGATAACAACCGGAGCCTAATCGTCCGAGCTATGGACTTGAATGTCTTCAGATCCTGTTTCGAAATGCTGGAGATGGTTATGGGCGATCACGGTCCTGCAGTCAAAGCCTTTCTTGATGAGTCTCTCAAAGCCTGGATTCCCTTCTTTACCGAGATTTTGCAGCAACCCCTCATTTGGTCCGAGAGCTCTGGCCTGGATCAGAACGACACCAATCTACGAGGCTTAGTGGCCTTGAAGGTTCAAGTGGTCAAAGTGAGTAGCTAGTCCCGACCCATGCTTAAAACATATCATCTAACCATATTGGATCAGACCCTCGACAAACTTCGGACTCTCTACATCCATGCCATCTCACCGCACGCCATAGGCTTGTTCCAAGTCGTTTGGGAAGAACTCTCCAGGGTCGCTCCATCTTATGGCGAATTGTTCGTCGACGGAAACGCCGAGGGCAAACTGGTTGATAGCGACAACCTTCCTTGCAGTCTTGATGCATTGGTTTTGGAAGAGCTAGACTTTTTACAAGTTCTCATCAAAGCACCCCCTGTGCGTCTGGAGCTTTCAACCCAAATGAAGCAATTGGGCGAAGCCCAGCACACCGTCTCCTGGCTTCAAGAACTCATTCGCGTCCTCGTCCTCTATGGCCAGATACCCAAAGAGGAAGAGGGCCTTTGGGAGTATGACTCGAATCTGTATCTTTGTGAAGCGACTTCTCTGACCGCTGCTTACACACCTCGCTCAGCATGTGCTGAAGTCGTTGTCCGCAGCCTGGGCGAATGGTTGAAACAAATTCCCATCAAGGCGATGCTACATTTCAACCAGCAGGTTCTATTGCCATCTAACGCGAGCTGGAAAGAACGTGAAGCACTCTTGTATCTACTGACTCAAGCACTCAAAGATTTAGACGATGTCCCGGCAAAACTGGGCTCAGAGACTGCCTCCGCTTTACTAGAACAAGTCTCCGCTCCACTACTCGACCAACACGTTTTCATGCGCGCAGCTTCACACATGACTCTCAGCTCCTTCTTCAAAGTCGCTGATTCCACCTACCAAGACGCTGGTGCTGCAGCCTTGGCCAATACAATCAATGCCGCCGAAAATGATGCCTGTGACATTGTGCAGGTGGCTTGTATCAGCATCGTTCCGGACTACCTGGAAGCCCTCCCCCGAAATGCTACTCAACCGCTTCAGGAGAACATTATATCCGTGATTGATTCTTTCATCTCTTCACACGACCTTCGCGACGAGCTTGAGGACGCCGACGACATCAAGGCAGCGTTGATACAAACTCTGCGTGATGCCATGATGCTTGACACCAGTACCATAACCACTTCAAGAGCAATCGACCTTTTCTTCAACCTTGCGTCGGACGGAGCGAGCAATTTCCAGCTCTTCACTTTACTCACCGAAGCATTCGAAGGCATCGTCAGCAGCGTCTCATCTCAAGGCCAGGAGCCATATATCGCCCTCTGCGCCAAAACTATCCCTTCCTTGACTGGCGCATTTGACGTTGCCAATATGACCCAGGAGTCAGCGCTCACCAATCTGGCTGCAGAGCTGGTGTCGGCGCTGGCTGAGTTCGGCTCCGATCCCTTGCCACCCGGATTCGTATCGGCAGTTATGCCCAAGTTAGAACGAGTACTGATGGAAGCCACCGAAGCCGAATTGGTACGACCAGCTACTCTGGCCGTCGAACACATGCTCTCAAAAGGAACACAACAGTACCTCAGCTGGACCAATTCGCAGGGCAAGTCTTCGATCGAAGTGACGCTGATGATTGTGGATCGACTGTTGAATTCTCCCGATGTGGATGAGAACGCAGGACAAGAAGTCGGCACGTTGGCGTCGTCATTGGTGGCGAAATTTGGAGTGGACAAACTTGGACCGGATCTCCTCCGACAGCTACTCGGTGCGGTGGCCACAAGACTAGCCACAGCCAGCCGCATCCAATTCATTCAGTCACTGTGTCTCGTGTTTGTGAACCTGACAATTGCAGCGCCCGCCGAAGTGGTGGACTTCCTGTCGGAATTTTCCATCAATGGGTCATCGGGGCTGGCAGTGGTATTGACTAAATGGCTCGAGAACTCTGTGCATTTTGCAGGCTTTGACGAAGTGCGACAGAACGTGGTGGCACTATCGAAACTATTCTCGTTACACGACGGACGGATCCAAGGCATTACAGTGAAAGGTGACTTGATCATCGAATCCAACCCCAGTGGACGGATCAAGACACGATCGCAGGCTCGCCTCAACCCTGACCGCTGGACCAATGTGTCAGCCGAGCTCAAGATCCTGAAACTCATGGTCGACGAGCTATCATCAGCGGCGACGTCACGCTACCCTAACCTGGCAGCCGCCCAAGCCGCCGCCGATGCTCTAGAAGAAGCTGACTCGGACGCCGACGACGCCGACGAATGGGAGGATGTCGGTACCGCCGGCGCCATCGATCTGGCCAGCGAATCTGTCCGTAACGATCTCATGGCCATGGTCGGCGAAGGTCCTCTAGCTGATCGTCGCGGTGGCGATGTTGCCAGTGTTACCAGTAGAGCTCGTGACGAGGAAACCACCGACTACCTTCTTCAGTGGTTCCAGACCGAGGCTGGAAAGGAAGGGTTTGCACAGCTCTTTGAACAACTCAATCCTGAGGAACAGGCGAGATTGAGGGAACTGGTTGGTTGATTTGTGGCGATATTTCAGAGGAGGAGGGGGAGTCAGGAGGGAAAGAGCAGAATTCAGACCGTGCAAAATCTGTTGGTGAGCCCAATTGTGTATCTGTGGGAGTCATACAACTATGATTTTTGGGTCATTGTTGGTCATCGTCTTGTATGATTGGGTTTCGTCTCTGCGCAAGTATTGCTACATGGCCTGTCACTCTGTGGAGGTTGGTGGAGGCTTTGCTCGTTCGCATTTATTCCATCCCAACTCAACTACACACTCACACTCACACCCACACCTCATCTCTATTTCCTACTTACTTCCTAAGGAGGCACTATGATACCATTCACGCACGTCATGACCAGACTGATTGATTACATACACTTGGCAATTCATGCAATGCATACACTTCAGAACCATTATATTGATTGATCTGTGTCTCTTTGTAATCATCGCCATTCATCCCATCCCCTCCCTCCCTTTGCACTCGTCATAATCCACTTGTCCATTGCTTTTTTACTTTTTATTATTCCTCATCGCCGCGAACTTATCATGCCATTTCCGTTTCTTGGAATCCGTCTCTGCAGAACCCGTAGCAGCCTTGGCTGCTGACGCCGTCAATGCACCTGATGCTAATACACTTTTCCCGTGGGAAGTGGATTTGTTGCCAACACCAAATAAACCTGCACCAGTATGATGGAGCTGGTTCTGCTGTTGGGTAATCCTGATTACTTCTTCTATTGATTCAGCTCCATCTTTGGTTTGGGATATCTTTGAGATTTCGATTTCAACACCGTTTTGTTTTGCACGTGTCACCAGAACGGGGATTTGACAGTATGAGGTCCATGTCTCTGAAACAAGATGTGACCATTTCTCGATGAAGGACTGGGCGGGTAGACCTACAGCACTGGTTGTATCGTTTGGTTGTGTCTGTGCGGCTTGAAGAATCCATTGTCCGATAGTCAAAGTCAGATCTTCGGCATTCCAGTCGCCCTGGACGGGGATAGTCTCCCATGCTTTGTCGACTAGGTCTTCGGGGTCGGGGGCTTGGGTGGCGGTGGACTCGGGGGGTGGGAGAGCTCTGAAGCGTCGTAGGATTGCCCGGAGGATATCGATATGGGTGGTGGTGGGCGAATTTGATATCGAGTCTGCTTCGGCGTCGCTGTCCATTTCAGCGAAAATCGATCCGAATTTTTCAGACTTGATACTATGGTCGGTAGCTTTGTCCGAGTCGATGTGGATCCCTCGAATGTTGCAGACCTGGATGAAGTCTTGCCAGGCAGATAGGAGGCGTGTGGGAGTTGGGATAGTGACGGATTTTGAGTTGATGGATTTGTTGGTGTCGGATAGGCAGAGGAATAGTTTTGTGGCAATACTGAGGATGGATCTTCGTGGTGCTGCGATATCTTGGAGAATTTGGTTCAGTGTCACGGGGTTTGAAGAACTGGGCCTTGGTCTAGAGATGGTATAGGTGTCGTCTGCTGTGGGATCGGTGCTGTATGGGATTAGGGATCTGATTTGGAGTTCGATGGCGGCCAAATCCGGCTCAACGGGGATGAGTTCCAGAACATTCTTGACTTGAGCAATTGCGGTGATTTCTCGATTTTGGTTGGGGTCAGAATATGTATCAATATCCATATCGATGTCCATGTGGACGTCACCGTTGCTAGACGTCCCCTTTCTGATGATTGATGGACATGTCTGGGTGACATGGACGCTATTGCTGGTGCTGACCTGTTTGACCGCCCATACCTTATCATCACTGCAGAGATGAAGATGGCCTTCGGTTAGGGTATTTGAAGGGTCATGGCTATTTGGTGTGCCTGAGTTCTGAGATATTGATGATTTGAATTGTAATCTATTGACCAGTGTCAGCTGTGGTCACAAAGGATGATGAGGTTAGAAAGTTCTTCTCACCGTACAGGTCTTCTGTCGTTGGATTTCGTTTCTATTAGATCCACCAAGTCAGGCGGAAGTTCTATGAGCCGGAATGATTGTTGGGGCTGGGTGAATGAGAAGCCCACAGGCCGAAATCCGGAGGTCTGGGTCGACATGGCTTGGACACGGGAAAGCGGTATTGGGATGGGTTGCGAGGGATAGAGTATTTGGATCAAGGCATCGCGTCAGGTGAGGTATAAATAGCAGGTCTGTGCCTTGCTGGATTGAAACTATCGTCTCCTTTTGCATGTGAATATGTGTGTATCAATGTGAATGTGGAGGTGGTGGTGGGGGATGAACACGCGACGCGTCTGTGAGGAGATGGATTACATAAGAAATCAATTTAGCTGATTACGGTTGCAGCGAGATTTTTCGCCGAATCTGGCGACAAGTACCGCCGCTTTTGGCAGGTTTCTTCCCTCGCTGTCTAGAAATGGTTTCTCAGCCCTCTCCACAGGGGATCCCCACGAAATGACTAAGAATCCTGGAGTGGTATAATAGAAATACTGGAATCCGGTGGAGGCTACGTGGGTATGACCCTTGAATCGGAAATCTACTTGTTCTTTTCCACCATGCCCAGAGACCCAGAGAGATGAATTGCTTGTGCCTTTCGAGTTTGCCGAACGGGATAGGAAATTCAGGAATTCCCAGCTAGGCAAGACTCCCGAAGAATACTTTCCACTTACGTTCGGCACGGCTTTCTTACCCCTCCAAACCACCAGACAACCAGCAACCAGGAGAAATCTGAACCTCTTTTTCAATCGATTTGACGGCTTGCAACAAGTCTACTGCGGTGCTCTCCTCTTCAGTTCGGCCACCTCTAGAGTAAGTCGCCAATTGAGACCAAGTGTAGCCCTACCGTCAGCCTCGATTGTCGTTGGTGCTGTCGCTGCTATGAGCTCGGCTCTGCAACTTAGTGTCGCGGAACGCCATGCGCCTGAAAAGACCAGACGATCTGTGGCATGTAACCACTGTCGAGAAAGAAAGATACGTTGTATGTTTGGACCAATGCCACTCGGTGCAGCTTATGAAGTTCATCCAAGTTGACCAGCTCCTATTATCTAGGTAATGGACGAACTCCGTGCGCCAATTGCCTGGATCGTTCTGAAGTATGCGTTGTGACGCCCAAAAGGACTCATCGTCTCCAGGGCACTCGAGGAACGGGACCCAGCCCCCGCCATCGCTCTAGTGCGCCGTCTAAGTCCTCAAGGTCGCATCACCGACAGCGGCGGCAGAGTCCCGGCAACCCACATATCTTGGAAATCGATCAACATGACCATCTCACCCACGCTGCCTCGGCCTCGCCGAAAGATGTACCCCAGAGGAATGCTAACCACTCTAACTCTGGGACGATTGTAAGTCATCCAAGGCTGGCCAAGATAACTGCCACTGATGTACCATCGCAGGAGTATGAGTTGGACAATATTCAGAATGACTCAGCTACCGGCATGTCACCTCAAACCTTCACTTTCATCAACCACTGTATCGAAGGCCCGGCAACCACGGCTTCAAATGTCAGTACTTTGCATCAAGAGACATCGCAACCCCGCCAGGAAGAGCAAGAGCATAGCAGCGTCTACGCGACGGACACCGTAAGTTCTGCATGAGCCCCAGCTTCCAACATTAAGAACCAGCACGAAATCTCTAACCCTCCACTGATATAGCTGAATCTCGAGTACTACGGTAAATGATGATGACACAGGGGCCTTCATCGATCTATTGCTAACTCGCAAGTAGGTCCGCGCTGCTTCTTGTCCTTTTCCTCACAACCAGGAGTGAAATGGATCAACTCCAAAGTCAGGTCCACCGAATTTTCCAATGTGGCTATGCGAGTCGTGACGGACATGGCTCAAATGCTGAAAATGAGCCGCACTCCGTCCCCAGTACGAGAGCCAGAGCCGAGTTTGGAAGCAGCAACGGAATACACAAAAGGTACCTGAAACCTTGACCCTCCTTTGTTATTGTTCCTCTACCTCTGATCTTCCTGTCCCGCTGACGCTGACGAACGCTTCTAGCCTACTTCGAAGAGGCACCGGAAACGGCATTTAATATTGTTGACCGCTCTTGGTTTGAATCTCGACTACGGGCCCATCGCAGTGGCTCGACACCGGAGGACAAGGCCTGGTATGCATTGCGCAATGTTCTGTGGGCCAGTGGATGCCGAATCCAGCTGTCCAAGAAAGACGATTATACTCAAGTTTCACGCGCATCGTGGGCGTTGTTTGAAAATGCACTTTCCGTACAGACTGAGGTGCAGTTCTTGCGCGCCTCTATCGTCGCTGTACAAGCACTTATTTTGATGGTACGTCCAAAGTTCGTACATTTGCCGTAGAGTATATCCTAAACATCATTGGGGCTAACGTATTCTTCACGCACACAGGCGTACTTTGCGGAAGGTGTAGGTAAAACATCCTTGCAGTACATGCTGTGTTCGACCGCCATGCGACTCGCCTGTTCCAAAGGATTACATAGACAGGCCCCAAAGTCCTGGAAGATCTCGTCTCACGAAGTCAAGCACAGAAACTGGATGTTTTGGTCGATCTATTGTCTGGAGAAACAAATTTGTACACGATCCGGTCGTCCATCAGTGAGTACCTTAGCTCTATTCCCAAACAACAAGACCTTTCTACGTGGGGTTGCTGAATACTAATGAATTTCGCTGTGCGGTCAGGCGATAGATGATGATGAAATCAGCACGCTTCTTCCTCAGAGCACGCTTACAAACCGACCTGGCGACATCGCGTATTGCCACATTCTCGTTGATCTCATACAGCTGTGCTCTACAGCCAAAAAGCGACTCTCTAGCGCTCGTGCTCTTCAGCAATCCTCCGAACAGTTGATACAAACGGTTAGTAGCCTAGTCCAGGAACTTGACAACATCAAAGACCGCGCTATCAGGCGATACAAATTTTCCCTTGATGGTCCATTGGACCTTTCCCAGTTGCCAGCTTCGGGACTCACCTTGGGCCAAGCACAGTCCCTCAAAGCCAACTACTGCTGTCTCGTGCTCGACATCAATACGCCTTTGAGCTACCCATGGTCTGGCATCCACCTGCACGCGGAACAAGATTCAGTGGCCTTTGCACAAGTTGAAAAATCCTGTGCCGCTGTCGCGGAGGCCGCAAGGTGTGCCATTCTAGCAACCAGACAAATCCAAGTCGATGCTAGCTGCACCGCACTGTAAGTCCACTTGATGAGATCTCTTTAAGCATAACCCATTAGCCTCAACCTACACTCTGATTTACCGTGCTCTGAGCAACTACTAAGTCTGGGCAGAGTTTCACTGTACACTCCTGTTTACAGCTCAGTCAACCTGTTTATTCAAATCCTCCGAGACACCAGTGCGACTTCAACAAGATCCGATCTGATAGTTTTAGGTTCGTAGCTCGCTGCCTTCTTGGCTCCCGCTCCTGTCATTCGTTGTGGTTTAAGCGATGAAACTCGGATTGATAAAGGTGCATACAGATATCGCGCTGGGCTACTTTTCAAGCCTTGAATTGGTGACAAACCTCGAGCTATCGCTCTCTTTCGCAAGGGACATGTGCCATTTCGCTCGTCTTGCTGTCGACACTAACAACAAGGCCCTGGAGAAAGACGACGTTGGCCAATCCCATTCCCATGTCATCGCTGCACAACCTTTATTGGATATGTCTACCGACAATTTCCCGAATGAACCCCCGGGATTTGGCTTTGATGTAAGTATTCTGCCCTCAAGCATCCATCTGCCTGTTTCTCCTTACCATCTTGTTCACTTTCGGTCATTGGCGGAGCTGTTGATTCATTTGGACAAGTCACAATATCTTACCACATTTCTAGGAGAATGACTTCTTCGGCTCCCTGCCGGATGAGACCTTCGAAATGTGGAGCACTTTACTCCCATTTACGGCTACAGATGATTTCAATTTTTCGGCATGACGAATCACTTCCTGTCCGACGTTTATAAAAATCATAGTATGTGTCATTTCTACTGGAATTATTACTGTTCTGTTTGTGCTGCGTCAGCTTTTGCTGTAGCAGAGTAGCTAGATGCTGTTACGTTCGACACAAATACGTCCAGCTCAACACTTGTTCTGTGTTGTCATTTGAAGCAGATTGTTGGATATGGCAAACCTTGAAACCCTTTAGTGTGTGCCACTATACCCATTGACACCGCTATTTTCTTCTCTTGTTGCAGCTTTGACCCCAAGAAGCGCCTCAGCATTCTTATAAGCTATCAGATCCAGCTGTTCTGGGGTCACCAGGCCGCTTTGCTCGAGTTCGGTTATCCACTTCAATCCCTGTTCGTTGCTGGTGAATGGGTAGTCAATGCTATACAAGATGTGGTCGATCTTGGTGTTTCCAAGAATACAGCGCATGGGATCCAAACTCCAGCAGGCCGAGGTGGTGATCCAGATGTTTTCGTCCCAGACTTTCTGGAAGGGACGTTGCCGCCTTCCCATGATGAATTCTTGATCGCAAATCCTCTGCAGCATGTACGGCATCATCTCTCCAAAGTGACCCAGGACGATTTTGAGCTTGGGGAAGTCGTCAAATAATCCGGCAGCATGGAGACGCAGAACGTGAACACCCACGTCACTGTGCCAACCCCACATTGCTCCCCCGATCACAGTGGCAGATCTTAGAGGATAGTTGCCGGTGTATGTCTGTCGAAGGAGCTCGTCTGAAGGCCAAGAAGGGTGGAGATATATTGGCACATCCAACTCTTCGGCCTTCTTCCAGAAGATACGATATTCCTCGCCATCGTAGAAGTTCGCTCCGACTGTGATTTTATTGTCTATCAATGCTCCGACGAAGCCATGCTCCTTCACAGTTCTTTCAAGCTCGGCCGCAGCATCCTCTGGATGCGTCATGGGCAGTACCGCAAAGCCGGCGAACCGCTTCTTGGTCTCGTCCGATTTCGAGATTTCAGCCGCCAATTGATCGTTCCCAGCCCGACAAGCATCAGGAGATGGGTTCTCGGCGGCGCAGTGGGAGATGACCTGAAGAGACACCCTTCCGCTATCCATCTCCTTGAGGCGCAAAGAACCAGCGTCGAAGAGTCTCTCCGTTGCCCCGGGCCATTTGACAATGCCTGCTTTCATCGAGTTATCGAACGAGTCGAAGATAGCCTTGGAGTAGTAATGCTCCTCGAGCGTGATAAGAGGTGGAGTCATGGTGGACAATCTGGTGCAAATTTCGGTAGGGAGGCTCGAATGCTAAGGGGAGTGGAATTCTTCTAGAACTCGGGCGGTTCTTTATCAATGTCAATTAATCAAAAGGAGAGGATAAGTCACATCTAGATCTGATTTGCTAGACTACCACCGCTTTGATATATCAAAAGTCGTTCTGAAAATCCAAAAGTTCGCCTCTACATGAACATTACAACCTCCAACCACATTATGGAACCTGCAAAGCTTGGAAGTGCTGGTGGATCCTTAATTGCCTAATTCGCTCGGCTGATATAAGCCTCTCCAAAAGCGTTCGCCGTTCGATCGGCAACTGCTCCTCGGTCAGCTGGGTCAACTAGGTCTGAGGACAACGTCTAGTATGGTGAGAAGCCTGGACATCGTGTCAATCACCTGCACAAGATTGCGATTGATGCCGAACATAGATGGAAAGGAAGTTGGGACCGGGACAATGGTTGAGCCGCAAATTATTCTCTGAGCCTGCGTGACCAGCGCATGTGGCTCAGAGGCTGTAGGACTTTCTACCTCTGCGCCGCAACACCTTGTCCTAGTGTTTGAAAGTGTTTTAGAGCCATCAATTGGAACATATTCCCACCAGGTGAAACATAAGCAACACCATTCCAGTTACCTGTTTGCTCTCCCGACTCTACTTTCACTCATGGCTGCTCCTGTCGCCATCGTTACCGGTGGCTCGTCTGGGATTGGTGAGGCTCTAGTGCAGCATCTTCTTGCCCTGGGTTGGAAGGTAGTGGTTGCCGATATCCAGTCCAGCAAGCATTCCAGCAACAATGTCTTGTACATTGAGACCGACATATCCTCATGGGAGCAGCAAAGCGACATGTTCGCACGAGCCTATGCCTGGGGCAAGCGATTGGACTTTTGTGCGCTCAACGCCGCTGCTGATGATCGAGACAGCATCTTCAACTCACTCTCGCACGACATCAGTGCGCCACCTTCGGAACCAGATACGCGGTGTTTCAAAGTGAATGATATTGGAACGTACGTACCTGCAGCTCACCATTCTTGACATTTTCCCTTTGTAAAATCCTCTCCTGGACAGATGCCACTAGATCTATCAAGGCTAATAGCATGTCTCTCGTGGCGACTGCAGATACTACGGGATCAAGCTCGCCGCGCACTACATGACAATTCCCAGCCAGGAGGGCGGCAAGCCCAAGACAGGAGGCAAGATCGTCGTCACCTCTTCAGGAGGCGGCCTATTCCCGATCCCTGCGATCCCTCAATACACGGCCAGCAAGCATGCTCTGGTCGGCCTGGTGCGTGCTCTTGGACGCAATCCGGCCTCCCTAACTGCCAACGTTCGCATCAACGCGGTCTGCCCCGCCATCGTCGCTACCCCCGGTCTGCCGCCAGGGCTGGTGGAGAGGCTCCCCGCGGATCAGATCACCCCAATGAGCACGATCATGAAGTGTTTCGACGAGTGCGCCGACTTGGCTAGCGTGGCCGATGAGGACTGGGTCGAGCGTGGACGCACTGGCGAGACAGTGGAAGGTAACGTCCATGAGCTAATCTGGCACACTCCTCCACAGCGGCCGCAAGGTGGGAATAGCAAGTTTGTACGTGAATCGGGAGTTGTGGCTGTTGCTGAGGCGTATAAAGCCAAGCCTAGCTGAGCAGAAACGCAATAGCCACGGGCTGACACCGCTAAATACCACTGTTCCTAGTACACAATTATTAAACATAGTGACCTCAATTCGAGCTTACTTGTCATATTGCCTGAATAGGTCGGATTGAATGCGTAGGTACCTCTCCTCTATAATGTAGGAAAATAATTTCCCCATATAGTCTTAGACATATAGACTTGCAGAGTTTATGAGGCTCATCGCAAATTTTACGGAATGGAACGAGAGCAAGTACGAAAAACAAAAGATAAGAGTGGCTTCTTGACTATGGGTTCACTAATGACGGGCAGCTTCGCCTTCGGTCAGGCTTTTTGTTCGAATCGAGACCAGCCTCGTAAGCAATCCACAGGGATCCCAACTTGCATTAAGGATTCTTCTCTTGGGCGGCTTCCCAGTCCTGGTTGTTATCATGACCATGCCCACGCCTGAAACGGCTGACAGGATTCTCACCCCCAGCAGTGACGGCGGTATGGTTCGTGAAGTATGGCGAGGGATCCAGCACCCACAATGATACCACACATGCGATCACAAAGAACGGGATCGAGCTGTACCACACATAGGCGAATGCATCGCTATAGCCCCACCGAATCGCGTCCTGAGCGGCGGCCACCACATCCGAGGGGAATGGGGCGATTCTTGCGGGCACGCGGGACTGCAACGCCGCGATCAGCTTGCCCACGTCTTGTGCAGGATAGCCCAATGGAACGACAGCGGCCAAAACCCTTGGTGGAAGGGCTTTGGGGAGCCGATCGTTGAGAACTGTGTTGAAAATGGTGCTGCCCACCGCGCCTCCAAGATAGCGCATGGCACCTTGTAGGCCGTAGGCGAGACCAATGTCGCGCTGCGGAACATGAAGACCGACGGTGACATAGCCAATGACGATGATCCAGGTGAACGGTACATTCACTAGTGCGTGGAGAAACAAGCCTGGCGCAATGCGATCTGGCGTGGCGAGTGCTAGCAGGCCTCCAGCGAGGGCTTGGATTGCATTTGCTGCGAGCAGTTGCAAGGGAATGTGTTTCATTCGTGGCACCAAGCCACCAAGCACCGCACCGCCAAACAAACCGCCAACTGCAGCGGGTACATTATACCAACCAGCCGTAATTGGGTTAGAGGTGAAAACGAACAGGATCTGTTGTGGAATGAACGTAGTACAGGCAATGTGCCCCAGGCCGGACACAAACATAATAATAATCAGGGAGTTGAATTCTCGGAATTTCCGGAACAGTCGATAGGGGAAGAGTGGTCGGGTATCAGGACCTCTGGTAAAGTCCCAAGCGAAGGTGAGGATGAACAAGACCAAGCCAATAACCACTGGCGCGATGACGGCGGCGCTCCGCCATGGATGCTGAATGCCAGCCCAGCCCAGTCCAAGCAGAAAAAGTGTGACTCCAGCGGTGTAAAGAAAGATCCCCATGTAGTCGAGTTCATACAAGACTTCCCGTTTCGTGCGATCCTGGAAGACCCGGCGGGGTGGGTGGTAGAAGAATAGAGTGCCTACTAAAGCGATGACCCCCACAATGTCGCCCAGGATAAAGATCCACCGCCATGTTGCCCGGTCAGTCAGTGCGCGGGCTATCAATGGCCCAAACAAGGCGAGAATGGCGATCTTGACCTCAATCCAGGCGATACCCAGAGACCGCCACTTGTTGGGCAGAATCTCGGAGACACCTGCAAAAATGCTGTATAGAATAGTGCAATAATTAGCAAGCGTCGAGATTGACACTGGCAGACGGACCAGATATGGAGAAGGGGACATCACGTACACAAAGCACATGCCTGTACCTACGCCCAGGAGCACCATACCCGCGATGACTTGATTGAAACTCTGGGCCGTGGCACACGTAAGATGTCCAACAAGTAGAAATGCCTGGCCGATGACAATCACGTCTTTTCGACCAAGGTAGTCGCTAAGTTGACCGGCGATGGCGAACGCGACACTCCCACTTAATGAAAAGCCCCCAGCGACCCAGTTGACATTATTTGTGGACCCTTGGAGCTGCAAAGCCACCAGCGTGGCTACAGAGAGGAAACAGTTCAACGTGAACCCAAGGGATGAGAGAAACGTCAGACCAAGGAAGAAGACAGCCGCGCAGGTTGTCCAATTCACTCGAGTTTCTTCATCTGCGCCTTCAAGCGCCGCTTTATGGGGGTCGCCGTGGTCATCGTGGATATGGGAGTCGAGCACCTCCTCTCCGATTCGGTGTTTGGATGGTTTGACTGCGGACTCGGATGGGAGGACCTCAATGTTCTCCTGCTGGGTCCTGTCTTCA